GACCAGCTTGCCGATGCCGACAAAGAATTCCACGGCTGCAGCAAACCCCACTTCAGCGAAACGAACGTCCTAATCTACGGCAACAAAGGCCCCTCGCACCTCGAAAGCGGCGTCTTTCCTACGGCCCAAGAACCCCTCGTCGATGCTACGAAGGATATGCGTTTCGTCAAGATGCCCACCTTCACCGATGTAAGTTGCAGCGTTTAGCCGCTGTCATAGTATGAATGCTGACTGTTGTAGTCTGCGCCTGAAACCTTGTCGCTTCAGAAACAACATACCAAGATTGTCACATCCGATAGTGTACCTTCAGCAAAGCTCTTGACTGACTCTGCTCCGGTCGAGTTCTCCAGTATGGCAAAGGCCGTCGCGCTCGACACTCCAGCTGGCGTTTACGAGCAGCAAGCTTGGCAATTGCTTTCCCTTTTGTTCGATGACGCCGATCGTATTCCAGCGGACGTGCACGAAGAGAACATCAATGTCTACCGGAAGGAGAAGTTGTCGGAATTCTGGAAGCTTCTCGTTTGGGACGATGCACAGAAGCATGCCCAGCAAGCAGCTTCGGCCGAAGAGCGCGCGATCGCCCATCTCAGCTGCAACAACGTCGCTGATGCTTGTCATACATTGTTGGACGGACTCGACCTACGACTGGCTACGATGGTCGCTCAGATCGGTGGTGACGAGACTATGCGTCAGAGCATGGTAGCCCAGCTTGATGAATGGCGTCGTCTGGATGTGCTTTCTGAGATGGAGGATCCCCAGCGTGCGATCTACGAGCTTCTCTCTGGCAACTGTACCAAGTCAGAAGGCAAAGTGGGGGCTGGTCGAGAGAACCGGGCTTCTACATTCAACATCTCAAGTCGATTTGCTCTTGATTGGCGACGGGCGTTTGGACTTCGTCTTTGGTACGGCACGATGATCGATGAGCCTATCGAGATGGCTGTTGCGCAATTTGCGGACGCCGTTCGAGACGGCAATGAAGATGTCAAGCCGGTGCCCTGGTTCATCCGAGACAAAGCCGACATGGGCTGGAACGACCCGGATGCTGAGCACCGAGAAGATCTGCTCTGGGGCATTCTCAAGCTCTATGCGGCAGAGAAGATGGGGCTTCCCGCCAATATTGAGGACGTTCTTGCGCCAGAGAACGTATCCGGCAATCCTTTCAACGCTCGTCTCTCGTTCCAGTTGTTCCAGCTCTTCAAGTCTCGACAAGACGATGAGACCGAAGCGGATGAGCGCAAGGTCGCTATGCCTACTTCTCGCGGCCAGGACGAAGACGATGGCATGTTCCGCCGTTCGCTCCAGTCATGGTCCGCCCCAGGCGCTGCAGACGATGTGCAAGCCGCGAACCCGCTTGTCGAGCTGAGTGATAAGATCACGCTCACATATGCTGCCTCGCTACATACACCAGAGCACTGGACCACTGCTATCTGGGTGTACTCACATCTGTCATCTCCAGCAATGCGAGAGCACTACATGCGCTCGCTCGTCAACCAGTTCTCGAGCTCGTACTCCCTGCAGGAGGGTGATGCCACCTACGACTACCTCACGAGCGACCTCAAAGTTCCTGCGACATGGCTCCACGGTGCCGCGGCATTGCAAGCGAAGTCAGGTGGCGACGCCCTACGTGAGGCGACCCATCTCATCAAAGCCGAGGAGCTCGAGGAGGCGCACGAAGTGCTGTGCCGCAAGGTCGGCCCAGAAGCTATCGTCTCTCGCGACTACGATGCGCTCCGTGAGCTCATGGGCGGCTTTGTTTCCAAGTCGCCATCCGCACGCCCGAGGGAAACACTACAAGGCTGGGCTCAGGGTGGTCAGATCTACTTTGACTACATTGAGTTGATTGATACGACTGGCCAACGTTCCAACTACCGCGTCGACGAAGAGCTGGACAACCGTGTCCAAGAGCTTCTTACCAAGCTGCAGCGTGCATTGGAAATTGCTGGACGCGACAGGCTGGGCACCTGCGGTCTGGAGGAGCGGGTGGCGCTCATGGAAATTGCTGGCACCGTCGCCAACCTTATATCAAAGACCCAGGTATGTTACATCTGCTCTCTCGACCCCGAATATCTGAAGCTAACATGTACTCAGCGAACCAACCGCAACGCCATCCTCAAGCTCCCCCTGACCGAAGACTTGTGGCTCAAGCACACAATCGACCTTAGCACAAGCTACTACCACAATGTCATGGTCACCAGTCGGTAGAACCAGAGGATCATCGACTTGCGCATTCTCCTGAAGAAGGACGAACTCGGTACGAGAGAGTGCTCTATCAAGAATGCCATCAACTGTGGAAGGAAGGCGTGCATTGGATGCAGCCTTGACTGTTTTATGGGAAGCCCACAGGGGCTAAGGAGATGAAGTATTGAGTGTTAGTTGAAACGACTTTGTCTGGACGAAGCATGCAATTGAGGTTTATTGGTTAGACTGGGGAGGAAAAGCAACTTCGATTCGACATGTGTATAATAGATATTCTGCTTGGAACCTCGTTTAATGCATTGCTTATGGTACGTTTTGGTGTTTCGACTGAATGCTGGGTACACGCGTTTTCAAAGTCGGTCTGGTGCTGTGCATCCCTTAACGACATGTGGCATACGCCCAACATTTCATGCTGTACCAACAAAACACTTGTCAATGTACCATGAGGTCACGATCATGCCTTTTGTGACATGTCATACAAGTAGGAGTATCAACACCAACTTTTGGTGCCTCACGTCCAAGATCGTGAACAGCAGTCTCACACCTTGGGATTATCCTCCCACTTCCTCTGCCAGTCATAAGGATCTCGGCGCCACATTTTGTTCTTATCTCCTTTTTGAGGTGATGGCGTATGATAAGGTTTATGTCGCAGGAAAGACGTGCATTTATCTCGTAGGTCTCATTGCACAAGCCCTGCTCGTGTGTACTCTACAGTGAGCCGCAAACACATGTTGTTTCTTGTTTGATTTTTGTGTTTCAGAAACAGGACGAGCTATTGCTCATGGAGCGCTTCCGAAGATGCTGCCCATGTGAGCATCGCCAGACAGTTTTGGAGCAATTGAAATCAGGTCCAACACATACGCTCAGTCTCTCGTGTTTTTGATAAGAGAAAGCTTGAAAAACATCAAAGACTAGTCGGAGCGTTTTTGGAGATAATGGAACGATATGATGAAGGAGAGGAGGTGGCAGAAGGAAGGTGTTTATATACCGCTTCACTCAACCAATGTCCAACAAAGATGACGTCGCGACATCGGCGTGTTGATCAGCCAGTGTGTGCGATGCCACAAAGCCATGAATTATGCCGTGTACTAGCTCCAACGAAGTATTTATACGACACCTACAAGCTTCTGAGGTTCGTTCTTTCTCCTCCGTATCTATTCAAAAACTTGTCCTCAAAAACTGTACAATGACTGGTGTATGCTGCGCCCTCTCGCAGCTTCCTGAAAGAAGTACCAGGCCTAAGCATGTAGACTGTCTTTCTTGCTTCTATGAACTCTACTCGAAATTATGAGAAAAAAGTTCATATCTCAGTCATAGGTTGCGTGCGTTCAGAACCCAAATCGATCAAATTGCGTCCTTATGACGATTGGAAGAATTCTCAATTGTCATGGGAAAATGGAACTTGAACTGTATTAGGCCGTCCCTGGAAGGTTTCCCACTCGCATCTTTACGGATATATAAAGAAAACTCTGGTTCGATCACTCTGTGCATCACGTTCTCTCGAAAGTCCTGAATTATTTCCAAAAAGAAGGTAAACGATATGAATGGAGAAGGGCTCGGCGTTTGCGGGCACCGAAAGATGCAATCCCAATCAACATGACTCTGCCGAGTTGCTCCTCCCTCATTTACTCCTACACGCATCAAAACGCTAGGACTATACTACGATGATCTGAATAGTCTATTTCAAAAGTAACACACGCACTCACATCTTTCGTGAGACTACGACACAAAATAAAAAGTTCTAAACGCACGTTCTATGAGATCGTGCTTCCTTTCTCGAAAAGGGCGTCTGACAAAAGGCTCTTTGCAGTCTCATCACCTGAGACGAGGAGTATTATATCGTTTGGATATGAGTATCTCTGACGATTCTAAAAACTAAGTCAGCTTGGAGATATGAGCAGAGCTGTCCTTCTGGCTGCTTTCTGATAGCATTGCACCATCCATTACATGTTTGGAACGCCAGATGGACTCGACGTACCCTCCGTGAGACATTATATAAACACCTTTTCAGGTTGTACCTCGATCACCTCTTTAATGCATTCAAAAGTCTCTTTCTTCCAAAACGTCGTAAGCGTTGCGCCATGGCGCTGGCTTCCTCGCGCTCTCAATAGTCTGAAAACCAAACTGGAATGGGGAATGCTTCTGCGACTTCTTCGCCTTTCCGACGAAAACATAAAATCACAATTCTGTTCACACCGTCACAAAAGAGCACCCAGGTGAAGCAGGAATATGAGGGCGAGATGAGCGACCACGAGGACGCGGATCTCGCTGTTCCGTTCACATCAGCGAAGCAATTACAGAAATTCCCTTACATGAGATCAAGAACGGATATATGGTACGTGATCGAGACCAACAGGACCGGGAAAAGGAGAACAAGAGGGTCAAAAACGATCCTTGAGGGGCAGCCTGCCGACACATCCACTACCCCGGCGGAGGTTTCGCCAGCCCCAATAAGGGACGACCGTGATACTGTGGGCCACACAAACGATGTTCTGTTCGAGAACGTGCGTTCAAGAAGCTAAAGCATGCATTTGAATTTTTTTTTCAAAATTGTTGATCTCACTCTCATGTCGGCGCGAGTTTCCAGCACCTTCACTACTATGACTTGTGATCTAAAGCTATCAACGGGCCCTTGGTAGATTTGAGTACCTCCAGCGACGCATGACACGACGTCTCAACATTACTCTAAAATGTGCACTCTTCATGTCATAAGAGATTTCTCGATAGTCTAAATGCTACTGTAAAAGTTGTGGTATAAATATACAAGTCCGTCAAGATACTATATACAATGACGATACCCAAACTCATGTCTGCGGAGCTGGAGGTTGTCCCTGCTGCGCAGACACAGCGGTACCATCTCTCGGCGGGCCTTGTGGACGCCCGCCTCTTGCGCCACCGCGACCACCGCGGCCAATTCTGCCACGACCGCCTCTGGCTGCGCCATCAGGTCCAGGTGGACGACCACCGCCATCTTGTTTCTGGCCGGCTTTGGGTGGTGGATTTGGCTTGGCGGCCGGCCCAGCGCTGACGTCGCGCTTGCCTTTACCGCGATCAGCTTCGTCTCCCCCTTCTTTCTTGTCTTGACCCTTTGTCTTACCGCCGCGACCACCGCGACCTTTGCCTCGACCACGACCAGAGGTCTTAGAAAGCTTTTCTACCAGCTTCTTAGTCTGCTCCTCTTCCTCGATAACACGTCTGCTCTCCTGCTCCCACCACAGCTGGAACTCTTGCTCTTGCTGGATTTCCTGCAGACTACGCTTGGCTGCTGCGTCGCGTATTGAAGTCTTTTCTGCTTCTTGCAAGGACAGAATCTCCATCATGCTGAGATGCTGACTTGGAGACGTCGGCGAGTGCTGTGGCAAGGGAATGTGGCGGACAGATCGAGGCGTTGGGATAGGATCAGTAGAGACTGACATGCCTCTCTCATTCGCAGCAGGACGAGCTTGGGAAGGCGATGCAGCTCCTGCATCATGACTTTGGGACGCCGTCCGCTTGTCCTTCTGCTTTGATCCAGCACCCTTCTTTGCAACAGTTTGTCGCATGGTAAGTTGAGGCGTGCTTGATGCTCGAGAAGGCTCCGGCGATGGCTTCGGCGGTGGCGAGGGAGCCACTGCTGGAGCAACAACCGGACTGTTGCTTGGTTTCCTATGTGCAGCTGCCGTCCATGGAGATACGGCTGGCGGCACCGGTTGAGGCTTCTCGATGGCTGTGCCAAGTTTTTGGGCCTGTCGTAGACGATTCTTTTCCTTTTGCGACATCTTGATCGGCGCAGCCTTGACGGTCCGTTCGCTCTCGCTCCGTGAGAGGCCGATCGACAGGTTTGATGGTGTAGCTGAGGACTCTTGAGCCATAATATCCTTGAGTTCAAGCTTGGGACCAGCAAGCGGTGCAGTCACCCAAGGCTGACCAGGTGGTCTTGTCTCCTTGATAGCTGGCGGAGGAAGAGGGCTGACAGACTTGAACGGTATGTCATCCCCTTTGTTGAACGTGTGCGGTGATGGTTTTGGAATCGTGCCCCAGGGCGTCTCGGGAGATCCAACTGGTGTTTCTAGCGCTTTCTCGTCTCCGCTTTGCTCTGTGAATCGCGGGGGCTTGATCTTCTTTGGCACATCCTCGTCATCCTCGCCATCTGACATTTCGAACATGAGGTCTTGGGCGGAGTTTTTACCTTTCAGCGCTGGCGACATTACTGGACTCTTTGCTTCTTTGGATACCCTTCTTCGATTGCGTTGGCGTAGTGGGGAAGCTGCTACTTCTTCCAGACTTTGAGCTCTGAAAGAGGATGAGAGATTGTCGCCATCGGCGTACTTGTTCGACAGTACTATCGCATCGACCTTGGCGCGCCTGCCACGTTCTATCCTCTCAGCAAGCTCTGGGTAGCGCTCAAAGAGGAGAGCCTCAGCTCGCCCACTTCTTGCAAACGGCAAGTAAGCGAGCTGATTTTCATGGGCGACTTGGTTGAGCTCCAGCAGCAAGTCCTCGTCCAGTTCGTCTAGTGAGCCGTTCTGCATGACTGCCTCTAAACTCAGACACACATATTCAAGGGCAGCGTCCTTGAACTCAGCGACCGAGCTAGGAGCAACTGCTGTAAGAAGGGAGCAAACGTTTCGAGCGTTGACTGTCATCAATTAGCGAATGCACGATAATACCAAATATGTATACATACCATAGCGACCGATCAATCTTTGACAGATCTGCGACAGACGGTCTAGCATCAGTTCATTGGCAACAGACATGACATCCATGACATGGTCGAGCAACTCGTCAAGTGCCAGCAAATCATTCAGGTCTTCGCTGGTAACATCCTCGAAAATCTCCTCACCAGCATCGGTGTAGAGATGGCGGACAATGAGCTCGAAAAGCTGTGTTTCCACATGCGTCAAATCAATGTGAACGAGCGGAGATTCCTCGGTCCGCCTTCCTGCGAGCCACTGGCCGCCGGCACGTCCTCGGAACAAGCCTTCGAAGAAAGGACAGCGTTGGCAAATCACGTCCGAGTGTAGTAGCATCTGGCCATCAGCAAGGTCGACGATGACGTCGCCGCTCTCGAAGAAGGACTGCTCCTTGATGGCGAGTTCCATGTCCATGTGCAAGGATCTTCGTGGCTTGACCATCTGACGCACAGCAGGCTCGAGCTGTCGCATCTCAAGACGGGAAGCAACCTTCATCAGTTCTGTCCGCACGGAACGGTACCTGTGTGCCAAGGTAGGGTAGTGCCGGGTGACATTCCAGAAGTCCACAACAGAGTCGGTGTAGGCGTAGAGAACGAGGTTGAAGATAGTGAGGAAATCAAGACCTTGGAAGAGTACCAGAACTCTCCCACTCTCTGCCTTGACGGTCAGCAGGTCAGGCACGACATATTCGCTGTCTTTCACCCTGAAGTCGAGCAGAGCGTCCCGCAAGACACGGCTGCGTCCACCCAAGATGAACTCGTGAACGGGTATGCGGACATCAGACAGAGTAGATCCGACCTCCATGTTGTACGTCCGATCTGGCATTGTCAACGAGCGCTGCAGGATATCGGTGATTTCCGCTTCCAGGTCCTTCGACTTCAAGACACGCTTGCGCAGACCTTGCGCTTCTGAAGCTCGGGTCCAGAATCTCGGCGTGGGCTCTTCGTCGTCGGATGTTTCCTCGTAGTTTGTCAACTCGTGAAACGAAAGCAACGGAGCTAGGTCATCCCAAAGCCCGGCTTCGTCCACACCTATCTGGTTTCTGGTAACGTCGCAGTCCTTGCGAATGGCAGCGTATGCACCAAACGCGGAGGCACGGACAGCAATCACCCGAGTCAAGCCTGACACACGCTGGAATTTGTAGTCTTTGGGCTTGGACTCTACAGCAGCAGTGACATTTGCATTCTTGATGGTCGCTCGTTTCGTACGTCTCCAGACGCTGCCAACCTCAGTGGTTAAGATGATAGAACCGTCCTGGTCGACATCAACATCTCGTGCTGCCATGTGGCTCTTCTTAGACGACCAAATACGGAATGGCGCAGACAAGGCTCCTCTGATCTGCTTCGGGTTTGTGGTCGATGTGCCGGCATCCTGGGCACCCTCTGAGCGCCGGCTGACAGCCACTGTGAAGACTTCACCAGAAGTAGACAGCGCACAAATGGTGTCACCACCAGATGTGATCTTGCTGATCCTGTTCGGCGCAGTGTCGTACTTTGTGGTCAACCAGCTCTCCTTGAGGAAGTTGCTAGTGAACCCGTCCAAGGGAAAGCTGAGCTTTGCATAGCCATAGTTTGCAAATACCCAAACCTCGCGATTCTCCAGCAGACATACAGTAGCACCGTCAATGGCCGACACTGAGTGGATGGGACTGGAGAATAGTGCTGCAGCAATCTTCCTGGGGATGACCTGCATCTCCAGCGACCGAGCGTCCGAATCGACAATACCAAGCTGGCCTTCATTCTTGCCGAAGGTGTACAAGGACGTCGCAGTGTGAACGACCGAGTGTATCCGGGACGCGGCAATACCTGTGACAACATCTCGCTTCAATGGTCCAAAAATCTGTCGAGGAATAGTTGAGATGGGATCGTCGTCCTTTACGGCGGGTTTCGGCAGCGCATACCCTAGCTGACCGTATGCATTGTTACCCCACGAGTAGATCTCTCCCTCTTCGGTGATGGCCAGAGTGTGGTTCTGCCCCAACGCAACACCAGCAACTTTCTTCTGACCCAGTCCGCCGCTTTCGATGCAGGTAAACTGATACCTCGTCGTTTCATTACCCGTGCCTAGACGGCCGCCTGGACCATGGCCACACATGTACAGATTGGATACAGGGTCAGTAGTCAACACAGCGGTATGCAGTTTCGACATCCGCACGTCCTGAATGACTATTGGCGTATTGCGAATGTGAGTTGGAAGATCTACAGTACTGCGCGCTTGGAGAAGCCCGGAATCCTGCATGGGCGCGCCTGTCGCAGCCCAATACTGGTTCTGCCGCTCGCGGTGCTCCCTATAGAAACGCTGGAGGAGGTGATCCGGTCTGCGCAGAGTAATACGCTCCGGATATTGGCGGTCATCTTCGTCACCAAAACCAAGGGTGACGTTCTTGTTGCTGCCAAAAGTATACACTTCATCTCCCTCAAGAAGCACAGGTGGGGCAATGAGCTTCTTGCGCGTCTCGTCATCCACGTCGCCACTGTCTCCGTGAGCCATCTCGTCGTCCGAGTCAGAATCGAAGGCGGGCGCTTCTTCTGGTCGCAGTGTTCGATCCTTGATAGTCATAGAGAACAAGTCCAGGGGACCGTAACCTTCCTTGTCTTTAATCTTGACCAAACCCCGCGCATGCTGGTTGAACCCGCTGGAACCCTGACCGAGAATGTCCTGCGCATCGCGATTCAGAATGAGGCGTGCAATGGCGATGTTGCCAAAGTAAAAGGCCCTGTGGAGCGCAGTCCAGCCATTCTCCGCGTCTTGTATATACACGTCGGTCCACGGATGTTCCAGCAGTGCTTGCGCGAAGTCTACAGCGCTCTCCGCAGTAGATGACGCAGCGTGGTGCAGAATAGTCATGCCAGCTGCATCCCGGCTGTTGATATCAAACCGACTGAGATTCGCAGCCGCACCCATGCCCATCTTGCGGCCCTTGGCACTTGTTATCGGTGATGCATTGTAACTCCCCGGGCTGCCGTTCACTGCTGTGGCAAATCCTCCGCCCTGCCAGCCTGCGAAGCCTTTCTGTGTTGCCGGTCGGGCCGTATGCGTGGGGGTTGCGAGGACATGTCGAAAGTTGTCGACATCATCTTCGAGGTAGTATTTCCAGAGATAGCCGCTCATGTGCCGGTAGGAGGAGGAGCGATCCGAAGCTTTTACGAGTAGCACCTGGCCTCAACCTCAAGGGGTCAAAGCGTGTTTAAAGGTGCTGGCTGTAAAGCTGAGGACGTCTCCAGGTGAGGGGCCGAACGCGACTGGTCGGCGGTGTGAGACTGGGTGTGTCGTTGGCCTACGCGTGTTGGTGTGGAAGTGGGATGCGTGAGGAATGAGCAAGGTGGCAAGTCGTCAGAATGCGATTGTCGGTCGTCAGATCAGCGGGCAGGGGGTACAGTGTGGGGCATGTAGAGGATGTGTCGCGACGAGCTGCTTAGGCGATGTGTGCGTTTGTGTTTGCAGAGGGAGGCGCGAGTGGCGGGGCGCGAAATGGGTGTGGGTTGAGGTGCTAGGTATCTATGACGAAACTACCGAGGCGATAGTAGAGAGACGCTGAGTCGTTGTCGCGAGAGTCAAGATGAGTCAGAGTGAGTCTGCTATACTTCCTGAAGCTTCTGCAAATGCGAACGAGGGGTTAGTTATAGGTGGCAGCCGCGAATATGCTTCGGAGGTGCAACTGCGGGCGCAGTGTGGGATGGCCATGTCGAAGCCATGGGAATCAGCCAATGGCGTTCGTTCTCCTCTCCACAAGCTGTCGTCGGAGGTCGACATTGCTTCCAACGTAAGCCGTCTAGAGAAACTACAGTGGTGTATCATCGTGTCTCCAAAGTCATGAGACGTCCGACACCGGCTACGAGATGTAGATGGAGGACGCAGAGCTGGGGGCCGCCAGTGTTGCGCGATGACGGCGGGCGCGCCTATGCTATATACCACGCAGCTTTCTCCACTCTGACTGGCGGTGAACCTATACTACGTGACAAACACTCAACTCGGCGCATGTGGTCACCGTTCGGAGGGGCCTTTAGACTTTGGGTGCGCTCGAAGGTGAGACCTGAGTGCAAAAGTAACGTGAACTGCTGCAGGGCGGAAGCTAGCCTCTGAAGGCTACTCGGACCTAGCGAAGAGTTCACGACAAGGGAGCTGCAGAGAAGGTCCGAAGACGCGGCGTCAATCACATCATCGAGCAGTCCATGATACCATATCTTGACTGCCATGCATCGATGACCGTCTCTGAACGACGCGCCAAGGCCAGCCCGTGAATATCAAAAGCAAGTGATGGATGCCTCGCAGCGCATATGCGGCTGGACAGCCACAGGAGTCAATCCATCCATTCATGCATGGGACATAGGCAGCAGTAGATGTATCGTGCATTTGACGTGTAGTGTCCATAGTCGGAAGCAAGTACTGCGCAGACCCGCACTCGGACATGCAGGCTGCACCCTTGTGCGTAATGGATCGTTCTCATGCGCTTCCACGACGCTGCCTGTTCTCCAGCCCATGACATGATGATTTACGACGCGGAATCGCGTCTCACCGGCAACGCTATAGCACAGACGACGACGAGCAGATCTGGTGAGACCGGTCAGAGGTGCGAAAAGGTAAGGTGAGGCGTCGAACGGTGCTGCATAGCCGGGCTGGCTAGCCAATGACACAATTGGCGGCTGGGATGGCACGCGTTGCTGGCTACAGGCGAGCAGGATTGCGCATTCGCGAAAAGAATGGCGCACCCCAGACAGGCAGCGCAACCAAGGTGGATGGGAGGGTGGATAGGTGGATATGTATGCGCGCCTCGATCGGATGGTCTCGATTCGGAGGTGGTGGTGAAGGGCGCTAGCGCGGATCAAGCAGTGGCACTCGTCCATGCCAGCTCCCCCCATGTCTGCGTGAGCTCGCCGAAGCTTCCACATGTCGATGAGCACCTCCATCTTCCCCGGATTTGGCTCAAGTAAGAGTGATTTCCCTCGTCGACCCTCACAGTCGCTAGCTTCCTGCAGCTTCCGATAGCTTTATCTTGCCCGGCCGACTACTGCACAGGTGCTGCATCGTTTATCTCGTGGCCGGCCCTTGCCTGGAGCTTAGCTATCTTCCTCGCTCGTCATTCGAACATCGCCGCGTGACTGACTCCCAGCGCATGCGTCCCAACACTCTCTGACTGTTCCAACGCCATCGCCTGCCCTTTCACGCCTCCGTCTGGGCAAAGACTCATCGTCCGTGTCTAGCTGTCGTCCCACTGCTCTGCGCCCAAATACATCCTCGACCTTCCAGTCGGGTGCTCAGCTTAACTCCGCTGCATCGCCCCAGGCACACTTCACCCAACCTCAGGTTCCCACGCTGCAGACCATGGCTGCTGCCTGAGCCCTGCCTGCCCTCTGGACAAGTCCCCGCGTGCCCCAGTCTCCTGAGAGACATTTCTGACGGCTACTACGCGAACCTGACACTGGCTGCACTCGTGATGGCTACGCGCATTCATCCTCGCCTGTTTCCGCCGCTACCATAACCGTACTTGACACGCCCTCTGCCCTCGTCGCCAGGCCAGTCACGCCCTCTGCCCTTTTGTACCTGCAGGAGGCCGCCGCCGCCGCCATGCACCCATACTCGCGCCCCTCGCCGCGGACAGCCTCGCCCGCCAGCAACCTCCAAACCAACCCCGCCCGAACCAACAACCAGCGGCATAGCCAGGATATGACTGCCTACTCAACCACCCCGCCCTACAGCGACCGCGGTGCCGAAGAATCAGAAGGCGAGATGATGTCGAGGGGAGAGCCCTCGTCCGAGTCGGATCAGCGGCACTATCAAAAGGTCAACCAAGTCATCCAGGTACGTACCTCTAGTCTCGTCTGGCACTGGACGCATGCTAACCTCATCAGAACTTCTTCACCAAGTCAGCCCTTGCTGTGATATCATCTCGAGTCTCGCTCCCGCCCGGATACAACAAGGATGGCAAGTTGAAGCACAACAAGTGGGTATGTCATCTATAGATGATCCCGACCTTTGCACACCTTACTAACACGCCTCAGTTCAATGTCGTACTCCCCGATAGCGACGTGCTCCAACGCCAACTCACCGAGTGGAAACTCATGGATGCCATGGCCGGTCACCATCCATCGCTATGCATCGACATCTATCTGGACGTACAGGGACTCGGCCACAACCAGTCACTCGTTATACACGACGACGAGGGAAAGAGATGGGACGTTGCTGCAGCGCTGAACTCGGCGGATGCCGCCTCTCGATCGTCAGGCCGCACCGGCAAATCCACACAAATTGTGCTTGAGCGCTGGAGGGTGCACGTCGGAGACAAGAGCTCAATACAGCCATCAGAGCTCAACGATCCGCTTCCCAATGTATACAAAAAGGCCGTGGTCACATTCCGGTCGCTCTTCGCCTATCTACGCTTCATGCCCGCTTTCCGATACAACAAGGTCATTGCCAAGCAGCCTGCAAATGCACCCTCCCTAAAACTGAACTACCGCGTCTCAAATGGCGACTTCAGGAGTCCGCATGTCGATACTCTGAGTCTACCGCTCTATCCTACCGACGACAACGACAAGATTACAGAATTAAACACAATCGAGCCCACCAACTCGCCTGTAGGGCCTCTGTGTGTGACAGTCGAGTACCGCACCAACTGCGAGTTTAGTGTAGAGGACTCCGAGTCTCTGCTAAGCTCTCAGTTCATGGGCCTAGACGACACCTACTTTGAGCAAAGGACCCGCCAAATACCCGGATCGCTTCCTGTCAACAAGATGAATGCGCAAGAGAGCCCTGATATTGGACAAGCATACGGCAGTCTCTCAACCTTCCATCAAGTTGGTCCGCCTACAGGAACGAGCCCCATCTCAGCTCTCCGCGCAGCCCGAGATATGCCCTCGTCATCTCCAATGGAATCGCCGCCACAAAAACTGCCACCCAACCATCGCACTGCCCAAGGTTCCAAGTCCTCTTTACGCTCTGTAGACACACCACAGTATCAACGGCGGACTTCGGTCTCTTTCCAGCCATTCAAAGCCGGATCACTCTCATCGTCTCCAGCCCTTGGAAGCGCGGTGCCTCCGTCTCCCACCAGCTCGCTAGGAAGACCCGGTAGCTCACTAGGCCGGACTGCTACCCCAAATCCGCTCACCACACCACGCAATCGGACGTCGCTCAATGCGCTCCCACAGACGGCTCTTCGAGCACCTTCATTACCCAACGAAACTGTCGTCACTTCTTCTGCATCAAGCTCGCCAAAGCCTGCACCCATCAGCCGTTACAGCAGTAGCTTCGGCCATCGGAGGAGCAAGTTTTCCACAGGGGGTAACAGCAAAACGGAGGACGATAACCTAAGTAGCGGAAAGGGAAGCCTCTCCTCGTCGATGCAACGCGGATCTGATACATTGAACGAGGGCACCGGTGGTAGTTCGGGCGAAGTCAGGACCGACGATGAGAACATCTCGGACTTCCTGAAGCTTCTCGAGTCGAAGAAAGATCTCAAGAGCTTCACTCGGAGCGACCAATCTGCCAAAGCAGCGACTATGCACAAGACTACTGCTCAGCTCTCAAAGTATCAACGGATGCGGGAGTCCCACACTGGGCTGGCCGAATCGGTTTCCTCTTCGACGATGCTCCATCGATCGTCATCTTCCTCCAGCCGACACCTGTCCAGCGTTCCCGCCATGATTGCTGGTACATCTGTGTCAACAGCTTCTTCGCCCGGCAAACCTATCTCGCCACACACTCCACATACACCAGCCATCCCTTCTCGACTCAGCGCAAATAGTATCGCTGAATACGACCAGCCAATTCGAAGCCGAAGTCGACCTAGTCGGGGGACGCGCGAACATGACCCGATCAACGTAGAAGAGCAGAGCGAGAGCGAAGACCAGAACATGCATGCCATTGCCATACCGACATCACCACGCCCATGGCACTACGCTCGCCGATCAAGCTCCGTCTCCCAGCAAAGACAGACACTACCTGACGATGAACCAGACGTGTTCGGCGTCCGATCGGCCAGTCTGCCATCGGAGGAGGTCGACCGTACTAATGATCTGCATCGTCTGACCAGCGCAGGTCTTACTTCTAGTGGCCTTTTCGCGCAAACGGAGCTACTCGCTAGTGGCAATCGCGATGGCCAAAATCCCGATAACGATTCTCGTGACGAACTGCCCCAGCCGTCGTCAACGTCCAACATGCCTGCTAAGCGCGGCACCCCGGCTGGTGCACGCGGACGAGGCGGGTTCTTCTCGCATAGCTCTTCTACAAGCCTCAGCACAGGCGGCACAAGCTCGACTGAGCGTCAGAGCCGCTACAACTTCAACAGTCGCGCCGCAACCAACATCGACGACGACGAACCCTTGCTCTTCCAGATGAGCGAGATTGGTGCTGGAGGCTCCCGGCGCAGTCTCGAGGAAGCACGAGGCGGATCGAGCACCAACAGCGGAGGCAAGCGTGGATCGTACTTCCGCTGATCCATTTCATTCGACGTGACGCATCCAACATTTGCATTTCTCGACATCTATTTACATCTCTGTCATTGGCGTTCGTGGAACATGGAGTCGGATACCTTTACTGTCCCTTTAGCGCTGTTTATATACGTTGCGTATCTTCTTATCAGATTGAGTACCATGGCGGATGGATGGACCCGGCGTTTACAAATTAGGGTTTGCTTCTTGCTCACGGCCGGGAAGGACATCTAGCTCTCATGTAAGGAGTGGATTTTACATGTGATTGTCATCAGTCTTTGATGCTCAATGGCGCGGAGTTCTGGCATAGGGTACGGACATGGGTATGGGTATGATTCAGATCATCGAGTTAGCGCAGACGCCTTGATTGATCAATTGTTGCAGTATAAATGAATATGCTATCACTCCGCTCTATCGCACTTGCTTCATTCATGCCATTCAACTCGTGTATTCGTCTATGCGTGACATTATGTCATGTTATACATACTAATACAGCGCGTTTCTCAAACACGACTCTGTCTACGCCTTGGGCTTGACGCCCTTGTGGATTGCCGCAATCCCGTTGGTCAAATCCTCGTAACCCTTGCCCGGCACCAAAAACCCAGCGTCCCGGATCATGTTGCTGAATTCCGTCTGGCTGGGGAAGCGCGCGATGCTCTCCACAAGATACTGATAACTATCCCTATCTCCTGCGACCAACTGTCCAATCAATGGGATAGCACCGAAACTCCACCGCTGGTACACGGCGTCGAAAAGCGGGTTGTTCACTTTGCTAAACTCGAGACAGGCGAATACACCGCCAGGCTTCAGCACACGGAACGCTTCCTTGAGCGCAATCTCCTTGTGTGTGAAGTTGCGGATACCAAACGCCACGGTATACAGATCGACGCTAGACGAGGGGATCATGTCCAGTTTCTCAGCGTTCGCTTCTACAAAGTCGAGGCGCGGGGAGCGGGCGTAGGGAGTCTGCAAAGAGCGCTTGCGGCCTTCAGCGAGCATGTCTGGGTTTATGTCTGCGACGGTGACTTTGGTGTGGGCGTCGTGGTTGATGGACGAGGCGTGGTCGAGCATGCGGAAGGCGATGTCGCCGGTGCCGCCGGCTATGTCGAGGATGTTCATGCCCTGTTGCTTGTCACCGGAGGAGGTGAGGGGGTTGCGGCCTGGGTTTAGATTGCGGACGAAGTGGTCTTTCCAGAGGCGGTGGATTCCCAAGGACATGAAGTCGTTCATTGAGTCGTAGGACGAGGCGACGGAGGAGAAGACAGCGCCGACTGTTCCGTTAGCATTGCACTCTGTAGGTATCGCAGACATCAATTGCCTACCTCGCTGCTCCTTCAGGGCCTCGGATATCGTCTCAAAGCCAAAATGCGTCGTTTGCGGGCCATGCTGCGGAGACTTCGGGGGTGGCGTCTGCTGCGCCTGTCTCACAGAGCAGGAGAAACACCTATATGGCTCCCTCGCTACCCTCCTCTTACTTGCATCGAGCAGCTGGCGCCCTATTCTCTGCCGTGAAGCCTGCATGTTGCGACAGTCTGGTGTTGTCGATTGTCGGAATGGCTTGGCGTCGACTTTCTCGAATGCGCAATGACACGCGCATAGACGGCCGGGGGTGCGCTAGCGGCCGCTGGAGAGCAACCAAAGTACCGCGGCCAACATCGTGTTACGCCGACGCTTGCCGCCAATCCATCCTTCCCCAGAAATTGATATACCGCCCTCCCCGCACTCGTGAACATGTAGATTGTCAAAATGTCCTTCCGCTATACTTCGCGGATATTACGCTCACAGAGGCTTTGGCCGCGGAATGCTGCAAACACGCCATGGCAGACGTGTCGTGGTGTTGCCTCGACGCCTACGGCTGAGAGGTGTGTATGTCGTCTGGAGATTGTAGAGATGGAAGGCTGATGTCTCGCAGAGTTCTCTTCCCTGGGGCCCTGAACAGCGAGTTTACGAATACTATGGAGTTCATGCAACCCGCTCAAGCCCAGGCGATATCGACGTACCGCGTTATGAACCAGTATGGAGAAATCATAGACAAAGAGATTGGCGTAGAGACCACAGACGAGGAGGCTCTTGTGATTTACAAGAACATGGTCAAGCGTCAGTGAAGTTGCTCCTCAGTCCAAACACTATTGACGGTTGTAGTGAGCATAATGGATCTCCTCATGTTCGAAGCACAACGGCAAGGAAGACTGTCATTCTACATGGTGAGTCAAATACTAATCATGCATGAAGCGATATGCTGATGGAACAAGGTCTCCGCAGGCGAAGAAGGCATATCCATCGGCTCCGCGAGCGCCCTCTCTCCCGCCGACGTCATCTTCTGCCAATACCGTGAATCGGGCGTCTACCTCCAGCGCGGATTCACTCTCTCCTCGTTCATGAACCAACTCTTCGCGAATGCAAAGGATAATGGCCTCGGACGAAACATGCCCGTTCACTACGGAAGCAAAGAGCTCAACATCCACACCATCAGCTCAACACTGGCGACGCAAATACCCCATGCAGCAGGCGCCGCGTACGCGCTCAAGATGCAAAACATCCAGAACCCAGAAACCGCACCACGAGTAGCAGTATGTTACTTTGGCGAAGGCGCAGCCAGCGAGGGAGACTTCCATGCCGCCCTCAACATCGCAGCCACCCGCCAAGTACCCTGCATCTTCATCTGCCGCAACAACGGCTACGCCATCTCCACACCCACATCCGACCAATACCGCGGTGACGGAATCGCCTCCCGCGGCGCAGGCTATGGCATTGCTACCCTCCGCGTAGACGGCAACGACATCTTCGCTGTCCGCCGCGCAACAGCCGAAGCACGCCGGCTGGCTCTACACGACGGCGGCCGACCTGTGCTCATCGAAATGATGGCATACCGCGTCGGCCACCACAGCACATCAGACGACTCCTTTGCGTATCGCCAACGCGTCGAAGTCGAGGACTGGAAACGCCGCGACAACCCCATCACGCGACTTAGAAAGTGGCTTGAAGGCAAAGAACTGTGGGACGACGGTAAAGAGAAGGAACTTCGAAGCTCGACGAGGAAAGAGGTGCTGAGGGCGTTTGAGGAAGCGGAAAAGGAGAAGAAACCTAGTATCAAGAATGCGTTTGAGGGGGTGTGGGAGGAGTTGACTGAGGAGCAGAGAGGTCATGTTGAGGAATTGAAGGATATCTTGGTTAGGTATCCGAAGGAGTACGATCTTGGGTCATTTGAGGGTGGATTGAAGAGCCTGGATGATTTGCTTGAGAAGAAGTAGAATATAGATTCTCTGCTTGCATAGGCGGTGGTTTCTGGCATGCACAACTACCGCATCGTCCATTATGATTGCTGATGCTGCCAATATTCGAAATTTTCAGTGTGCCAGTTTGCATTCAGCTTGATTTTCAGTCATCACGTCCTTCGAGCCAACCAAGACATATCCCCAGCAGATCAATCATCCCTTATCTCGAAGAGAATATTGGGCACAGCACTCCAAGTCCGCTACATAGCCCTACCAACCCATCTCATCACACATTACAGATGTAGCACCAAGCCATCAAGGTACCCGAGCACGTGAAGCGGCAAACAGGCGGTCGCAGCTAGTTGAGCTTTGCACAACATGTTAAAAGCTGTGCGATGTGATGCATATGCACGTCACATTGATCAGGTTTGCAAAGAAAAGGATTAAATTGCGCGGGTATCTAGTGTCATCTGTGTTACGTAGCATCGACCAGCCAGTCGGGATCTGCGTCTTCGTCTTCGGGGTCTTCCATCATGAGCGAACCGGTCTCTGACGGGGACGAGGAGGGTGGAGAGGGCATTTCGGCGTCGGTTTTGGGGTCTGATACGAGCTCGGAGTCCCCATCCCGCTCCGCAGACATCTTCTCTGCTTGTTCTTCTGCGCTTGTTCCATTCGTGACTGGCGCTTCTTCGGGTATGAAACCTCCTGCGTCATCTGCAGGGCCGTCAAGCGGTGCAGTTCCCCCCTCCGACTTGACAGCATTTCCAGACGGGCCAGCCTCATCTGAGCCATCACGGACGAAGCCTCCGCCTTCTTCATCCTCGGAAGAGTAGATCTGTCCAAAGCTACTTCTACGCCGAGGGAGCAATTGTTGTGAGTCTAGGATTGAGCTTTCAAAGCTTTGATGTCGATTTAGACTGATGGGTGCTGCACGATCGCTCTCATCTGGTATGAAACCACCGCCGTCATCATCACCACCATCATTGTCCGGCAGGAACCCGCCGTCCCCGTAATCCTGCTCTGGTGGTTGGTAGCCACGAGCTGACGGCTCGGCAATATCTCCTTCGTCAGGGAAGAAGCCTCCTGCCATCTCCTGTGCTGCCAGCTCTTTGTCTTCTTTGCTGATCTCCTCTTGCACGTCGATAGCCGGGCCTCTTTCGCCATCAATCTCAATGGCATTGACCCGTTGTGCAATACGTAGACCGAGGAAGAAGCGTCGCCAAAGCCGTAGGGATTCAGTCCTGCGCGCTTCGGCTTCGGATTCTTCCTGCTGGTGCTCCATGCCGTCAATGGCCGCTTGCACAGCATCTGCATACTCTTGTGCGACTACAACACCTTGGATAATTGCAGTACCATGGCGACCCTTGAAGGAAAAGCCAGTCACTGCATCTGCAAAGTCTACACAGACGATACGCGCTGCTTTCGACGCGAGCTTATGTCGGATATGCGTACCGCCGGGTGGACACATGGATGGCACGTAGAGGTCAAGGTTCCCGTAGGCATTGCGCGGCACACGACCTCGGACAACTGGGGGAGGGACATAGAGCTCGGTCTGGAACTCTGCGAAGAGACCAGCGCCAACCTCATCAGCTTCTTCGTCGACATCCATGTCTGCGCCGATTGAAGATCTCCTTCCTTTCTTAGGCTTCGCACGCTTGAGTGGCTGTTCGCCAACTTTCACGTCTCGACCCATGCGATACCATTTATCCGCTGTCCGGACCAAGTGTACGTTTGTACGACGGTAGATAGGCTCCATCTTAGGATTCATAGCGCTGCCACAGTTGACTTTGCCGACCACGTTCAGGGGGTGTATCACCTCATTATGCTTGAGGTGTCGCTCGAGAACATAGACTGGATGTCCTCTGAAATCTTGCACGTTCTTCGGAATGCCTTCCGCTGCTTCCTTGCGCGCCAAAGTCGCGTCTTCCATTTGATCTCTGTCAAGAGTGGTCCTACGCTCGAAGAAGCTCATCGTACGTCGCCACCATCTGTTTCCATCAGGAGTACTTTCGACGCGGTACTTCCGCGTCTTGGCATTGTACGCTTTCGCGTATCTGCGTGTGACGTCCTTGGCGGTATAGTCTTCATCAAACGCTATCGCATAGGAAAGACTGTTTTGAGTAAAGCTCAGGGGCGGCTCTAGCTTCTCAGGCGAGTTGACAGTAAACGTTGAGTGCGTATCGATCGGTACCCACTTCTGGTAGGAAGGGTTAAGCACTTCGACCCAGTACACTGGATATGGCGTATGGTAGGCTTTCTGCTTCTTAGGCGTCACACCTGTTTTATTGAGGACGGCATGTCGCTCCCCCATCACACGTTCAAGTCTCGAGAGCTTCTTGTTACGCGGACCTTGCGACTTGGGCTTCGTCGGGCTTGGGTCTGCCGGCTTGTTGTACGGGTCGATGACTATGGTGTTCTTCTGAGCGCTCGGCTTTTGCGGCGTCGCTCGCTCGGCCGCAGAAGAAAAAGGCAGCGGCTGTAACGAGCATACAAGCCTAACCTCAATGCCAATGCCGCGGAGAAGGGCACAAAACAACTGCACCCCTACATCCTGTGAGCCCTGCAAAGTGTGTGCCGCTGTGCGAAACTCGTCCTTGTCCATCGGGTCATCAAGGTCGTCAAAGTCTGAGAACGGCCGGATAGCAGCTTCGGCTTCGGCCCATCTAGGCTTGTACATGCCTTGGGCCGTGATTCTGAACCGCTTCGACCACAGCACCTTGAGCTCGTTCATGCCATCTATGAAGTGTTTCGAGGCCGAGTACTGTGACAGGTCGGGATTCGGTACCAGGTTAGACAAGGTTTTGGAAGGCACAATCTTGCGTAGTGTGCTCTGCACTCTCCTGTCGTTACACCAGGCATTTCTGCGATGGACGTGGTAGAGCAGACAAAGAATGTGCATCTTATGTATATCGACGCGTCGCTTCTTTTCGACTGATGTTATCGCCCGCCGGCGTGCCTTTCTCCTGGTCCCCGTGTCCTCTGGCTTTTTGACTCCCATGGTGATAGATATGTCGCCAATCTGGGGCGCAGCTTCAACGCCTTCGTCAGGGTCGTCGGTATCGTCGCCGTCAGCAAGCGCGTCTTCCCACTCCATGTCACTGTCATCTGACTCGTCCGAGTCGATGATGGTCTGTCGCACTCGTTCGCTTATGTGTGCTTCTTCACTGATGGTGGATTGGGCTGGAGCAGTGGGCCGCGATGGCGTGTGCGACGGTATCTGGGAGCGTGATGGCGCAGGAGATGATGAGTCGGGAGCACCGGTAGCCAGTCCCCGCTGTCGTACTGACTCAGTGTGGTGCTCAGGGCTTTTTTCTCTTCGTGGAGGCGCCGTCTTCCTTTTCTTGAGCGGGGGTTCCTTCTCGTCTGCGCTGGTGGGTTTTGACGTCTGCTCTTGGCGCAGCATTTCCTGGAAGACGGCTGGCACGCCCTCGTCCTCCTGTGCCTTCTTTGCGCTCCGTGTCGATCGCCTTGGAGTAGCCGTTTCCGCGGGCTTTCGCGACCTTCCTCGTGCGCCCGCCATGTCTACTGTCACCTGTAGAGTTGGGGTAGTGAGTGTGGATGCGAGGACTGTGATATTTGCGGTCGAGAGCTACACAGCGCAACAACACTAGTCATGGCTACGACAAGCGGGGGTATAGATGCATGTAGTCCTGGCCGTTTGTGGGCGTGATGCCTTGCTGCGGTTCGGCATTGGAGCGGATGAATGCCAACACTGATGACGCAATCTTCGAAAAGCGCGCTATCACGTGTTGGGCCACTCATCCTCGCCAAGCTCACGCGTCGCTTGGTCGTGATGCTTCGGATCTGTACAACCCGACATCAATGATCCTGTAAATTAAAGGTACTCAGTGGACTCAACACTTACCTCTTCAAAGCTATATGCAATGACTACCTGCAGACTGGTACCCGAGCGCCATAAAGGTTACTACCATATAGAAATGGTAGCCTATCGTCCTTGCCCAGGCCTGTAGCACTTGTGCGCTTTGTGGAAAGTGTACCACAGCTGTCAGTATGATTGTGGGTATCAGCAGTCTACCGCTATTCAGGGTTATGATGATTCTCAAAGAGGCTTGATACAGAACTCTGTAGAAGAACGAGATATGCTGGTCATGGAGGGGTCCATTATTGGAGGCGTCTGTGTCTATGGGTACTACATGTCGTGGCTACCCTCTATATCACACCTTTGCCCCTGCCACATCCAGGAAGACACGTTTGCGAAGTGCCTACTGTCTTTTCACCTCTGGTTCGTATCTCTGAATCACACTATCAACGCAAACATCAACATCAGTATTAACACCGGGATCACATCTATCACTACGAGAATTACTCATCATGGAGATGTCTATGGTTACCGCTGTAAGTGGGCGTACTCTCCGCACCCGTCTCCGTGGAATCTATCCGACGGACAGTCAAGACCAGATAACAACATCACCCGCGCCCAATCCGCATGAGGACGAGTACCCGGTGCGAACACCGTATACTAGTTCTTCGTATTCTCGAGCTGAAGAGCCGGAGCCTATTACCTTTCCTACCAATGGGGTTCAATACACGAATCAAGCGCCAGGGTCACGACCAGAGAACACAGCTTCTTCACAAACAGAGCCCCAGCCTTGGAATCTAGCACCATCTAGAAAACGCTTCTGTAGTCCCTTATCTTCGGATAGTGAGATCGCTGCGACACCGCTGAACCTTGATGGAGCGCCAGATCTAGCATCCCGATCAGAAGCACCAAACCCACCGTGGGGAAATTGTCCTTTCCCCCACGTACAAACCAAGGAATATATACAGAATCCAGCACCAGTGGCTGAGCCTGCTCCGACACCGATGCCTGTTCCAAAGGCCAAGTTACATCATCGACCGCTTTGGGCAGTTTCCAGTTGCTGCTCAGCACGCCGAACCCATTCACCTCCAGCGACGACTCATAGCGAAGATGATCAGGTTTCTATCAAGGCAGAGAGGGACTCTAGTTTTGATGAACCGCATGACCACCATGACACTATGGGTACTTGCTGCTCGGAGTTGCATCACTCAAGTGCGGACTCTTCGCTAAAGAATCTAGGGGATACCACGATTTCTGGCGAACATGATGACCCTGAGCTCGGTCCTCCGAACTTTGAGCGTGTCGTTCTCCGAATCGATGGTCTCAAGTGTGGATGTTGTGAGTCGGGTCTTTTACGAATCGTTGGACGCGTTCCGAATATCAAGAACTTTCAGCTGAACACTGTACTTGCTCGAGTTGAGTTAGAGCTGGATACCAATCGTCTGTCGGTTAGCAAAGTTGTCAAGATGCTAGAAACCAGGACCGGATACAGATTCGAGGAGCAGGTGGTATCCGACGGTCAAGTCTTGGAAGTCATCGTCACCGACCCTAGGCGCATGCAGCACGCCGGCCGGCCAGATGGTGTCATGCGCCTTGAAGTTCCTGAACGAGCACCATGGCGTCCTTTCGCTGTGCTAAGTGGGCGCACCAGTACAGCTCTGAAGGAAACGACCGCGGACGACGCCGATGGAGATTGCGGAATTTCAAAGATCCGTGTACCACCGACCAAGATATACTATGATGCAGCCATGATAGGGGCCCGAGATGTTCTCAGGCACTATCGTCAATTTGACCCAGATCTACGCCTGGCGCCTATGGCCGCAGACCCAGGGCTTGACTTGGGAGCAAAGCAGACGATAAGAGCCCTGAAATGGTTTTTGCTGTCACTCATCTTCACAATCCCCGTCCTCGTATTTGCCTGGGCACCTGTCGGAAGACGCTCTAGAGGTCCTCCCAACTCAATCTATCTCCCCGGCTTACACACGTCCCTAGCGCTCGCCACTGTGGTGCAGATGATTGCCTTGAAAGAGTTTTTCCCAGGCGCAATGCGGTCACTTTACCACTCTCGCGTCTTCGAGATGGACTTCCTGATCGCATTCAGCACGACGATGGCCTACAGCTTTAGCGTCGCTTCTTACATCTTCCAAGTCAGAGGCAAGCCACTAGAGACGGGGTCATTCTTCGAGACATCTACTCTCCTGGTAACGCTGATCTTGCTGGGTCGTGTTAGTAGTGTATCACTTGCATGTGAGACAAAGACTGACACCTGCCTCTAGGCCATCAATGAGTTCGCCCGTTTCCGTGCCGCAAAGTCGGTATCATTCCGATCTCTTCAGGTTGACGAGGTGAGTCGAGCGTTCGACACAGGTGACACAAGCGCTGATTCCGCTCCTCACTTCTGCAGGTCACGCTTATTGCCCACCCGGAGGAGTCCAACTCTTGGACCAACGCCCCGACAACCAAGATTGACACTCGGCTACTCCAATACGGTGACTTTTTCACGATACCACCTCATACCAGGGTAGCCACGGATGGTGTTGTTGTGTACGGAGGCTCCAATGTTGATGAGTCGATGATAACTGGCGAGTTCAAGCCCAATGCGAAAGGTCTAGACTCCGAAGTCTTTGCCGGCACTAACAACGGGGATGGGTTCCTGGTGGCGAGGCTGACAAAGCTCCCTCATGAGAACTCTGTGCAGCGAATCGCAGCTTTGGTGGAAGACGCGGAATTGACAAAGCCGAGAGCACAAGCACTTGCAGACCGGGTCGCTGGTTGTTTTGTGCCTGTAATGGCCTCAATCGGGCTCACAGTCTTTCTCATCTGGCTCTTTGTCGACAAGTACCACGACAAGAAGAATTGGCGGAGTGCGGTACTGACAGCGATTACCTACGCTATCGCTACATTAATCGTGTCATGTCCTTGCGCTATCGGGCTCGCTGTGCCTATGGTTGTCCTGATCGCGAGTGGAGTAGCGGCACGATATGGTATCATCTTCAGAGACCCACAGAAACTCGAGATCGCGCGTAATGTTACGGATGTCGTCTTTGATAAAACCGGAACTATAACTACCGGAACGCTCAAGGTCGTTAATGTTCCCAGGTACCGTCATACAGACGACGCTCATACAAAGGGCCTGCTGATGGGCCTCTTGAAGGACATCAAGCACCCTGTGTCTATTGGGATCTCGAGTTGGCTGGCACAAGATAGGCTTGTCCACAAGGATTTCCAGCCTCTGGAGGTCACAAACATTATCAGTGTTCCCGGTCAAGGAGTCCAAGGCACATGCGCGAAGACAGGAGTTGAGATCCGAGCCGGGAACGCCGAGTGGCTGGATATTAACGTGATGGGTCCAGAGACCAACACGATGTGCTACTACACGTATGGCGGAGATCTTCGCGCCAGCTTCGAGCTGACGGACCACCCTCGCCCTGGAGCGGAAATGGTAATTCAGAAACTGCTAGCCAGAGGGATCAAAGTGCACATGCTGAGTGGCGACACTGCCGGCGCCGTTACTAGCATCGCCAACAGACTCTACATTCCTGAGGGAAATACCAAGGCATGCTGCAAGCCGGAAGGCAAGATGAACTACGTACGCGACCTTCAAACACCTGGCAAGGTCGTCATGTTCGTGGGCGACGGTACGAACGACTCTGTGGCGCTCAAGCAGGCCCATGTCGGCGTTCACCTCAACCAAGGCTCAGACATCGCGAAGAGCGCGGCTGACGTAGTCCTTATGACCACGCGCCTCCACGATATTCTGATCCTACTCGACATCTCCTTTGCTGCATACCGACGTATACTTCTGAACTTCAGCTGGTCGGCCTTGTACAATGTAGTCGCCATCCTCCTTGCAGCTGGCGCGCTCGTCAAGGTAGGCGACCAAATCAGGATCAAACCGCAGTGGGCTGGGCTGGGTGAGCTCGTCAGCGTCTTGCCCGTTGTCCTGACTGCATTCCAGATGCGATGGCGGGACTATGGCAAGAATTACAGGATGATCGAGGCGGAGTATCAGAAGGTTGAGGCGCCCAAACGAGAGCGTCGTATACGTACGCGTGGTAGCTCTTCGGCTGATGGCACCGGTTGCTGTGAGATTCCAACGACGAGGTTGGCGCAGGTTGATGCTTTTACGAGGAGAAATGACAGGAGTAGGCTTCGGAGATTCCTTTTGGGGAGTGCGTTATGAGGATGTTTCTTGATGTATTTGTATTTTGCTTTTTGCGGCATTATGAGCATAGCGTAGAATGGACTGCCCCAAATCTTTCTCCACAAAGCCTATCCTTGATGACATGTGGTTCTCGCGACTCGAGCTCAACCTGAGGGCAAATGTTGTTACTAACTCTATTCGTTGCAACCTGTACAACTATATACCTCGGGGGTGAATCCGTAACAGCAGAAAAAATTAGATAACACGAGCTTCTTCATGATCCCACTCCCTCTTCCAATGCCTCCTTTCGTGCACCGATTTCGGGGTGCTCGTTCTCACTTCGTGATCAGTCTTGCCGTTGCTACAGGTCGTTGTTTGGGTTTGCTCAATGCAGGTGAATCTTGACGACGTGGTCGTCCCGATTCGGCGGAACGCCTTCTCCATCCATTAAGTCGTGCACATATGTGTCTCCGACGAGTGTGTAGTGGCCTTTGGGCGCATCCGGGACAGTTCGGAGGCAGAACGGTACGCTTCCTCCTAATAATATCGCTATCTTTTCACCGGGAAGCATCTGCGGTGGACCCAGTCCCATATGGCCATCTTGTGTGATAAAGAATCTTCTATGCCAGCTTTCGTGGACCCAAGAAGTTTTAAAGGCGTCGATACGGTCGAAATGATCGTTGCATTTGGTGCTTTCCATTTTGCTGCCTACCACTTCGGACTCAATATAACCCAAAAATCCCGCCGCCAAGGCAGCAACATCTACATCCCCAAATCTCCGTAAGGTTCCTCCGTAAGCTTTCTCTTCCCCTGTTACAGTATCGTTGGATAGGTGCAATACACAGCAATCGCCGGTAGTCGTTCTCCAGAATACCTCTTCTCTTCTCTTCTTTTCAGGATACAGGAGTCGTGTTTGTTGGTCAACTTCGACCATTTGCTGGCATGCGTTTATGGCATTGATAACAGCTTGCCAAGACCTCGGGCCATCAAACACTAATGGTCCTACTTGAGAAACTGCATGTGATGGCTCAAAAGCATCTATCAAAAGGATGTCGTCTTCTCTCACAATTTTGGCCTTGGTATCGCCTGCCGCACTGTACATGGTTGACTGAAGGAACCTATGATGCGCTGTAGATGTGTCGAGCTGGGACATAGGGCTCGTCTCGAGAACCCAAGAAGGTACTCCGAGGGTTGGAGGCATACTCATACCTATCAGGGCTTTCATTGAACTGGCACCTTGAATATCCCTGATGGTCGCCTGGATGAAGACTTCTTTGGGTGATAGATTATAGTCGGGAACAGTGGGAGGATTTCCCTGCCAATCCGTTACTAGCCCAAGTATGGCAAACACTTTATCTCTGACATCTGTCGCAACAAACGTACTTGTTCGACGCATGATTACAACTAAACTCAACTTCTTCCCTTGCTGTCTGATTTTCTTCAAAAATCCCACACCGTTGTTGATGGCGATCTCTAGTGAAATCATAATGACCCTCTGGCGGAATGGTAGCGACAACCGTGTGACCTTGCAGCATTGGCTGTGATGTGCAAAACTGTAGTCGACTGAATTCGTGATTACTGTCCACGGGATAGTAATATTGCAATAAACCACATTCGCGTGGCGAGCGAGAACAGTCTCCTGAATAACCCAAATTCTCGTCCACCAAGGGTTAAATTGCAACGTCTTTGCAGCTCGAATGACTGCAGCCCATGCTTGCTTGGCACGTAGTCTATTCTCCCTCAGGGTAAAGAACGGTATCTCATACAAGTGCTTGTCCATAGCACGGATTACCAAGTACACGAAGAGTCCGAGTACGTCTTCTGTCTCTGTGTCTTCGTCGTTATATTGGCTCACAGACTGGGTTCGCTCGAAGTAGGCATCAACAATCTCCATGTCGCTGTCGTCTCCGGTGAAATGAACAACATTCGGTCGTTGCAAAGGAGCTTGTGGCTCGCGTCCGTAACCCAGCCAGATGAAAACTTCCTCCGCAGAACTATATATCTCGCCCATGAGTCGAACCTGTTCAGATCGCTCGTTTACATCCGACTGGTTGATGCACGCTGCATCTGCGTAGATGATCAAAGTTTCATCCGTCTTGCGCAGTCGCTGGAGCCCGTTGCGTAAGTTTCGTGTAATAGCCAGCGGCTCGCCATCAATAGTGATCGGCAATGTAATATTTGGATCACCCCAGACATATGAGATGGCGTAAAACCTTGGATTGTCGTCGAGTGAGACCGTTTCCAGGTGGCATTCGAGGTCGTCGTTCCAGGCACCTGAGTGAACATGAAGTAGACGTATCTCTTTCCGGAGGGCGTCGAGTGGGGAATACATCTTCCGTGCAGCGCTTCACAGTAGTTCGCGAGAGCGTGCATGAGGTAAATGTCGCTGTGCTGGTGGGCTGACGAGCTCCGTTCGCTACCTGCAGGTTGCATGTGAGTGGACCAATCGCCCGGGATACCTTCTTGGACTGTCCTGGACATGCAGCCGAACAGACAGCGCACATTCATCACTTCAACGAAATCAAGCAATTCAATGTAGCAGAACAAAGGTGTATATTCCGTAGCCGTCATAAACGTCATCGTTATATAGCCGTACGGCCAGAACCATCATGTGATCTTCTTCATACATCTTTGTTCTTGCTCAATCATCATTCAAACAGCTGGCTACCATAAAGGAAAAGGTCATCATCATAATATATGAGAGCAATTTCGTAGAGAACAAAGTGCCAACCCAGGATCAAGGACAAGTGTTGCCGATCCGAAAAGCAATAAGAGGAATAGGTTTTCGCTAAAACGCTTCAATGCCGTCGCTATGCAGACCCGCCGGGTAAGAAGAGGAAGAGGGAAACGAAAGGCGCCGGGGTATGGTGGTCGTTACATATCCCAGACTGTTCGATAACGCGATGGAAAGCAGGTAGCCGGTCCCAAAAGAGATATAACGTCATGGGTCATCGGCCAGGCCGTAAGGTTCGTGAAGGATGCAGGTTCGTAGGAATCGTGGTATCGCTGAGCTTGGGCTCTTCAAATCTTTTGGTTCGATGCGCTCGTCGTCATGTTTTGGTATCGTTGTTGCTTGGTACACGGTTTTCATACCGTACAAAGTGTAGTCTATCAATATGTTCTTACACTCTATATCCCGCCTCTTGAAGACAACCCGAGCATCTCTCGTAAGCACGAACATAACCACGGCCGCAATAGCATGCCGAGGTTCCCGAAGGGGCCACAGAGGCTTTGCTGGGTCGTCGGCCTCCTGCCTGTGCGGCATCGAGGCCGCAATCAGAGTTCCTTGGGCTGGTGTTGCCACTGGTGGTACTGGAGCTGTCGTAATCGTTGGATGAGGAAGTGTTCCGTCGGCCTGCTCCTATCGGTGTCGGCAGTCCCTGGGCACCCTGGCCGGGCCGTTGTCCTGGGTACATTCCATCGTTTACCGAAAAGTTGCGGCAGATCATGTAGGCTCGAGTGGCGGCGGCGTTCTTGGCTAGCTCTTCGCTCTCGTACTCCACGTCAGTCGAGTACTCTCGGTTGTTCACTCTGACGGTTGACCCATATCCATAGCGTGTTCGGTAGGTTTGGAAAAGTGGGTCGGGCCAGTGGCGCCTTTGGCATAGGCCTATATCCGAGAGTCAGCAACCAGTTCGCTCGTCAGTCTGCTCCCATGCAGCAATCTCGTGGATGACATGTTTTCCGGGTCCCTATCGTGTGGGTCTTCTACACTAGACAGGGCTGCAACCCATGCGTCTTACGCCAGCGGGTAGCTAGACAAGATCCTCATATGACTTGATTGATATCCGACTATATGGTACCATGTGTCTAAAAAGAAAAAGAGTTCTTTGTTACTAACCTGTCAGGTACATAACGTAGAACATGTTGATGTGTCCGGATGTGATTATTGACGTGTAATTGAGCGATTGGAACGACAGACGGCGCTTCGAGGGTGAGCTGTCAGTCTGAAAGCAGAACTACTGCTGCGGAGTATATCTGAATTGGCAAGCGTTCGTTGGTGGCGACGATAGTAGGCCGAGAGAGGTGTTCGTGGCAGTGGTTGTACGACAGTTGTTACTTTTGGGGTGTGGTTGACAGTTGCCAATAAAGGATTGACAGCTGTACAAAAGAGATAGAAAGCGTTGATGTATGAAGAGCAAGGAAGAGGGAGCGGCTTGCAGTCAGTCGGACGGGGATGGGGGGAGCATATGTGCCTACTGTGGGATCCAGCAATATATTGCAGCAGGCGAGTGTAGCATGTATCCAAGCGCGTCTCGCCCGCCAGTAAAAACCGAGGGGCAATTGGGCTTGTGGAAATGAATAATCTGCGGGTCTTGTTGCGGCTCTGAATGAGGGAGACCCATAGTATGTGCTGGCGGGCAAGTAGCCAACGGTAGAGGTTCCAGAATTTTAGCTAGCAAGAGACTCAAACCTCAAAAGGTACAGTCTGACCGGTTCGCTCTTGCCACCGTGCTGCGCGCAGTAGCGCTGTAAAAAAACGGCTGGCGATCGGAGACAATTGCTGTAACCCGTTTTCTCAAGGCTGGACATGTCTCGATCGGCATTGTGCATGTTTAGACGCCTGAGAGGGACGCATCAACAACGAGGTGGCCAGCGTGCGTCCTAACAGCGCTCTTTGCTCGTATCTCCCGGATGCAATGGGCCCACTAATGCAATATGCAAATGAGGGGAGAACGCAAGTACGTCAGACTCTGCACCCTTTGTCAAGTGTACCGATACCATGAAATCTTGGCGACAGAATGCGTGATACCCGCGGATGATTTTGAGGGGCAGGGTCTGAAAGGGATCAGAGACCAGGCCAAACATGCAGCATAAAAATGGGACTGCTAATCGACTAGGGTACCAACCGCCAGAGTCGCGACTGGAGGGGGGTTAGACACGATTGTGTGACTGCAAGACGATGCAAAGCATAGTGGCTCGAAGCGAGCATGCGTCACAACAGGCATAGCATGGAGCTATCCGGCAGCCCCAGGGGCGAACGCAAGATGGTGATTGATGCGTTCGAGGGTTCGAGGAGATACCTGGGGTTGGTGTTACCAGAAAGCATCAAGCGTCACTGCCAACGCATACATGCAGAAAGCACGGTCCTTGGAATATCGCTACTTGGAAACGCGCCTACAGCTCAAATGGGAAAGGGTCAACGGCTGTTAGCTGTAAGTTAGCTGTAAGCCGTGTGCATGCAGGCATAAATTGGCTGTTGCGGAGACTGTCTGAGCGCGTTTGCAAACGTGGTGGAGTAGAGCTGGCGAGGCGATGATTGACGAGTGAAGGACTGCTGGAGGGGCCAGGCGTTCCTGCGCAAACGATCCCGGTCCATCGAGAGATGAAGAGTTCAGACCTGGGACCCTGGTGGTAAGGCATCAAAGGCTCCACTTGCCCAATGTCAACACGACGAACATGGGCTGCCAAGCTCAACACGAACAGGTCTGGAGAATTTTTCGACCTTGACACAAAGAGGATCATGCATCGGGCGGCTGCAGAGTGTCCTCGACAATTGACCTGCCGAAGTGGATAGCATCAGGACAAAGGTTGAGGGTGCACAGAGCAAGTCGTCGTGGAGCGGACGCAAAATTCGGATGATTCGATAGGCTGGCGCGGTTCACGACAGGCAGCGGTGCATGGCTAGGTCCCAGGTCCCAGTGACGACCGCTTTTGTCTGGCGCCGATCCAAGATGGTGGTTGATACATGGAGCGGGACGATGGCGCTTGTGAATAGCGGCAACGAAGCGCAAGGAGCCGCCACTGGCATAGTAGACAAAGAATAGTGTTTAAAGTCGGGCGAGCGCGTCCACGGCCATCTGAATCTGAGCGGAGATGTCGAACGAGCTTCAGAACTATGTTGCACGCGCGGGAGATCTGTGGATGACGCGAGCGCGCCAGCACGGCCACCCGCCCCAAGCTGCAAAACAGGCGGTGAAGAAGAAGCCAGCGCTGTCAACCATGCGCCCCTCTTTCTGCGCAGTAATCTTTGACACTACGCATTAGCAAGAATCGCATTTCTTTGACTTGTTCGACAGCGCGAGGGCGGCCATCTGGACCGCAGAGTGTCGCTGGAGGCGTCATGTCGTGGACATGTCGTCTTCGAATCGGCCTGATTCCATCCACGGGCTACTGAAGACCCACATGTTCGAGCCCTTTCCAACCAAGAGCATACTCACCCTCCTGTTCAGCCTCGCGCGGTAAGACGTGGTGCTACAGCCGGATGTGTGCAGGGTAATCTAGAGGGGCCGGGTTTCGACGTCCATTACCGAGCTTGATGGGACACGACGCTCCGTCCCGAACCTCCGAATCTGTTATTGCACCTCTCAGGGTCCATTCGCATTACACAAGTCGAGGTGCGGTAGGCCAGTTCTTTACGCTCATGTGTGACGTCCAGCAGGAGATGTTGACCGGCACCGGATAGCGGTCTACTCACGACGCAAGAACATGCCTAGTGACCGCTCTCTGTAGTGACCGCTCGTCTCTCCAGCCAGTCATATTCGAATTATACTTCAAGCCTGGCTGCGTAGATGCAGCCCACCACGACTACTCGTCATACGCGGGGTCAACGGTCGTGCCCACACCATCTACCGGATACGGCACCTACAAAAAAGCAAATGTAATTAGAGCGGACACAGAAAATGTACTACGACTCGATCCACCTACACTGTGCAAAGTGTAGGGGAACCGACGTTGACGTTGACGTTTCATATGGCTCTCCGCCTACTCCGGAAGTCCGACAGTGAGCGGTAATATAACATCTTGAGCAGCTTCATATATAAGATAACCACTCGTCCAATAATCTCGACCATACAAACGTCTACTGAACTTGCATTCAAGCCACAAAAAACAATCTATCAAAATGCCCAAGATCGTCCGCCTCACGCTCTTCAAGATCCCCGACCAAGACCTGGTCAAGGAAGCCATCCAGATGTACAACACTCTGGCCCAGGACGCGAAAAAGGTACGTCAAAGCATGACCTGACCGCCCAGTTCTCTTTCCTCTTCCAGAACTACGTACATACCCGCTGTTAGACGGTCATGGCCAGCACATGTAGAACGTGCCACTCGTGCATAGCGCGCCTGCACGTCGGACCATCTCGTCACCTCGGAACCCCAGATTATTCTAATCGCCCTCGGGCTATTTTCTGCCTCTCGATAAGACGAGGCGGACGATGGCGTCAACCCTCTTGAGCGCGCGGAGCAATGTCCCTGGCGGGTAACCGCTGGGAATATTGCCGCGGCTAGGAGAAATGGGGTGGGGGTGACGAGGCGGCTGCAGCTGCTCGATGCGCGGAAACAACTCCGTCGCGACGCACACATGGGACGCCTAGAATATCCCTCACCATGGAACAGCGCTAGAGATATACCGACAGCATCCGCGCCGACACTCCCCCGAGGCTGTGTTGTTATCGCAAGAGGCATGCTAACGTCATGTTTGTACAGGACGGCAAGAACTACATCCAGCTCGCGCAGGCCAACGCCACCTACGACGACCAGCGCAGCCAGGGCTACACACTACTCGCCCGTTGCATATTCGAGTCCAAGGAGGACATGGACTTTTACGACAACCAGGATGAGGCCCATGCTAAGATCAAGGCGCATTTCAAGCCAAAGGTCAACTCACCGCCGCTGGTCATCTACTCGGACATGTCGTGAGATCTGAGATGGGATTGAGCACGTAGCGGAAGTCAATGAGTAATAATCTCAGTTTCATCAGAGTGATTCAGAGTGATTTTGAGCTTGACAGGTGGCATACCTAATGGTTGAGCCGATCTTGGGTGCTGGCGGCATGTTTTCACAGCATATCACAACGGCCAGGAATGATGCACGCACCTTTACAGAAGATGGTTGTGCTGTCTTGATGAATATTACAGGATCTACCTACAGTTCAGTCACTGAATCCGCCTTTGTCTCGCCTAACACCTTTGTTCGGAAATATGTTGGTTCACGACTTTCTGAACAGCATCGCCTTTGGACTTGCAGTCTTTGAGGGAGTGACCACTATTGAGAGTAGACGTCAGCTGCGACTGAAACATTTAATGTACTGTTCATTGACCAAGACAGAACCATATCCACAAAGCTTAGAACGATGCCTTGGTCGAAAGAACGCACTTCTTTATCCAGGCCAAAGAAACCAGATCCCACCATTGTTTGAAAACACATGTGTATCAATCACGAACAACGCATCTCAATACAACTGTAAGTATAACCATCGACTGCCTGTCATCTAATAGCGCTTGAATCCCATACTATATATTGTCTACTTCTTGACAGTCCCTGGTCAAACAACCACTCCAACCAAAGCTACAACTTCAATCATGGGTGGATGCAAAACTACTACTCCCCACATATGGGGACAATATAGCGACTCGGAGGAGACGGTAGACACACAAGTACCACAAGAACCAACAGAGCACACCTACGCTCCCGGGGTGATGCCAGAATGGTGGAACTCTACCTCTCCTCTATCATCCCCACCATCGTCACACTACTCGCTTGCTCCATCCCCTCCACCCACTGCGGTTCGAACACGCGGCAGCCGATCCCGCACGCCAGCACCAACGCGCAACAGCAAGGCCCGGAAGTGTTTATATGTACCCAAGAAGAAAGACCACTTTGAACATCCCCCACAAGACACAACGTCGTCTTTCTACTGGCCCGAGGATGCGGAAGGTGACACTGAAGCAGACACTGAAGCAGATACAGACGACGCGAAAGATGATTCAGAAGGGCCATCATCGCCCGCGTTGTCAGCGTCGTCAGGATTGTCCGATAAGGATACAGAATCACCCCCTACATCTCCCATCGTCAAGACTCCAACACCTAAAAAGGACAAGAAAGGGAAAAAGGACAAGGCATCGCCAGTAAAGTCCAAGCCAACCCACAAAACCACGGTAGGCGGCAGGATCAAGAAGAACAAGACACCGCCAGTAAAGTCCAAACCAACACATAAGACCCCAAGACAACTCAGGCTCGAGGAGGCAAGCGCTTTGGTCAAAGTGCAGTGCAACGGTCGGACGAAGAAGAACGCCCAGTGCGGGCACCAGAAGACTATGGAAAGGGGTGAGACGTGGAACTGCGGTCGCCACAAGCAGTGAATCAGGTACGATAGCTTGTTGAGTGAGTCAGGTCGAGGTAGCTTATTGTTGAATCATGTGTACCATAGCTTGTTGTTTCAATCGTTCTTTGCATTCATACTTGAAGTACAACATGTGCTTCTTCGCCTTTTCCAAATTCCATCCATCGCTAAACCCAAGAGACCAAAGCATCCCAACCCAGCCCAGACGCTTTTCGTTCGTAAATCACCCCATGCTAAAAAGTGGAGAGACGCCCGTGGAAACACCGCAAATCTATATGCCGGTGGTATGCAGAATATACAAGAAGATACACGTTATTAAAAGGTGTAGAGGATTGCGTCGACATTGTCCGATCGGGTATCTCGCGTTTACATGATGATCGAAGGAGCTGTACATGTTAGTGACGGTAGCCAGAATAGGTAAATGGTTGCTTACTGTCAACATTCTGCTTGATGGACTTGTGGGGCAGGACGGAACCGCCGTTGACGTAGACCTCGTCGCCAATGGTAACGTCGTCACCAAGAACTGTTATGTTCTCGAGACGCGCCCACTTGCCGACGGTGCTGTTCCAGCCAACAATAGACGACTTGACCCAGGCGTGGTCCTTGACACGGCTGTTCTTGAGCAACACACAGCGTTGCAGACGGACACCGTCGCCAATGACAACATCCGGGCCAATGGTGACATTGGGACCGATGCGGCAGTTCTTGCCAATCTTGGCCGAGGGGTCGATCAGGACGTTGCCGCCGTAGACGTATGGCTCAGAGGCTGGTGTGAGCAGCTTGGCGTTCCTGCGCGCCAGGGACGAGAGGTAGAGACAGGTGCCGGACAAGAAGTCCTTGGGCTGTCCAACGTCCATCCAGAAGCCCTCGAGATCAAACGAGTGCAGCAGGCCGTCCTTGACAATGGCGGGGAAAGTCTCCTGCTCGATCGAGGTCGGGCGGAGCTCAATGCGCTTGAGCACGCTGGTGTTCATAATGTAGATGCCGGCGTTGATGCGGTTGCCGACGAACTCGACGGGCTTCTCGACGAAACGGTCAATCTTGGAGGCGTGGCCAGGCTTGTGGACTACGACACCGTACTTGGACGGCTCCTCGACCTTTGTGACGACAATGGTGCCCTCGTCGCCGTGCTGCTTGTGGAACTCGGCGAGCTGCTTGAAGGGGTAGTCGCATGTGACGTCGGCGTTGAGGACGAAGAAGGGCGAGTCGTCCTTGCCGAGGACGTTCTCAGCGAGCTTGAGGGGGCCGGCGGTGCCGAGGGGCTCGGTCTCGACGGAGAATGTGATGGTGACGCCGTATTGCTTCTCGTACTGCGCAGCGGGTTATTATGTGTTCTGCTTCGCAATTCAACGGGTATACTGACGGTCTTGAGCGCCTCGGCCATGATCTCCGGGCGGTAGTTGACTGCCAGGACAACATCTGTGACGCCAGCATCGGCAAGGGCCTCGATCTGGTGCTGGATCATGGGCTTGTTCGCGAACTCGACGAGCGGCTTGGGGTAGGTGAGGGTCTGCGATGGCGTCAGTTCTGCCATTGCTTTTGGCAGCGAGGGAGACATACGAGAGGCCTCAGACGGGTGCCGAACCCTCCGACGAGAATGATGGCTGCATTGGCTGTTAGCGGCATGTCTTTGGAGCGCAATTGAGTGCGTACCTTTCATGTTGGGTGTTGGGTGAGAAGTGACAAGGTAGAGGTGCAAGCGAGGAAGATTGTAGGGCAGTACAAGAAGAAGCAACACCAGCAGTGTGAGAGCGCAGGTCAAAGTCAAGGAGCTCGGTGGTGAGGCCAGCTGTAGGTTATATGGGTTACTTCGCGTCCACAATTAGCGGAGCTAATGCTCCCTGGCTTCTAGCTCCCTGGTTTCCCCTTTCTTCACCCACCGCATGCGCAACCCCTCGGCCGCTACCCTCGTTAAACTGTCCTAACGTCCTCAGCCCTTGCAGCCACTGTGGCCAGATGCCCCGTTCCTGATCGCTCAGCCTATCCGCTTCTAATTCTAGCATCGTGTTACTGCATCTAGCCAGACTAGCATCGTATAACATGCACTGGCTGCCATCATCACGAGGTGGATTGCAAGCACCCGCCCGTTTCATTTCTCGTCACTCTGCCGCAGTTTTATGGCCCTCCACCACGTGCCTACAACGCCGTGAAATTGAGGCGTCGGACCTTCAGAATCTTTTGATCACGCCTCGGTCCCCACGGCGGTCGGAAGCTATCCGCGCCCCTGGAACCAGCGGGATGTGGCTAGCTGTGGCTGACCGCCGGCTTTCTGGGGACACGACCAAGCTTTTGACAAACGCCAATCCGCCTGTCACCGTCAATGCTGGTGCACATGATCATTGTAGATCTGTCCACATCCACGGTACTCCCAATCGGCCCCTCAGAGTTACTTCACGATGTTGTTGCTGTAAATCAGTGGCTATGCGACGCGCGTCGTATTCCGTGGCGAGATTGACACACGATCATGCGCCCACGGGTGCTTACGCAGCGGCGGATACGATAGATAAAATAGAACACCACTTCTTCCAACCACTCAACATTACTCGCGAGCTATTGCTGTGATGCGTTGCCTTGTTTGAGGGCGACATTGGCTGCTAGCGGGACTCCCCTCGGCCATTACGACCATGGGCGTGGAATACCGAGTACCAGACTCTGTTCCCCCGCATCATCAGATTTCAGTTCCGGATTGATATCCGAAGGTTCTTTTTAGAATTAACATCATTAGTATACTTTGACAACATCTTATGCTAATATCCTATCATACAGTATCCAACAAAAAGCACCCTCAAACTCCCAGACATCCAGTATATACAAAGAGCAATGCCTCCATAACTCAACTCCGCTTGCGGAAGCTCATCGACCTCAAAGCGTCGCCTACGCTACTGCCCCGCTTAAACATACCCGGTCTCTTGCCCGGCCCACCTGTAGGGCTCCGGTCCTCTGGAGAAAGAGACATGTGCGAGGTTCTGTTACCCCCCGTGGGCGACGTGTGCGCCTTGGTCGGTGTCTGGACAGAAGCATCGCCAAACACATACTCCCGGGCGAAGATCCAGTTCCCGCGCTCATACCTCCACAGGTCCAGCCCCACAGCTCTCCCCTCCTGGTTGCTCTCGCTCAACTCCTGTCTGATTGTCGCAAAGGCTCCGTCAACCTTTTGCTCGTCATCGACTTTGTTCATGACCGTCCAGTGAGGTCGGAAGCCACCAGCGTCCTGCTCGCTGAGGAAGGCGGACCACTGTGACTGCAAATCTCCATGCACGTCTTTCATCTTCTTGTACCCTTCGTCCACGTTGATGCCAACGCCCTTGCGCATCCGGAACGGTTTGCCCGTCGATACGTCAAACGGCTTCATACTGGTCGCCGTCTGCGAGAGCCCCTGTTCCAGCGCATCCATATGCGAATGCGGCAACGCATGGAAGAGCGTCAAATGCGCCCCAGTGCGATTCAAGTGCTTTGGAAAATACCGATTCCGCATCTCGTCCATGGGTTTAGCCAGGGAGTCTGTAAGTTTGAGCGTAAGGACGTAGACCTGTTCGTCCTGGCTCGCCGTGTTCGGCCTATGCTCCTGCCTAGGGTAGTGACCTGAGGGCCGGCTTTCTTCCACGACATAGGGTTCGTTGTTAGCTTGCTTTGGGCTAGTTTTTCCTTCTTTCTTGGTGCTCCAGCCGCGGAAACTCGTCTTTGCGCGGATGCCGGCTCCAGGTCGTTGGGGTTTCTTGGTCTGCTCTTGCTGCTGCGTCTGCGCTGCCTCAAAAGATGCGCGTAGATCCGGGTCTGAACAGGCTCGGGCTTGGATTTGAGGCTGCCGGACCCCACCGTTGGGTGTGCTGACGGCGGCGGCGTAGGTGACTGCCATTGTGCTGAAGCGTGGCGCTGTTGCTGATGTGATACCGTGGAACGGTCCTGGTGCGAGAGATTGGCCGAGTTGCCTGAGGACAGCAATCCTCATTGAAAGGGGATGTGGCTGGTGAGTACTGACCTCATGTGCAGCCGGCCCCTTGAAGATGTTCTACGGAACTTCGGAAGATCCATACGTCACTGAACGGCCGCTAGTGATGCGCCCGCGCTATGTGGAGATGTCTGTCTGATCAAGCATCGGGTTAGGGGTCAAACATCCTCGTGACTGCGGCAGATGTCATTGTAGGCTTCCAAATGTGTTTAGCAGTGATTGTAGATGTGAGTTGTATGTCAATTGATATTCATAGCTCGTCATGTTCCTTCATGTTGCGATGATCCACAATTCTAGGTTCTACAGACCGGCTGTGTGTTGATATCCAATACTCCAACTTCATTTTTCGACAGTATCAAGCACCTAGATTAGTGTCTGCTGATGATGGGCCATCTTCCAGCCGCCTGTCGCGCCATCTGTAGGCCCCTCCAGCACCCACGCGCTCGAACATATAGCCCTAAACGTCTCGCTGTCTCTCGTCGCTTCTACGCGATAATAGATCAAAGCGCTGTCCTTGCCCAGTATGACCACCTCGTCATGACTGAGTTTGTACGACTTCCAGGGCTTGAAATCGGGGCCTTGCAGCATTGCATGGACTGTTGGAGAGGACACCGAAGTAAGGATGAGGTCACCCGGAAAGATCATGACTGGATTGCTCGAGAGAAGCGGGACGAGGTCGGCGCCAGAACTACACAGAGCTGCCCAGGCTTTGTGTTCGAGCGAGCAAATCGCGGCGGTCAACGAAGGGTTGGTAAGCGTAGGGGTCACCATTGTGGGCCTGGATGTTGTAATTACTCGACTCGGTTTTATGAAGTGTCGCAGAACTGTTACTTCCTGACTATCGTGGATATCGTGATGGTGAGTTGGCCAAGATGCCGGCGCTGAGTTCAAGGCAGAGCTTACCCCGCGACGCGATTGTGACATCACCTCTAATTATTGACGTTTGTCTTAGCAGCTTCTTTGACACTTACCGTTGGCCCAATCGTCCCCAATTGCAATGCGCTCGCAGACTGTCCATGGTCGCATTATCGCATCTCAACATTGGGCACACTGCAGCCAGAGCCCTTTCGATTGGCAAGACTGTGTTGCCACGAAGCCTCGCAGGACTGGCGCATAACGGATTCATCGTTGAACATTCTCACGCGATCCAAAGCGATAGTCGCCACTGAAGACGGCTACTTGGCCGGCGGGCTCATGCCGGTATATGCGGGGTGGTGCTGCGTGTAAGCGGGTCCGTAATCGCGACGTCGTATCGCGCATCCATGCTCTGTTGACTCTGTTGAACCATGCCGGCCTGAGCGACGCGATAAGTAGCAATGCAGCGTGTGAACTCGGATGGCGATTGTCAAGGTTTGTCGATGACTGTCCTCGGCCGCAGAGGCGCCGTGTTGAGCACCGCAAAGGCGCAGCTGCCTTGGGTGGCGTCTACGTCACATGTCCGGCGCAAGGTGGTCCAGGCTCCAGACGATAACGGGCGGTGGGCCAGGCGGGGAACTGCGCGGTGCACTCATAGTGAATGATGGCCACGACGGTGTGAGAGACACAACGGAGACACAACGAAGGACTAGTCAAGTCCGCCGTGAAGAGACAAGCTGAATAATAGCAAACATGGATAGCAAAGTAAGTGACAGTTGCCTGCCGTGGCGGTGGAAGGTCCCGGAATGTTCCCGGGCGCAGGCGCTGATTGGCGCACGGGCGCTCGCCGCATCATTACTCGCCCTTTGACCCCGTCACTGCCTCAGCCTCTCCCATATAAACCAGCCTCTGCCTGCTTCTCTCTCTCCCTCCCTCCTCACACCACTTCTACACTCACCCTCTGAAACACTCAGACACCCAACAACTGCCGAATACACACAGCACACCCGCAACCATGCAGATCTTCGTCAAGACCCGTACGTAGTCACCGCCACCCTCATGGCCCGCTTGCGCCTCGGCTGCTAACACCTTCACAGTCACCGGAAAGACCATCACCCTCGAGGTTGAGTCCTCCGACACCATCGACAATGTCAAGAGCAAGATCCAGGACAAGGAGGGCATTCCCCCAGACCAGCAGCGCTTGATCTTCGCCGGCAAGCAGCTTGAGGATGGCCGCACCTTGTCCGACTACAACATCCAGAAGGAATCGACCCTGCATCTCGTCCTCCGCCTTCGTGGAGGTATGCAGATCTTCGTCAAGACTTGTAAGTTGCTACACCGCCGTTGCGACCCAAACAGCTACTGATACTGCTTCCAGTGACCGGCAAGACCATCACTCTTGAGGTCGAGTCGTCCGACACCATCGACAACGTCAAGTCAAAGATCCAAGACAAGGAGGGCATCCCTCCGGATCAGCAACGCCTTATCTTCGCCGGAAAGCAGCTTGAGGACGGCCGCACCCTGTCCGACTACAACATTCAGAAGGAGTCCACACTGCACCTTGTCCTCCGCCTGCGTGGTGGCATGCAAATCTTCGTCAAGACCCTGACTGGCAAGACGATCACGCTCGAGGTGGAATCAAGCGACACTATTGACAACGTCAAGTCGAAGATTCAGGACAAGGAGGGTATTCCTCCGGACCAACAGCGTCTCATCTTCGCCGGAAAGCAGTTGGAAGACGGCCGAACGCTTTCAGACTACAACATCCAAAAGGAGTCGACGCTTCACTTGGTGCTTCGTCTCCGTGGTGGTATGCAGATCTTCGTCAAGACTCTTACCGGAAAGACCATTACATTGGAAGTCGAGTCCAGCGACACGATCGACAACGTAAAGTCAAAGATCCAGGACAAGGAGGGTATCCCTCCGGACCAGCAGCGTCTCATTTTCGCTGGTAAGCAGCTGGAAGACGGCCGAACGCTTTCAGACTACAACATCCAGAAGGAGTCTACTCTCCACCTGGTGCTCCGTCTTCGTGGCGGACAATAAGTGCGCTGATGGTTATGATGGTTGACGATGATTCTGCACGGCGTTCACAGGATGGTCTGGTCTGCGGACTGAGATCTGGTCGGTTTATTCATAGTTCTTAAGACGGCTACTAAAGCCTAACAATGCATTCAAGCATGCCTACGGGCCGAGAGTTCTCTCAACATCATCGTTCTTGTGTCGTCGCTGTGATGTTTGTCTGGTTGCGTTGATATTAACCTTCAGCACAATAACCACGGACAGTCAAGGGCATCACCGTAGTGCTCAACACATCACCGACAACTAATGTGTAGCAGAGGTCCGGTTATGGTGGAACCACGACACTCGTCTACCGCGGCTCTTTTCCGACAACCCCACTCCATGTGACGCCATTGCCAATATCTCCGCTAACTCCATAAACTATCTCCATAAACTATATAGGCGACACAACTGTCCATCCACAGGTATGAATCGGTGAGACCACTTTTGGGCCCACCGATTAGCTTGAAACTCTGATCTTACAAAGCCGCGCACTTCCAGCGGTCTTTCTAGCAATCTCCGTCACCTCCGCAGCTACATATATAAGAATCACATCCCGCGTACAAACATACAACGAAACTACCGTTTGACGAGCTACCACTTTAAACGAAACATCCCATTACAGCATTATCAGTTGGAACAATGGCCGACCAGAAGATGCAATATGTCAAGTACGCTCGTCTTGATTCCTGAGCTTTAAAACCCCGTAGCAACGACAGTGCTGACAGAATCAAGCTTGGGCAAGTCTGGCCTCAAGGTCTCAAAGGTCATCCTGGGTGCGATGAGTTTCGGCTCGACCGAGTGGCAGCCATGGGTATTGAACGAAGCTGAGAGCTTACCGCTGCTCGAGCATGCATACAAGTCTGGCATCAACACATGGGACACCGTGAGCTATCCCGAGTGCAATCAAACGAAGAATACAAGCTTACAACATATAATAGGCCGACATCTACTCCCACGGCATCTCCGAGAAGATCATCGCGAAAGCACTGAAGCAATACAACATCCCACGAAACAAGGTCGTCATCCTCTCAAAATGCTACTTCGGCGTCAACGAAGAAGACCCCAGCTTAGGGATTGCAGCTGTCTCAACCAACGATGGAGATATGGTCAATCAAGTCGGTCTCAGCCGCAAACACATCTTCGACGCGGTAGAGAGGAGCGTGGAACGACTAGGCACATACATCGATGTTCTACAGGTAAGTTGTGACGGTACCAAATGCATGTGAGACATACACTGACTTCGCATCTCCCATGTAGATCCACCGACTTGACCGTGATACCCCAAGAGAGGAGATCATGAAGGCTCTGAACGATGTCATCGAGAGCGGGAAAGTCAGGTTAGTGTACCTGAACAAAATGCATGTGACATCTACTAACTCCGATCCTCCAGGTACATTGGTGCCAGCTCCATGGCCGCTTGGGAGTTCCAAACACTTCAGAACATTGCCGAGAAGAACGGCTGGCACAAGTTCATCTCCATGCAAAACTACTACAACCTGATCTACCGCGAGGAAGAGCGAGAGATGATCCCATACTGTCAAGATACTGGCGTCGGCCTCATCCCTTGGTCACCAATCGCACGAGGCGCCCTCACAAGACCCTGGGGAGACCGATCGTCCAAGCGCGCTGAGACTGACAAGTTCCTTGACATGCTTGTACACCAGCGCGAGGATGTCATTGACAAGAAGATCGTTGAGCGTGTGGAAGAAGTCGCGAAGAAGCATAATGTTAGCATGGCATGTATCGCCACTGCTTGGACCATAAAGAAGGGTGTGTGTCCTATCATCGGGTTGAGCAGCAAGGAGAGAATCGATGAGACAGTGAAGAACAGCAACTTCAAGCTTAGCGATGAGGATGCAAAGTACCTGGAGGAAGTGTACGCACCCAAGTTCAGGCAGGGCTTCTGAACGGTGATATCAAGCAACTGTACAAGATAGCCACAAAATACATGTAATAATGATCTGAAGTACTACCAGAAGGTTCAAGAGTCGCTGGGGAGCATGTGATGGATGTTTCACTTTTGGGGATTAGAGATTGGTATCGATATCCTGAGCAAATTCCACAACGCATCTAACAGACTTGTCAATGATCAATCCAGATCAATCTGATCAATCAAGCTGTGACAATTTGTATTGCAAGTCAAGCCAATCCCGCATATCGTAAGATAGCAGTCAATCAAGCTCACAATTGCCAGATTAATTGATCCAATTGATCGGACTCAGCCCGGGCGTGAGGCTTTTGGATGTGCCATGGGAGCGATATCGTCATAATTTTCTGGAGTTGTAGTTACCTCGGACGACGTTGGCTGGAGACTTTATCCTCAACACCACTATACAGCTCCCCGAGCGCCTACAGCAGCTTCGATTTATAAAACAGGCTTAGCAGTTACCTAATCAAGCAATTGTAGTACTATCAATCTAATCAATCAAGCCAATCAATCCGGGGTGCTCAGATTGATTGACTCGAATGTTGGCAAGTCTGGCACCTGAGCAACGCAATGTGATACACTAAGAGCTTGTAGTCCTTCCTATGAGACCCAGTAGCAATCTGGATATGTTCACAGCAGGAATGCCATGTTTCATCCTCACATCAATCTGTCTCGTTCCAACACTTACCCATAATCAGATTGACACCTCCTAAGACTCAACTCAACAGTAACAAGATCACGAAACCTCTACTCAAGACCCACCTCACCGCCTTAAGAAACGCCTGTTCAACAGAAGACGCAAAAGCAACTCCGACTTCCCCAACACACCTCCATTTCCATCACAATGGGCATTACAAATCCCATACATGCATCACCTGCTCGCCTTACCTCCCACACACACATGTATACGCCACTAGTTCATCCAACCTTGGAGGGCATGCATATACCAATGGGTAGGGCCAGCCTATCTCGAGACGAGACGAAAAAGCCGTTGAGTCCATGCACGTACTTGAACGACGCATGCATGCACATCTGTAACTGGTTTGGCGTTTTTTGTACAACGCATACAGGATGTGATGTTGCTTTTTCCTGTTGGCCCCACAGTGGCGTCTTCGCTCCGTGGGCTGCGGTCTTCTAGCTGCTTCTAGGGGAGGAGGAGGGTTTGGTAGCTGGAAACACGGGAAACTCAAGTCTCTGGTAACTGGTATGGGGCGGGTAGAAGGGTGCAGGACGGGTAATTTTACATGTACTCCAAAGAGGTAGCGAGGTGGATATGGCGTAGTAGCGTACCGGATATCGTGCATGAAACGTTGAGATGTGGCTAAATCGGTCGTGTAGGTATCGGCTACGAAGACCGAGCGATAGGAACGTACTCTGTGAGAAGTGCGTGTGGGAGATCGAGATGAGTTCCCTTCCGGTGAGTATGGATCACCCACACGCCACAACATACTACCAAACCCCGCGTTAGCCCTAGCCCTACACTACGACTACACCTTACTGCTATGGACATGCCATCGCAAGCATACGCCTGTCTGCGAGCTTACGACTGACCTCTGGACTGTACAACACATGCACCATCAATAACAGGCCCATCCCGTCTTCAAAGGCCTCGCCTAGGCACCTTCATGACCCGTTGACGGATCGGCTAGCTATGGGCGCGATCGTGATCGACACAAGCCGGTAGATCATGCTTCTCGCTCCAGAACCTGGTGCAAAAACAACAAACCTGTTCTGCCAGAGCTTGCGACGACGAGTTTGAGGACGCGGGTTGTATCGGACGCGAGGGGCAGGAAGAGCGGTGAGGTCCGGTGCTCTTTTTTCCTTCTTGCCGGGGTTCAGCCGCAATGTCGGCCGGCAAAAACGTCTTGCATGATAGGTGAAACACGAGTTGCTGTACTGTATATTCTGTAGATTTGATGCTGTTTTGGGGAAGTGGGGTTCGGGAGGGGTTGGCGATGCAGGCACGGAGATGAGGTTGGGTAGAGATTTTGTCGGTCTGGAGGCTGGGAGTCGAGCCGTAACTGACTCACACACCGTCCAGCCTCACATTTACATCCGAGTCACGAGAATGCCAGATCACCAGTGTAGTCTGATAGCAATAATGATAATTCCCAGTTCTTGTTTTGCTTTCCTAGCAAAATAGATGATAGATACATACTCTGTTTTCAGTAATAAAGAAATCCGCCTCACTCACAGTCAAGCACAAACCAAAGCTTGTGCCAGAGCTGGAGGAGTATGTTCGAAGCCTCGAGTCAAGGAAAGAAAGAAAGCCTGCTCGCTCGCTATGCCAGTAACACAATCGTCAAGAAGATGAAAAGAGGTTGTTTGTTGCTCGAGAGGTTGTGACATGGATTGAACGTCAACAACACAGAGTGTTGGAGTGCGACACCATACCAGGGACCCCTCCAACACTTCCAAAAGGAAACAAGTAAACAAAAACAATCCAGAGAACACACGGAACTCACTCCGCGGTTCTGCTCGCTCGCTCGCTCGTACTGCTTGCTCATGTAAAATCAAGTAGTCGTGATCGTTGTCATAGATCATACGTCAGCCGTCTCGGTCAAGAAGGTCAATAAAAGTCGTATGAGTTCATTTTGTAGAAGAATTGGTCCGGTGTCGCCGGGAATGAGTGTGATGTAGTTGGGAGTTATGGAAGCCGAAAGCTGTATCGTTGATCGTAGAGAGATCGCAGGAAACATGGCATCCATAGGACACCGGGGAATCGCAGGAAAATGCAGCAAGATCGTTCATCGTTTAGTTGGGGTCGTCAGCCGTTGTTGTGCAAACATCGGACACATGAGTCGTGATCGTTCTATGTATATGGGGTGTGCCGTGAAAACAAGCTGCTGGGTGGTTGTCGGGGATGAGTCGCGCGTAAAGGATAGGTCGTGAAGAGAATATGCAGCCTGATGATTAAGTAGTAGTGGCAGTGCCCTAGTTGGCCCTGATGACAAGCTTCGAGAGGAACTTGTTCGACAATGAGTCGAAGTCAGTACGGTCGAACTTGCAGTCACTTCTTGAACGGAGGTACGTTTCTAGGATTGTTGTTAGTATGTTGAGACCAGGTAGAGACGAACTGTGCTTACCATATTTAGTGACGTGCGCGCGAACCTCGGTCATGGCATCGCAGACGGCCGGGTTCGAGTTGAGCAGATGGTGGTGTTTCCTTGAATCCCACTCAGTGAAGGAGGGGAGCTTCTGGGAGATGGCCGAGAAGAGACCAACAATGACACCAACCGGTGTGCCCTCCATCTCGCCGCAGAACTTGTTGACGGCACCGAGGTCAGGGACACGGTAGTTGCAGTCGAACTGAATCAGCTCCCAGACTGCGAGAAGGATGGCAGCGAGCATGAAGATGGTAGGCCAGTTCTTCAGCTTGTCGCCACTGTAGACCGACTGGTAGAGAGAAGACAGCTCCTCGAGGACATCCTTCTGCAGCTCACGCCACATGTCTGCAAGAGCACACTTGACCTGGAAGTTGATCATGACAGGCGCGATGGTCTTGCCAGAGAACTTGGACTGTTGGTCCTCGACCTTGCCGGGCGTGTTGTCCTCGTCACCGAGACCTTCAATCATGGTAACGTGGAGAGTCAGGTTGTAGGCAAGGACGAGCTTGAGCGCCTTGCGGATGACGGGAAGCTTCTCGCGGCAGTAGAAGCGGTAGGCAGTCTTCAACAACTCGGTGACAAAGTAGGTGCCCTCAAAGTACTCATCAACAAACTGCTCGAAACCACCGTCGATGTGGCGGTCAAGGTAGTCAGAGAGCATAGCGCGTGAGATGCCCTCCATACCGGCGGACAGCTTGGCGGTGTTGATCTCGAAATGAAGACCGTTGAGGGTCTCGTGCCAGTCGACGCCGAAGCACTTCTCGTCACGGACGTAGACGTCGCGGGCCATGATGGGGAGGTAGTGGCCATAGCCGTGGGTAACGTAGATCAGACGCTCTGATGTCGAGAAACCCTTGATGTTACCGATAGAGAAGCCAAGGCTGACGTGACGCTCGTAGTCGGCCTTCCAGTCCTTCATGAAGTACGCAATGTCCTTGATGTCAATGCGTGTGCACGGGACCTGCCACAGACGCGCGTGGGAAGGCTGGCAACCGGCGCACGGGTCGCCCTTATCACAAGTCTTCTTGAGGAACTTACACCTCAGGCATGCGCGAAGCTTGCGGATCTCGTGAGCCTGTTGTCGCTGATCGGGCCTGAGAGGACCGCGTCTCCTTCCGACGCGCTTCTCGCCAGTTGCGTCCTTCTTGGTGGTGTGAGCGGGTGTCTTCTTGACAATGGTCTTGGCAGGCTTCGATCCTGTCGCTGTGGCAGGAGACTTCCTGCGGCGAGCAGGCGGCGAGCTGACGGCGGACGAGGTTGGCGATGCCGTGTTCGATGACGATTGTTTTATAACAATTGGCTCTACTCGCGCCATGGGAGGGCTGACGGACTGTGTGGGGGAGATGTAGTTGGCGAAGTCGTGATCGCTCATTTGGAGCCCGTGCGAGTGGTTGCAGTTTTCCGAGTGGCTGTGCGAGTGGTGCGAGTGATGCGAGTGCACAAGCTCGAGATGGTTATCGGTCTCGGACTGAGGAGAGTGCATTGGGAACTGTATCTCTTCAAAACTGCTGAAAGAGTGGGCGGATCGTGGCACGTCTGATTGGTTCGAATTTGACGAGTCGGAGCCAGTGCGGATGTGGAGTGACTGGGCTGGGTTGAAAATGATGGCAGAACTATCGGAGTAGTCGTACGAGTTGCGGTGACCGTGGCCGAGGCCAACGTCGACCCAGCCATTGTCGCTGCTGGAGAGCGAACGGATTTCCATCCAGTTCTCGCCGGGTGAGCCCGTGCCAACACTGGCGGTGGGCGCGTTCGAGTGGGCGGTGTACTCGCCGGGCGCGTTTCCGAGATGCGTGAACTCGTGCTGGAAATCTGCCATTTGGAAGGGTGCAGTGGTCAGTGTGGTAGGCAATCCGTCCATGCTGGCTGTAGTCATGAAGTTCATGGGTGCCATAGACATGGAGTTCATCATGTGCGAGTTAATGCCGAACTCGACAGGCGAAGTCTCCAATGGCCCTCCGTATGTGCTGTATCCCGCGCCCATGCCCATTGAGCCCTGTCCAAAGCTATCCTGTGCAAAGCCATCTGTGTTGATGTTCATCCAAGTTGCGAGCATGGGGTTCATCGGTTGCATGCCCGCGGGAAAGCCGAGGCCCATGTGGAGAGGAGCAATGCTCGTGGTACTCGGGTGCGAGTTGTGCGCGGTAGACGCGGCTGCGTTGTTGAGGCGTCGCTGCTGCTGGTGCGGGTGCTGATGTTGCTGCTGCTGGTGCTGCTGGCTGCCATCGTGGTGTTGTTGTTGCTGTGTCATGGTTCCCGGCGAGATTGGCAGCGGCCACGTCTGTGAGAAGTTGTAGGTTTGTCGGTTCGGGTCGAAGGATGGGTCAAAGGCACCGTCTACACCGTAGATGGCCCCGTCGAAGTCGATGTGTTGGTTCTCCATGTTTGCACGGAGAGTGAAAATGGGTTCGAGTGTTCTCAGCCTCTTCGAGCTGATAGTAAGCGGTGAGGGTAAGCGGACGGGCGATGGGCCGACCAGAGTGTAGGCGGATGATGCCAAGACCCGTACACCGCTTTTTGTATGCAAGTCCCAGCCCCACACACCAGTGGCTCGTCTAGTCCTACACTTGGTTAGGATAGCGCCAGAAGCGCTGCAGCGGACCGCGCGATTCGCAATCGAGGTCAAAGAAAACCCTGACCAGCGTCGACCTGCGCGAGGGTTCCCAGACGGGCGCTGTCGGTGGTGTGCGGGTAGCGAGAGGGTGCTCAACTATCGTGGAGAGGCGCCTCTAGTGGGCAGATCGTTGAGCGACGAGAGAACTGAATTGTGTTCGCCCGCCGAGGCGCTCCACCTCTGTGCTGCCTCCTGGTTAGACCACTTGACCAGCGCCGCTGTTCGGTCTGGCTGTCGTCTGGCTAACCAACCCACGCAAGCTGACGCCTCACCCTGCAGCAGCCAGTGAGACGACGATGCAGGCAAGTGTGTCGCAATACCGCACTCCTCTCGGCACAGGTGTCGCCTACCGAGAGAGATGACCCCTCCTACGATAACGCCGATAAGCGTTAGACTCGGGGTCTTGTAGGATCAGGGTGTGGAGGGGAGCGTTGGGGATGCCGCAAGAAGCAAAGACAGCCTATACTCGACGCTTGAGTGCTATATCTCCCCTCACGGCCGTGCTCGATCATCGACCTTGACCTCGAACGAGTTGTTCGACATGCAGCCAGGCGAACCGGCCTGCGCTACTGGCGCCCGTCGGTGGATCTAAGAATATAGACCGCGAGAAATGGTTGACTGTCCAGGGGTGTCGTATTTGCCTCACTGGCATGACCCGGCCTGCGACTCTATAACGGCACTTCGCCGTCGACGTCCAGACTCACCGACACGTCCGAAGACGCCTCGCAAATCGTCCTGCCGTCATCATACATTCTTGAGCCCTCGGCCATTCATTGCATGCGCGCCAGACCTGCCTCCACGCGCTGAACCCGCTCTCCGGCGGTTCCTCGCGCTGGCAAGCGTCCCCGCTACCCTGTAATGTCGAGCAGCGCCTTCTGCGTAACATCGCTTCCGATCGTGCTACTGAGCGCCCTGCCTTGCATCCAGATTCTCGTCCATGGCAGCCGTTTCAGGTATTGCCATATGTCATGCTTCGCCTTGGATCAGCGACAGCTTGACTGGATAGCACCCTGGTCCTTACTGGTGGGCGTATTACATTGGTGTCACTCTTGCTGTGGCATGCCGAGATCCGTCTACGATACTCGTGACTATCTCTGTCGTCTGTTTCGTTTTGCCTACGTTTGAGGCATGCCGTAGTACAACAATTCTTCACATCTTGAAGACGCTTCCAGATTTTGGTGCACACCGTATCGTGCTGTACAGTCGCATCCTATCTGCGAGGGATCAGTAGCTGCGCAAGCCACCGTCATCCCAAGTCATGGGGATAGATAGCGTTGTACCACCGGGCGGCGTTGCTGACGTTTTCCTTTGTCCTACACAGTGGCCAGTGTACTGTAGGCGAAAGACGGCGGCCTGTTAGGCCTAGTATGACGCGAACAACATCTCTTTCTATTGACTGGGGTTGAGTTGTTCGTCGTGAAGAGCACGAAGAGGAAGACGAGAGGAGCCGGGGTGACCCCCGCAGCGCATGTCAGATGCAAGCGGCTGATCTCTGGAGCGCTTTCTAACTTGAGAGCTGAAGAGATTGGGCAATGCATCTGGTTTACTCTGTGAGATGCATGCTCCCTCGTCACGGGGTGCCAGAGTGTAGCACTAGGAATGGCGATGGGTGTGAGACCGCGCAGGTGGCGCCATGCAGTAGAAGTAGATGGAAAGAGCCATGCAGTGGAGGCAGAGAGAACAAGGCAATGGTCCAAGAAGTTGGTGGTGAGTACGATGAGAAGCCGTAAAGTGAGACTCGGAAAGTAGCAGTGGCGACAATGTTTTGTGAGGGCAGTCGCAGTCCGCTGGGTACTCCTTCCCTCCGAACGACGGTAGCCAGAGTCTGGTTCACCCATCACATACCACAGTCCATCAGATATTACCAGTCCATTGTTCGCGCAACCCATCACAGCGTATCCAACCTCGTTGTGGAACGTATCGCTCGGTTATTGTTCCTGTGCAGGGAGTATCTGTTACGCAGCTACCCCACAGTCACGACATTGTGTAATGTCACTCCAATCAAACAATTGGCCTGCATCAGAACAAGCAAAAGATTGTCGTGTCCAAGGAGGATCAAGTATTGTACACTTCCTACCATCGCACGTGTTTCGCGGTATCACCTTCGGCATTACCGAGCGGATGTTTTTTAACCACGTCCTACTTCAGTCGATGCAAACCTTTGCACAAGGCCAAACAGATGAGAAGCAACGAACAGGAGATGTCCATGAACGTCTCATAATGGCACAAGATGATGTATCTCCAACCATGGGATCATATTTGACTGCCTCCTCCAGCGGATGAGCGTCAAAAATGTTTTGACTCTGTGCATACGATGCCAGAACTCCAGCTGATTGTCCGGTAACTGCTTGCGCTCGCTGTTGCCGTTAGCTTGCTGACTTTGCAGATGCCGATGGTTGTGTATATACGATGTGCCGGCAATATAGCCACGCCTTACACATATCGGACCCTGGACTTCAGCAAGACGAAACTCTATATCTCAGGCTATTGTGAAAGCAATGAAGCTCATTCAGGGCCGTAGATCGCGGAGTACGGTAGTGACGGGAAGTTAGATCAGTGGGCCCACATCCGGCCTTCGGCTCCACGCGCATCTCCCGTAATTGTATAACGCAGACTGAGAGTGTAGCATTATATGTGAGACTCTTCGTGGGGCATGACAATACATCATCCAGCACCTGTCACTTCCATCTTAGTTGAGATAGGAGGTACGAGTCAACTTTTGTGATTACCTAGACTTATTCTCAACATCACTCCGTCACACGCAAACTTCACAATAATCCAGAAGACCTACAATATGGCACACGTTGGTGCACTTCCCAAGATCCATCGTTACATCACTACTCATGACGACAAGGGCAAAGCAGTCTTCAGCAACGCCTTTAATGAGGAAAGCAAGATGAAAGCCAACGACGACGGCATTGCGTTCGCTCTCAGCTTCACCACGAAAGGCTTCCCCGTCGATATGAACGGCGACAAGGATCTCGATGTCTACGGCAATTATCTCAAGGATGCCCCGGGCCTCGTCGTCTCTGGTGGCACAGTCCTCCGCCATGTCGATATTCCCCCAAGCACAGAATGCACGATGCACCGGACTGTGAGCCTGGACTACGGATGTGTACTCGAGGGCGAGGTCGAATGTCTGCTCGATAGCGGGGAGAAGCGGTTGATGAAGCGCGGGGACGTTTGTATTCAGCGCGGTACCATGCACCAATGGATCAACCACAGCAAGACTGAATGGACGCGCATGTTGTTCGTTTTACAAGAGTCAAGTCCCCTGAATCTTTCTGGTGAGGCGCTTGGCGAGGAGCTTGCGGGCATGGCTGGTGTGCGCTCGTCGGATTGAAAGTTGTGCCGGTGGATTCTGGCATGGTTCACTATCGATAGCAGCGACTGCCAAGCCAGCTAGTACTCAATCTGATTACTCCCACGTGCTCCACTCTTTCCCTTGACTGTAGCATTTGCAACGAACGCAAAGGGCAGTCCTTGAGTTCACCTATGATGGTCACGCTATACGAGCACGAGTTGTGATATCTATACTGTATCTGGCGGCTGCACCGTACTCGAACAATACTAAGCACCCTTGCAAGAAAGCCCTGAACCCATTCTCCCCGCCAGCCACTCACAGATAGATGCCCAGTCGCGTACCAACTAAGTCCAGACGCCACAACGTGCATGTAAAGAAGATGGCCATGCCATTACGTCCTTCCGCTCAGGCCCCTTCTTCCCGCCTGCAGGAAATTATCCCCGGGTCAGAACGAATTGAAGAGCTTTCAGACGAAGAGCTTGGAAGCGATTACGAAGACATGGGGACTGCTACCGAGGAAGAGCAAGCAAATATCGCTTACCTAGAGAGTATCAGGGTACCGATCAAAGACTCACTCGTGACGGAGACGTCAGAAATCGATTATGAAACGGCCAAAAATATCTTACCTTATTTGGAGGGCAACCCGAACGAGTTTTCATTGAATACTTTCGGTATACCAAACTTGCAACGACCAAAGCACGATGACTTCCTGAGAGGACAGCTTGGTGATTATCCAGCACGCGCTGCTGGATTGGACGCTGCACGACCATGGCTCTTGTACTGGTCCTTGCAAGGCTTGACCGTGATGGGCTCTGACATAACTAGCTACGACAAAACGTAGGTCATCCAATCCAAGAATACTCCATCTCCAAGATCAGCATGACACGAGTTTGGCAGCACATTTTCTAACGTTGCATAGAGTACCGCATACGTTTTCTCTGGCTCAACATCCAGACGGAGGATTTGGGGGTGGCTATGGCCAGTATGCTCATCTTGCTTGCACGTATGCTGCAGTACTGTCACTTGCCACAGTCGGTGGGGCCCAGTCGTACGACACCATCAATCGCAAAGCCCTCTGGCATTTTCTGGGCAGGATGAAGCAGGCCGACGGAGGCTTTACCATGTGCCAGGGCGGCGAAGAAGACATCCGAGGCGCCTTCTGCGCCATGGTCGTGTTGTCTCTTACCAACCTCCCTCTTGAGCTCCCTCCTGATGCACCAGTGAGGAAACAAGGCTTTACCAGCTTCACAGACGGTCTCGGCGATTGGATTTCGAAATGCCAATCTTGGGACGGCGGTATCTCAGCAACGCCTGGTAACGAAGCCCATGGAGCCTACGCATTCTGCGGTCTGGGGTGCCTTGCTGTACTCGGACCTCCAAAGGAGACATTACACAAGTACCTGGACGTCAATATTTTGATATACTGGCTTTCAGCCCGGCAATGTACACCAGAAGGTGGATACAACGGTCGCACAAACAAGCTTGTTGACGGCTGCTACTCGCAGTGGGTTGGAGGCTGTTGGTCCATTGTCGAGGCCGCAACTACAACAGGACTCTGGAACCGGGGTGCACTTGGACGGTACATCCTAGCCGCATGTCAAGAAAAGAAGGGCGGCCTCAGAGATAAGCCTGGAAAGGGCCCTGACGCATACCACACATGTTACAATTTGGCTGGACTCAGTGCAGCACAGCACAAGTATGTCTACGACGAGAACGTAAACAAGACTTTGGGTACCGGCAACTACGGCGCACCTTTCCACTGGAAGACAGAGGGACGTTACGATGGTGAGGATGTCGTTTGGGACGAGGGCGATGCTTTGAGAGCAGTGCATCCCGTGTTCGTCATTCCTTTTATGGCGGTGTATGAAACACGAAAATATTTTGAGGACAAAGAGGGTTTCTGAGCATATTGATGGTACTGTCGCAATTGGAAACACCGAAGTAGGGTATTTATATCCATCCCTATGCATTTTGTACTGCAAGCTGACATCCGAAAGCTTAGTTTCGTTACAATTGTTGCCTTCTCTGTTGAATAGACAAAAACAGTTCTTCATAATGTCATCAAACCAAAGAGAAACTCTCAAATAGAGCCACTTTTACCCAGAGCACTACGCAATTCTCATAACGTCGCCAAACGCTATAAACCCGCCACTGCAAGCTCTAACATAAAGCAGACGTGAACACGGAGTCTGCATCTAGAAACCCATATATGGCCGACATCTACATGGTCGCCCTCAAGCCCCCTTAGGTCGGACACCGGAGACTTGTCTCCTCCAGGATCTTCAGCTGTCCAGCACCAATGTCGTAGATGAGACCGTGAAGCGACAAGCCTCGCTCAGCGATAGCTCTCTTGATAGCAGGATGCTGCTTCAACACATCAATAGACTGCTGCACGTTGAGCTCTGCAACACGAGCGGACCGCGCATCGTCATTTGCCAATGCTTCTAATTCGACTTTGTTCTGACGACGGAGCCTGTGGGTCCATGTCAGTAGCATTCAAGCATCCTGATCCTGCGAACACCTGTTCGCGCGATTACCTCCATTTCAAACCACGCTTACAGGAGAAAGGAAGGCAAACTCACTCTCGGACCGGATGTAACCACGTATTCAGCGTCGTGCCCAAATCCACATCACTCAACGCTGCATTCGCACCTCCGCATTTTGTATGCCCGCATACCACGACTCTGTTGACTTTCAGATGTGTGACCGCATATTCGACTACACTAGCAGCATTCAGATCATCCGCATGCACTGTGTTCGCGATATTGCGATGGACAAATATCTCTCCCGGTTTGCAGTGACACACAGTAGTTTCTGGGATACGGCTATCTGCGCAGCCGATCCACAGAATCTCAGGTGCCTGGCCTTGGGCAAGGAGCGTGAAGGCGTTGGGATTGCGCGCGGTAGTGCGTTTTTGGTAGGCGAGGTTGCCGGCTAGGATGTGGTCAAGGGGATCTGTGGTAAAGTGGACTGATTAGTGGTGTCATGTTTGCGGATTGTGGTGTGAGATTCGCATGCTGGTAAGGCCCGTAAGGGACTGATCTGCGCTAGGGTGACGCGACAGAGATGTGTGCATGTATAAAGTCTGAGTTGACCCATAGAGTTTGAAAGCTCTTGACGCCTCTTCTGCATGTATCTCTGTTGCGCATACGAATTCTGGAAGATACGGAGGTTTTTAATGAAAAAAGTACGTACCGGTGTAGTCTCCCATTTTGAGTTGTGGAGGCGGTTGGCGGCTCTATACCCGGGTCCTTCTATATCTAACACGAAATCTATGTCGAGCCTTCTCGATGTTTTCTTATGGCGGGTATTTATACAAAGGAGCAAGAGAAGGAATTGACTACGGGATGTGAACCAAAGTTGCCTTCAATTATCGCAGACGTATGACCCCCCTTCTCCGGCTGACCCAGGTCGCACGCGAGCGTATGATGAGCGAATGCTCTCGCGGTATGCGACACCATCTGGGTGCGTCCCCTCTTTCAGCTGGCCTATAATCGCAGCTATCACAAATGTCAGAGCCATCTAAAGGCGCCGAATTGAGCAGGCATGGGTAAGATGCGCAAAAAGAGAGCGGTACTCGGGTACCGAACTAAACTCCCTGTTCAATCTTACTCCACACGAGGTCTATCAGAACGTGTGGGATTCTCATCTACAGCGGCCAGCGGCATCTCACTTTCCTCCGAACAAACACTGTACTGATTGGGCTCCATGTATCTGCCGCCAGAACACCCAGCCCGCCGAGAAACGCCTACATGCAGTGAAGCACTATGAAGCAATTTTACGGGCTTAGTCGTGCTCAGAATCGCCGTTTCCTTATGTAGAGCCCGATTCACGCCGCGTCTTGTCCTACCGTAAATCTCTCGGCGTACCCTTTAGCCTTCTTGGATCCATCTGCTAGAGTCATTCTGAATGGGTTGAAATGTGTCATGCTCCTTTCGGATCTGTGGACATGATGCACGGAGGGTCAGCGGCGGCAATGTCAGCACATTACAAAAGCCGGTCAGCCACATACTCAACCCTTGAATGTTGTAGGACTCTTATCGCCTCTGAGACATTTGTTATTCACTGGTCGAAAGACCTTACACTACATCAAAGAGAGAAACTCAACATCTTCTTAGAGCAGGATACTTCGTCCTACTACAATAAAGCGTATTAAGATTAATATAGATATTAATTAGAAATCTAGAAATCTATAATACTATTGTTCTTTATAAATTTTTTTTGTTAGAAGCTATCATAAGCTGCAAGGTAAGGTTGTTATCTCTATACATGTTCGGCTTTTCCCTTCTGTACGGTATTAGGTGATAAAGCCGCAATTCAAGTTGAACTCCATATCAGATCCACTTTAAATGTGCAAATACAAGTTATCCTTATGCTAGAATATGAAATATCTCGGTCGCCGAAATAGGGCGCAAACGCCAAGTAAGTCGTGACACGAGATGACGGTACTAAGGTTGAAGACGTAGACTCGTTGAAAGTAACAGGTAGTAAGCATACACAAACCCGACCCATACCTGAGTCGTGCGGTGTCATAGAACTAGTAAGATATCTAAGTGTACAGTGCCTTGCGTACATGTATAAACTCCAAACACACCTTATCGCTCGTACAGTCAAAAAGCAAGCGCTCTTTTGTAGGCTTGTCAACGCCATTCTGTAAAACAGTAACTTGCAAACACGTTACATCTAGCCACCACCTTCAGCAACGGCCTTCAGTAGCCCAACAATGTAATTCCTCAGAGTAAGATTATGACTGGCCGTAAAGGCAATCTGGTCTCGTAGAGGGGCGAAGATACGGGGCACCCATCCCGCGTTCTTCGCCTCTTCTTCCTCTTTCTCTTCGTTCTCTCGTCTTTGCTCCGCCGCCGCATCGCTGAGACGTGGCTTCTTGGCACCAGCTGTGGCTCGTCTCGCGGCTTCGGGACTACCTTCGCTGGCACTGAATGTCCGCTTGTGGACCGGAGATGATGGAGAAGTGACATCGATGACAGAAGTCGGTGGCGGGATCTTGTTGAGTTGGCGAGCAAGGTTACGAAGAACAAGAACGGCGGACAGAGGAAGACCAGCGGCGTCGTTGGTATCGTCAGTTGCGGTATTGTAGTAGCGGAAGTTGGGTGCTGCTTGTGCTCCTGCTGCATCGTCTCGACCTCCGCCATATCTACTTGCGGAACTGTTCGACGAACTTTGGTGTCGTCCGCCCATGCTCAAGCTGCCTAGCCCAGCAGGCTGTGCAAATTGAGGCTGGGAATTTTCATGCCGTCCTTGTGCAGATGAAGTCAAGAGCCGTGACTCCGAAGGCGTGCGGTTGTGTTTTGCATGTATGGCATGCTTGATGCTGGTATCAGGCAAATGCGTCTTGACATGTTGTCCAGCTTCGAACGCAGATTCTGTGCCGTCAGGCGAAAATCGTGTGCAGCCACCCCAGTGACAGTAGTATTTCGTCGCCGCGGTGGCAGAACCGTTCTCGATTTCCATAATGTCCTTGATGTCTAGCTTGGGCTCGAGCAACCACTGTCCAGTCTCCTGGTCGCGAGGAACTTGGAGATGGACACTGACAACGTGCTCCCACATGGAGCGCGCACCGGAAGCGAACTCGCCGCACTCGATGTTCGCAGTCGAATGTTTCGAGTCGGCATGTCCGTTGAGCAGGCTCGGCGGATGCCAGCAGCACCGCATGTACGGCTTCTTGGTGCTTGGGTCGACTGGTACGGATCGTGGCCGTATACCTCTTATGGTATACTTTGGCTGCCCACCCACGGTCAAAACCTGAGCGGAAGCACCGCCAAACGTCGTGGAAACGTTGGTGATGAAGTCCTTTGCTGGCATAAGCGCTTTGAAGTTGGCTGGGTTGTTCGTCATATGCTCCGAGAAGGCGGCGTTGTATGCTGACCACAACTGGATCTGTGTGATCTCGCCTGTTGTGTCCTCTTCGAAACACGTCTTCAGCCACTGTGAACTCCGTTCTGGCTCATCGAGAGTCACTAGATGGTCTATGATAGCAGACGACAGCTTCGGCGCATTCTCTGGCGGCGCGGAGGTCTTCGCAGTCTTCGCGGTACTTCTTCGTTCCTCGTAGGCTACCGCACCGTACTGTAGTAGTCGGACTAGCTGCTTGATCACGCCTTCAATGTCAACTTCGTGTACAAGCTTCTCAACGTTATCAGGGAATCCAGTGAACAGATAGAGGAAGTCCAGGCATGCTATGCGGAGGTCTTCGTCTTCTACCAAAAGCCAGTCGCATATGGACTTGAGAGTCTTGATTGGCACGTCCGAAAGCTTGTTGGTAGCCTCCAGATTCATTGCTATCCGCGCAAGTGCTCTCAACGATGTGATGATGCGGCCACGGTCGTCTGAGTCGACTTGGGCCAGCAAAGAGCGGTAGAGCGGGCTTTGCGAGTCCAATATCCAATACTTGGTCAGCTGCTCGGCGATCTCCAGGGCGTAGTGTTGCAGCTCCACAATAGTAGAGTGGTGTGGTAGGTTGAGAGCGATGGTAATCATGTCTTGGATAGTTGGCACGGAGGCAGCGAAAATAGCATTCTCCTTCAGCATCACCATGTTCCTGATGATCAACGCAGCCTCGTTGATCATGTTGAGGGCCTTTGCGGACTGCTCCGGCAGGAGGTTGTCTTGCATGTCGAGCATGCGGAGAGACTTGATACGCTGCAGCAGGTCGCGGGTACCAGAGAGACCATTCAGTGTTTGCGGCTGACTGAATTCCTCCTCGACATAGGATATGTCCCAGTTCACGTCGTAGAACAATGCGGAAACATCAATGACCTTGGCAATGAGCGCCTCTGCGAGCCCTGGGAACTGATCGAAGCGGTACTTGTCCCCTCGCTCGTGCGAGATCTTGACCAGGTGATGTAGCGCGTATGCCTCCTCCTCCGGCTCCTTGGAACGCAGCGCGTTCAAAGCACGAATGTAGATGCTGGGTCCCGGGAACCCGGTACCAGGCAGCATCATGCCCTTGAGCGGCACTGGCCTGTTCTTCTTGTTGAGGATGTACTTCTTGCGCGACTGTATGTACGTATCGAGCGAGTTCGACGGGGTAACGACGGGCTTCATGGTGGCTGGTACGGCGGTTCGCGGCTCGTAATTCGCGATCGTCATGGCTGCTCCACTGGTGCCATAGCCATTTGCTTGCGACGAGGCCAGATGGCCTGTCGACTGGCGCGTCTGTCGCGTTGAAGACTCGGGCTGGAAGAGTACGCGCTGCGGCGGTGCATGGCGGAGGGACCTTGTCGACCGACCAACGCTACCAGGGTCATCCACATCCATCTTGTCGTCTTTTGGTGTCTTCTCGACGTCGTCTTCGTCTTCCGAGTCTTCGTCTCCTCTTAATCGCTCTGCCTCTCGGCTGCTGGGTGGGAAGAAGTTGTCGACGGTTCGGTTTAGGAGGTCTCCGCCCTTGGCAGATACGTTCTCGAGGATCTCGGGCGGCGGCGGTTCGCGCTTGTGGACGGTAGATATCTCGTAGGCGCTAAAGCAAGCATTAGCAGGTGCGAGGCGCAACGGGTTCTTTCACCATTCACATACGCAAGGTTCTTGTAGTAGGCTGTCTTCACCAGAAAGGCCTGGGTTGTGATGCTGGGGCTCTTGGGAAGGAACTCGGTCGCGATTTTGCGCCACGCAAGCTTGTTGTTTTTGGTATCTGAAACCCTATCGTAGCCTCCCTCCTCATTGACGCGTTTGTAGAGCCGCAAAAGGTCAATGTGTCGGCTCCCGACCTTGGGTTCACGGTCCAGAACAGTGCTACACGTCGGGTCAATATGCGCTCATTGCGGTGCCACAAGCAAGAAAACCCACCCGCGCTTTTCGTGGTATTCGGCCAGAGTGTTTAGAAAGTCTTCATATTCTTGGGTGCGCTCGACGGATGATTCCTCCGGTCTGTTTGGGGCCATGTTGCGGCTGTCGCATTTACTCGGGGCTACTCGGAAACGGATCGCGACACATGCGTGACTTCAGCTGTGTGCCTGGCACAATGGTGGATTTGCTTGTGAATGCGCGGCGCGCGTCGGTCGCGATGATGGATGGACGAACACCAGAACTCCAGAATGCACCAAGTCCCTCGCGTTGACCCGCACGGGCCACATCATGTGACTGGCCCGGCCGGTTGCAACTTCCCCAGGCCATCTCTCACATTCCTCCAGCATTACGCCAGTGTCTTCGACACGACACAGCTCGTCCACCGCTAGATGGAGCTGATTGATCTCGACTAACAGACAACCAGCACTAACCATGATGCTCTCACTTCCGCTCGCGACCCTGTCAACGGCCCGGGACACCGACGCCAGTGAGCAACAGTTCATCTGGCAAAAAGAGACGAGGGATCTCACACTGGTCGTCGACAGCTATGGTTCACGCGATGGCCTCGAGCTTATGAAAGTGGTTCAAGGCTCGCAGATTCGGGTACGGTGCATGCACAACCGATGCCTCACCGACTCGAGCTGATAAACTGCTGCAAATGACGTGCTGGCTAACTGATCTTTCACAGCAAACTATCGAGATTGAGAGACTGATCAACGAGGGGAACGATATGACTTGTCTGCATCAAGAACGTGGAGTGCAGATACAACCCGACCAGCTCCCCATTACCGCCATTGTACGCTGCCCCCTGCTGGCCATACGATGGCAGTTGCCCAACAACAAGCTCCGGCGTGTCCAAATGAGGTTCAAGTCAGACAAAGACTTTAACACTGTATCCAACTACCTCCTTCAACTTGGCCTCTCCATGAGTGGAACGAAGGGAGCCCTGCCCAAGTCGAAGCCAACAGCTTCCTTACCATCGCCAGCACAAGCATCACCCTCCAGACCGAGTCCGAAGGCTAGTGCGCCTCCTGACGAGCCTTCTAGCAGATCTCTCGCAGGCAGACTATCGTGTCCTCCATCGCGGCTAGCAGAGATCTCAAGCCGTCCCTATACTAGCCACAGTGCCTCCGCCAATACAGGTTCGCAGCCACAAGAAGGGACATGCCCTCGTCCAGCATCTGCCACGCCAGCCTACGCTAGGGAAGATGTGGGTATGTCAGCCTCCTTATCAGGCCCCCTTGCCCCTCCTGTATTGTTCGCCCGGCCTACCTCAGCTACCTCAGATATCTTGGGGCGTTCACATATTGACACCTCGCCTGCATCAGATCAGCAAATGTCCGCTGTCGAAGGGACTCCTTATTTGTCTACTGAGCGACCAGATACTGCTATGCTCTTCGGCCGCCCTGGCAGCGCCAATCGCCCTGATAGTGCCAACCGTCCCGGCACTGCTAATCGTCCCGATAGCGCTGAGACACCACCGCCTAGACGTGAGCTCCCGTTTCCCCGTCTGTCGTCACCTCGCTCCTCGGGCAGTGACAGTGTGCGACCGTCCACTGGTACGATGGGACCGCCTCCTATACCGTCTCGCGCAGCCAGTGGCCGACCCAGTTCCAGCCGAAGCGCAATGAGCAAGGAGATTGAACTTCCCCCCTTACCTCAGCCAACTGTTGTCAGCAAGACCGTAAGTGGAGACCAAGCAATGCAGCAGCCTCCTCGTACACCAAACCAAGATCACTTTAGTCCTCTGCGCGCGAAGACGTCTCCGCACGAAGGTGTCGAGAATCGGTCGCCTTTGACCTCGTCTCCCGTGTCTTCTCCGCTGTCATTCAAAAAGTTGAGCTCGACTACTCTACCAACTCCGCTCGGTACACTCAGCAATGCTGCTCAGAATACTCACCATACTTTATCTCAGACTGCTCCCATTACACCACCTACGTCTGTCACTGGCCATCGTAGTGGAACAAACGAGACCGATGGTCTGGCAGCGTATGCAATGCAGTCTGACGAGGAACGCAGAGCAGTGCTCAATGAGTTCGTCTTCCGCCACCTAGAGAGCGACGACTTCCTTACTCTCGTTCAAGACATGGAGACAGCATGGGCCAGGGTCGCAATGGGTATGTAATGGAAGGTCTTTTGACCAGCCGGGTATCTGCAATGAAGTACGTGTAGGGACAACCTCGCTGGAGCTTCGGCAGAGGACATGAGGCGGACTGAAAAGATTTTCAAGTACACTAACCTAGCAGAATGAACATGTCCAAAGCTCTATAGTACCAAGAACAGAAATCCACCAATAACATCCTTATTATGGTGAGATGGCCGAGTTGGTTATGGCGCCAGGTTAAGGTTACCTTAACACATATTCCTGGTCACGAAAGTGGCGCGAGTTCGAGTCTCGCTCTCATCAGCATTCGTCTGGCTTTAGTCAGATACCCCAGGTTCTTTTTTTTAACAAAGCAAAGAGTCTGACGCCGAGATTCATGCCATAGACCATAACATGAACTAATCATGCACTGGCGGAGGCTCTTTCGGTGACTGAGATTCACACGATAGCGTGACAGCGGCATAAACTTTTGGCCTCTTTTGCCTGAATATCTTTTGATAAACTACAAATAGGGCGTTGAGTTACACTCGATCAATCATAGTACCGAGAAGGATGAACGAGCAGCATCGTGGCTCTGCTACTTCAACTTCAGTGCCTACTTCCTTGTTCACCAACAACATAACCTTTTGCAATCCCACTTCTACCCTCTTCCATCTTAGCCGCTCTCGCACTACCAGTACCATTTTCTTCATCTTCGGTGTCTCGATAGTCGGTGCCCAGACCCTGCCACGTCCTGTTTGAGCGCAGGTACTCAGCGCCCGGTGAAGCCACACCTCCCACTGCTGCGATATCGCCATTCGCTCGTTTGATCAATGCCGAACCAGACGACGCCGCGTTACCATTGACAGCCTTCGGAGTGGCGGTCGAGCGCATGGGTCTCGCATGAGACACATAACGACCAGTTCTGAGATCAAACTCAGGAGGCGCAGACTCCTCTTCAGAATCGTAATCTCCATTCGCATTTGCGTCTTCTTCCTGCTCCTGCCCAATACCCGTTCCCTCTACACTACCATCGGCCTTGTTCCCCTCATCCTTGACCTCTTCATCAAGTACCTTTTGGAAATCGCCCTCCCAGGCCCCCGTCCACACCCTCTCTTCATCACCTTGCAACGCCACCTTGAGTTCCCACGGCGTTATCATCGGCCGCCAGAACTCTCTGCTCTCAATCAAACTACTCTCCCAGCAGCCGATTACAACCCAGCCGCCCACTTCACTGAAGTTGGCTACCTTGGCCGCATTGACTTTACCTACGACGAACGTGTAGTATTTCTTGCCTGCCGCAGTTATTTGCCGTTGCACGTGCGAGAGGATGTGCATGTAGTTCTTTACGGAGAGGGTATTTATCAGGATGCCGAAGATGGGGGTCGTGGAGAGAGAAGTGAGGAGGGCGTAGCGGCGGCGGAGGGCCATCGCGGTATTCGTGAGCGAAGCGGTGGGTGCCACGGAAGAGGTGCTTTCGGTGGGATAGATGTGTATCGAGGCGACGCGCGAGGAGAGGGTGAGAAGAAGTGAGGTTGGTGGGTCGGAGATGTGGAATAGCGCATAGTCGTGGAGGGCTTCGTCTGTTTCTGACGTTCCGAGTGGTGCTGTTCGGTTTGGGAGCGGCGAGGAAGGGTTGTGGACGATTTCAGTAGCGTGCAGATTCGTGTAGCCGTCGTCGCATAAGCGTTTGTAGAGGGTAGGGACGTGGTGTGAGTACGGTATGTCGGCCATGAGTATGATCTTTGCCTCCTTATCCGGGTATGTCTCTTTGAACGTCGCAACTACCGGATCGAGATCCAGCGGTCGTTCCGTAAACACGTATACGACCGGTAGCTTTGAAGGAGGCGACAGACATGAGCGACCGTAGTGTACCACAACGTCCGCATCAACGTGCTCTGCAGCAACCTCGTCGACACAGCACGCACCGTACGACGTGTCGCCGAGTATGAACAGACTCTCCTGGCTACTCTCTTGCTCAGCTATCGAAGTCTTGCCCATGTCTGTGCTGAGATCTTCTGCTACAGTCGCACCATTTACAGGTCCATTTGTTTCTTGCTTTCCATTCTGCGCCATCCTCTCCTTGCTCAACCCCCGACTCAGCTGCTCATATACTCTCGGTGCATCCGTGAGCATGTGATCGGGGAACTGCAGCGCGATCCTCTTCCATCGTCCCTCCCGTATCTCCCTGACCGTCCGCTCGATTTCATACGTGAGCGTAATCTGCTCATCTGAAAGTCTGGGGAGACTGGACGTGTCTACCGCGGGTGTAGGGTCTTCGAAGATGTGCGTATCGGGCGTAGAGAGTACGGGCGCGGTCTCAAGGGAAGGGACAGCCATTGTGTATCTTGATCGTTTGTGGGCTGGTTGCGTGCATGAGGCGTGGCGGGGTCGTCACTTTTTTTGACGGCGGGGCACACGCCTCGGTCGCGCAGGGGTCCAGGGACAGGGAACTAAAGAGCCGCAATGCATGGTATGCTAATGCAACACATCTGATAGGCGAGGAGCAGTCGAAAGATCATCGTACGTGTAATGGTTTGATTACTATTTACAAATGAGAGGTGGTATCATTTTGTACCCGCGCCGAATCCAATCCCTATGTCGAAAAAAAAAACTAGAATATAAATCACATCATCAGGAATCCCGACACGGCTGCTACCATCGCAAGGCCGAGTACGTTGGGTACGAACTTTCCGACACCGCTGTCCTTGTCGGTAGCGGCAAGCTGACTAAGGATCATCGAAGGGGTGTAGTTCTGCGCCCTGTCAACCGTGGTACCGTTCCAGCAGTAATCAGTAAAGCACTGCTGGCACACTTGTGGGATAGCCTCGCCGTTACGCTCCAAACTCCTAGAGAGGATAGCGCATCCGACGCAAGTCGGCCAGTTCGAAGCACCCTCACGCGTCGAGTTGCCCTGGGTGATGACATCATAACCGTTCTCGATCATGCCGTTGCGCTCGTCGATGGTGTAGTCGAGCTTGCCGAAAGTCGACTGGTTGGACCAGAAGACATAAGGAGCGTTGGGAAGGTAAACAACCAGAGGAGGAATGTTGTCACCAGTGGTAACGTTGCTGCTGTTGCAACCGAAGAATGCTGGGCGGCTGTTCATGCCCAGAGCAACAAACGTATCCTGGCCAGGGATGTAGGGGAACGACGTCCTGTTCATGAGGCTTCCGCTTGCACGCTCATACGTTGCTACTAGAGAAGTGCCGTTAGGCCAGTTCTGCGATGGGTCGTCCGCGTCGACAGTGTCAGCAGAAGAGTCAACGGCAAAGATGACGTCGACCTGGCGGATCGGCTGAATGACCGGGTTGAAGGGGATGTTCTGGCCATCCTCGCCACCGTCAACGAGAGTCAGACGCTCCCTATCAGCACTGGGGTTCGTCTCGTTGTGGTAGTGGTAGAAAGGGTTGGGTGAATAGTCGGCGATATCGTCACCATCCTCGCCGATACCCTGGAGGATGTCTGAAACAAAATTCAAAAGAATCTCGGGAATGTTCTGGAAGGAATTGAGTTGAAGGAAAATCTGGTTGAACAAGGAACTGCTAGTTCCCATAACAAAGCCTAGGTTGTCAAATCCAGCAACGCAGCCCTGGTCTTGGGCCAGCGAACCCTCGCTGAAGTTGGAACCAATGTACTTCAGTGGAGCAAAGCCGTAGGTCGTAGGGTCAAAGGAACCCATTTCGAAAGGGTTGAACTCGAAGTTGGTAGCATTCAGGGAGACAATCAGGTCTCCAGGCGAACGCTCGTCCGCCACAAGAATAGGCATTGGTGCATTTCCGGTTGAGAAGTCTTGGTCATCCGCAATGGACGAGAAGGTGTAGGCTGGGGCTCCGTCACTGGCGTTGATGAGCTGGAAAGAGAGACCGCGACCATAAACATCCGTGATCGACGTGTTGAAGTCACCGGCAGTTGAGTCCGCCTTGGCCCTAGTCGTGCTGACCAGGTTCTCAAAGTACTGCGCAGTCGAAAGTAGTTGGATTCCTTCCGTAGGGGGGCCTTTGAACAGCGAGTTCTGGAATTGCCAAATCGACGAGTCCTCGCCTTTGTTGATAATGGACTCAACTGAGGTAAAGTTGTTGGCGTAGATGCTGCCGAGCATCCAGCCTCCACCAGATAGCGCCGAAACATAGGTGGCTGCCTGCAATATTCCTCCCAAATGTCCCGAACCTGTCGAGTTGTTTGTCCGGCTATCTAACGCTGCCAGAGCACCTGCACCGTTCAAAAGGGCTCGGTATCCTCCACCAGAAAACGAGATCGCAATGTTCGGTAAGGCGGTGGTGTTGTCCTGGTGGTTGCTGATATATTGTCCAACGTCGAAGCCCTCAATGTTGACCCGTTCCAGAAACTCGCGCATAGGCTGCACTGTGTTTGGCCTTCTCTTTTGGAGCCAGTCTGTCTCGCGCTGAGAAAGCTTGTCGGCGGATCGAATACTTGGGCGCGTAGACGGGCAATCAACTTCGGCTGGCGCATAGCCATCGGGTGCCTGCGGCGAGGCACGCTTCCATGTATCTAGTGCATTGGGCGGGACGACTCTGGCTTCTCGAGGTACAAGGGCGGATGCTGTCCTGGGTCAGACTTGTCCCTGCAGGAACCCGAGGCGCATCACTTACAGCTCGCTAAGCTAGTCAATGCCGAAGCAGACAGAACAGACGTATACTTCATCCTAACGAATGGATGCAAGGAAAGAAAGTGTAAGAGGGCTGGAAAGGCGCGAAATGAATCGCCAACAAATGCGGAAACATGGCAATGTTAAATGATGGGATCAATGCTGACGGGAGGCTGCGGAATGACCCACAGGCGGCTATGCTTCGCACCAAACGCCCGGAAGAGCTAGGAGGATCTGACCTCATAGGCGTGCCACTAGGCGTGCCACTTGTCGTGGCTGAAGGCCCTGACGATCCAAACTTTATTTTTAGTCCTGCCTTTTGTATCGACGTTTTGGGCTGTCTGGCTTACGATGCGGTGTCGTGTGCTCGCGTGAGCCACATTGTCTTGAGCCATCAGCGACCATCCACAGTGCTTATTCGTTTGTAGCACATGTCACACCGTCTTTATGCTTAGTTCTCATCTCAGCGCTCAGGGCACCATTGTGGCGCGTCATCTCCTGTGAGTGGTTGGAGCTCATTTCAAAACAATACGGCTTCGGCACTCGGCAACATGCCGTAGCGGAAACGAGAACGAGGGGTATACGAAAAAGAACCTTGATACGGACCCTGTCGTTCTGGCATTGAGTGTGTTACTTTCTTCATGTTTGAGATCTGGAAACCAGTGTTTGGCGCAAAGCAACCCTATCGTTGCCTTGTTGTTATGCGCTCGAAAATGTCGTCATCGTCGCCCTGGCATCGATCGCATGTATCGCTGTGCAAAGCGCGTCGCGTCGTCGTTGTTAGGCAGCCCACCAGGGTTCGATATGATTGATCGGGACGTTAGACGTTACCCTTAGGCCCTTCATTTCTTCAACAAAGCGTGTGCGCCAGGCGCAGGTAGCTTCGCAAGTAGTTCTGTTCCGAGCTTCCGAACTCCGCCATGACGATCAGCGGGAGACGCATAACGTTGCGGCGGTGCGCGCTACTAGACAGAATATGATAGCGTATTGTGCTAGCCGATGGATGTATGGAGATAGCTGTGTTGACGTGGCCCGCAGTGTGTGTTGACAGAGCGTAACCATATACGAGGTACGAGAGTACTTTTTCGGCAATCGTGGTCCGCGGCTTCCTTCCGGATCGCCTCCACAGCAATTTCATCCTACGATGTTGAATGCACTATTTCCGCCTTACAAGTCCGCTCCTCGTCCGACTATCCGCACACTATATTACTTAGTTCATTCGCCATCGTTTATCCCACAGCCCCCATGAGCTGGTAACGGGTGGCTGAAGATCCGCTACCGGACACCAACTTAAACTTACTCGGTCAAGGCCAGTGTGAAATGGATCTTGATTCGTGCGTACTTGCATACCCAACTGGACGAAGAATACAGTTTCACAGCCAGGATCATACAACTCCTGGACTTGCCCTCCGTTATCGCATGTCGGTCTCTGTGTTCTCCATTTCTTCGTCCTCCGACCATCCGTCTCATTATGTCATATGCAATAGCGCTCTTTAAGTTTCATATATGGTGGATTTCAGTGGCTTTCATTGCTAGATCCTGATCTCAGCAGCTGCAGGGACAGTGTGTGCCGCCAAGATGCCTTGGTCAATTTCTAGAGAAGGTGACTTTATCCCATTGCATCCATGTCTCGAACACACAAAGCATTACCAAGATGGGTTTATGTATTCGAGCTAACTACTCATTCCAAACTCATTTACACAACTCAGATACCACCCTTTAGGTAGTAGTCTAGAGGGTATCCTAGCCAGTCACATTGCTCCACATCTTGGAAGCCGGCACTCTTACTAGGCCAGTCCAATAATCTGATCTCGTCACCTGTCTTTCTTGTTGCATCTACCTGTCCCCACTGTCCGTACTTCTTCACACCCTCGATCACCTTGTCGTATCCTCTTACGTCGAGATACTTGAGACTAGGGTTCGGATCGCCGCCCCTAATGAAAGCAGCGAAGTAGCTGGTGACGAGCTGAGCACTCCACAGATCCTCTGGGTCGCGAATACGGTTCAAAGTGCCAAACAGCCAAGGCATATCTGCACCATGGAAACGGAAGTAGGGGTTCTTGGGATCATCATTGGCAGGCCCACCTAGGTTGTTGGGATCGTAGCCATCAATGGAGCGTTGGAACTGATAGTAGTATGCTTTCTGGAAGGCATGCGATTGCACTCCAGAATAAACAGTGGATTGATCGACGCAACGGAACGTCTTGTCTGTGGCAACCCGCTGGGAGACGTTGAATGAGTCGAGTGTCAGATTACCGGTGTTAGTCAAGGGGAAAAGACCCGACTGGATAATACGCTCTGCCCACGTGCTGTTGATACCAAGCGCTTCTTGTAAACCTTGAGAGTGGTTTGAGATGGGGCTCTTGGGATATGTGGAGAAGGAAGCACCGTCATTGACGATGATACCAAAAATAACAGGGATATGCGCAGTGCTGGCGTTGCGGGTGGAGAGGATGAGATTGGGCGTGTTTACGTAGGTACCGTCTTGGACAACATAACGAGCAACAGTGTTGAAGCCAACTAGCTGTGCAGCGGGAACTTTATCGAGACAAGCAATCTGACCTGACACATCAGTGCCGTTGCAGCCGGCAGCAGCAAATATCTGAGGTCCGGCGACAGTGTAGCTCTGATTGATCGTGTAATAGGTCGAGTATGTTGTTCCATAGTCGCCGTCCAAACCAAGGGTCACACCTCCTCCAAGATTAGACATGGCAATCGCGCCTTGGTACTTCCCGATAGCTTCGGGAGATCCCAGTAGTGTACGGACTGAGCCAGCTCCAGCAGACTCTCCAGCAATGGTAATCTTCTTTGGGTCACCACCAAAGGCAGCAATGTTTGCGATGGTCCAGTCCAGTGCTGTGATCTGGTCAGAAATGCCGAAGTTGCCTTTGATGTCCGTTCCAGGAATGGCCAGGAAGCCAAGAGTTGAAAGACGGTAGTTGATGTTGACAACGACGAGGTCTTCCTTGCTTGCAAGGTTTCCTCCATCAGAGAGTGCGTCAGCACCGCTTCCTCCTGTAAAGCCGCCACCATGGATCCAGAATAAGACGGGTCGGAGTTGCTTTTTCGATCCCGCCTTGGGGATGTATGGTGTTTGGATGTTCAGGAAAAGACAGTCCTCGCTTCCACCACCACCCTGAGCACATTGCGAGCCGTACTTGGTAGCTTGTATCGTCTGCCCCTTTTTGGAGTAAAGCGACGAGTATTGGAAACGTGTAGGTGTATCGGCATACGGGATGCCAAGGAACCTGAAGGACTTCTGGTTGCGATAACCGACAAAAGTATTTCCGCCGGATGCTACTGAGATAGTGCTGCCGTCGACAGGCCCAGCACTCGACGACCCGTTGTTTGCCGATTGGGTGCACAAGACTGGCAATTGCTTATGAGATGCCGAGGAGGATGAGTAGCTTACTCGGTTGCCAACTGATACCACACCGCTATCGATGTAGTACCCTCGCTCGGCATCCGTGTACCTGGCGTAATCTTGGTAGGAAAGAGCGTCGTTGAAGTCTGCCTGATACTTCTGAAGCGTAGCCTTGGAGATCAGCTTCTCATTGAGAGAGGCGCAAGCTGCAGCTGCGTTGGCTTGAGTGACTGGGTCGAGGATAATGGCACCGATGTGGTTCTTGTCGTCCGACCCGTTCAGATTGTTCTGGTAGATGAGTGTCAACGACGACTTCGCGTTTGACACACTGACGGCTGGTGTTGAATCCGATACTGGTGATGCCTGTGACACAGCAACCATTCCAGCCGCCGCAGCAGCAACAAACGTGGTAAAGACTGTCATCCTGAATGTCCAGCTTGTTGGAGGGATCTGATCGACAGCTGATGAAGGATCATCGTTCTTTTCCATCTTCTTATACTGCGCCGGTAACCCGGATGGCGTCGTTCTTGCAGATGAACAACCGTAACGCTAGCCACAAGCGGTTATTCTCCACATGAGGCTATTGGAAATAAGCATTTGAGAGCGGGCTATTCCCCGGAAAACGATGGGTAGATCGATGGCTAGGCAGGGGCACTGGCAGAATGCTGGTGTAGTGCAATACGGCAGTGGTTCTATATCCACAAAAGAGTGCTAAAACTCACGGTACCTGCAGCAAAGGCCTGTGTACAACATGTGCGTCCTATGTGCACTCTTTGACAAATCCTTATACCTCAGTCGATGCTGCTCTCTGGAGCCGACGAATAGTTTGCACCACAGCTCTACTATATCTAAAAGCGCGGCATCACAACAGTGGTTTTAGCATTGCCATCCGAGGTCGACTCCGATGTAATTTAGCCGTTTAGCCACCATGCGCAGTAGCCCGCGGTCCTCGTGGCGATGGCATCATGGATACTAGATAGTGCAGGGGTCAATGTGGAGATTGTTTACATCCGTTCGCGGAGTGTGGCTTAAAATGAGGAGCGGAGAAGTGGAAGCTGGAAACTTGATGGGGCCCCGGAGTTGAAGACGTGCAAATCAGAGCTAACCCAGTTGGGCATCGTCTGCAGATTCCCCTCACGAACCTGGCATCGTTGATCCTTCAGATATTACCATCAACTCCATATTTACTGAAGACAATGGCGATTACACCTGCAAGATGCTCGCATTCATATGTTTTCCTATTCAATAATCCTTCCAAGGTCACAAATGCCCGGTATCGCAGAAACAGTGCTCCCAATGTACACTACAGGCATGGCGTCATCCAATTGGAGGATTAATGTAATGCTCTTCATCTTGGCGAGTACCATACTGTCTTGAGCACAGTACCAACTACGACAGGCCATATTATTACCCTGATGAGTAGAAGAGTCTCTGGATAGACGCCGAAAAGTCAGGATCTGGAAGCAACTTTCTCTGGCTAACAAATCAGTTGCTAGCGCATGCTCGCACGATGCACCGAACCGTAGTAATATACAAGGACAAGCATTGAGGTGGGTCATGATAGGTAAGGTAGATTGGCAGGCGTCATTGCACAGCATATGCATGTCAGGGTCCCAAGGAGGCATATAGGAACCTCATGTTCTGCCACATCACTCTCTAGATCTCTCTGTCGGCTCAGCTTTTTCGTCGCTACAGGATGCAGCTTAGGCTCTTACTCTTCGCGCAATGCGTTACGACCGCGTTGTGTGCAAATACAGCACCACCCAGCATCTGGAACTATACATATCCATGGCCCATACACTACTTTGGTTTCACATCGCAACGCGCGAACCTCTCCATGGCATACATGGATGTCCCTTCGCATAATACCACCTACGCCTCGAATAAGACCATCGTGCTTCTACACGGCAAGAACTTTTGTGGCGCAACGTGGGAGGATACTGCCCATCGTCTTTCAGCACAAGGGTATCGTGTCATCATCCCAGATCAAATCGGATTTTGCAAGTCATCGAAGCCGTCTGCCTACCAGTTCTCGCTGCAGCAGTTGGCGCGCAACACACATCTGCTACTGCAAAGTCTGGGCATAGAGTCAACACATGTATTGGGTCACTCTATGGGCGGCATGCTAGCCACTCGATTTGCCCTGATGTATCCGGAGCAGACATCACATCTTATTCTTACAAATCCAATCGGACTGGAAGACTGGAAGGCCCTTGGAGTACCTTGGCGCAACCTCGACGCCCTGTACAAAGATGAGCTTGCCACGAACTACACATCCATCCGCAAATACCAGCAAGCTACCTACTACGTGAACACCTGGAAGCCAGAGTATGACCTCTGGGTCAACATGCTAGTCTCGCTCTACCAAACGTCACCTGAAAACATTGACTTCGCATGGAACATGGCGCAAACGACCGACATGGTTTTGACTCAGCCGATCGCCTACGAATTCGAGTTGGTACAGCCCAAGACCCTCCTCCTGATCGGAACCAAGGATACAACAGCCATAGGAAAAGCTTGGAGCCCACCGAATGTGCAGGCTAAGCTGGGGAAATACGGCGTGTTGGGCAAGGAGACGGCGGCGAGGATTCCAGATGCGACATTGATTGAGTTTGACGACTTGGGCCATAGTCCGCAAGTGCAGGATAGTGAAAGATACCATGCCGCGCTATCAGGGTGGTTAAACGAGTCTAATCAGGCTTGATCAGGCGCCTCTGTATGCTGATTGGAAATGGACAGAGAGTCGACTGTTAAGACCCATAACGACTCACTTCTCGCGCAGGTGGGTAGATCCACGAAATGTATACATTACTGGAGCTTTCAGGTCTTACTAGAGAGGATGAATAGCCAGATCTCGCCCATCGCTGCTGCTATGAGTCGTTCCTTGAGCATCGTACTAATCGCACTATTTGAAGTTCACCTCCATAGTGTGTTTAAGAAACTAATCCTTCCTGTCGACTACAATGCTCCTCTTGTAGGTCTTGTTTCCACGATCCATGTAGTCAAAGACGAAAGGACCCCAGACCACAGTTCTCACATCTCCCACGAGCCTCCGAGCTAAAGCTTCCACCTGGTCGAACCTGGCTGTATCGACAACCGATTCGTCACCATCACAGTTCGTGAGAATGGTAATCTTAACCTTTCGAAACCTGCCGCTCCGTTTTTCAGTATTCCAACTTGTGGTGATCCAAGCGTCAAAGTCTTTTTTCCAATTTTTCAAATATGCATATTGCCCACTCGAGCATTCCAATCCCAATTCCAAGTCCAAACTCTTGATGTCCATGCAATTGATGAATCTTAGAAAGACTATTTCTGGCCAAAAACTGAGGAGTTTCTCCGTGTGAATAGTGACGTTACGAATCACGTCGTTATTGAAGACGAGGGGGGACTGACTGTTGAACTTCGTCACGAGAGGGAAGAAGTCGTTTGGGTATCGGGCAATTTGACTATAATCGAATGAAGCGAAGGTCCGCACGGTGCCAAAATACGAGAGCGCTTCCGAACAGATTTGCTTGTTAGTCAGAAGCCAAAGTGGAAGGCCTCTGATATAAGCTGGTAGGGTGTTCGGGTAGTGGATGGCGATATCTTCGACAGGACCACCGTTCTCGGACTTTCGACCTTTGGGCCATGCCTCAATAATTGAACCAGGAGGTGCAAAGACGATAACCTCTGAGCCGAATGCATAGTCGTAGATGTAGTCGCGAAGTTCCCTTGGCAAGAGAAGGAAGGGGGATGTCCGAGTCGGCTCACAGGCCTGCCCATCAAGGGCTGTTTGCCGGGCTTTTCTGGAGGTCCTTGAGGCTTTCTTCCTCGTGTACCTGTAGGTATGTAGGAAAGCCTTCATGGGCGGTAGTCGGAAGCAAAACCTCATTTTGACAAAGGTCTGGGTTAAGGGTAGGAGGAAGCGAAGGATTCGAAAGATATGAAAATAGAGAACTTGTCAGGGTTAGCTAGAATTTGCAACTGAGTTTCTCCAAGAGGTAAGTGCAAACGGACGGCGGGGTGGAATTCACTTTCACCATTGCAGGGATATCGAAAGCCTCGCCTATACGTAGGTAAAGCCCACGCGTAACAAGTCAGTGACGTACGTTATTTCGCAAGAAAAGAAAGACAGAATAGTGAATGACCGACAAGCAAAAAAGAGTCATGTGTTTCAAGACTAAGGGTGAGACTCATTTCGAACTCAGAGCAAAAAAGATCGCCTTTATCGACCCAGAACATACAAGACTGGATCACACCCTGCACGACAGGGTAGACATGCAGATTCGTACGCTACTGGTTCTTCCGGTTTTCTACTATGAGATACGTTCAAAGTATTTCATATATAACTTATCGTATAATGTTTTTGGTTTGGATGTAGGTCAAGGCGTGTTTGTGTGGCTGCGCGAGTGGGAGCATGCAAACAGTGCCCACGTAACCTCCACCAACGGGAGATGAGATCATGCGATTGACGCTTGTAAGTCATGCGTTCTTCACACTAGATCACGCAATACAACAAGTCTGACAATAGACATGGAATTGTCATTATGCACTTGTCTGTATATTTAGATTCTCAGCCTACCCAGAGTACTCTCGCATAGTGACCAAGCGATATTCGAAAGATGATAGCATCCCCAGAATGCATTCGCATGGCTATAAGGTGAATAGTGGAAAATTATAGTACCTCTAGAGTATATTCAATGCCCCAGAATGTATTCCTCTAATCCTCCCAACACCACTGAGATCCTCCAAGCTCCATCACCGACTCACTCCACATAATCAGAGTCATCTTCGTCATAATCGTCGCTCATGAAGTTGTCCGGGAGCATGGTCTTCTCAAGGCGTCCTGTGAGCATGCCAACAGCCTGGCCCTTGCCCCTGCCTGGATAAGCTGCCTCGGCAGCATCTTCACCCATATACTCAGCGTCATCGTTGTAGCGCACAGCCGCTGCCTCGCCTTTCTTACGGGCTGTGTACTCTTCTTTACGGTTGGTTCGCTTGCCGATGGCCTTGTCACCCTTGGTTCCGTCCCAAGTGGAGTCGATCGCATCGGCGGCCTCGTATAGGGTTTGGATAGCGTCCAGCACATCCTGTACCTGTATATCCTTGGACTCGGATGACCCACCGGCTTCGATGCGTGCTTTTATGGCGTTGAAGAGGAAGTCTTCACCCAAGTAGTGCTATCCGGACAAGGCTTCGCTGAAGATGTTGATCATAGCGTAGCATCTCAGATCGTTGGTGAGTCCTTTGATTTTCTCGGTGGTGTGAACTCGCCAGTGTTCGGTGAGGTATCCCCCGCAGTCGCTTGAGGAGTAAGCCTGCTTCAACTCGGATTGTGAAGCTGCTTTGACCTTGGCGATACGTTTCTGGACCTCGGAGTAGGGAAGAACAATGCGGCAAATGTTCTTTCTGGCGACACCATCGCGGCGGCGGAGTTTCTCCATGTGGATACGCTTCTCTGCTGGCTTAGTCTTCTATAAGCTACTAGTAAGTGAGATGGTCTTCAATGCGTTCTTCATCGCAATAATTTGTCCTAAGACTGGTCTCAAGTGCACCGGGGTCACTCTCCTCGAGGTACAGAACAACCTCCAAATCCAGTGGCCCAACCATGCGAAAACCCTCTCTCAGCTGGATGAGAAGCTCTTCGCCATTCTGGATGCTGGAGATATTGAAGACACCAGCGGTTTTGGAGAAGGGTTCGCCATTGATGTCGAGGGGCCAGACTGGGTCATGATATTGGAATGCAGCTTGGATAGATACGATCATGTCTTCCCAGGTCATCGAAGGGGTGATGAGGAAATTGTACCAACTCTTGTTAAGATCGGGACAGTACAGAGATAGCCTGCGTACGGGGTGTGTGCTTGCGGAAGACATTGTAGAGGCAATTGTATGTTTGTGTGGTATGTGGGTGTAGATACGGGCAGAGGGTTGGATAAGAAAGCAATAAGTAGCACGCTGGAAGACGAATTATATGAAGCGCGAGATCTCTCATTCAGAGGTGAGCGTGACCCCAAAAGCGCAAGTGAAGGAGAGGATACAATTGCAAACACAGATTTCTCTTGCTCACCACGTCATGATCCTCACCACGCGACTCCCGTTCTTACCAATCCGTCCTCTTACTGTAGTAGAAATTGCTAAACACCTTGGTCAAAAGATGTTCCCCATACGTGCTCCCCTGATGTATCGGCTTCTTCCCACTCTCCTCCACACACTTTTCCAACGGCCTAACCACAGCATCGAAATTCGGCTCATAGAAGAACGGCACACTAATCCTGTACTGCTGCCCCCTATGAATGACCCTGTGCATCGTACTCTTCCAAAGTCCGTTCGTCCACCGCTCAATCATATCCCCAATGTTCACCACAAAGGCTCCTGGTATGGGATCGGCATTGAGCCAAGTCCCGTCTTTGAGTTGGACTTGGAGAGCGCCGGGCGTAGGATCCGTGAGGAGGAGAGTTACGCAGCCGTAGTCTGTGTGTGCGCCGCAGGAAAATTGTTCGATGTCGTTACCAGGCGTATGAGGGGTCGTCAGGGGAGGATAACCGATCATGCGCATTACCCAGAAGGACTCGTCGCAGTTTCGCACAAAAACTTCTTCGTCTTCTGTGCTTTGCGTCGGGTTTGTTGTAGGTGACCCAAGGTCTAGGGCTACGCCCATGGCGTGGACAAGGGCTTCGCCGACTTTCTTGACTTGCTCAATGTAGTCTGTGTATACAGGCTTGAGCTCTTTCGGTTGCTCAGGCCATAGATTGGTGCCCTGGAGACTCTTCACGCTACCTGGGCCTCCATCTCCTGGCTCTCGCTTCTCTGCTGGCCAGTCGCGGTACCAGTCGATGGCTTCTTGCATGTCTTGTAGGCCGCCTGTCACGTTTTCGCCGAGCCCCTGGTAACCCCGTGCGCCATCGCCTCCTTCCGGACTCCCGGCATCAAAGCGTTTGATTTTGTTTTTCTCTTCTAGTGGTAAGGCGAAGAAGTCGCGTGCAAGGCTGATGATTTCATCTAGCTTTGTAGTTGGTATGCCGTGTCCTGTAAGATAGAAGAAGCCGTAGTTTACGCAAGCGGCGCTAATGGCTTTAGCAGTCGTAGATCGCGCATCCTTCGGGGATGAAGGATTTAGGAAAGCTGAGATGTCGATTATTGGTAGGCCATCCTGTTGCGCGGCGACGATAGGCTTATCGTACCGGGATCCAGAGTCTGGGGTGGGGTTAAGCTTCGTGGTGCTTGCTGATGTGTCACCGTTCAACTGCCTATCTCGCGCTGCATGAAGGGCCGCGTCCATGTCTGACATGGTGTCTTTCTGTAGACGAATAACTCTTTCCTAGTCTAGTCTGCTTCCTTTGACTCAAAGATTGCAGATCACACTATCTGCTCGAAACTTGGACGATATGGCGCTTCTGATAGTTTGTGTCAGATCTCCTGAGCGAAGAATTAAATTCGATGAAAGAGACATGCAAGTACTGCACAAAACTTCTGGGATGGCAGATGCATGTATTGGAGTTGGAGAACGGGACGTCGAATGTTCGGATGGCGATACCCGATTCGGCCTAGGCGCGGCTATTCTAGGGCATCATGACAGGGAAGTTTACATAGATGTCCTTTCACAAATGCAAAAATAATGTGTTCATCTTGGCTGTCATTTCAATTGTAGCGGTATATCACTCTATCCATTGACCAGCTGTCATGCATCGCGTTTTGATTAAATACTATAGATGCCCAGATGGTGCAACATCACCCGACACTAACTCACAAGGCCTCTACATGATGACCTCGTTGGACACGTCCTGTACGATGTATTAGCTTAAGTCGATGAAGCGCAATTGAGTGGTCTTACCCTCTTCAGTTCCTTGTATGGCAAGCAAACACAGTTTTGCACGCGCACTTCATCTGCCACGGCGCAATCCTTGCCGAGAATGGTAATGCTTTGGACCTTGACGCCGTTCTTGATGACGCTGGTGGTGTGGCTGGTAACGGGGGTTGGTGTGCCCTCAACACGGGCCCAGGCACCAATCTTGCTGGACCAACCAATGATGGTGTACAAAACACATGCATCGTGCTTGATTTCAGAGTCTTCGAGAACGATGGACTCCTTGACACGCGCACCAGCTCCAACGACGACACGAGGGCCGATAGAGACGTTGGGTCCGATCTTGGCAGTTGGGTCGATCTGGGCGGAGGGGTGAATGTAGACCGGAGGCAGAATGTTTGCGGAGGGGGCCGCGAGTTCCTCCGATCCCGCCTGGAATGCCTTCAGGAGGTACAGAGCATTGGCTGGGACGGCCGAACCAGCGGTCTTGATCTGGCGCCAAAAGTCCTTGGTCTCAAGGACGAAGAACTGCCTGCTGTCGGCAATGTCGGACAGTACATCCTGCTCCAGGCGAATGACAGCATTCTCCTTGTTATCGTCGTCGTCTTCGTTTTGGTAGAAGGAAGATTCGAGGTTCTCGGAGGAGGGGTACGACAGCAGCCGTGGGCGCTCGGTCCGTCGCTTGATGGCGCTGCGAATGGCGGGGAAGATGCACTCGGTCGCGAAGAGGTAGACTCCGCAGTTGATGAGGTTGGAGATGTGCGACTCGGGCTTCTCGACGTAGTGAAGCACGCGCTTTGTGTGCGCATCGGAGACAATGCAACCAAAGTTGGACGCGGCCTCGTTCGCGACCCTCGTACCCAGCATTACCGCCTCGGCATCCTTGTCGTTGAAGAGCTTGAGCATCTCCACCAGCGGGAAGGAAGAGCAGACATCTGCGTTCAAGACGAACAGCTTCTCTGGCTTTCCCTTCAATATGACGTCGCGGAAGTGGTAGAGACCTCCAGCTGTGCCCAACGCCTGGTATTCGCGGAGGTACTTGACGCTCAGGTGTGGCCAACTGGTCGAGACGGCGTTGATGAAGGGCTGGAAGACGGATTCCTCATAGTAGCCGACGATAAAGACTTCCTTGATCTCGGGGACGTTGGTGATGGCGCGGAAGCAGTGCTCGATTATGGGGTGACCGGCGACGGGGAAGAGCGGCTGTGGTAGCATTAGCGGGGATGCGCTGGGGCACGGCAGTCCGAATTGTCGCGCACCTTGGGCAGTTCCATAGACAGAGGCCTAAACCGCGTGCCTCGAGAAGGGCCTCCGACCTAGTCTTGTAAGTATACATGGCGGCGTCCACGGCGTGGGAAATGTCTACCAGAATGACGGCCTTGGTAGAGCCTCCAGAGGGAGACTTGGGCCTCATGGAGAGCGAGGGTGGCTGCAGACTCATCTTGAAAAAGCCTTGGTTGTGTAATAGCGGGTTGAAAACGAAAGATCGTGAGCGCGCCTCAAGATCAGAAGAAACGTGCAGTGAGAGCAATTGCGAATCTGGCCTTCTTCAGGAACCAGTTGGTGGACCCTGGAATTCCAGCCCACCGCTGGCGGTGAGAAGCCCTGGCGAATCGGCGAGTCGGCGCATCGTCAGGTGCAGCTCGACTTCATCCCCTTTGTCACAGCTTGCGCCAGCTATTCTCGAATACGAGCAAGCTATGTCCGTCACGCATGTACGGCCTCATAGTGCTAGTGTATTGTTTTCCAAAATATTCATATGGATTTGGTCATGATTCACTGACACTACTCATACCGTCACTACTTTCCTACGCCAGTCGCCAGCTTCTTGTTCTTCTTCATCAGCACATTCAGCTTCTTTTCCAGCACATCGTGCTCCCTCCTCGCCGCGTGCATGGCTTGCTCCGCCTCTTCCATAGTCAGCACACTACCCCTTCCCCTCCTCGCATTGCCACCGTAGCCACCCATGCCAGCCGTTGTCTCAATCGCGTTCATCAGGCCCTGCATGTCTAGTCCGCCTCCACTACCGTTGCCTAACGTGATGTTGCCATTGCCGTCGAGGCCAAACTCTTGCGTAGACTGGTAGCCGAGTCCCGCACCTACAAGTGCTTCGAGACCCTGGACAAAGACGCCGCCCAATCTATCGGCCGCCATCATTCCCATGCCGTCTATTTCTGTGCTTCCCACTGCTCCTCCTTCAACCACTGCTTTAGCTGCCTTTGCGAATCTGTTCGAGTTGACAGACATGTTCGCTGTCCCGGCGCCAGGCGCACCACCAACAGCAGCCATCTCGGGGCGTGGCTGGTTCGGCGGCGGGTTGTCTGTCTTGGGGAGGACGTACTGATTGAGATAGGCGCCAGCGTCGGCGGGTGTTTGTTGTTGCTGCGGGGGAGGGACCGGAGGCATAGACGCGTCTTGCACTTGCACGGGCGGCAGAGGAAGGTTTGTTGAATCGAGAAGCCCGGAAGAGTTGTCTAGTCGCGGCATCTGCTGCCCGCCGTTGGTGTTCAGCTTTTTGCCTGCCTCCTTGAGTGCAGTGGCGATTGCTGGAAGTACGTCATTCGAATGAGCTGAGTTTGTCATGTTGTGATTATGTGCGGTCTGCTTACGAGGGTGGAAGCGAGCATGGCCTTTGAGCTCTTCGATATGCCTTTCAAGCTCAAGTGCTTTCGTCTCGAGCTCCTCGGTCAAGCCCCAGAAGAACTTGCCGTTGGGTGTAATGAGAGTCCTAGAGTCAGGCTTGCCATCCTGGCTGTTGAGGCGTACCGGCTTCTTTTTAGCGAGCGCATCAAGGTCGGCTTGGGAGAAATGCAGCTTTAGATCTGGAGGTGCAGTGACGTTACCGTTTTGAGTAGAGCGAGAGGCATGAGTGAGCGACGAAGACAATGGTTTGAAAAACTCAAGAGTCGATACAAGGAGTTCGCCAGTGCGTTGCAAATCAGCCAAGATCGATTGAGCGGAATTCTCGCGCTTGTCCTTGGGCTGTTCGGGCTCGGGCTCTGGTTCAGGCGTTGCTGTTGTCGAGACCTTCGCTGAAGAATCCCTGCGTGATGTCGTCGGCGCCTGAGCAATAACTTCTTCGACCACAGCTGGCTTGGGCGAGGCTGGCTGACTCTTGAAAGCTGCTGCGATAGGCTTTGGTTTGCTTGTCGGCTTCTTCTCCTTTTTCTTACGACCGATGATTGGAGCTTGCACAACCTCAACATCTGACTTGGTGTCCTCCAACTGCTCTTCTTCGATCTGCTTCTTTCGTTCTTGTCTGTCTTTCTTGGCTTGGGATTTGGTCTTCTTCCTGACAGGTGCAGTCCCGACCTTGCCACCCACAGGTGGTGGTGAGTTGGCTCTTGAGAAGGATGTTGAAGTGACCGAAGCTGTGTCCGATATCATTTCGCTTGGTGTGCCTGGTAGATTGACAGAAGCAATACTCGCTTGTCTAGATCGAAGCTTGTCGACGGTTGATACCTGGGGCAGAGACGGCACTGATGGCGCAGACAAAGGCGGTGGGACTTCTGCTTTGGGTGTTGCGACCACGCGCAGAGTCCTAGGCGCACCCGTACGCTTGATTGGCGATCCAGTGGCCACCGCGGCAGGACTTGGGGGTACGGAACCAGCGGATGGGGTCGGCATTGAACGATTGGTCTTCGATTGGGAGTCTATCTTGGCCGAGCCTGGGGCTGAGGAGCTTTCATCAATTGACAGTTTAGTAGCAGCTGGGATATCAAGCTTGCCTGGAGGCTGCCGCTTGGTTGAAGCTGTAGGCGTCGCACTCGCGACAGGCGTACGTGCTGTCTCCTTCTGTGGCTCTTTCTTCGGGGTAGTTTGAGTTGCAGGCTGACTCTTCTTAGAAGCACCCTTTGACTTTGGTGTGTCCTTGGCAGCTGTTTCCGACACCGTCTTCTTCGCATCTGGTGTAGACTTTGGAGTCTGTACTACATCTTCTTTGGCCGCCCTAGAGGCCTCTCTAGGTGTAGGTTCCTTGGGTGTTTGAGGGATAACGACAGCTTCTTTAGTCGCCGCTCTTGAAGGCGTCGAGGGCGAAGGCTTGGCCGCAGCGGTCGCCGGGGGAGCTGCTGTAGGTGTTGCCGGTACAGCGACATCGCTCTTCTGCTTGCCCTTGGTCTTGCCAGGCGTTGCGTTGACAAGCGGCGTAGCAGGCACGACAGGCACGGCTGGTGTAATGTTCGAGGATGTAGTTCGTGACATTGGTCGAGACCCAGGACGAGAGCGCGACTCTTCCAGGACCGCTTTGGGTATGGCTGGCGCTGTGAAGCCAGGCGGTATAGTAGGAGTCGATCGACGGGGCTGCTCAAAAAAGTGGCCGCTCAGCGGAGTGCTCAGAATTGGTCGGATTGGCTCATTGTCGCTGTCGTTAACAAGTGCATCCACATTGATAGACGCTTGTTCTTCTGCACTCAAAGGCGCATCGTCTACGATAACTCGTTAGCCTTGAATGTCTACATCAGAAAAAGCAAGTTCAGCTGTGATGAGTACGGCGGCCGCCAGACGATGGTCAGGGTGGCGTTGACAGAAGCTTAAGGTACATCAATTGGCAAAAGTTGACTCTCGAACATCCCCGTCACTTGATGGGGCAAGAAAATAGTGAACAGGCCATCTCTCTATTAGAAAGTAAGCATGCCGACTCAGCGGCAGGAGGGGTAGTTACGTACATGCGATGACCATGACGAAGACGACGAGAGAAGCCAACCTTTGCAGCGGCAGGACAGTGCAATCCACCCAATTATGACAGAAGCTGAGAAAAGATGTGAAGGTATAGGTGCCGTAGAGACGTGCAACCCAATCATAACGCCGGGCATCTCAGTGTCGAAGCACCTGTGCCGATGCATTCGCCGTAAAACCGAAACGCCATGCAGCCATCGTTCGAATAGAGTACTAAGACAGTATGTCGAGCCAGAGGCCGACCAGTGTGCAGAAGAAAAATGACTACCATCGTCCAGCGCCGCCGTAGTTATTGTTGGAATAGAGAGAAGAGAAACCGCCTTGACCTTGGCCATACAAGCCCTGCCCTGCCATACCGCCTTGGTGCAACCTTGCCTGCAAGATACTTGGGTCCTGAACATCGGCAAGACCACCTCCTCCAGAGGAGGAAGTGTTCGCGTGCCTATGCTTCTTACCCTTTTTCTTGGATTTCTGCGAACCAGACTCCTGGTAAGCTCCAGGCGAAGGTCCATAAGGGAAGCTTAGGAGACCAGGGGCAGGTGCAGGTGTGGAGGTTGTGGGGTGTTGATTAAGGAAAGAAGGAAACATTGACTCACGCTTTCCAGCATCAGCTAGCCTAGCAGCACCGTCCATGTTCCGGCTGCGGAGCAAGTCCTGATACATGGCATCATTGTTGTTCCTCGCCGTCGCACCAGCCCCGTACGGTAGACCACCCGTAGCGAAACCGTGACCTTGACCGAACATGCCAGTCCCGCTGACAGGAGGTGTACCAGTAGGCTTCAGTCCGGGAGGAGGACCTTGCACGTTGGTGAAGAACTGCCCACCCAGCTGCTGGTGCTGAGACATGGGGTTGAATTGGTTGGCGTTCTTCGGCATCATCGAGTTTTGTTGGCTCATGAGCTTCTGGTTTGCAACAGGTTGCACGTTCGCAGAAGCGGAGGCGCTGTCGTTGGCGAAACTAAAGCGTGACGTGTGTCTGGCATGGCTGGGAGCATTGTGCTGCTGAGGCTGAGCATTTTGCATGTTGCTGAGAATATTCGTGGACTGGGTGCCGGACTTGAAGTTGGAGAGCAACAACTGCTGTTGCTGCTGTGGCGTCAGGCCTCTGTTGCTCAATCCAAGGTTGCTGAAGTCCTCGGCCAGAGGGGTGTTCTGCCCAAAGAGGTTTCCACCGAAACCCTGTTGACCAGGTGGTGCAATTGCATGCTGGTTGAGATGGTTGGTGCTTGTCTCAGGGCCGTCTTCGGGCTCGCCTCCAAGTTGTAAGCTACCACCAGCCGTCGCCTCGTTGTCTTCACGCTCAACTGCAGCAGGAGCTTGCTGGGAGGCTGCCTTTGCAATTGCTTCTGCCTCGGCCTCCCGCTGCAATGCCAATTCCTTCTCCTTCTTTTCCTTAATGGCACGACGCTTTGCACCGCCATTGGGGTCCAGGAGTTGAGGGAACTCGGTAACAGCTTTCAATTCTTCCTCAGATAGAACGGCACTGGAGAAGACGAACTTGAAATCTGGCGAGCAAATGACCTTGAGGAGATCGTGAATGCCGTTGTCGCGAGATTTGGCAGGGCGTGCGGCGGGTGCAGGCGCAGGCGGCGGAGTTGCAGGCTTCGATGCTTGCGGAGACTTGTCTTTCTCCTTTTCCTTTTCCTTTTCCTTCTCCTTCTCCTTCTCTTTCTGCTCTTTCTCCTTCTCTTTTTCCTTTTCCTTCTCCTTTTCTTTTTCCTTGTCCTTGCCCTTTTTCTTTGGTGCCTCCGCTGGCTTCGGTGCCTTCGATGCTTGTGCAGGGACAGCGTTCGTGATCATGGGACTGGCGTTGTTCGAAGCAACTGTTGAGCGGCTTGCACGACGCTCCAGCACCGCTTTGCTGCCCCAGTTTGCCGTTGCGGGTAGGCCAGGTGCTTCGTGTATCGAGCTCGACGTGTCGTTGCTGTCTTGGCGATTCATCGGTGTCGCGGCAGCAACGGGTGGACCCTGGTGCGCAGGAGGTGCGGCTCGGGATGTCGACGACTGTGACGGTTGTTGCGTCTGGATCGAGTTCATCATGGAGAGATCCTGGCGGGTAAAGCTGTCGTTGTCCTCGCCAGGTTCGTGCAAGAACATGCAGTTGCGGTTGTTGCAGGTCTCGCCGCGGAGGTACGCTGAACAGTACTTTGTCGTACCAAACTGTGCTCTGTAGAGACGTAAGCTTGTCACATGGCAAATATGCGGGGGAAGATATTCACGTACCTCAGTGTTCTCTCGCCGTTCTGGGAACCGTCGACAGCATTGATGCACTTCTCCGCATCTTCTTTTCGAGCGAATGTTACGTAGACGCCCACCGACTGCTGGTGCTGAGCGTTCTCCTTGGCCTTGCTTACGACAATCTTGAGGATCTTGCCGTACTGCCCAAAGTAGTCGTCACCGCGGAGGGTCTTGAGTAATTCGTCTTCGCGTATGGTGGGCGTGAGACCGGTAACGTATACGAGGTTCTTCTGGACGACACGCAGCCCAGACAGGTGCTTGCGGCTGAGAGAGTCGGCTTCGGCCTTCTGCGCTTCCTTCTGCCGTATCTGCGCGTTCTTCTTGGCCTTTTGCGCTATGAGCTGCTTGTGCTGTGCCATCCTGCCCAGTGTCAGAAGTGTTATGCAGGGAAGATGCAAGGGACGACGCACTCTTCGGGGGAGATGGTCTTCCACTCAATCGTGGAGTCATCGTAGGGTCTGCGACATGCGGGGCACAGCCCGTTCATGGTGGTTTTGATGTTGTTGTAGCAGAACTGGCATATCTGGCACGTGAGTTAGCACGGGGGACTCGACAAGGCTTCACCGAGTTTCGGCACAAAGGCGTACTTGGTAGCCGCATGGACAGGGCCGGAAATTCCTGTCAGAGAGGTCGAACTCCTCGACGCAGAGCGGGCAGCACTCCTCCTCGTCATCGTCGACGAACTGGTCCTGTTGCAGTCGGGACATGGTGTTGTGTGGTTGTGGAAAGTGCGTGGTCAAAGCCGAAGGGTGGCGCTGGATGTGATGGTACGTGGGGTGAGATGGGAACTAGGTGGCATCCACAGGGGGTCAGGAAGGAAACCGCTGAAGTACAAATAAACGCCGGCCGGAGAGTCGCTGTCGCTGCAAGAGGGATCCACGGAAGGGTGATGGGGGTTAAGAGGCTGCACCTGCGCGATGGGACACCAGTTCCGCCAGACGCTACTTACATAATCTTGCATGTTGCGGGTTGAGCTGCGAACTTCACGACGTCGACGACATCACCACCCCGAGTCGCCTTTACCTGCTACATCGCGTAGCCTCACCACTCCCTCACTGCACACTATGGCTATGCGGCTAGCTGTAGGCCGGCCATTGGGCGCCGCCGTCCGCGCATCCACCTGCTCCCGCCATGCCGTGCGCACCTTTGCCTCGTCGGCTCTGCGGGCGAAGGAGGTCGCGGGACCAGAGTCCGACACGCCAAACATGAGGGTGCGCTATACCACAGGCTGGGGCTGGAACATGGCTTCTAACACGACTGCAGTTTGCTCCCCGTGACGAGGCCGTCAAGCTCAAGCGCGCCATCGTGAACCCGGCAGACCACTACAAAGAGAAGGGCGAGTCTCTGCACAAGTACGGCCAGTACATCATGTCATGTCTGCCCAAATACGTCCAGCAGTAGGTCAGCCGAGACCCCAGTCCAGCACTCTCTGATGGCAGTCCAGGTTCTCCGTGTGGAAAGACGAGTTGACCATCTACGTCCCTCCCGCCGGCATCATCCCCACCTTCACCTTTCTGAAGTACCACACCGCGGCTGAGTACACCCAAATTTCCGACATCACAGCCGTCGACTACCCCACCAAGGACCAGCGCTTTGAAGTCGTCTACAACATGCTCAGCATCCGCCACAACTCGCGCCTCAGAGTCAAGACATATGCGGACGAGGCCACCCCAGTCCCCAGTCTGTGCGATCTCTACGACGGTGCCAACTGGTATGAGCGCGAGGTCTACGATTTGTTTGGTGTCTTCTTCGTTGGACACCCAGACTTGAGGCGCATCATGACCGACTACGGTTTTGATGGACACCCACTGCGAAAGGACTTCCCCATGACTGGATACACCGAGATCCGATACGACGAGGAGAAGAAGAGGATCGTCGTGGAACCCCTGGAGATGACACAGGCCTTCAGGAACTTCCGTGGTGGCTCCTCAGCATGGGAGCAGGTCGGTCCTGGTGACGACCTCAAGCCCGAGAACGTGAGTCTCTTCACTTGCCACATTCATGACGCCGCATCTAACGGAAATAGTTCAAACTCCCAACACCAAAGCCAGAGCCTCCTAAAGAGGAGGAGAAGAAATAGAAAGTTTAGAGGATGTGGATTGTATATACCTGCGAATGAACGTACTTGTACAACATCCAACATTCCACCACATGCTAGACATCACCCCTCTTGCTCTGTGTTCTTAGTGTGCACGTGTTGGCTCCGTGGTTCAGATGTAGCAAGCTCGACGGCTAATAGAGAAGGTCAGATAGAACATTCAGCAAGGACATCCTGTAATACACCGAGGCTCGATGGCTGCAATACGACGTATCCACGTACTTTGGGTCCCGATTTCTCATGCCAAGCAGATCTCGCAATCTGTCACCCAATCAGGTAAGCGCAGCCTAATGCACCTTCTGTCAGTCGTCACCAATTGGGTAAACTTCGGAGCCACCACATGGAGTCTTGCATGATCAGCCGTAGTCGATGTGCAAGACGTACCACTGCGGCTGTCCACTGGAATCTAAAGCTTGCAGGTTTTCAGCCATTCTCACCCGGAACAGTACCCCGCTTTCCCCGTCTGCATCACGAGATGACTGCACTCCAAGACAAAAGGACCACAAATTAGTCTTGTTTGGTGCTCCGAGTGGGTATCGCGACCAAGGACCTTGAGCGCCTCACAATCACCCATGCCTGAGTTAGACTGCGCCCGACTTCCCGCCAATAGTAAGTGGTCTTGATTCCAGTGGTATTTGCCTTCGTCATACGAGTCTATCTTCGGAGTGCCAGAACATCAGGGTATAAAATACAGCCATGGTTCTTAGGCAACATGCTTCTTGAAAATGATACTTCACACTCTTCCCTTCTTTGTATCTACCGCCCTAGCTACCATGGCCAACACTACTACCACCACAATCGAGCCGTTCAGTCTTTCTGCTCCCCCAGGAACTGACATCTGGCGCAAGCCTCCGACTCATAACGCGTTCAATGCATCAACCTACCCAGCTCAGCTTCCGACCTACGACCTGAAGACATTCCAGCGAGCGAGGCTTACCTTTGAGCTTCCACCATCTGACCAGCTTCGCCAGTACGACCAAGCCGGTCTCTTACTGCATGTTACCAAGCCAGGAGTCCCTGACAACGAGACTAAGTGGATCAAGACTGGTATCGAGTTTTACTATGGAAAGCCATACGTAGCGACCGTGGGTTGCGATACTTGGGCTGACTGGTCGCTCGTTCCTATGCCCGACTCCAAGAACAGCAGTAGGCCTGGAGCTACCATTGAGGCGAGGAGGGAAGGAGATGGCCTTGGGAGGGGTCTTTGGATTTACTGGATTGTTAAAGATGAGGCCGGCAAGGAGGTCGAGAGACGCCCATTGAGAGAGGTCACCTGGGTATTTGCGGAGGAGGAAGGTTGGAGTGTGGGTGTTGCGGGATATGTGTGCCGGCCAACCAAGGACGGTGGAGAGGAATTGCTTGAGGCGGAGTTCAAGGAGGGCGTGGAGATTGAGATCATCAACTGAGTAAGTGATGGACAATCACATGGGATATCCGGAATGGTACGCAATGCTGTCACTTGTGCTTTTGCCTAGGCTAATAGTGGGCAGATTGTTTACAAAGTCACCGACGCCTCTGGTTAGCATTCATACAGAATTGGAGTCCTATATCCACATACAGGCTGCGTTTTATGTGTCTATACAAAACAGGTGTTACCAAAACAAGGCTATGACTATGCCTAATGCCATCGTCGTCTGTAGATTGCAATCTCTGGTGGCATCAAGGCAGTTTATCAATCTTCCCTTTACCTCTAATAGACACAAGGTGAGCGTAAGCGGCCAAACGGCTTACCTGGGAAGATGGTCTGCTGTCAGCTCACGAAAAAGAACTCAACGTGGACCTGAACCTCAAGATCAACAGTGAGCTCGGCATCCAACGGCCTATCGACAACAACCCAGTATATCTACCCAGGGCCAAGGACAGTAAGATGAACGAATTCCATCCTTACTACAATGAGCATGAGATGATGCTCGCCTTTGAACTTCTATCTACGACAGACAGCTTGACAGAAGCATCGTGGTCGTTGTGGCTTGGGATGCAGCTGTATGCCGAAAAGACATGGGGAGCAGGCGACAACAGGTAGTCTCGTCTGAGACGATGGCAGGAGAGCATATGAGAGCACACGACACGACATCACATGACTGTGTCTGAACGACCGAGACACACTTCTGGGTTGCTCATGCCGCCATTATCCTCCGAGAAAGAGCCTGTGCATGAGGACGCTTCCTTGAAGACATCCACGACCACTGTCTTGCCCATTTACGCTGCCATTTCTGCCATGCAACAGAGTCGTTCTACCACCAACGCCACAACTTCTTCCAGCTGTAGCAACCGCATCATCAGCTATAGAACCCTGCAAGACTTCTACACCCTTCTCGACCAGATTGAGAGAACATCGTATGTCGGAGCGCTCTTCCTGGAACCGTACGCTGAGAGGCTGAAGGACGATATGTGCAAGGACTGCTGATTTGCTCACAACGTCAGGCTTGATGTTTTCAAATGAGTTTCCTTGTACGTTCATTGTTTCGAAAGCCTCCCTGGAAGCTCACTATATATTCCTGCGTTGGGCGAAAGATGGGCGATGCATGGAGGTGGAGCTTGTTCCTAGCCGTCGCATTACGCCTCTTGTGGCGGTGCTCTGTACATAGACATATGAAACCCATCACAACATGACGTGGTCTCGTGGCTGTATTCCGACATGGTATAAACATGTCAGGGTGGATAACAAAGTGTCGTGTGCCTGATGCGCTGCGTGATGAACCCCCGGCTCGCTAATCGCATCTCGGCTTAGAGGCATGGATTGTTCCAAGCTTCGTCGTCATCCGCACCTTTACCAGGCATCCTCGAGCGGCGTGCATCATTGTGCCGCTGCGGCCTTGGGTCTTCTTATCTTCCCAACTATAAAGACGCTCTTGCCTTGCCCCGCCGTCAGCCACTTCGCTGCTTCCTCGGAAAGGCCAGGTCCGACCATCGCTCCTGCCCGCGTGCAACCCTTACCACCCTGACATCACACCTCACACCTCCACCACCGCGACTATTACACTCCACGCTCGACCGCGACGATGCACGATCCATTTCCTTTCCCGAGGCCTGAGAGTCTGGTCAAATATGTAGAGCCCGTCGCTGAAATGCTCTCGCTGAAGACGCTACCGTTGCACTTCCACGAGGTCCTTGCAGCGTTCACCCTCTACCACTGCACCTACCGCTACTTTGCCCCCGCTATTTCGCGCCTCCTCGTTCCGAGGATATATGCGCAGTTCAGTGCGCGAACCAAGCTGAACTGGGATGTACATATCGTGTCTTTTGTCCAGAGCACGCTCATCTGCTCTATGGCGTTATGGGTTATGTGGACGGACAGGGAGCTTAACCAGATGGACGCAACAGAGCGCGTGCATGGATACACGGGGGCGTCTGGCTTAATTCAAGCTTTCGCGGGAGGCTACTTCCTGTGGGACCTGGCAATCACAGTACAGAATGTGAAGGCCTTTGGTATCGGCATGCTGTTCCATGCTATCTGTGCCCTCTCTGTCTTCTCGCTAGGCTTCGTAAGTGTAAAGCGGTGCTCTTTGGAGCACATGGGAGCTGTGTGGAATACTAATCGTGCGACAGCGTCCATTCGTGAACTACTACGCGTGTACTTTCATCCTCTACGAGCTCTCCTCGCCCTTCCTGAACATCCACTGGTTCTGCGATAAACTCAACATGACCGGTACCACCATCCAGCTCGTCAACGGCATCGTTCTGCTGTGCACCTTCTTCTCCTGCCGCATCGTGTGGGGATCGTACCAGTCAATACGCGTCTTCACTGATGTCTACCACGCCTACACAGCCGGCGCAATTGCACGCTCAGACCCAGACGTCGGAAAGCTGTCAGACAACACGACCCTCAGCAACGCAGCCTTCAAGAACGACGTCCTCCAGTTTGCCGACAACCAAACCGTCCCTCTGTGGATCATAAGCGCTTACCTCGCCTCGAACTTCATCCTCAACGGCCTGAACTGGTTCTGGTTCGGCAAGATGATCGAGACCCTACGTAAACGCTTCGACCCTCCCTTTGGCACCAAGAAGCCCGAGATCAAGGAAACCACTCTGGAGATTCCAGATGACGAGAAGGTCTTGGTCGAGGGTATACATGTCTCTACTCCTGGTGTAATTGAGAAGGATGCCAAGGACTACATTGACGCAGCCTCTCCGGAGTTGGTGTCGCTGGAGAAGAACAGGACCGGGACGCATTTGGAGGTTAAGCAGAGTGAGGTGCGGAGCCGGAACACGGCACAAAGAGGGGGGTTGAGAGCTGCTCAGGCGGCGTGAACGTGCATGGGCAGCATAGATTGGCGAATCTTATAGAATGGAGATGTAGGTAACACTTTAATTCGGCTTTTTTCACATACAATTTATCAAGGCCCTTTTGGGTTTTCCAGTCTTGCGTTGTAGAATTCCTCACTACGCCCCTCATTCATCTCATATACCTCGCCCCATCGCCTCTTACCTCGAAATAGCTATTCTACTTGTCCCCATATGGTGTACTCAGCCTTGCTAAGCAGCGTCTCTAAACCCTCATGCTTAGCATCGTGTACCAACCGGTCAATCATAATTCTTCGTTTCGTTTCGTCCGAGACCTTCTTCGCGTGCTTCAACTCCTCCTCGTCTGGCTCATCTTGTTGCTTTAGAGCTTCGACTGGCTCTTCCACCAAGGAGATGACCAAAGCAGCTTGTTGATCTAGTGAATTCCTCTCTTTGACGCTCTCCTCAAGTTTAGTGCGGAGCATACGGACGTACGTCTCGCGATCGCTGTGCGAGATTTTGGTGAGATTGGATGTGAACCAGACGGCTGTTTAGTAGTTGTTACTTAGAATCGTGCTGCTCTGTCTTCCTTGGTATGGTACTTACTAGAGATATTCTTGTCTAAGACGCTTTTTACTCGTGGCTGCAGGGGCTGCTGTTCTGACATAGTGGTTGGTTTGTCTGGAGACGTCTCCATGGTAAGCTGACGATTAGTGGTCTGAAGTGGAACAAGTGATTCTTGGAAGCACCTGAAGATCGCGAGGAGAGTAGACATATCAGTGGTGATTGTTTGCTGATGTAGTGATATACTGAGACATCCAATAGACAAACTCAAACTTACTAGGGCTTTCAGGTGTGCGTGCATGCTGACATTCGTCCTGCACTCTATGGGTAATTTCTTGGATGTGACAATTGCGCCTCGAGATTACATGTGGTGTTTGGGCATATGAGATCTGATAAGTACATGGTGACGGTGTGCAACGTGGTGGTATTGGAGCTACTATTCAGGAACCAGACATCCTACGAACCTTGCACGTAGCCATCACGATATGACTCCACATTCCTGATTCTGCACTTACCAATCGTGCCTTCACCTCAGTTTACCTAAGGAACCCTTCTAGTGATTGAAAGCACCCTCGAAGCAGCCAGTCTGCTCCTAGACTGAAGTGCTAGACTGACCAGCAGACTTCTTCTTCTCCCTAGCCGCCTTTCGCTTCTCACGCTCCTTCGACTTTGCGCTCTTTATCTTTGTCAGGTTGGCTGGGATAAGGTCAGCCCGCTCATACACAATGGCAATCGCGTTGAGTACATCCTGCGTCTGCAAGACGGGATCCTTGTTGTCGCCTTGCTCGTCTTGGGTGCGTAACGCAATGGCCTCCTCTAGTACCTCCAGAGCTAGTCGAGATTGACCGTGTGTGAAGCTAGACAGGATCATGATGGCAAATGCGGTCGGTGAGGTGAGCTTCTGGCTAAGGTTTGGGCCATGTCCTGCTTTCATGGAGAAGGGGATGAACTGCTTGATAGTGATGCCCCAGTATCGCTCGACACATGCATCATCCTCAGTGAACTCAACGGTTGATGAACCTTTGTATTCGAAGAAGTCAAGTTCTGCTTCAAGCGGCTTGTATGGGCGCGTGATGCGCATCTTGTTGCGGGTCTCGGGCTTCTGCTCGTTGAGACTGGTGATGTGTAGATATTTTTCATGATCGGACAGCGTCTGATATCAATTAGCGACTTCTCTCTCATGTAAGCGCCGATTTGTACTCACATCCCATTCTTGACCATAACCTTCCGTGTCCGGGTCGACATCGTCGCCCTCTTCGCCATGGTACAGAACCCATCCAGGAGGCGCATCAGGCAACATCGTCTCTTCCGCACTTGCTGCCACCAATATGCGTTGATCGTCCTCGAGTGCACTGGGTTCGTAAATGGGTCTCGCCTCGACAGTGTAGAGTGCTGCGTACTTGATATCGAGCGCGAGTCTCACGCCTTGCAGAACTTGGTCGAGATTCTGGAATGCGCCGAAGACAAAATTGTCGACGGTCTTCTTTTTGGATGGACAATAGAGTTGCACTTGGCCCATGGTTGCAGTGTTCGTGAACTCTTGTTTCTTTGTCAATTTTTTGCTGCTGTTGAGAAAAGCGGACCAGTGCAAATAGAGTAGTTGATCCCAAGAGGACTGCAGCCTAGAGAGGTATCTGCAGTCATGTGTCAGAGCTCTAAGTCAGCTGTCGCGGTGGTTCCCAGGATGAAGAGGGAAAGCTGTGACTCGCGACCAGAAATAGTTTGTACACGTGAGCGGTCATTTCACACTTACCTCTACAGACGGGATAGCTGAGAGCCGGTTTCGGCTGGATGTCACCACCACTACTATGATGGAGCTTGTACCAAGAATCGTACGGCATGAGACCAAGAGGATATGGTACCCAGCAGCCGCTCTGCCCTATCTTGCTGAGAGAATGTGGCGGATGCAGAACAGCGGGTTTGTATATTGTTGATGGGACGAACTTTTTCGGAGCGTGTGGAGTCTTCGGATTCGACGCTGCCGGCGTCATTGTGAGAGACGTCAAAGCCTCGTGGCAGTTAAACGCGCTATTGAGACTGTTGGGAAAGTCGTAGGTTTGTCTTCTGGGGCTAGGAGAGTGTTCGTTCCTAACCCCATCTTCTTTGTGAGGCAATAAATAAGGACGCAAAGAGTACTACTGGTCCAGATAACAATCAATTGAATTGTCCGCCAGTACATGTGTTTTTCCTTAAACTAACATTTCTTATCGTAGACATCCAGCTCGTGCTGCCGCTTTGGGGTTCGAGTAGTTATTTTGTGCCATAGGTGGTTGTTTCGTTGTAGTGAATGTTGTGGTGTGATGATGTACTTGCTAAGAGGGAGAAGCGGCATTAGGTCCTCTTTATACTTTATTTCTGCACGCCAGCACCTGACGCAGGTAGGCAGGTAGAATCTGAAGTTTAGGAGGGAACGATAGAATAATTTAGAAAGAGTAAGTGCGGATAACTTTGCATAAGAATTGCGAGGCAGTAACATATTAAGCTTTACATTGCAGCTTACCCTAACTCCTAACAATAGAGATTATAAAGATTAACAGTATTGTAGACTTGTAGATGCTCTATAAATGTTTATATAGCTCTAATAAAGTTTATTGTAGTAGAAAGAAGTACTCTGCGCTAATGACATGTTTCGTTCCTCTCTTTGACGTAGTGGTAGAGGAAGAGAGAATGCGGGGAGGTAGACGCGACTTACGCGACGGAGACGTGCAGGGATCAAGGATGCTCAAAAGTTGGGACAGCGCGAAAGCGGGACAGAGGAAATGATTCGATCGCATCCCACATGTCACAACCATGAAAGCCATTCACCGGTCTCTTCGAGGCAATGCCACAAATTCAAGGCCAATTATACACAGCAGTCTGACGTCAGGTCAAACGAGATTGCCACTACGCCGAACGTACACTCGACCCGCATTCGCACCGAAGCCCACAATTGATATCAAGCACATCCGCCAGAACCCAGGACTGTATGAGCAAAATTGCATAGACCGCAACTATGCCGCACACAGCAAGTCTTCATGGCGCATCATAGAGCTGCACGAGCAATGGCTCGCGCTCCAGAAAAGCAGTCGAGACCTACGAGAACGCAACAATCGCATTCGAGCCAACCTGGCGAGGACGGCATCGCGCGCTAAAGATGCGGAGAGCAAATCAGTAGCTCTGAGGGAAGGAATCATTGGCGAAGCAAAGGCGTTGAAGGCCGAGTTGAGCTCCATCGAAGCACAGGAATCGCAAATCCAGGAACAGATAGAGGGCCTGGCGCAGGACCTGCCCAACCTGAGCAGCACGTACACACCAGTCGGCACTGAGGCTGACGTACTTGGCTATATAAACTCGCACCCCCAAAGCGAGTCTTCGAAACAAACTCGCAAGTCGCACGTTGATATCGGACAAGAGCTGGGAATACTCGACTTCTCGGGCTCAGCGCAGACCTCGGGATGGGGCTGGTACTTTCTCGTGGGGGATGGTGCAATGCTGGAACAGGCACTCGTGCAGTATGCACTGAGTGTTGCTAGAAAGAAAGGATGGAAGGCAGTTGCTCCGCCCTCCCTGGTGTACTCGCACATTGCATCTGCATGTGGGTTCCAGCCGCGGGATCAGAACGGAGAGCAGCAAATCTACGCTATCGAGCAGTCGGAGAAGGACAAGGCGAAACCGCAGCTAGCGCTTGCCGGCACTGCGGAGATACCACTGGCTGGCATGAAGGCCAACCAGACTCTGGAGGAAGCGGATTTGCCCTTGAAGGCAGTCGGCGTGAGCAGATGCTACCGTGCTGAAGCTGGCGCCCGCGGAGCCGACACCAAGGGCTTGTACCGTGTTCATGAGTTTACCAAGGTCGAGATGTTCGCTTGGACATGGCCGGATCACATGGGAGATGATCACTTTACCACACCAACGGCACCAAGCGCAGAAGCAATTTTTGACGAGATGCTCTCCATCCAAAAGGAGATACTAGAGGCACTCGGACTGCACTGCCGCGTCTTGGAGATGCCCACAACAGATCTCGGTGCCAGCGCAACGAGAAAGATTGATATCGAAGCTTTCTTTCCGTCTCGAGAGAAGGACCAAGGATGGGGTGAAGTGACGTCGTCCTCCATGTGCACTGACTACCAAAGTCGACGGCTGCAAACTCGCATGCGTGTCAAGGGGGGCAAGCTAGAGTTCCCATACACACTAAATGGAACTGCACTTGCTGTACCCAGAGTACTGGCAGCCATATTGGAGAACCACTGGAACGAACAAGACGGCGCGTTGACGATACCAGAGGTGCTGCGACCCTTCATGGGCGGGCAGGAGAAGATACGGGCATAGTGCTGACGGAACAGTGTACAATCATGTATTGTGTATATGTATATGTATTAGACGATGATGTCAGGCGGTTGGTTGCACAACTAATGCGCGTCACGACGGTACTCGCGAGAGGACCAGTCAAGGCGTGGCCCGCAAATGTTTACCAGACGACGCTGCTCGCCCCCTGCATCAACCTTGAAAGGTTCGGATGATCAAATGCTTCGATCCCCTGTTTTGGCCGCGACATCCCAGCTGGTCGCCATCGAGGCTGACTCTGCGCTTGGCCCGGTTATGTGCGGCGATTGGCGCACAGCCTCCAGGCCGTTCAAGCAGCGTCGCAGCGTGCATGGGACCAGTTGCATGCGGATAGCGAGCATGTGGACAGTCGCCACACAGCCACTGTTGTCTACTACTGCACGGCTCCTGAAACATTTTCTCAACACTGCACATGTATCGCGAAACAGCACAGTGTCCCCTGTCGCGCTGAACCGGTTCTGGCCCAGGTCCACCTTTGGCGCCATCGCATTTGTGGTGGGGTGGTTTTGCGGGCCATTCTCGTCTACGGCCTGCGCACCCTCCAGCCTCAACCCAGCCAGCATCAACAACCAGCCTGCCTGCACCTAGAGCTGCACCGCGGCGTGCAAACAACGCAACACGCAGCCCTGTTGCTGTCGCCACACGCTCGCCCCCGCACTCCCCAGCCATCCTCGACTTGTCGCAATATTCGCGGGCACCCATCGCCGTCGCATACCACGCCTTCGGCCACCACTCCTTGCGTCACCCCGAGCACAACAACACCAGCGAACGAGTGAAGGTCGCGGCGCATGGTTTCCTACCCAGACTCGTCGAGTGCCGAGCGCTCACTGCCCATCCGGCGCCCGTCGTCGGTGGTGTCCCATTCCTCGCGCGCATCGACTGTCCGCAGACATCGCCAGCACCGGTCCAACGTTGGGAGCCCGTCGCTAGCCCCCCAGAATGAATTTCCCGTGTTTACGCATACCGGCGACGTCGAAATCGTCATCAACAACGGACGGAAGCACATGCGCTATCTGCTGCACAAGTTGATTCTGACGCAATGCTCTGGCTTCTTTGAGGCTGGCACGAGTGACGAGTGGGCGACTGCCGGCGACGTGACCAATGCCGGACCTAGCAACGGCACCGCCCTATCGAGGATACCATCAGGGTCACGGCCGGAGCAGAAGAGGAAATGGAGATACGAGATGGATTGGGGCAGCGGCGACGATGACCTGCCCATGCTCGTGCAGAAGGTGCGTTGTTTACACGTCCACGGGGTTAGACATACTAACGAGCGTACAGAAGAACCAGCCTACCATGTTTGGCGGCGAAACAAGTCCTCCTCCACAGCCGCCTAATGCGCGCAACAAGCCTGCACCACCACAGTCAGGCTTCTTCCGCAGCATGGCCAACTTCTCCACTCTCCACGTGCCAACAGCACCCGCTCCGGAGACCGACCCCGACGACGACATCTTCCGAGACTACGACAACCTGTTCCGCATCTTCTACAACTACCCGCCCTCGCTCGATGCGGTCAACATCGCCAATGCCTATGTAGAGTGCAAATCGCTTCTGCAACTCGCCGACATGTACGACGCGCTTGGTGTCATCGGACCGCGCGTGGACCACCATCTGCTGCGCTTCCAGGGACGACTGTGGAAACAGATAGCGAAATATCCACCCAGCTATCTCAAATTGGGCTACATGGCACGGAGTAAAGCCATTTTTGCTGAAGCCATGGTGCACGTCGTCGGACAATGGCCACAGGGCATCAACCAACTGCGCGGTCAAATCGCCGAGCCTGTCCTTGAGCTGATAGAAGACAAGGTCGACGAGATGGACGAGCTGAAGGCAAAGATTGAGGTCAAGCTCTTTCGCTTATCGCTCACAACTAGCCGCGGCGAGCGTGTCAGCCCGTCGAGCAACTGGCTGGACTGGATAGCAGTCTCACTGTTCCGGCAATGGCTAGCGGAGAACACCACGCCACCCCCAGCTCCGATTCTCAAATCACCACGGCCTCAAAACTCGCGAGATGGAGCACCGCTGCCAGCTCCTCCCGTCTTCAACACAGGTCGCATCTTCCGCTTACTCGGCCAGGCTGGCTCAACTTACCTCAATCACGACGAATGCAAGCGCTTTTTGCGACTGAATCCGGATCACTACAACCGTGACAACCTCAAGCGATTTGAACGAAGGATTGACGAAATCAAGAACAAGGCCAAGGACGCAGTAAAGCCGCTGATGCGCAACTTCCTCGAGCTTGACCTGCGGGAAGGCGGCCTGCCTTATTTGACGTGCACAAGAATCGATCCGCAAGACTTTCCGTGGGATGATATATAAGATTGGAGAGGAATCAAAGATGGGATCGGACCATCTGGCGCTTTTGATCTATTTGTTTTTGGCCGCGGGACTTTTGGCGCTACGATACCCTAGGATGTTTGCACCACCACACTGTTTTGCTGTTCCCATTTCCCTGAACGATTTGATGAGGTGAGAGATAGAGAAGGAGAGACCGTAATTTACGTAGAAGAAGGAAAGAGTGAAAGTGGATGCTGGCCATGTGCTTTCTTCTTCTTCCCTCTATGGAGAGACGACAGATAATCGACGTTCTTACAATTTCCATGTGCATTGTGATGTTCCCTGCGCCTTGCATATGCTGGTGACGATATCAGTGTCCGTGATCTTGCCGAGGTCCAACCCCTTCTTTTCTCACAATAGCAGTAAATTGCTTTTGTCTGTCCCTGGCATCCAGAGATAGGAATCAGACTGCAGCCGGCATCCGAGGATAGGGCTTGTACCGTCTGCCGTCATGATCGACGCCTCACCCGCGCCGCGCCGAAGTAGCGTGTGGGGGCTGGGACGGATACGGTGGGTACGCTGGGAGATAGGGCACAAGGAACGAAGACGTGTTACCTCACCTAGGGTTGATATCGGTAGCTCGAAGTCTTGAAGCTATCGAAGTAGCTTTGCGATGGGGTCGGCGAGGCGGCACAGCTATCTACCTTGGTAGGCAATGTGTCAAATGTTGTGTCCACGTTTTGACAGTGTTGACAGCCCTGACAGCCCCATCATCCTTCGATCCGATCCTGTTTGATCGGACACAGGGATGGCGATCTAGTTATCTTCCCACATTGCCGTGGAGACATCCTGGAGTCGTATGCAGGTACGATATCGCAGTTGTAAGGCTCTGAAGCACTTCCTCAGTATTCAGTCAAACCATCTCTCCCACTAGTGATAACGTGGCAGAAGGCCCAAACACTCTCTGGAGCGTCGACCTGTCGTTCAATTGAATATTGCTTTCAACAACCGTTGCGTGAGATAGGACCAACAAGCAAACCCAACGTCCCCGGTAGCATAGCCGTGACTGGACCAAACTTCCAAAGCATACACACAACCCATCTTTCCCATCTTTCCCGTCTGCGCCGTCGGGCTGAAGCTGTCCCAAGCAATTGCTTATGGTGGAGCAATACTTGGAAGCTTATCCGATCTACATCAACCCTCAACCCTAGCAGCATGCTAACACTCACCCTGACGTTAATCATGTCCCCACGTCTAGCTTTCCTTTTCTGCTCCACCGGGCACCACAGGTAGCCGAATAGAGCGCAACTACAGCCCGAACGGGGACTACATGCCTCGATCCAGTCTAAGCGACCCTGTCCAGTCGTCTCGGCGGATGTGGATCATAACTAAGCCTCATGTCGATCATCAAGATGGGTAGACTAGGGCTGGCGAGGGACGACGTCGGATGGACGCCCGAGAGTGGATGTTTGTGGGATTCGGCGATGAGATGGAAAAGTATAGGGATGTATTAGGGATGTGATCGACGTTGAGGACGTGGGAGAACGATTGCAGTAGACTTCACATGGGAGTAGCGAAAGGGGGACCTACAGAGTCGGTATATTGTATCCCAAGGAAAGCAAAACAGCTCCAGTGTGCCACAATCCAGAGACATATAAGATACCTCTTTTCCCCCTCTACAACAGAATCATCATCACAGTCAGTTCATCCTCTACAACCACATCTTCACTACAACACTACACTCCAATCAAACCACGCAATCACCCACAACCACCACCAAAATGCAGTTCACACTCGCCACCTTCACTGCTCTCCTGAGCCTCACCTCCGCCGCCGCTGTCACAAAGCGCTACCCCGCCACTCTCGTCGAGCGCCAGAGCGGTATCTGCGGCGGCCTCGCTACACCTCTTTGCTGCCAGACTGACGTCCTCGGTGTCGCCAACTTGAACTGCGCCAACGGTACGTTTCATTCCTATCTTGGCTTATAAATGAACAAAGAACTGACAGAGTCGTTATAGCTGGCGCTGGTATCAAGACTACCGAGGAGTTCAACGCCGCTTGCGCCAAGGATGGTACCACTGCTCAGTGCTGTGTCCTGCCCCTTGGCGCTGATGGACTGCTTTGCACTGCTGCTTAGATTGTCCATGACATACGAGCTTTACTGTTAAGACAGTGAGCCATCGAGAAGGATCTCTGGTGGACATGTGAGATGAGCGATGAGATAGGATGGCGTCTGGTTGTCCTGGAGAGGGAGATTTGTGGATACATTTACCGTTCTCGCTGTTCCTGCCTCTCACTCCTTTGGGTGGAACATTTTGTACATATATTTTAGTGTTGGAGACCGATAGAGAAGGTGGTTGTATGATAGAACAAGAAAGTTGCTTTCCTGACAAGTCCTTCTCTTCTTTTGGACTTTACAAGTGTGTCTGCAGCAGATTGAGACATGGTTCAATCCGTGGTTCCTGCTCAGATCTGTAACAGACTTACGCCCGTGTGTTCAATTTTAAAATTGCAAAAACATGTTCAGACAGGGAGCTCGATCTTCTCATGATAGAAACACCCCCAGGATAAGATATCATGTATTGCATGCTTCCTAGATGGCACCTAGACAACCACCATGCACGCCGTGATCCAATACCGCATACCCAGATACCCAGCCGCGCTTATGCATTCATGAACGAAATTGCCTCCCTCCGTCTTCCTCATTCAAACTCCAGACTGTCCCTGACGCACTTCCGCACCCTCTTCTTAAACTCCGGTGTGTTGTCTCGCCACAAGCTCGCGGCTTCGACGTTTGCTGGTGACTCGTCGTTCGGGCTGGACAGCATAGAGATGACGGAGAGGAGGATGGTCTCGGGCGTTTGAACGGGCGACCAGCGTTCAGCGGCGGATTCGTAACCGTACTTGTCTTCTTCTGGGGGGTGTAGGATCGAGATGCATACTTCGCCGTTTTGGTAGACTTCACGTTATTAGCGAACCAAGTAGTAGGATCATAGGACGAAGACTCACTGTTGGGGTGGAAGATGGGTGTCTCGAAGCGCATCTTTGGCGGTAGAAGAGGGTATTCGCTGGGAAAGGTGAGGCGCGCGCGAAAGAACCCTCCTAAGCACGCTGTCAGTACTGCTGTGGCACTCTGCTAGGACTATCGCTCAGTCAGTACCTCCGTAGAACTTTGTGTCATCGTCGATCATCAGCATCACCTCCCACTCGAACACATTGCTGTCCACTAGACCACAGCTTATGCCCGATATGCTCTTGTCGTTTTGCATTTGCTTAAGCTGGCGAGCCAGCAGCCCCGCTGCCGCAGACGACGATGCCATGATATCTTTCCAAGTGTGTATGTAGAAGTGGCGTCCGAAGTTGAATGGTATGCGCAGAGTGAACAGGTGGGGGATGCGACTGGGAGACGCTTATGACAGAGAGGCGCAGAGATTGCAGACGTTTTACAGCAATCCGGATACAGTTGTGCCTGCGTGAGAAAGTTTCGTGTGCGCCAGGTCAGTTGCGGAAAGAGGGTAGGTGGAAATTCCAGAGGCGCGTTCGGGCGTAGGACGTGGAGGCCTCTTAACGGCGGGTGTGGCGGGGCAATCTGCGGGCGATCGGCAGGGGCCTATGTGTTGACCGTTGTGAGTATTGGGCTGCTCAGTAAGTAATATAATCGCAGGAGTCAGATTGTATCGTCAGTCGCCCTAGCCGAAGGTGTGGTGCGTGACAGTGTATCAAGAAGCAAGTCTGAATGAGCCTCCAATCGTTGGGGTGCATGTGGCGGTATGCGCCAAGTCGAATATCACATGGCAGGGGTGCCTTGGGATATCCAGGCCTTCCCTTTTGCGTTTGCTCTGCATCGAGAACGGGTACATGCCGAATTCCGGTCCTAGAGGCGCGTGAGAGAGCTGGATCTGGTGCTTGCAAGATCGTGGATGGAACCCAAAAGAGATGAGCAACGTGAGAATCTGGACCTCGGCTTGAAACTCGATAAGCCCTACCACGCCCTTACACCAGAGAAGCTTCGTAGTTGCAAGAAAGATTATTATTTGCTTGTAGGTATATTGATTCAAGATTAACTCTACTGGCCCAATGCCCTTCCGTCTCCATCTGTCCAAACGCCCATGACGCCGTCGTACCATGACCGATGCGATGCCACCCCGAGGACCCGTATCTAGGGTATCATTGATCCAAAGGGATATAGATTGGATAAGAGCCGAAAAGGCGACAAAACGTAAAATCATACAGATCAAGAAGCTTGGATCATCCGAAGATCCGGAGAAAGCCCCATAACCCGGCTCCGCAAAGCACGGGGATGGTGAGATTGTCGTCCCAACCAAAGACGTCAATCGCTTCGCTAGCACTGGCAATGACGCCAGACGCCAGGGACATGGCGCCCAGAGCCCAGTATCCGGTGAGAGAAGCTTGTTTCGGGGACAAGGCGAGAGTCTCCCGCACCTGCGAAGGGAGCGTCAGCGCGCCCTGGAACGCAAAAGCGTGTTCGCCGTGGTTGTATTCTGAGTAGAGAGGCCCTAACCAGCCCCACCATACGACAGCTGTGATGACACCCGTTACGCAGGCCGCTATGGAGCCCGCAAGACTCTTGCCTTTTCTGACTCTGGGCGTAAGGTGGCCCCAGAGCCTGCCAAAAGTCGAGGCAGCGGTGTCACACCAACTCAACAGTAAGATGCTCATGACTGCAATGTCTTTTGGGCAAAAGCGCATTACAATCCACGCGCCTAGGAGGTAGGAGATGACGCCGTTGTACCCATCTACCTCCGACTCGCGCATGAACGCACCCAGGCAGCGGATATAGAAACGATTCACTTGCCAGTAACGGTGGCGTATGACGTCGGTCAGGGCGATGGGTATTAGCATGGTCAGGAGGACGTTGTGTATCTGCGACGTTTGCGTGCCGATGCAGTAGAGAAAGATGGTGAGAAAGCCGATAGAGACGTGCAGGATCTTGCGGGGGATCTCGTGTCGGTGAATCTATCAACGTCAGTAGTGTTTCTTGTAGATACGGCGTGCGTACTCACGAATGACCGCCATTTCTGGTGGATGGGAATCAGGCCCAGAGGACTTGGGCTTCTGCTCATTTCCCTCCAGTAATTCTTGTTTGCTTGCGCTGGCGACAGGTGGCCGTTTGAGGTGTTGGCAGGCAGCGTGAGATCCTTCTTCATGCCCCCGTTCATCTGCCTTCGGCTCGTCAGGCCACTCATCCTCCGTCTCCCCACGCCTCCATCCAGCTTGGGACTCCGGCTCCTGGCGCGAGCCCTCTTGTCGGGATCTGAGCTGGACGAGTCCTCATCGATGGGCGGAGGTGACGTAATTCGTTGTTTGCGCGTCGACGAGCGCGTTACCGGGCCAAAGTAGCCATCTTTCGTGCTGCCCGCCTCCGAGGGGGTGGGTGACGGCGATATTACGCGCGGCGTGTTGGGTATCTGGTATTGGCGTGAAGATTCCATGGCAGCGCGCCAACAGGTGGGAAAGTAAGGTAAAGTAGGAGCCCGGATGACGCCGGAAAGTGTGGAGCGGGCCCTGGCACACAACAAGGCGATGTTTACAAGAAGAAACTGGTGGTCCGAGGGTTGCGAATATATGTAACGAGGCTGAGTTGGCGCGTCACAGCTAACATACGGGACGGCGGCACTTAAGGTGGCTTCGACATTGGTGTCAGCATCAGGTGTGATCACAGACTCATAGCCCGCGGATTCGTCCGGGCAGCGCGCATCGTTTAGGGAGGCAGAAGATGCCACAGTGCGTGCAGGCGACAGCAGCGGTCGTCTTGATTATTATAGGCGGGTAAACAGGGAACGTATTGGGGGGTACGGCTAGGTAATCTTGCTGCATGGAACTGGGAAATTTGATCGCAAGCCTACGCATGTAGTTACGATCCGGTTCTCGCGAATGCGCCTATGATCAGCGTGGCTGCGGATCCGTCTTGGCGATGCGATCAGGTTCCAGTTGTAAGGGGGTGGAAGCGTGTTGTCATAGCAGAAAGGTGAGCTGGAATGCAGTGTATCTTGCCAACACAAGCTTCTGGCAGATTCATTCGAGACAGTGACAAGTGACGATCTCGCATGTCATCAATCGTGTCTGCCAGTAGGCACATGTGGCGCACGGCTGTGGCGCGCTCCATGTGGCTGTGCGTGGCTCCACTAAAATTTCAGAGTTCGCGCGACTTTTCCGTACAGCCGTCGCGACTTTCCAGCAGCTTCAGAAGACATTGACACAAGTGTTACGTGCATCATGGCACCCCAAACAAAGACAGATCGATCTTTTGGCGCCTTGACGCCTGCCTTGTCAGAATGGATACTCGAGGCTGTGGATTCCATGGGCTTTGTGAAAACCACGCCTGTACAACATGCTGCCATCCCCATGTTCATGAAGAACTCTGATGTTGTAGTCGAAGCGGTCACAGGAAGTGGAAAGACTCTAGCGTAAGATTCGCACCACGAAATCTCATTTTTATCTAATAAGCTACTAGTTACCTGATACCCATTGTTGAGCGTCTGCTGCGGCTTGATACGCCCATAAAGAAGCATCACGTAGGTGCCATTATCATCTCACCAACAAGAGAACTCGCAACACAAATTCACACTGTACTCTCGTCACTTCTGAGGTTTCATGCGCCCTCGGCAGCCCTACTGGATCCCGAGGATGAAGACACCGACATGGAAGACGCCGATGCTCCACCAAAGCCGACCTTCCCACCAGGAACATTGAGGGTCGTACCTCAGCTCCTACTTGGAGGATCAGTAACGCCAGCTCAGGACCTCAGTAGGTTTCTCAAGTCATCTACCAACGTACTCATCGGGACACCGGGACGTCTACTGGAACTCCTCTCCTCGCCGCATGTGCATTGCTCACAGTCGTCCTTCGATGCTCTCGTGCTGGACGAAGCCGACCGCCTTCTAGACCTTGGCTTCAAGGACGACCTACAGAAAATCCTCTCCCGACTACCAAAGCAACGCCGGACCGGTCTCTTCAGTGCTAGTGTTTCCGAGGCTGTCGACCAGTTGATTCGTGTTGGTCTCCGAAATCCTGTTCGTATTGCAGTCAAAGTCAAGGCGCGAGCTGCACCCAATAGTGCGACAGGAGAGATGGGCGCCATCGAAGACAAGAAAACACCAGCAAGTTTACAAATGTCGTACCTTACCGTACCCGCTTCGCACAAGCTACCTGCAATCAAGAAAGTGCTCTCGTCCTTAGAACCACAGCCGCAAAAGTCCATCATGTACCTGGCGACATGTTTTTCGGTTGACTACTTCCAACACATCTTGCCCGAAGTCCTCAAAGGGTACACCATCGTGCCTCTGCACGGCAAACTGCCGGACAAAGTTAGAAACCGCAACTTCATCAAATTCGTCGAGAGCGTCACACCGTCCATCCTTCTCACCACAGATGTCGCTGCACGTGGTCTTGATATCCCCTCGGTGGATCTTGTGCTTCAACTTGATGCCCCAAGCGATCCCAAGACTTTCATCCATCGTTGCGGACGCGCAGGCCGAGCGGGCCGCAAAGGTTTGGCCATTACATTCCTCAGCCCAGGACGAGAAGAGGACTACATTGAGTTCCTTCGAGTTCGGCAGACCCCTGTATCGCCTTTTACCACATCTGATGTTACAGTAACCGCGGAAGAAGCAGCAGCCATGAGCAACCGGATACGGAAGGTAGTCAAGTCCGACCGAGCACTATTTGACAAAGCACAGCGGGGATTCGTTTCATGGGTCCGTGCCTATAGCAAGCATACCGCGAGTTCCATCTTCCGTATTCCAGATCTCGATTGGACAGAGCATGGTAATGCCTGGGGCCTGCTCAAGCTACCCAGCATGCCGGAACTGAAAAAGTGGGAAGGAGACCGAAGTCTGGGGGTGGAGATGGATTTCAGCACCTATGCATACAAGGATAAAGTGCGGGAACAACAACGACAGACCGAGCAGAGTGAATACGAGGCAAATAAGGCTGAGGGCAAGAAGCGATATGTCACAGAAGACAAGAAGGCCTCGGCATGGACGCAGCAGAAGGACCAGAAGGCGCTCAAGGAACTACGAAGAGAGAAGAAGGCAGCGAAGCGCGAGCATGATCGTGTGGCGGCGTTGACGGAAGACGAAAGGAAAGAGGAGCAAAGAGTGAAGGGTATGATTGAGCAGGTACGGAAGAAGGTAGCAGCGAAAGAAGCACAAGAGGCGGAAGATGTGTTTGAAGGGTTTAGCGATTGATCAGGGTATATGCATGGAGTTTGAGGAACCTAATATGTGCCGGTGTCTGGGTGTTCAGGCGCCTGGCCCTTATACTATTGCAAGAATTATCGAGTCGGACTACCCAGTAGTCGATATACATCACTTTGCAAGCCTTATCTACTCATCCTCGAGAGGTTAGAATGCACCAGTGATCATGACCATTTGAAGCTCGGACCTTGCGACTATATTTCTAAATCCCACCCAGCCGCTGAGTAAGGACGTCCACATTATGTCACGCCTTCTCCTTTCTCGTGCCTTCTGGTCTTCGGCTCATGCTCCAGGTCTCTTTCCGCGCCTTCTCTCTCACCTTGTTTTCTTCAGCTAGGTAATCTTTGGCTTTTGGACTCCCACCTTCTCGTAGAGCGTACTAATGACATGAACAATATCTCCCTCCTGCAGCAATGGGTCTCTAGTCCCTCCGTCTCCCAGTTCAGTCAGACGCGCCTTAACGGCCTCAATGATGTAGGCGCGCACCTTACGTGCTGAACCATGGGTAAAAGACGAAAGGACAGTGAGGAGACTGAGGACTTTGGGAGATATGTCTTTGGGGTCGTCTGGCATCATGGAAGCTGGCAGGAAAACCTCCCACTTCCAGTTCCAATTGTAGAAGATTGCCATACCGACATCGTGTTGGGTACACATCTGTTCAGAGTCACTGGTAAGAACTTCTTGTACTTCCTTTTGGACGGTGGCGTATGAGCGCGTGATGCGGATGGTGTTGGCTTGAACGAAGCTTCCGGGGTTTGCGCCAGCACTGGAAACACACATGATGTGGGCGCACCTTTGTTGATCGGTGAGGTCCTTACTCCCGGTTAGCTATCGGTACTTCTTTTTTCTTCCAGATGTTCCTACCTCCCATGCCAGTCCAACACCATCAGTCATCCAGTCTACGTTTGCGCTGTCCTCGCCGTTGTACATGATGCAGTTCCACGGCTTGTAATATTTCATGGTCTCGTCTCGACTGATAGCAACTTGTACAATCTGTCCCGATACGCAATTGCGAAGGTCATTGATTGGTTTGGCGCAGATGTCGTAGACCGCAGCGTAGTTGGTTTTGAATATTGAACGAATATCGCAGAGGAGATTGAAGTGCTTGTCGGGATTCCGGATTATGAAATCCTTCTTAGTCTTTTCGGTCGAAGGGCAGTGAAGAGTGACTTTGATTGCCATGAATACGTTGGTATCATTATACATTTGCTTCGGATGATGAGCGCAAAGTAGTTGGAGGAAGGATAGAAGGACAGTCAATTGGAAAGAGAGAGAAAGAACAAGAGGGCAAGTCACAGGAACTGGAGCACTTGTGACAGGTCTCCTGGCTTGTAGGTGAGCGGCTCTTGAGCGTTTGCAGTGCACGAGATTTGACGCAACGATACGTCACTACTATATCGTGGGCGCTCTTAGACCGACGAAACTTTCCTCCTGGCGGCCCTAGAGATCTGACTGTCGCTTTCCGATTCTATTCCTTCAGTTCCAAGGCAGTACAAAGTCCACTGAATTGACTGGAACTCCTCAACGTAATCTTTTAGAGAGTATCCTTCTCCCGCACGCCGTGTTTAGCGCCTAACAGCACTACTGGCGAAATCATATAACACGAATTTGTTTGAAAGTGCGTTTGATGTGGGGAGGCTGGCCTTTGTTGAAGAGTGCGTGATGAAAGAGCACATAATGTCAGGTGCTGTCCTGTTCGGAAATCTTTCTCGTTGACTGTTTTGGAGTCTCTGAACGACCTGTCTGCAGCTCAATGTGTACGGAGCTATTAGTGAGACTATGTTTCACGGACACAAGCAGGTTTAAGTCACGAAATTGGTTATAGCCAATTCCTGGACCAAGTCCGTCTGCGCACACCACACAACACGTGTCACTACCCTAATGAGCCTTCGGCTTTTCGGGAGTGATGGTAGTGCGCCTATTGTAGACTCTTCCAAACGCTTTGGTTTTGACTCAAAATGATTTAACGACTCCAGAGCTCACGAGATATCTAGAATCGCAGCCACTGAAAGTCATCATGAGCAAGCACCAAATTGTGTCCCTCGCCCCAAATTTGCCCTTCGGTTGCGAATCGGAGTGATCCAATCTGAATTAACGGAAAGAGCTGGTCGCAGTGACTTGCATCGAACGCTTTGAAGTTGTTCGACGTAGTCTGCAGGGTGTTGCGCATGGTGTTATGCAATTTGCGAGCCTCTATCTGGTCGACGCGAAGCCTCCGTGATAAGGTTATGGGGTTATGACCATTTCCTCCGAGCGCAACCACTTTTGTTGGGGTACGCAAATTCAGTATCATGCGTTCGGTATACAGAACACTGAAGTGAGGGTTGCCTTGGAACAGCAGATTCGCGAGCGTTTTCAGGAAGATGGCGATGTAGTCGAATAGTTGCTTGGCAAAACAAGTAGGGGAATGTTCTAACAGATGAGCCAGCTCATGTTCATGGGGTACAAAGGACTCGCGAGGCCCGTCTCGGAGAGGCTCACGAGTGCGCAAATCGACATTGATGAGAAGTTGGTTGAAGGTAGGCGAAAGCGCCGCAAATTGAACCCAGCTCAGGGAGAAGTACGGCCGACCATGCGAAAATGTGATGTCGAATTCATAGTTTAGGCGTTTTGCGGCGACCAAATGTTGAATTGCCTGCTTAAACTCTCCATGGATCTGGCGACATACGCGCAGCAAGCCGCGATAGCACCGAAGCGGTAGATCGTTCCTCACATAATGCTCTGACACCACCATGACCCCACGGAAAGATCGCCCTAGCTCTTCACCAAGTAATATCTCGTATACATGGTTTCGAAGTTCAAGGGGTAGATCCAAAAAGCCTGGCATGTCGCTGGGTGCCACATGTGCTGATGCGCCTGTCGAAGATCAGGGTCCAGCGGCACACGGAAGTTCGGAAGCGAGACCGAAGGATCGCGAGTGCGGTACGCTGCTGAAGTCGCTGCTTGCGGAATCAAAATGTGCGTGAGCAGAGCCGTGAGAAGGAAGCTGACGTAACCAGGAGCAGTGAGATATGATTTGGAAATCAGATGAAGTGAGATTTGTGGGTTTTCGACGCGGTTCAGCGTGTGAAACCGATCGGTCCGTGCTGCCCACGTGATTGGATCTGGGCTCATTGATTTGCGACGGCGCCGCGACACCGTCGTCATCGGCGAACCGTTGCGCTACTGGAAATGGCATCTCGCAGCAGCTTCATTGTTGTGTCACATCCGATACGTCGTCGCTTACATGGATGACTACGAGCTGGATCGCATTGCATCGGACAACCCTGCTCTGACTGCGCCTGCAGCACAGCGGGCTCCCATACGACGCCTCAAGTCTCAAGGCCAAACGACGTCGAAATCCCAACCTACTGGTTCTCAAGCTGCGCCTGCGCCTCTAGAGCTGACCAAGTACGACGTATGTGTTCAATGAAACGGCACCAGAACCCTGCGCTGAACAAACGTAGGTCGGGTGGCGGAGGATCGTCCGAAACTTTTCGCCGTCATGGTTCTCTGTGACTATGGGCACGGGAATAGTATCCCTACTTCTCGTCGCTATACCATTCAAAGCAGACTGGCTCTATTGGCTTGCTGTGGTCTTTTTCGGTCTCAATACTGTCTTGTTCGCATCCGCCTTCTCGGTCTCGGTCTTTCGATATGCTGTCTACCCTGAGATATGGACCGTTATGATTGCGGACAGCGTCAATTCGCTCTTTCTTGGAACCATCCCGATGGGATTCGCGACTCTCATCTCAGCTTGGTGCTCAATATGCATCCCATACTGGGGATCTTGGGCCACCACCTTTGCTTGGGTTTGCTGGATGATCGATTCTGTAGTCGCCGTGTCTGTCACAATATCGCTCACCATTCTGCTAATATCTGCATCCGATCGACAGGCTTTGGATCGTATCACTGCAGCTCAACTACTACCCATCGCTGCGTCTATCGTTGCGGCTGGTACTGGTGCCAGAGTCGCCGAGCACCTGCCCAACCCGCAACATGCTCTTGGTACGATCATCGCATCATATGTCATGTGGGGCATGTCTACGCCATTGGCTATGACTGTCTTAGTCATGTACTATACACGTCTGGCTTTGCACAAACTACCACCGCGAGAGATTGTTGTATCGTCTTTTCTACCGCTGGGTCCGTTGGGTATGGGCGGTTATTCGATAACATATCTTGGTATGGTGAGCCGACGAGTGTTCCCAGAAACGGAGTTTTTCTCAGATATCCCTGTGGCAGGCGATATCTTCTTCGTTGTCGGGATTTTTCTAGCGCTCATAATGTGGGCGTTTGGGCTGACTTGGCTCTGCTTTGCCCTGGCATCTATCTACAAGTCACGCCCGTTCCCGTTCAACATGGGCTGGTGGGGGTTCACCTTTCCTCTTGGCGTCATGGCGCTTAGTACGATGGAACTTGGAAACATCTTTCCGAGTCTATTTTTCAGGGTTTTGGGGACGATCTTTGCTGTTGCCGTCATTTTACTATGGTGCGTGGTAGCTGTTGGGACGGCACAAGGTGCATGGAGCGGCCGTCTTTTCAACGCACCATGCCTCAAAAATCTACCCAAAAAAGATTCTTTAGGAAACGACGAAGCCGAGAAAGAGAGAGGGCCACCGCAAACATGACCATGGCTTTCTATGACGGTGGCAATATTCTGTTTAAGGGTGAAGACGACAAACGGGTGCAAGAGGAATGATCGTATATCGCGTTGCATTTCATCGTAATAGTTTACTTGCTGTGCAGCCCTCCTGGAGCAAAGCACCAAGCCTCCTGCTCTTCGTCCTACGGCTACACAACCCCCGAAGCCCTCCGATACGCTATCGCGAACACTGTGCTAGGCCACTCAGGCGCTTGCAGCTGTGCATTGATCTACCACTGATTAGCTTTAACTCAAAACTTCGGCACTGTTCAACTAACCTTTCTGTGCCTGGCACTCCTGAGTGGAAAAGTTTCCATTTCCACCATTGGCCAAGTTCGCACAGCCGTTGAACTGTTGGTCGCAAGACCGCTGCAGAGCACCTGAAAGGTTGACGAAGGTGTCGCCCTTCACACTAAAGGGGCGGTTCGCGATACCTGAATCGAGTACAGGTGTGGCTGCCACACCACCGAGAGCGCCGGTGAAGGTTTGTGCATTGTTCTGGCGGACCCAGACAGCGCGTGCGTTGGCGAGAGCGGCGATGCCGAGAACAAGAAGAGTGCTGGTGAACTTCATTTTGGTAGAATGGATTGCACGGTATAGACTGTCGAAAAAACTGGGTATCTTAATATTGTATTGATGAACGAATGGGGCGGCCGAGCGCAGGAGAAGAGAATGACACGAAGTGAATGTAAGTTGAGTGAGTGTTAGCTTGATGATGGACTCTTGTCGAAAGCCTCTCAGTATATATATTTTCACGGCATCTACATCTGTATCTTCAACGCGGCTCGCAAAATTGGTAGGTAGAGCTGTAATGCCGATGTGTTCATGTTCCATGGTCGTGCCTCAGGCACCTGAAACCCCGCAAGTCTTGAAACCGACACACCAAATGCTTCATTGCCTTATAACCGGCGACGCGACAAAACAACTGCACCACTCGAGCTACTGCTGGAGACGATAATGTTTACAGCTCAGGTTTGACAGGCGGTGACAGCTGCTTGCAGCCATGATCCTGGATTTCGGTAGCCGCGTGGACGTGGCGTCATTTGTCTCGCGTTGCTTCGTACGGTGATCCTTTCTACGTCGTTATCATATGTGATACGCTATAGTGTTCGAGAATGTCATTGACCACGTCGGAAACATCGATTCGAGCTGTATAGGCGACAATAGAGGCATGCAGGCGCCGTGCGGATTGTCGCAGGACCTGACGCACAATATCCTGAGTCGTAGTGAGACAGTTGAGCTTCGTGGAACGCTATGGTACATATCCATCCTTTCGATCATTATAACTGTGACAATTTTTGGATTCCCTCACTGTCTTACGATATCAGATGTACCATCGCTTTCTGTCTAACCTTCCCACATTTCCCATATCAGACCTTGCAAACGCTATCGCGCCTACCGCCTCATCTGGGCAAACATCCCCTATCCGTACGGGGTAGTCGCGCAACAACGCTGTTCTTTCCAATCCACTCAGCGTAGTTCCACCTGTAGGAGTCGGGAAGTAAGGGTTCAACAGCGTCAGCGAAGATGCGTAACCGATGATATCCGGTACGAGCGTAATATATTTAAGAACAAGTCCCGTATAGGCCGCAGCTAGCAGTACAATCGAACAAACCAATAGCGCTGTGAGCCATTTCCAGTTCGTTTTGTAGATGGGTTTTGTTTTCTGCAATACGTCGGCATCGGTTGCGACGAATTTCACACTAGAGACCGAGTCTGTGGTCTGCGTAGTGTTCAACCAGGCAGTCTCCATTACAGATGCTGGCAAACTTCCACCGAGCGCTCGCGTGCCATAAGTAGATTGCCAGAATGTGTTGTACAGGATGGTCAATCGCTCGCCAAAAGCCTGTGGTGGTAATTTGTAAAGTTCGACGTTGACAAAACCCAGACCGATGAAGTTGGATGGATCACCTATCCATTTCTCCATTGTCGTCGAGCCTTTATGATACCTTGGTGTTTCTGTCTTGTAGAAGTCGAGGCTCGGCATTACTCCAAGTAGGGTCGAGGTAAATCTCCGGATAACAATGTCGTAACCAATCGGATAGTCTTCATCGAGCAATCCTAACTTTCTCATCTTGTAGACGGCACAAGCTGTCCCGTTGCAGCGCACTCCAGCTTCATACTTGTCGAACGAAAGCTCACAGTTGGCTATTGAGAATTTATCTTCTCTGTCTTGGGCGACAGATTCACTCCGAATCGGACAGGGGTAACCATAACACCATGGGGTGGGACAGTCTGTTGCGTTGTTCCTGCAAGGCGGCTGTGTTTCGTTGTGAATCTGGAGTTGCCATGAGAAGTCATCAGTGAAATCCGCTGGTTTGTCTTTTGGCCCTTCGTTGCTCAGGCACTTCAAATCCCATTGTCGAGCTTCTATGTTGAAAGAGGTGAAGCCAACAGATGGTGGTCCAACAACCGGAATACCAATCAGAGAAGCGTACGTAATATTAGCGGCGGTAGAGTTGGGGACTAATTTCCACTCATCAGGCGTGCTGTTCTCGATAGTACGGTAGAGCGGAAGCTTGACGTTCCCCCATAGGTCCATCGGTGTACTCTGATATCTGGTGCTGCTGAGTATAGCTGCGAGCGTAATGGGCGTGTAGGTGTTACGGCCAAGTTCTGTGAAAAGAGTAGATATGAAGTCAGTGGGTATTTCATACCGTGTTCGTGCATGTAAACTTACCGGCGTAGGAGGCGCCACTCATCATAGAATCCATGATCGTCATAGGACTCATGTAGCGTATTTGGCTAGCAAAATGAATTTCCCTAACTTCTTGGTTCAGCAGCCGAAGCGCGGATTGTCCACCCACTGGCGAAAGAAGCCAAATCAAGACAGATGCTAGCCCAACCATAGACCAAGACCTCAGGCAAATCTGACGCTCGAGTGCGGAGAAGACGGACTGGCAGCCAATCAGTTGTTCAAGACGACCAAGACTTGTGCCTCGCTGAGCCAGCCAAAGTTCGAGGTGTCGAAAGAACCTTCCCATCAAAGCCGCAAAGATAAGTGGGAATATGGTTGGCGAAAGAAGTAGGGTTTGTTCCAGCTTATGACCATAGTCTGACACTTCTTTTCCGTTCAGCCTAACAGCGACAAAAGCGAGTGCTATACAGTATTAGAACTTATTCCATGTGACCGCTCCCAGTTCGTAAAGGGGGAATAACGACATGCCAAGACTGGTGGTACTCACCTAAAAACATAATGGGCGTCGATGCCAGAACCACATCAAATACCATGATCAGTACTTTCAGCGGTGTGATCGTCGCTACTTTCTGTGAACGCGATGGCCATTTCTGTACTCGTTTTTCGTGAGATGTGTCCTTGTTGTCTTTCACACCGTCTTCCCCATCGTGATCTCGTGAATCATCCAAGCTGTTGCTATACGACCCAGCATCATATTGGATGCTCAACGCATCCTCCACCGACACACGCGGACCTTTAATGTTGTGTCCAACAGGTTCATAAGCCATGACGTTCAGAGTTGCGGTAAGATGTAGTGGGCAGAGCTCTGAGAATGATAGGAACGGCGGATCAAGAAGGAATGCGTTCAAGAAGTGCCCCAGTACCTAAGTTACTGGGTACTCAGGTACCAACAATGCAGGACGGGACGTAAGATATGCAACCATGCCTCCCTTGCGTCCGGCATAGTGTAGCCTGCGGTGGGCACGGCGTTTCGCCGAAGGATGAGAACCCTGCTTCGCTGGAGCAGACGCGTTAAGCGGCTGGCTAGGCATACTTTCTCGAACCTGGAGCATTGTGACATGTACGCGCCCGGACTGAGCTAACCGTGACGCGCCATGCCGCTGTGTGGTGGACCGACTTGGTTTTCGCCACTAAGCCGCTAGCGTCATCCGGAAATAGTTTAACGCAAGGGTCATGATATCTGCACTTGCAGAACGGCGGACATTGAACACTTGTATGCATTCCCCACAATCCCTAACCGTACCGTCGGCACCACAAGACTCGACTACAAGTGATCTGTGTCTGTGGTACACGTCTCCATTGTCTGAGCAGATCTAGCGCGTGCAATGTTGCCAATATCCCGTATTGGTCAACCCGCGCGATGAGGATCACCGCTTTTCTTTGGTCAGCTGGAACTGGAACCCATATTCCACGGCGCACGGATAGAAAACAGGTCAGAGAAATGATGGGCCTGTCAAAGAGACAATGGCCACTCTTCTTGGTGCCTTCCCCGCCTGGCAACTGGTTGCTATGACATCGTTGTACTAACTCCTTCTCAGCACATCTCGCTCGCAATTTGCAAAGATTTTAAAGGCGTCAAATGGTCAGAACTCGATCCTAAAAAGAAGGACGATATCTTCCAAGAAATCAAGGATGCCATGCGAAAGAGCAAGCTTCCGGCAATAGATGACCAGGGAATTGAGTGGCGTGTATCATCAGTCCTGCCCTCGCTACGGCACATGCAGCGCTGTATGCACATCTACAGTGTTCAGTATAGCTTTTTGCTGATTCAATTACAGTTGCAGATCCTTTCAAAGATTGGCAGAATATGGCTGGGACAAAATTCCCACATGTGAGTATGATGCTGTGAATATGCTTAATAAAGTCGAGCGCTGTCCTGGTTCTGACAAAATCTCTAGAGAGTATTTCGCGAGGCGATTGATGCAAAATTTCGAGGGATTCATGCGAAAAGAAAAGACCTCCGCTGCTGGACGCAGATTCCCGAAGAAATACGACTTGAACTTGCTGCAGAAAGTAACAAGCGACTTGTTCAGCTTGGGCTTCCTACGATGGATGAAGAGGTCGTGTTGGAAAAATTAAGAAAGTGCATGAACCATTGGATGAAGGATCAAACTGAGCTCACGCCTCGGTAGTGTAATCGCAATTTTTCCAAAGAGCTGTTGCTAGTGGGCTTGACTGGTTCAAACAAGAGCAGCCAAGGACAGACTTACGACTGGCTTCAGAACGGCTACTGTGTATCTCAGGGAACGGTTCACATTGTATTACCTGTAGCACAACAGCGTAAAGCCATCTTGACCTCTCTCCGACCATATATCCTGGGTATCGATGCTCTCCACTCCTGCTGTCATCCTTCAGAACCGAATCGCAACGCAGAGCGCGTCCTGGACGACCTACCCTACGCAAGTGAGATCAGAGGCGGCGACTCCCTCCAAACGATGACCTTCCCTTCTCCCTTGCTCACCGCATCCAACCAACCCCTGAACTCTTTCAGATCAACTCGATATCCCTCAATAAGTGGTATACTCCCCGCCTTTTCCAATTTCACAACCGTTCTCTTCAGCGTCTGCGCACCCTCCTGTGGCAGGATGCTCGATTCCTCTACTTCCGTTGAACCTGCACTGCTCGAGACAGAGCGAATTTCACGATGGAGATGCTTCTGGCCATGGCTCGGGCTGATGAGGTTCTGTAGAGAGGCCAAGCGTCTTAGCGGCTGCTCAGGTGGTGCAGGCGTCGCAGGTGGTTTGCTGAGAATAGGTTCATGGTTGTCGGGAAAGACGGTGTGGAGACAAGTCGATGTGTCGGTAACAGCGGAAAGGTGCCACGCGAGCATGACGTGCGGCGCAGTTTCCTCTTCTGAATTCGCATGTTCTTTGATAAGAACATACGCCCATCGTCCTTCTCCACTATCCGCAAGATGTATCTGATCCCGATATACTCCCAATGTTCTTTTTCGCTCTCCATGTTTGGATCCGATGCCCAATCTCCGTTTCATAGCCTGTGCCTTTGAAGGATGTTCTTGCGCCTGCGCGTTGAAAGCGACAACTTCTTCCTTACTGCGGAAGATATCAATTTCTGCATAGCCAATTTCAGCCATATCGCCTGGGCCCAGGAACCGGATCTCCTTGTGTGGAATGAAGCTAGTGTCGTAGAAACCGACGGAGATAAGGCGGTTGTAGGCTGGTGGAGTAATGCGGCGTGGAAAAGCGGCATGGATAGAGAAGGTCTTCGGGTCAGGAAGGCGCCGGTAGAAGGAATGCATTGCGTGCGACCAGGTCAGGAGGATGGTGAGTAGGGCGGGGGTATAGCCTGGGAAATTGACTTCCCACAAAGCTGAGGATGATGCGGGCAAGGTTGGCAGACCGGTAGCCTTCTTATTGTTTGAGCGGATGTCTTTGACGTCTGGCCGGAACAACTCGTCTCCTGCTTGAGGTGCCAAGCGCTTCTTGGACGGCGCAAGTTTAGTTGGCGACGGAGATTGAACGACAATGTAAGGTACGCTAAATGTAGGTGGTTGACGGAACAAGTTCTCGAAACATGCGCTGTCTCGCGAGGAACTAGCTGCTGGAGTAGGTTGACATGGTACCATATGTTGCTGTGAAATGCCCTTGCCCTCGTCCCAAGACTGTGCACCGACGCGAGAAGGGAAAAGAGGCTTGATACGAGATGTACCCTTCTGACTGGAGAGACTTTCTGACCCAGTGTTGTACTTGTACGCATGTCTTGAACCGCTTGCCTCGATGCCATCGCTACCCACGTTGGGATTTGCATTAGAGTACGCTGGCACATGCTGTTCTTCAAATGCCTCCATTTGCTTTTTGAAAGCGGCGAGAGAAGGTGTATCATACGACGCGCGCGCAGGTTGAGGTCCATCTGATGACACTGAATTGGCTGCAGGGCCTTGAGACGTCATGCGAGGTGGCGAGGAGCCAAAAGTTTGTTGGCCAGACTGAGTTGAAGTCCATGTAGCCTTTACCGGACTCTCGTGCTCTTCTCCTAACTCCGGCAGGCGTTCTTGCATACTTGCGGCCTGACTGAGCACATCTAACCCCATACTTTGCATCCTGTGGTCCGAGCCGTACTCTTTCATCCCGGCAACAAACTCTCGCTCTAGGTCTTTCGGGATCGCAGGCGGAGTAACAAAAGGGGCCGGCTCTGCTGTTCCTACAAAGCGCTTTAACCTCTTTCCCGCCTCGATAGCGCGGGTGATACCAATGCCGCGAATGGTTCTGCTCTTTTCAGGTGTGTTGGGCTGGTGATTGTCGTGGATATTCGGGAATTTTCGCTGATAAGTCGGAAAAGGTGTACAGGGCTCGAAATCAAACCTTGTGTACCGTATGGGGTCCATGGTAGGTGTTGGGGGTGCTGTATCACTGGCGGCCCTCTGTGAGTAGCTTCCAATGTAAGTGTGAAGTTGCTCAATGAGAACATTGATGACGTGGAGCTAGGCGTATGGAGCTCAGGAAAACTGATTGGAGTTTGGAGGTCAGCATCGTTGGTCGGTTGCGGGCTCGTTTCCTTACTCTTGGCGTCGTCTTCGGGGTGGTCGGCCATAGTGAAGGTGAAAGTAAGAAGGATCTAGCGCAGCTTTCTACCTAAATTCTTCCAGACACCTCCGTATAATATATTTTTGAAAGCGATTGCTAGACTTCGATATTGTGAGGTATTGAGTATGGGTAACGGTAACTGAGCAGGCCGTTCTGTAGATGAACAAGAGCTCAAGCAATATTGTCAAATGCAAGGTGACTGACCAATGAATCTGATAAAAGAGAGAGAGAGAGAGAGTAAACAAGAGATCCAACGCGAAGCAGGGAAAAGATCCAATTACCATTATGGCTCCCTCAAAGGTGTCTAACTATACTATGAAACGTGGTATCATTTCGTCTTATCCAAAGCTCCATTCATATCCCGCTATTTCGTCTCAAGGAGAAAGAACTACTCCGTGGTGGAGAAGACATACTCCGCCTCGAGCGTGTAAGCTGGGCTAGCGGGGCCGAAAATCTGCCTGTCTTCACGCATCCATTCAGGGTGGTTGATAGCGTCGATCCAGTCCTGGACCTCCATGACAATGCAGCCATACTTGGGGACCAATCCACTACCTCCCTCAGCGCCTTGAGTAGACTTGATGGGAATGGTACCTGTAACGTTGTCAGTAGTTGTCAAAGCATTCCAAAGGATCTAACATACCATCTTGGCCGGGGCAGCTGTACATCTGGAAAGCCTCTTGGTCGGAGTAAATGTCGAGCTTGATACCAGACCACTCACTAGACAAAGAAGCGACAGGGCCGGAGTTGCGCCAGTCCAGAGTCTCAGCTTGGTTGCGGTTGACAAGGTAGCAGTTATCGTAACCAGTGCAGTTGAAGCCGCAGTTGCCAAGAAGCTCGGGCGCAGTCAGGTTGGCGCCGATCTGCTTGGGAGCCGACCAGAAGTCGTTGACTGAGTATTGCTCGTTAGGAAGGATAGTGCCGGTAGGGATGAGAATATTATCCACATCCATACGTTGGCCCGAGTAGGGGATGTGGAAAGTGTGGTTTAGCGCGGTCTCATCATCAGGGTTGCCGAATCCATCCAAATTCCAGTAAGTCTATTCTGATTAGCCTCGCCTTGATGTGCTAAAATACTAGTCTACTTACGTGGGAAGTCAGCATGATGGGTGTCTTCTTGGTGGTAGCAAGAGCCACAATCTTGATGTTCCAGGTGTATGGGGTCATGGTGTAGGTGACGTAGCTCACGACCTCACCAGGGAAGCCTTCCTTGCCGTCGGGATCGACAATAGAAAAGGTGATGGACTCTTGGGTCTGCGACACAACGGTGAAGTTGCGGTAGTCCCATCCATCTGGTCCACCGTGGAGAGTGTCGTTATTGTTGTTCTCATTCGGCTCGATGTGGAAGGTCTCGCCGTCAATGGAAAAGGTAGAGTTTCGAATACGATTGGCGTAACGACCGGGCACACCACCAAAATGGGGATGAACCTCACCCTCGTATGCAGTCGCGTTGTCGAAACCGAGAACGATATCGCGCTCAACACCATCCTTGCCCTTGACGAACAGATTGGAAATGGACGCGCCATATGGGATAAAGTGACCACGGATACCCTCAGACGAGATCGTGTACTTGCCGTCCTTGTCAGGTCCAAGAGACGAGCTGTTCTGCGCAAAGGCAGCCACAGCAAACAGAGGGAGTACAGTTGAGAACCGCATCGTGACTTGCCAAGCTCGAGTGAGTTGAGAAGTGGAGGTGATGTGATGTGGTGTGGAGAAGAGTATGGGGTTGAAGGGCGGAGAGTGATTAAATACTACAGGGACACACTATCGGCGCAATTACCGTTCCACGATCCTGTGACTAGGATGCTATCCCGCATACTCACTTCTCCAGCCTCCGGGTTTATGGTGCTAACGGGGTCGCACTGGGGAAAAGGGCGGGTCGCCGCTTGAGGGTAGCGAACGTGCGCTTCCCCGCAAAGGTCTCCATGGGTGTCAATTCCCCAGGAACACGGCTATGACGAAACCGGCCCGCACAAGCTTGCAGAAGCTGCACACCGGTCCCTTTCATGCCATGAAGCGCAAAGATCAGCTGTCGCACAATATTGTCGCTCTCAATTGCACTTGCTCTTCATTCATCTGTCGTACCGTGAGGCATCCAGCTCAAAGCCTCGGTCGTCATAGCTCTAAAATCGCGACTAAACAATCTCACTCGACAAGGATCAGTAGAGCAAAAGGCACCGGCAGAAATCACCATTCGCGGAAAATCGCGGAAAAAACTAAGCGCGCCGCTTTGACAGGCAAAGGTCATGGATATAGCTTGGTTGTTGATGTGGAGAGCGGCTGGTGTTGCCCTTGCGAATGAGCTTACCCGTTGAGGCGGAAGCTTGACCACGCCACAGGTCGTATATGCACGCTCGGGATGGTATACTGGATACAGGAATTATGCCGCCATCTTTCTTTGTAGCGACTTGCGGATATTGTGTTTCTATCTAAGCTTCAGAATACAATACACAGCTGGCAGGCCTTGAAATAGGCCACGCCATGTCTCGTTCTTTTAACAGTTGTCATCTGATTAGATGGCCCGAGCTCTCTTTCGTCGTACTCCTCTGCATACCTAGTTCCACACTTGAACCTGCTTACATCTTACATTCGTTGGGTCATCGCATCTATCACCTGCTCATCTGCGTTCGCACTTCAAAAGGTTCAGGTCACCTTTCTACAAATGACGGCCTTCTTCGTCTGGACCAGGCGAGGAAGGTGATCGGAGAGTCGTGTGGCTTCGATTGTCACCAGCGTACACCAGATCGCGGTCATTTCCCCAGTGTGAATCAGTAAAAGAACGTGTGGGCAGAGTGTATGGGTACAGTTCGTTAAGACCCGGCAGAGCCATGTTTACCGGCACTTGAGTACCTTGGAGACCGAGCCCATAGCTAGTGTACGGGTGCTGTCGGTCGTGAGCAAAAGGCTCGACAACGTGATCATCACAAGCACTTTGCCAGTTGGTAATATACTGCTTGTTGTGTTCGGCTGCTACTGCTTGAGCATCGAGATGAGAGACAACCGAGTCGATACGTCCTTGCGGTCGTGGCGCGTCGATTTCGGAGGCGACATTGACAGCAGTGAGCAGGTTGTCCAAACTTGTTCGAGTGGGAAGCTGGTGAGAACGGTAAGAGCTTAGGCCTTCGAAATAGGGCTGGTTCTCCTGGTATTGATGAGGAGTATCGTCAACGGTTCGAGAAAAGTCTTTCGATTCAGGTACCATCGAAGGCGCCATCGGAGCCTCATATGCTGACACCTTCTTCTTAGATGCAGCTGAGGGAGCCCGTTGTAACAGTTGTGACGGAATCATACCCCCCTTGCAGCTCGGGTGTTCGTTCCAGCTTACGCTCGGCTTGTTGTTCTTCGCCCAGCAGCCGGTAGTTGTTTCCAGGTTGTCAAGCTTGTTACCCCAGTGATGCTTCTTGACCCGAGATCTGCTGGAAAAGCCCTTACCACAAAGACTGTGGATGTAGGGTCCACGTCCATGTGATGATTTGTTTTCGTCCACGACCCTCTTCTTCGGCTTGGGTAGAACAGATGGTTGGTCGATGGTTGTGGTTGATGTTGAAGTAGGACTAGCAGTCGGGGTAACATATTCACTGATATCCTTCTTTACATTGACTTGAACTCTTGAGCTTTCACGACGACGCTTTTTCGACGGTGGTGGCATATCATCGATGGCTTTTCCAATGGGGACAGCAACCGGAACTCCGAGCACGGAAGGGCTAGTGGTCGCCACTTGTCCCTCCTCTGGCGAAGAGTTTGGAAACAGGTGAGTTTCGCGAGAAAGAGATGCAGAGTCGAAGTGATTGCTGGCAAGAGACTGCGCATGATCGAGCATCGGACTGCTGGCGACAGGACACCAAGGCTGACTGTAAGAGGCTTGGGGTTCTGTGCGGAAGTTAGCGATAGGCTCTGATACTCATGATGACATCGGTTCTCACCCTTAGGCTGGTCTATATCCTCCCAGTTGTACGGAGAACGATTTAGCTGCGGTACGATCTCTACACCATGTTGCTGCCTTTCAGGGATCTTGTCCTCTTCATGGCTTCTCATATGAGGACAAAAACTGGCAGATTCAGCCAAAACAGAAGATGTGAATACGTTCGGGTGACAGAATTGGCCGGAGGTTTGGTGCATCGACGAAGGTAGTGGCAATCCACAACCGCCGTTCACTCCAGAACCGAACACTCCCGCAGAATAGGTAGATGGATAGTTTTGGCTTGCCTCGTACCACAACGGAGAAATCGGAGGCAGACGCATCTGGGGCTGGTGAGCTGGCTGTAGGAATTGCGGGCTGGGGCTTCCTTGGCTGAAGGGCTGATGCGAGCCGAAGTCAAAGTCGCCCATTCCCCAGTCTGCATCCTTGTGGAAGAGTATATTCAAGAGATCCTGCTTGAGGTCTGCTTGGCCTCCGAGCGCGAGCCTGATTGCAACGAGTGTGTCCTTTTTTGACAGGCGTCCTTCTCGAAATGTGCCGAGAATGTTCAGGATACTCATTACTTCCGATGACTCCTCCCCGAATCGCAGCTCCGATGGTTAGTATCAGTCGTTTTACGAGATATTCAATCTTCAAAATGGGTCGGGTGGGTTGTTTGAGGAACGACTTACTCTGAGGTTGTCTAAGAATGTGTAGACAACTTGCCTCATAGTAGGCTGCTGACGCCGCTCTACATGTTCGCATTTCTCGTTGGCCGTCATGGAGTACGCCATTTCGGTCGAATGTAGTGATTGTTGTGTATCTTGAAGCATCTTGTCGCAATTAAGTGCTTCCATGGTTTTGGCTCAGATAGGTAGCGCGAGCACGTATCTTGAACAATAGCCCGATCGCAACACCGACGTCGATGTGATTTGGTTGAGGAAAAGATGGAGACGATGAGCCTCGTGGCACAGGCGCTCGGTTCTCAAACAACCGAACCTATCGAGCCTATTCTGGTGAAGTGATGATGAAACACACGTGAACACGCGTCCTCCGCTCTTCGGTCTCGCAGAAGCGGCAACGTAATCTCAGCGTTTGCCTGGTATGTGGATACTCGCAGCCGGAGAATTTGACGAGTTGTTTGTACGTGGTGTCACAAGCACGGTCTAGGCCCCATTCGGACAACTGGTGGTGCATCTGAGGGAAGTCGCCATGAGGGCAACGGAACAACAACATCACGCTCTTGTCCCAATCAGCATATCTGGAGTGATTAAATCGCACTACATATACATACTGGTCCAAATGTTCTTGTCGAGCGACAATCGCATGTGTTGGAGTATCCGGTTACGTCATGGTATCCTGACCCCTAGCGCCACCTGCAGTGGCTCATACTAGATCATTGAATGGCCGTTGAAGCTCTGCTAAGTTCGTGTGTCCTTTGAAGCGATCAAGCGGCCTCTAAAGACTGTTTGGCGGGACTGGCCGGCATCATAAACCACCTCTACCACGCTTTTCCTGCAATGCCAACCGCCGTCCATTCGGTCGAACAATACAAAGTCGGCAGGCTGACCAGGCTCTAGGGCAAGAGACGTGGAATCGCAGCCTATAGCGGCTTTTGCCCGAGCCGACACGGTTTCCTACATGGATTAGACTGGTCGTCGAGATGGAGCTGAACGGTTACCTACATATAGGAGTTCGGCATCTTTCTTTGTTCCAGCCTGGTACAATCCGACGCCCAGAGATGCGATAGTCTAGCTCGTAATGTCAGCAACACCTCTGGGTGGCTGTGGGTGTGACATGTCTTACCAGAGGATCGCAATTCCCGTACGGCGTGAAGGCGTTGCCCACGTTGTTGACAGCAATCGCAGCATTGAATCCGTACTCGTTGATGAGTTCGACAACTGGCAAGGTTCCACGCACGTTCTCTGGCGTCCGCATCATGAAAAGATCGGAAGTCGGCAGACCCACGAAAGAAATCGGCAGATCGCCTACTTCTTGTCTCAGATGCGTCCACTCGTCATTCCGAAACCTTGTCAATCTTGTGCAATGGCCTAACGTGATCTGTTTGCTTCCCGCTTTCTTGCTCCATTCTAGCTCTTTGATAGTGTTCAAGGCATCCCAGACCAGAGGCTTTTTGTCTTCTTCCAGAAAGTAGTCAAGATGGAGATCGAGATGCTTTTGGTGCTTTAGAGCTAACTGCGTAATCCATTTAACATTCTCTAGAGACTTTTCCTCGTCATCTTCAACGTAAGGCGTGCTTCCAAGCACATCTACCTGCTCAAACGAGGCAGATTTGGTCATTAGCTCTCTTACCTCCTCGCCCCTGTCCCGGCCAGAAAAGAGTGGGAGCTGGGCGAACGCGCATATTTGCACCTCACACCGATCCTTGAACATCTCTTTCAACTTGAGACCCGCATCCAAACACTTCATCTTTACCACCCCGTCCACTTCCACAAAGGCTCGCATAGCGGTTACACCATGTTGGATACTCTCTTCAATCAGGCGTGTGCCCCTTCTTAGGAGGTCATCCTCCTCAAACCTTGACTTTGCCTCGCCTGTCATCTCCATAGCCTCGTTGAAATCGCCACTCTCAATCTGCAGGTCGCCGAATTTAGGATCTTGAAGGAGAAAGCATTTGTCGAGATGGATATGAGCGTGACAAAGCGACGGGGCTATGAGACGGTTGGCTCCATCCAGCGTGCCCTCGTGGCCATCCTGGCAGTTACTATGGTTGTCTACTGAGGCTATGTTCCCATCTTTGATGGCAATATCCCAGAGTGTCGACGGCGGCTTGTTTGGTAGACGGACGTTGGTTATCTTCTCGAGTGTCTTGGTTGACATCCTGTCCTGCATGCTTTCCTTCTCTTCACTACACTAGAGGCGTAGATGCTCAGGGTTGATGGGCCTCGGGCTGACAAAGGACAGATTGGAGAAAAAGAAAGGAAGGAGAAGAAGCAGATAATGACGCTTAGACAAAGCGAGGAAATGCTAGATCGCTTCACTGCACGAGCGTCAACAGATGCCAAGAGCGATGCTGGAGCAGTGAATGGGAGTAAAGTCAAATAGCAGCAGAGAACAGGTATTAAAGGCTATCAATATGCATCACACAAGTACACGAGATGTTGATGAGGCCGGAAATAGATGCAAAAGCTTGTGCAGTCGAGAGATGGGTGGGGGTGGTGCCCCGCATGGCTATAGGGGGAGCTAACTCTGTATCCGTGCATGTTGTACGTACCTAAACCTTGACGCGTCTCCAAAGAAGTTACCATCCTATCCACCTTCCATCTCCACTGACGCGCTTTCATCGCGAATTCCGCTGCCGTCCATTTTTGCACGCCTTCCAACATGCAGCCGAACTATCAGGCACGGGGATATAATTATCCGCAACAGCACAATGCAGCTACACCTTCCCGACGACCAGGTAAGTACCCATTGCCAAACACAGCTGCCACAACACGTCCTCCTGCACCGACCGCCTGCGCATACTCGCCGTAAAAGACGATGATTAGTAGGAACGACCTCGCTCACTTGTTTCGCAACCCAGGCCCCATTGTCCACCCTCCGCACCCGGCTGCGCAACCGCAGTACAACACGGCCAACATGCAGGCTTCGCAGCGCGCCGAAGCCGAGCGCCGCGAGAAGATGCGCCGCATCGCAAAAAACCCGACCGACAAGAACATCCCCGAGGGCGTCGAGGACGTGTGCATTGGCGATGCCGTAGCGCGCTACAAGGAATTGCGCGAGGTCGAGCGCACGCTGGATGCGACTATGATGCGCAAGAAGCTGGACGTTATGGACTCGAAGCACCATTCGCGCGCATCGCGCTATGGCACCATGCGCATATGGATATCAAACACCGCCGAGAACCAGCCTTGGCAGAGCAGCGGCATCGACGCGGATGCCTTCGATTTCGAGAGCGAGAACAACGCGACGTACCGTGTCAAGATCCAAGGGCGCTTGCTCGACGAAGAGGGCGATGAGGGTCTCGAGGATGACGAGGAAGATGAGAAGGACGCCGATGCGATGTATGTCTGCTCAACTTTTCAACGCGGCAACGCTAGCTCGAGAGCCTGCCAATCGCACATCTATCTCGGTAGGAAACTAACTGGTATCTAGGGACGAAGATGGAGCAGAGAAAAAGCCAGCCGCAAAACCGAAGCTGTTTTCGCACTACTTCACATCCATCAACATCGATTTCGACCGCGCCAAGAGCTTACAACCCGACAACTTCACGCAAATCGAGTGGAAAAGGCCTGAGAACCCTACTGCGAAGGAGGCCAACTTTAGCGAACTCGAATTTGAGCGCAAGGGCGACGAGAACATCAACATCACGATCAACCTGCAGCGATACCAAAATCCCGAAGTCTTCCGCCTCAGCAAACCTCTCGCCGAGTTGCTCGACACCGATGAGGAGGACCGTGCTGGTGTGCTCATGGGCATCTGGGAATACGCGAGGTCACAACATCTGCAACAAGAAGACGATGAGCGCAAGTTTGCGTGTGACGCCAGGCTGAAAGCTCTCTTCGGTGGCCAAGACCATTTCTTCTTCCCAAACCTGCCCCAACTCATCAAGCAACACCTCACGACTCTCCCGCCTATTCAGCTGCAGTACACCATTCGCGTGGACAAGGACTACATCTCGCCCGCTGCCGATTCGGGAAAGACCGCCTCCGAGCCGACCGTATACGACGTTCAGGTAGCTCTCGAAGACCCGATGCAGCCACTATTCCAAGATATCCTGCGCCGGCCAGATAGCATACAGACCCTTCAAGAGATTCAGAAGATCGACGAGCAGCTTGTGCTGTTGATGGGGGCAATCGGCCAATCAAAGGCAAAGCACGCCTTCTTCACCAGCATGTCCAAGGACCCCGTGGCCTTCTTCAAGCGCTGGTTGTCTAGCCAGAAGCGAGACCTAGAGGTCCTACTTGGCGAGGCTACGCGAGGTGGTGGAGAAGACGTATCTGGCGAGGAATGGCGACGAGGAGGAGCTGATGGTGTATGGGGCAGCGAGGTTGCCAAGGAGAGCGTGGCCTTGTGGCTGGCCAGGTCCAATATCAAGCCTCATTAGGAAGAGCTGCTTGGTTGATTTCCTTGCTACGTTGTAGGAGTTTACGCTCATATTCAGAGGAGCCGGGCGAAAAGACGGCGTTCGTATTCGATACCCAAAGATCAGTTTCTTCAGCTTCAACGACGATGCCGTGAAAATGTTCTGTGGGGTGTTTAGATTGTGATAGATGACTACGGCGTGGAGACTATGATAATGCGTATACATAATCCAGCCATGGAACTGGTCAAACGTCATTAAGCCTATTCACTCAGTCTATCTATGGATCTAGTGTAATGAGAGCGTCTCATCGTCAGAGGTTGCATCTGTGTCAGCTCTGTAGGGTGGGTCAGCTTCATCCGGAAGCAGCCAGTCGATATCGTCATCCTTCTTCACTGATCTCGCATCAGGTAGTTATAACACAAAACAACCAAATAACCTTTCTCCAGGCCGCAATACCAACACTGTGGCGGTTTGACAGGGCTGAAGTTTTACTTGTCGATCGCCGACTGCGCACGGATGTATTCATGACCTCTCGAAGTGTCGTCTCCCATGTCCACTCTAGTTTGGTGTGGACTGTGAGCTTTGGAAGGTACGAAGTACGACAGGAAATATTAGTGGTTTCCACGAAGCAAATGGGCAGTACATGCGGCGCCTTGGTGCTAGGCTCGAGTGCAGCAAAGTTGAAACGCGGCAATGTGTAGGTTGTCCAATGGCGAACCCTAACTAAATCAGTATGCCTCCAGCCTCCCTCAGCCTTATCCTAAGTCACAAACAGATCTAACCTGTATATATACGTCTACATACCTATGTCTCTGACGCTCCTTAGGCTTAATATGAGAGCGATTTCTCTATAAGATCCAAAGGAAACTTCCAGCCTAAGTAACCTACTATCAACACATCATGGCCATTTTACCAAACGTCGTCTATCAATCGAATATTCTCCGGCCACGCACTGCCACTGAGAATAGTCTAAGCAGTGGTGCAATCGCCGGAGTTGTCCTTGGGTCCTTATGCGGTCTCCTCGTGTTCCTGGTCATTTTTTGGACATGTGCGTGGCGAACAAGACAAAGAAGTCCGAATCTCGACGAGCCATTGTTCCCAAGCGAGGATCATCCCCCCCTTCATGCGCCTGCCATAGCACTTCCGCCAGTTCCAGCAGATCCAACAGAATCCGGCGTCACTCCCCTGGAGATCGACAGCATCAATACTGTCGATCCTTGGAAAGTGGAGTACCAGCCCAACCCAGTTATGTTTCCTCATTTATCAGTCTCAATCGGGAATATTCATCATGAGGATGAGGAAGAAGGTGTACTTTTCAGTGCGAATGAGACAAGCCTACGAAGACCCGAAAGCATAATCGAGGTGTGCGGCACAAGATCGAATAGCTTTGGGAACCCGTCAGCGATATATGCAGCGGCCAATGGCACTGAATCCAAAGGTACTTCGCCACCGCTGCAAGGTATCAATACCAAACCTTCTGGTGATGCGGTACCCCCTTCGAAGTCTAGTAGATCAGATCTACCAATGGACGATATTCTGCCTGTCACAACAACGTCAGAAGTCCCTACGAGCTACGAGAGAAAGAGTCCATGTCAGAGTGGGCCTGGGACGGTCGAAATAATCAACACTACCCCGATCAAATCGTCAGAGCTATGTCCAGGCAGTTGTGACACTGGTATCATTGTTGCGTCGTCACCGAGGTCCCTCACAGAGGTGAACAGTAGCACAAGGACCTTATCCCTGCGGGCATCGTCACGCACCTCGCCGACTGACAATCCATCTGTCTCAAAAGCCATTATGTTTCCTTCCAAATCGGTCGAAGCAGATACTGATCCGGTGTATCCATGTTCTATCTGCCACCTCAAGTTTCGAACACCAGGCCTGAGAAGGTACGTAGCCTTCAATCACAAACGATACTCAGTCTTCAAGCCTCTTTGCTCACCCAAACTTTTGTAGAACCCATCAGAATCGTAAGCACAACCTCCGATATTCGTGTGAAATATGCAATTCACGATTTGGGCTCCGTGCGGACCTTCGACGTCACGAAAACAGTGTCCATCGAGGTGATCTTCATGACTTTCCTACAAAAGTGTTCCAATGCCCGAACACTGGCTGCTCGGATCCACAAAAGACGTACGCCCGAAAAGATAACTTCACTAGACATGTAAATCGTTGCGAGAGGGCTATTGCCAAAGCGAAGTCACTACATGATGCAGGCATGGAAAAGTGCAAGGGCAATCACAGACACTGGGAGATGCCTAGCCAGACCCGGGAACATGATCCAGATGTGGCAATGTGAGGCAGACCGGGTACTTTTGGAGGACTCTCACTCGAACCAATGAATGGCTCAACACTCTACGTTAGCCAGGTCGAAGCATACATGCATCGCGCTGGTTGCCCTTCCCAGGACTTCACGGAGAAATTGTGCGTCTCCGGAGTTGTACCATAGGGCAACTTTTCACAGCGGCGACATGCATGCATCATATCTCTCGCTTTGTGCCAATGAGCGAGGGGATTAAGAGCATCTTTCCTGATTGCAAGAGAAGGAAGTGCATTTGCATGATGCACAAGACAGAGTCCCTCGAGTTTCCGCCATCTGCACGTATGATTGGCTCCAATCTATCAGCATGAGTATGCCTCACTCAGCCTCGCAGTTACCCGTACATCTCATAATTATAGCATCTCTTGCTTTTCGCTCGCCCAAAATAACTCTTCTATTACTACCATACCCTTACAGTCAAGATGGCCCCCATCGCCCTCACTGTCCGCTCCACAATATTGCATACTGCGCCTTCTCGTAGCAAACGAGCCCCATCTGCGGCCCATAATCTTTCGGTTCTGATTGGTATTACTGTCTCAATTATCTGCGTCGTTGTCACTGTTGGGACGATATGTTGGCTTTTGAGGCGGCGGAAGAGGAAGGCGGCCAAGAGTCCCGAGAAGCCCTCGGAAATTGACACGACATATGCTGGAACTGAGATCAAATACCGAAGAATATCCGAGCTACCAGTCCCAGAAGTAGTACCACCTGAATATTTCAAGTCGCCGCAGCCGACCTCAAATAGAGCGACTACGCTAGAGTCAAAAACCGCAGCAAGGTCCGACTCATCAAAAGAAAAAGAGTGCGGCACTCCAAACCAAGTTTTCAGCTATAATCAAAGAACTCTGCTAGAATTGCCATCGAACGAGGAAGGTGTGTTTGACTACTAGCCACTATAGTGCTATCACTAACAACTTATGAAAAGTCCATTTTTCACATCTCCCCTTCGCTTCTGCAAACATCGGGAATAGTAACGATCGGCAGCAGAATACCATATCAGATTATGTCAACCCATTTGCTGTCGAGCACCGCCCGAACCCTGTGTATTATTCGTCTTTTGCTGGTCCGTCGCACACACCAGACGTGTTTCCACATCAAGAAGCATCTTTTGCGGATATTGAGATGCCGCAGATCGACGAACGCATTACATTTGACATCGATCTGGCTACCTCAGACACGGAGATGCTTCCAGCAGGCACATCCTCAGATAGCTGTGAGCTGCGTTTACCAGAGCCAATACATGGTAGTATCGATAACCAGATGTCTACCGATATCGACCAAGAAGAGGTTTCCTGGCCCCTGGCCAACAACCATCATCTTGCACAAGACTTGCCACATCCAGAAGGTCGAGCGCAGACCAGAAATCTAAAGAATCCCCCGAAGCACAACAAAGTGGCAGTGGATATGACTTCCGACGATTTCCAACATACACGACTGACAGATCCAGTCCATGCATTTGTTCCAGCGTCTACTCCTAATTTGGCTCCTTGCAAGAGGATAGCAGGCCTTGATTTACATCCCTTGAATACCGCGAACGCAAGTATTGAACCGTCCGAGGACCACGATAACAGAAGGACCACTCACTCGAACCAAAGAAGGCGTCCTAATCAACGTACATTGATGCCCAAATCGTTGTCTCCACGAGACCTGAAGACGTCTCCAAGTCCACAGTCGAGTAAATCTACACCGGATTCTGCCAGGACGGACTTCAGTTTTGCCTCGACAGCTACACATGTCACGATACCGGGATCGGCAATCACAACACCATCGTCCGCTGGAATAAGATCGCCCGCCAACCCATTAAGTCCTGGAGAGAATTATCTAACATGCCGAGACTGTGGGAAAACGTTCCAGACTCCAGGACAGCAAAAGTGCGTATCTCCCCTCACAAAAGTGTGCTCTAGTCTTACTATGAAAAGCAATCGAGCATCATCAAAGATACTAACACGACCTCCAAAGGAAACACTACAATCGTCAACACAATCTTCGCTACGTATGCGATATTTGCATGCGACCCTTTGGGGTAAAGGCAGACCTTGATCGCCACGAATACACTGTGCATGCGGATCGCTTCCGATCAGAGAAGCGATCGTGGTGCACTATCCCCGGTTGTCCAACGCCGAACAAGGAATGGACGCGCAAGGATAATTTTAATAGACATGTTAGGAGCTGTGAAACGAGGGCGGCGGCAGCAGTCAGCCGAGGGCGCGGGAAAGGCAAGGAACGAGCTGTTGAGTAGAAAGGGTGTTTCAAGAGTGAAAAGATGGGTATTTAACGTTTCCAACAATTACCAAAAACCCTCATCTCCCCACGTAGTCTGTGCTCGTGAACTCGCGCAAGCAGGCATGCATGCTCATGCGTTCGCGTCCGAACATTCCTATATCCACACATACAAATGTACAATGGCGCAGCTTCCTCGTCCTCCTCTCAGGAAGTCGCCTGGTCTTCTTGTTCTCCCCCTCATTCTATGTTTCCCTAACATGTTGCTGCTGGCGGAGCAAGCTCTCTGCCCAGTAATCCCAACACTCTTTGAGTAGAAATAAACAACGTAACCGACAACGCCCGTCTCGCACACCTTCCGAGGGTGGTGGAACATGCAAATTTGATGCGATTGATGAGGAGAAGCGACGACTTTTCAAGCGTCGCAAAGTCCAGAGGGGCGGCGTGAAGAGCCCAACACGCCAGAAACGCCACGCAGGAGAAATGGACCTGAACCGGGGAAAACATCTACTGAAGGGAACTCGTTGGTGGAGGCGTTGTCAAGGGGCGTGAAAGATGGCGAAAATGAGGTTTTCAAGTGTTGCTGATGATGACTCTGGCGCCCTCTTTGCCCAGCACACCGCGCTCCTTGGCCTTGGGGCTCCTGTCCCGACCCTTTTTGCGACTGAGGAAGCCGAGCATGCCAGACGGTTTCTCGGCGTGTGCATCTTTCTGTACGAGGGCGGAACTCTGGTTAGCCATCTCGGTCCAGGAGCCATGCTCATTGAGAACTACCTGTACGCCTCCGGTTGTGCTGATGCTGCGCTGTGATCCGCGCTGGCGGTTATTTATAGGGCGGGAGAATGAGGGCGTCGGAATCTCGGAGCCGTCATGGGGGAAATAATCGACATGCTCGCCACGCTGCGATGTGGGTGATCCAGTGTTGGCGGTCTGGTTCAGAATGTTCGTGGCAAGCGGAGGGCTGCCGTTGGGCGATTGCGTTGATCGGGCGGTAGTAGCGGAGCGGGTAGGATGGAGATCGCCGTCCTGGGACTTGTTGGTCGGCGCGACTGGGCGCCCCCATGGGTCTACCTGCTGCCCTGCTGCAGATGTGGGAGCGTTGTCCGGCTGGCTTGTATTACTCGCTCTTGAGCCGCCGACCGAGTCTTGGGGATCTGCCACTGCTACAGCAGCTGGAGGCCGCTGGTCTGCAGCCGTTGTGTAGTTGAAAGGCTCAAACAAAGTCTCAATCATCTTGTGGAGCTCCTCTGCCCGTATCTCCTGTTCGGTCGCATCATCCTTGAGCGCTTCTCTGGGCTTCTGTCTGCGCGCTCTCGCCTCCAGTGGTGCCTCTTCCAATAACAACTCCTCTAGATCGTAGGTCGCGTCAAAGTTGGTCTTGTCGCTCGACGGGACAAAGACGGGTGGGATCTCCTTCCGCTCCAGGGCGACGAAGTCAAGGGGACGGAAGAAGGGGTTGTCTGTGAAGGACTCGAAGCCAATGGCGCCTATGCGCTTCTTCCGGTCCTTCTCCAGCAACGAGCTGATGGCATGCAGACAGGGCATCGACACAGGCGGGCTGGTAACAGGATACGTGGGCTCTCCTTTGGAGATCTTGGCGGCGAGCGAGTCGTGGCTGCTGGCCTCAAAGGGGCGCTTGTTGTAGATGCACTCGTAGAAGAGCACACCCAGTGACCACCAGTCGACTTCGCACGAGTATCCTTTGCCTTCGTACACTTCGGGAGCCAGGTAGGCGAGCGTGCCAGACTTGCTCGTCAGCGGCTTGTGGGGCGTGAAGTCGGAGGCGACGTTCTGGCAATGTTAGTGACGGTTGGGATGTGGGCGGGATAGAGCGTACAAAGTCTGCCAGATGGACATGGCCCTCGGAATCCAACAGCACGTTGTCTGGCTTGATGTCCCTGTGCACGATGCCCTGCTGGTGGATGTAGCGCACGGCGCAACCCAGCTGGGCTATCCAGAAGCGCACTGCTTCTTCCGTAAACGTCTTTCGCGAGATGTGGAAGCGTAGATCGCCGCCGTTCATTAAGTCGACCACAATGTATCTGGGACTGTCAGCTTGGTGCCCAGGCTGTCGACACGGCGGAAGACATACAGATACTCGATATCTTGGAAACTGTAGCGCAAGTTGCAGAGGAAGGGGTGGTTCAAGTGCTCGAGCATGCGCCGCTCTCGAATGATGTTGCGAACACTCTCGGAGCGTACCACTGTCGCACAAGGTCAGCATCGGTCCCTGCTGGCATGCAGTCGCACATTGTGCACACACCTTCATCTTTCCGGATGTACTTGAGCGCAAAAGTGAGGCCCGTGTCTTTCCGCTCGACGATGCGCACCTTGCCGAATGCGCCCTTGCCAACAACTCGCAGCAGTCGGAAGTGGTTGAGGTTTACTGGTGGGGAGTTAGTGACGGTGTTTGCCCGAAGACGCCTTGGTGGAGACGCACCTTGGTCGGTGAAGACGACGGGCTTGCCGTTGCTCTGACCCATGGGAGGCTACAATGGCAGACTGCCTGAGGAATGGAAATGCGTGTCTAGTAATGCATCAGGCGAAGGATGGACGTGGCCGGGGGTGCTTCGGCGGCCTGGTGGTGGGGACGGCAGTGGGGACGGCGTCGTGGTTGCGGGCGGGCGTGGTCTGGATGGCAGGCGAGGGCGGGCGGGTAGTCGGGGATTATTAGGGCAGAAGCAACTGGCAGCAGACGTGAGATAGAAGTAAAGCAGAGTTGAAAGGAGGGCCCGACAGGATTGAAGAGGCACGTTTCGCAGGCGTGGCCCAAGGAAGATTAGTGTCGGCAGGACTAGTGGCTAGGAAATGCATGGGTTACACGTTTTGAGTCGCATCCCTGCACCACGACTGGGCCATCAAAGACGACCCAAGCTGCTACGAGGCAAGCGTTGATGCTCCCCTAGTCATGGTCAGCCACAGTACAACGCCCGCCCACGAGGCCTGGCCGCACCCTACGCAAACCGAGCCATGGCTATAGTTGACCACGACGCCATTGTCTGCCTCTAGAGACGTCTAGTTTGCCAGGTGAGACTGCCCAGCGAGCCCCATGCACCACGAATCCCATGTGCAGCCTCCCACCCACGCAACCTCGTCACGGGACGGCGCACTCTATCTGAGCCGTCAGAGCCCCAAGGTTTCCGGGGTTCAGCGAGACGTCGTCCTGCTCCCGTCTGATCTGCACTACGCTCGGACTCGTCGTGAAACACATCTTCAACCACAGGCCCGACGCCGCGCAATCATAGCACTGGCTTAGCTCGGGAGTCGTTATAATTTCCTCCTGCAACCACCACATGTCGAGACTGGCAGCATACACCTGTCTCGCCGATTTTGGCCTTTGTCCAAACCCTTCATCGTCGCTGATAAGACCAAGCATCGCTCCCGGAGCCGGCGCCGATTGGGCTTTCCTCGATTAGTTTCTTCTCCCCAAGACCCGCTTTCTTCTACTAACAACGTAGAACCGTGCGACGGGCGACCACCTCTGCAGCAAACCAGCTGCGGGTACTCAGGCCGGCGCTGAGAGCCACGTCAAGCGGAATTGCTTTGGCATCCTTCGCGGCCTTTTGACGAGAATTCAAGAGAACAAGTTGCTCGCTCAACCCAGTAGCGCACATGGCCGCTGCAGTGCCAATGCTCACACGCCGACCTCGACGGTTGGCGCGCACATTGTATTCCCGGGGCCATCTTGGCTAGGCAAACCTTCACTCCTCTTATGCCAGACGTAATGGTCTTGGCCGATCCTTCCGTGCCTCCTCCAGGGACCTGCACTAGTCCACCACGCCCCTGTCACTAATTGCCAACTACTCGTCCTGCTTGGCCAACTCTCGTTCCCCAAGACACCACCACAACTACACCGTGGCTCTCTCGGGAAATTCTGAGTCGGAATGCATGCATCCCTGCTTACAACCGCTCCGGCCCGATCGCTCAACCCCCGTTGACAACTGTTGCACGACAGCTCAGCACAGCAGGCACGCGCAAGACTCTTTCGCGGATGCGCGCCGCTGCAGTCGTTGCATGTCTCTGTACGTGGGCGTGTAGTACAGAGTTTCGGCTGAGCCCACACCAGGCTAAAGAGCTCGCGTTCTAGAAGACTGCCGCTCCCTCCGACCTGCAGCAGTGTGGACACCATTCCACGCGACTACTGCGTGTCGCCTGCAGCCATGTGGACTTGTTCAGCCTCGTAGTGCCATCTCCTAATCAAGTCTGCCGCCGGCTACGGTTGTAGCTCATCTCCTCCTGAAGCAAGACGCCTCGTGTCGGGTCCTCAATGCTGGGGCAGCCCTTTGCGCCCTCCTGCGCGCATGTGGCACAGCAACTCCTGATGCGATGCAGCCCCTATGCGTTGGCATCCAACCAGAGCTTATCCGTTCCCAGGTCCTTGTTGTTGGTCTTGCTCCCGCGAGAACAAGACCAGTGTTTCTCCAGTACAGTGGTGCCTGACGGGTATCGATCGAGGTTGTCCACTCGCCTGGGTTCCAGCCTTGCAGATATGCGATCCCGCGGAGGAACCGTCTACTAGACATATCGACATCACTAAGGCAGATGGGCTACTCCTGCGATCCTCGCTTAACATGAGATTGCATCAATCTGCAGCAGACCGGCCTCGACAGCCCCTCGGATCCTGATTGGCTAGATTCGTATGCTTGTATGCTACTGGTGCTTCGATACGAACAAGCCACTGGCTATGAGATGTAGTCCCGTTCGTAAGCTCCGGCACTCTACTGGCGCTACTATGCACCTCTGGACTACCTATCAGACCTGAAACACTTGTTTCTATGCATCCAGCTCAGCTCAATGTGCGAGCGGTGCTTTTGCCTCCTATTAGCGCCTTCGGGACCAACCTCATGGGCACGGACTTCGCGTGAAAGACTGCAGTATTCAAAGGACGTTCCGCGAAACGTGGCCTGCAAACCCTCGGTGTCATGTTGCGAAGAGGAGCATTAAGTTCTACGCTGGATCAGAATAGGAAATCGATTACACTGGCTTGATATGGCTGAAAAGCCTCACGAAAACCCTCTCATAGCTCCCAAGTTGGTTGGATACACAACCTGCACTTCATGCACGTAAGCTATGGACATCCCAGCAAACACGAGCTCGGGGCGAGCGGATGAGATTTGTACCACAATAGTCTGCATTGTTTAGCACAAGGAAGTTTCACGCTGATCACTGTATCACAGGCAAAAGAGCTGGTAGATGTGCTTCGCAAGTATCCTCAACTCGGGTGAATATCCGGCAGATCCGGCATCGAAGCGAAGACTGTACATCTACAGGCCAGTCCCTCTCAGTGTGGATCTCAATGCGGAACTCGGCACTGTGCCCGACGACGGATATAGGCATCGATCCCATGTACATATACGGCAGAAGGAAGACAGCCTGATATGGTAGTACCAGGTGTCCTTCTAACTCAATCAGGGCGCTATTGACTTTATCCTCGAGCTCCTACAGATCACGCGTACAGCGATATCCCTGTCCGCTTACGCGGTACTACCCGAGGCTCGTATTTTCACACCAAAAATACAGCATCGGTATGGGTACGCGCAGACGCATGGATCTGACCTCGCTCGTCGAAAGTGTAGTAAGATTTGTAGCCCGCCCGTTCAGAGAGAGGCGGCCTTCCTGCGGTACATGCGGCTGTCGTTGTATACGACTGAGACAGCACGTGGTGTCTCGCACAGCGGTGTGCAGGGCCAAGGCTAAGCAGCCATGGCGTCGGGTGCCTCGTCACGCAAGCGTGAAGTTTGCTTTTGCGGAACTATAGTACTATCGTGGCATGACGCCTGGAAACAAAAGGAAGTCGCATGGATGCCCAAGCAGCTCGTCGATCAGCTCCCAAGCCTCGGAATTGTTTATCCAGACAGCAATGATCTTCTTGTAGAACAAGCCCGCAGGACGTCTAGACACGTGATGGTATATCCAATGCACTGCTTGCATGATGCTCTGTGCAGTTGGCTTTTGTCGCTACAACCTCTATGTCTGCATGTTTGTAGACTAGTAGAACTCTAAGAATCTAGGTTCTGGTGCCCATCAGTCCGGCAAGAATACGCGACTTCTGTGCCTCGACGTCAAAAGAATGGGTGCGTGAGATGCTGGTCCTACCAGGATATACATTGAATGATGACAATTCATTCTCAATACAATCCGTGGTTGAAGTGCTTCACGCCGTGGGGTGCATCATAGTCAGCTTGGGATGCTGGATTGGCGCGAAAAGCGATTCTCTTAGTAATGGATCAGTTTTGTATCGTTGTGAATGTAGGAAGATGGAAGCAACCTGAAACCAGGGCAACCTTGGAAGGCCGCATATACTCGATTCACGGGCAACTTGAGGACGATTAGTCAAGCTGGGGTAGATGTAGGCGGCCCTTTCCGAAATCAGCCAGAACAGAGATAGTTTTCCTGTTCTGGCCAAAAGAGGCAATCGCGCTGAAGTGTGCCTCCCACAGTGCTAGGCCGCTGTATTGCGGTCTGTGAGTGTGCGCGGCTATCGACGGTGCCAAGCGGCTGCTGCAGGGTCGCCGACGACGTTGCGTATTGTTGTTCATGTGCGGAGTGCAATGCGGTACCTGTAACGGTCTTCACTCGAGCGTACCATTGTAGCGATGCAACGTTGGTGGCTTGGGGTATGGCTCCTCGGTTCGGCAGGCACTAAGCCCTATGCCCAAGCTTCAACACGTTGCGACTACCCTACCCAGCACGACGTCGAGCAACACACGATGCACTCGACCAGCAACCCCAGCTCCGCACGTCATGAACGGGGCAGACACACGGACATACGCTGAATCGCATACGACGGGCCAGCTGCCTACGCCAACCTCAACGCCCGAACCGGACGATCTGGCACTCCCGGGTGCCCGCCGCAACAATGAAGCCCGGAGCGAGCAACCGCTGCACAACATGACGAATGGCTCCAGGGTCGAGGCGAACAGCGCAATCAGTTCGAGCATCACGAGCAGGAGGCCGAGCGTGCACGAAGAGGCTATCCTCTCAGACACAAGCGAGAAGATACGGCCTATCAAGCGGCCTGGAGATGCTCGGAGAAGGAGCAGCGTGTCGGAGCACGAGAAGATTCTCAAGCTTAGTCCCCGCCAGATCCAAGAGCTTACGAGTGAGCCTGCGAGCATCCCAGTGCGAGCAGCGACTCCGATTCTTGAGGACGAACTAGAAGACGTCACACCGCTCCAAGACGCGGACGGACAGGGCAAGAATAAGCTCTTGGGCGTGGTGCTGGAGCGGCCCGTGGAGCTGAATGGCGACACCAGAAAAGAGAAAGGCTCGGGAGGGCGGGATGCACCACGGGAGAAGGAGGTCGTCCTTATCAAAACATCTGCAACTGAATTGCGAAATGGCCGGCCTGTCCTCAGCTCACGATCCGTCACTACGCCCTCGCTCACACGGAGGACGACGTCCAGGTCGCGGTCACGCACACATACCCAGACCCAAGAAACAGAGGACCGGAGGCACGGCAGACATGTTCCTCCGCCGTTGAGTCTGGACCACCGAGATGGCACATCAAAGGGCCACGACCGACACAAAGAGACGCGCGAGATGCGGGAGCAGGTTTCGCCGACGCCAATTGCTCTCCCGCTGCCGCCAATGTCGATGCCTACTTTTCTCTCGCTAGAACTTTCTGCAAGCCGCCCCTCTCCGCTGTACATATACCGTCCAGCGACGACAGACTTTCCTTATGAATCGTCCGAGATCAAGTACGAGCGGTTGCTCAACTTCCTGAGGATACCGCTGAAAATTGAGGGCATATTGGGTTTTGGCGCTCTGGCTTGTCTCGATGCATGGATGCACGTTCTGACGATCCTCCCCCTCCGCTTCCTGCTTGCTGTCCTCATCTTGGTCAAATGGTGGGGCTCCGTCATTGTCAAAGAATTCCGTGATCTCTGGGCTTTTGTCTATGATGGCCTTCCTCGCTTTTGGCAGCGCAGGAAGCAGACCGACGTCCCCACGCCTCTACCAACGCCCGCCGACGAGGCGGCTCCGTCAATGTCGCGTAAAACGTCGTCCTCGACTGTTCCTCCAGTCAGTGCTACAGCCAGGCAGAGTCCGCACGTGTCGACAACCTTCAAGTTTCCAGACATGAATGAGCTCAGAGTGCGCCGGCCTCGTAACTCTCGATTTCGTCATCGGCGCACCAAGTCTACGCCATCAACGCTGCAACCAAGTCATAAAGCAGACATACTGAAAGGTCTCCTAGTCATCGCCAGCTGCTTTGTCTTAATGCGGTTCGATGCCAGTCGCATGTATCATGGCATTCGTGGCCAGTCAGCGATCAAGCTCTATGTCATCTACAACGTTCTCGAGGTATGTGACCGCCTGCTCTCGGCTGTTGGTCAGGATGTGTTGGAGTGTCTCTTTTCTCGTGAGACCCTGGATCGCAATCCCGACGGTAGAAGCAAGGTTCTCCGGCCACTCGGAATGTTTGCCCTCGCACTTGTATACACTGTTGCCCATGCTACAGCGCTGTTCTACCAGGTCATCACTCTAAACGTGGCCGTCAACTCCTACTCGAACGCACTACTGACACTGCTCATGTCCAATCAATTTGTGGAAATCAAGGGCACCGTGTTCAAGAAGTTTGAGAAAGAGAACCTTTTCCAGATCACCTGTGCAGATATTGTAGAACGCTTCCAGCTCTGGCTCATGCTTCTCATTATTGCAATGCGCAATGTCGTTGAAGTAGGCGGCCTCAGTATCCAGAGCAGCGATACGTCGTGGACGGCCATGTTTACTGGATCTGCGAATGCGTCCACGACTCCACTCAAGGCCTCGAGTATCATACCTATGAGCTTTACCATCTTTCCCAAGTACATCGCCCAGGTACTCAATCCGTTCCTACTGGTGTTGGGCAGCGAGATGTTTGTCGACTGGCTGAAACACGCGTACATCACCAAGTTCAACCAGTACAAACCGGAGGTATATAGCAAGTTCTTCGACGTGCTAGCCAAGGACTACTATTCCAACGTAAGCTGCCTTGTTCTTTCCACACTTTCTAGCTAACACTCGCAGGCCTTTGCTGATGCAGACTTGACACGACGCCTGGGTTTGCCAGTCATACCATTGTCATGCCTCTTCATCCGTGCTGCTATTCAGACTTATCATATGTTCATTGCCATGCACATGCCGCCTCCCCTCCACACAACATCGACATCACTCTCTTCGGACCCTGCCTCCTCCCCCACCACGACCGCAGCTCTCGCCCACATTGACCATGTCTTCCGCCGCGCTTTGGGTCGTTCTTCCTTTGGTGCTGGTGTTCCCTCCCAACCCTGGTATCATCCCCTCTCCTACACCCTCGATGATCTGATCGCCGGCTCGACCATGCTCATCGTCTTCCTCGTTGGCTACTTTATCTTCCTTGCTTTCAAACTTATCCTCGGTATGCTGCTGCTGTCCATCAGTCGCAAGCGCTATCACGGTATGCAGGAGCGAGAGAAGATGAGCGTTGAGACTGGGGGTAAGAGGATCGGGGGCTGGGGCGTTGTTGATGTGGACGAGGAGAAGAGGAAGATAATCTACGATGATGATCCCGAAACGCTGAAGCGGTTGAGGGAGAGAGACGAGAAGGGTAGGAAGAAGGAGCAGGAAGAGAGGGAGAAGGGGACAAGCTTTGGACACGTTAGTCGATATGCGATGGTCGCTAAGAGAATATGGTGATGTAGTTTAGTTTGTTCCCATATCATTACGACTCGTTTCGGTCTTCTAGACTATGTTCAAATCTTGGATTTGTTTACTACTCAGTCTGTTACACGCTCGCAACAAGATCTTCATTCGGGCCAAGTATCGCGTATCTGAGCATCGATCGAATCCTACCGAGGTTGGCGTTAGGGCTGCGCGCTAGTGGCACGCCTTTTCAACAGCATTGGCCGTAACACGTCTGCCTTTATCGCAAGCACTCTCCTTGACATTCTACCGTTTCGTCATCATCCTTGAACGCCCAAAGCTAGATTTGACCTTTTCGCTCAGCGCACAATCCTCCGGTCTCTTTTCATCTGACCACAACTCAACATGGCCGAACAATCCATTCCCAAACAAAAGCCCTTCATGGAACAACTAGCGTTGAAAGAAGTTGGGAAGGATGAGTATGAAATGATAAACCTACCTCAGAAGATGGGCAATCCGCTGGACATCGCATACGGCGGCTATGCAATCGCCGTGGCATGCAAAGCAGCGTCTCTCACAGTACCGGAAGGCTACCATCTCTACTCTATGCAAGGAAACTACCTGGGGCCAGCATACACGGACCGGCCTCTGCGGGCCAATGTACGGGTAGTAAGGCAGACACGGACGTTTGCGACACGACAGGTGGAAGTGAGCCAGACGACCGATGCCGGAAAGGAAGGAAAGAAAAGAGTATGCCTCCTCGCAACGGCGGACTTTATGGTCGCAGAGACTTCGTCCTTGTTATCATACTCCCAAGCTCCCTTGAACAGCTATCCAAACTGGAAGGATTGCCCCACACCATCCGTTGCGTATTCCGGTCTTGTCGCGGAGGGGAAGATGCCGCAGAAGATGCTGGATGCGCACGCAGTAGGCTTCAATCTGCTGAACCATCTCTACGACCAACGTCTCTGCCCCAATGCCATCTTTGCGCAAAACCTCTACGGCATCGCAAAAGAGCTCCCGCATACACAAGACGACCTCCCTCCCTCGTCGCGTACGACTGCAGATTGGATCCGCAGCAAGGAAGTCCTACCCAAGCCTATCGATCACATCACCGCACTGACTTTCCTCATCGACACCGCTATTGCGTTCTTACCGCTGTCGTTCAACCATCGCTGGTTTGACGACGTAAGTGCAGTGTCTAGTCTTGATTTCTCGTTGAGAATCTTTGCGAACGAGGTGGATGTGAATGGGTGGTTGCTCAGGGAGTTGAGGGCGCCGGTTGCAGATCAAGGACGTAGTTTTGGCGAGGCGTGGATATGGGACGAGGAGGGTAAGGCGGTGGCGTGTATGAGTCAGCAGAGTATTCTGAGGCCGACAAAGAAGAAGGCGAAGGGGAAGTTGTGATTATGTTGAGAGATGGTGCTGGTGTTTGGGGTGTTGGGATTGGAACATGGTTGTGTTTTGAGCATATGTACTGTAGATGTCGCAATTACAAGTATCGCATTCGGTTCAAGACGTAGAATGCGAAACCGACACTCATAGATTACTCAGACGCGCTGTCCCAATAAGCTCGTCAGCGCTACCCCAGGCTGACCCGGAACGTTAATGTACATCTGGGTATAATCGGCCCGACGGATCTGTCAGAGTGAAGACGCAATCGCAACCGAAGATCCTCGGCTGTAGATGTCGCGAGCCTGCTATCACAGCACGTAGAAACAAAGTGCAACCGATCCTCCTCGGCTTGGGTACCACGAGCCTAATTCTTTCGTCCATCTCCGAGACCTTGAGACACGCAACAGTTCGATGCTGCACAGAGTGTTGCCTAGCGCTGTGGGCCCCTTTCGAGTACCCAACCATCTGTCCCGCTGTACGTCCATCAGGGCTCGAGCGCGAGAAGCGCTGGTCTCGGTTAACATCAGAGTGCTGCCTCCCGGCTACGACGATAAGGCATGACATGCCAATTGCTGACCGGACTCGTACCGTCTTGGAGTAGAGTGCCCAGAGGGCGTATGTGACATGCCAGCTGCTTACCGGTAGAAGAGTGTAAGACTCACACCACTTGGATGGTACGACCTGCGTCCACGTCTTGAATCGATCATCGGATGGCATGCATGGCGCTTGAGGAGAAGAGCAGGTACAGTCAGCAGCGCACATGAATAGAGAGCGCGAATTTGACGGGATTTGAGGTATATCGAGGTGGTTCAGCCACACACGACCGGTGGTCGGAAAAGCCAAGATCCGCCGTTCATGGCCGTATCGTCCCGTAACCCCTGCAACAGCATCAGTAAACAAAACGTCCCTTGGAACCGGCGAGCCGAAAGGCAACGGCTGTGGAGTAGAAGTATCGAGACACGACGGGAACCGGAAGCTTTTGAAGACGAACAGGGTCAGAGAGTATGCCAGGGTAAGGCTGAACGACCGTTCCACCTTCTGTGGTACCGGAACAAGCGATATCCGCTGCCGAAAAGGGCGCTAGAAGCGTGAAGCCACGAGCGGCAGGTCGAACCGGATACAGAAACCCAACACCGAGCAGCTGCCACGCAACGATTTGGGGCCGTCCCCACAAATCTTCACCCTGAATCTCGCGAATTTCGTCCGCGCAGATTGTAGCCAGGGTCTGGAGCTGTTGTTTTGTTTAGGAGGTGGCACAGGAACGTGGTCGATTGGATCGTTGCCCGCGTCGACATGCATAGTCGCACAGGGAAGAAGTGCACAACGTCAACGACGTCAAGAGAATGTACTGTTCCTTCAGTCGTCTACCTGCACGGCGCATGCACCCCTACGGTTACTGAGACAATCGACTGTAGACGGCTGTTTTCTTTTGGGCCATAGGCGAGGATTCGCTTTCTCTTTCGCTTATCTTAGAGGGCAAATGGACTAGGTGTGAGCTTAGCCAAGCCTTAGAGTAAGCCCCGGGCTTTAATCGGACGAACAAGCTCGGATCATGGCGCTGTATACAGGCTGTAGACCATGCAGATTCCACAGCCGTGGTAGCTGGAGAGTGCTGCCTGGGGGTGCGACATCAGAGGAGCCGCATGGAAACGGCGATCGTCGACCGCCGCAACGCAACTTGTCCGATGATAATTCTCGAAACGACAGTGGCGGACAGAGAATGAGTCCAATTCGCGTCACCGTAGTCTCCTCGCTCTGATTGGCTGTTAGTCTGATGGATATCGTATGCACCGTATCCGAGGGGATACGCTAGCTGTTCTCGATGCAAGCGAAGCCCAGCGCCCCGGGCAGGCAGGCCATCCGTCTCCGGTTTGCAAGCCAAGCCGTCAGTCCGCCGCCCGCTGGACCAAATCCTTTACTGGGGCCGCCTGGGCTGTCCTCATTAGCTGCGCCTACCTTTATTATTACCTACCTCAATCCCCCGGTCTTGTCGTTGTTGTTCTTACCATACAACCTCTACTACTACTACCTTTTTAATACTTGTCCTTCTTTCCGTTTCCCTTATACCTGACTAATACCGGCCATCAAGTGGCGATCTCTCGCCCAACATGTCCTTAGTCGGGAACTTTACCTCCAACTATGATCGGGAGGCTGTATCCGGCGGCGTTCCACCACCAGAGATGGGTGGCAGACGACCTTCAAACTACAACGACAACGAGCAAGCTGCCGAGTCAGATGCTTCAACCATAGCAGCTGCCGAGAACTCACCACCAAGGAGCAACAACCAATATGCCGACCAAAAGGATGGATCTTACAACACACACGACGCGGACGAAATCGCCGAGGCTAATAGGAGAGAAGAGGCTGTTCACGCACTTGCCCGACGACTTACCTCGCAAAGTCAAATGTCTTCAGCCAACCAGAACCCTTTCAACGCAGAACCAAACTCTTCGCTAGACCCCAATGGCGAGCACTTTAATGCACGAGCATGGACAAAGGCTATGCTTAACCTCCAGTTGAACGACGAAAATGCACCACCCACACGAACTGCTGGTGTTTCTTTCCGCGACCTCAACGTTCACGGTTTCGGAGCCGACACTGATTACCAAAAGAGTGTTGGTAACGTGTGGCTGGATGGACCTGGACTCGTCAAGAAAGTCATGGGTAACAAGGGTCGCAAGATTAACATTCTGCAACACTGCGATGGTCTGGTCGAGGCTGGCGAGATGTTGGTTGTTCTTGGACCTCCTGGATCTGGTTGCTCGACTTTCCTCAAGACTATCACTGGAGAGACACACGGCTTCTTCGTTGACGAACGCTCGCACATTAACTACCAGGGTACGTTTGCCATTGAAGTGATATAGTAGCCCCCTTTACTGACTACGATCAGGTGTCAGCCCAAAGCTTATGAACAAGAACTACCGGGGTGAAGCCATCTACACTGCCGAAGTCGATGTTCATTTTCCCATGATGACCGTTGGAGAGACTCTTTACTTTGCTGCTCAGGCACGTCGCCCGAGGAACATCCCTGGTGGCGTCAGTGTACAGCAATTTGCTGAGCACCAGCGCGATGTCATCATGGCCCTGTACGGAATTTCTCACACTATCAACACCCGTGTTGGTAACGACTTCCTCCGTGGTGTATCTGGAGGAGAGCGAAAGCGTGTCACTATCGCTGAAGCTTCCCTCAGCAGAGCGCCACTGCAAGCTTGGGATAACTCCACCAGAGGTCTCGACTCCGCAAACGCCATCGAGTTCTGCAAAACCCTCCGCATGGAAACCGAGATCAACGGCACCACTGCCTGCGTTGCCATCTACCAGGCGCCCCAGGCTGCCTACGACCTCTTCGACAAGGCACTCGTGCTCTACGAGGGTCGCCAGATCTTCTTTGGAAAGACCACTGAGGCGAGGGCCTTCTTCGTCAACATGGGTTTCCACTGCCCCGACCGTCAAACCGATGCCGATTTCTTGACTTCCATGACCAGTCCTTTGGAGCGCATCGTTCGCGAGGGCTTCGAGGACCGTGTTCCTCGCACCCCTGACGAGTTCGCGCAGCGCTGGTTGGAGTCTCCTGAGCGAGCAGCTCTTCTACGCGACATTGAAGCCTACGAGCAGAAGTACCCCATCGGTGGCGAGGCTGCCGAGCGCTTCAAGGAGTCACGCCAGCTTCAGAAGGCCAAGGGTCAGCGTGAGAAGTCGCCTTACACTCTCTCATACGTCCAGCAAGTCAAGCTTTGCTTGTGGAGAGGTTTCGTTCGCTTGAAGGCAGATCCCAGTATCACCGTCACCCAACTCGTCGCCAACTCCATCATGGCCCTCATCATCTCGTCCGTCTTCTACAACCTCCCATCGACCACTTCCAGTTTCTACTCTCGCTCCGCTCTTCTCTTCTTTGCTATCCTGATGAACGCCTTCGGTTCCGCCCTCGAGATTCTGACCCTTTACGCTCAACGTCCCATTGTCGAAAAGCACTCGCGCTACGCCTTGTACCACCCGTCCGCCGAGGCCTTTGCCAGTATGTTGACCGATATGCCGTACAAGATTGTCAACGCCATCACCTTCAACTTGATCCTGTATTTCATGACGAACCTTCGACGAGAACCCGGAAATTTCTTCTTCTTCATCCTGATTTCCTTCACATTGACGCTCGTCATGTCCATGTTTTTCCGTTCCATTGCCGCTTGCTCTCGCTCCCTTGTCCAGGCTTTGGCACCCGCCGCCATCCTCATCTTGGGTCTCGTCATGTACACTGGTTTTGCCATTCCTCCTAACTACATGTTGGGTTGGTCCAAGTGGATCCGTTACATCAACCCTGTCAGTTACGGTTTTGAGGCCCTCATGGTGAACGAATTCCACAACAGGAATTTTGAGTGCAACGACTTCATCCCATCAGGTGCTAGCTACAGTGACGTCTCTGGCCTTCAACAAGCCTGCAGGACTATTGGATCTGTTCCTGGACAGCCATTCGTCAACGGCGATGATTACATCAACTCGGCCTTCAACTACTATGCGAAGAACAAGTGGCGCAACTTCGGTATCATGTGGGCCTTCATGTTTGGTCTCATGGGCGTCTACCTCGTTGGTACTGAGTTAATCACTGCTAAGAAGTCCAAGGGTGAAGTTCTTGTCTTCCGTCGTGGCCACAAGGCAGCTGCCCCGAAGAGCAAGTCTGAAGAAGATCTTGAGGCCGCCGTTCCCGGACGTAACGTCACTGCCCAGAACGATTCCGACAACATTGCCATCATCGAACGCCAAACCGCCATCTTCCAATGGGAGGACGTCTGCTACGACATCACAATCAAGAAGGAGCCCCGCCGTATTCTTGACCATGTTGACGGATGGGTCAAGCCCGGTACTTTGACTGCGCTCATGGGTGTCTCTGGTGCCGGTAAAACGACGCTTCTCGACTGCTTGGCTACACGTACCACTATGGGTGTCATTACCGGTCAAATGTTGGTCGACGGCAAGCCTCGCGATGACTCTTTCCAGCGCAAGACAGGTATGTTTTCCTTGTACTATTCCCCTTTCTGCAACCGTCTGCTAACGTCATGTCCAGGTTACGCTCAACAGCAAGATCTTCATCTATCCACCTCGACTGTCCGTGAAGCCCTTACCTTCTCCGCCGTTCTCCGTCAGCCAGCCCACGTCTCTCGTCAAGAGAAGGTCGAATACGTCGAGGAGGTCATCAAGCTTCTGGAGATGACCGAATACGCTGACGCCGTCGTCGGTGTCCCTGGTGAAGGTCTCAACGTCGAGCAGCGAAAGCGTCTTACTATCGGTGTTGAACTAGCTGCAAAGCCCGCTCTTCTTCTCTTCTTGGACGAACCCACCTCTGGACTGGACTCTCAAACATCTTGGGCTATTCTCGATCTTCTGGACAAGCTCAAGAAGAACGGCCAGGCTATTCTTTGCACTATCCATCAGCCTAGTGCTATGTTGTTCCAACGTTTCGATCGTCTCCTGTTCCTGGCCCGTGGTGGACGTACTGTCTACTACGGAGAGGTCGGTGAAAACTCCAAGATTCTGGTCGACTACTTTGTCCGCAACGGAGGTCATCCTTGCCCGCCTGCCGCTAACCCTGCTGAATGGATGTTGGAAGTCATTGGTGCCGCTCCCGGTTCACACACAGACATTGACTGGCACCAGACCTGGCGCAACTCTGAGGAGTTCCGTGAAGTCAAACGCCACCTTGCTGAACTCAAATCCGAACGTGGCCAGGCTGAAGCTCTCCAGCGTACTTTGTCTGCTCAGAAGCGCGAGGACAAGGCTGCCTTCCGCGAGTTTGCCGCTCCTTTTCCTGTTCAACTCCGCGAGACCATGATCCGTGTCTTTCAGCAATACTGGCGCACACCCTCGTACATCTACTCCAAGACCTTCCTCTGTGTTCTTTCGGCTCTCTTCATCGGCTTCTCGCTCTTCCAGATGCCCAACACTCAGACGGGTCTCCAGAACCAAATGTTCGGTATCTTCATGTTGATGACAATCTTCGGTCAGTTGGTCCAGCAGATCATGCCTCACTTCGTCACCCAGCGTGCTTTGTACGAGGTCCGCGAACGTCCTTCCAAAGCGTACTCGTGGAAGGCATTTATGATTTCTAACATCGTTGTCGAACTTCCCTGGAACTCCCTCATGGCTGTGCTCATCTTCTTCTGCTGGTACTACCCTATTGGCCTGTACAAGAACGCAGAGTATACCGACGCCGTCGCCCTCCGTGGCTTCCAGCTCTTCCTCTTCACGTGGATGTTCTTGCTCTTCACTTCCACATTCACGCATATGGTCATCGCTGGTCTCGACTCCGCTGAGACTGGTGGTAACTTGGCCAACTTGATGTTCTCGCTCTGCCTCATCTTCTGTGGTGTCCTCGCTCAGCCCTCTACGTTCCCTCGATTCTGGATCTTCATGTACCGTCTTTCGCCCTTTACGTACATGGTGTCTGGCATGCTGTCTGTTGGTCTTGCCAACAGTGTAGTCGAATGCGCGCAAAACGAGTTGATTCACTTCAACCCTCGCCCGAACCAAACTTGCGGTGAATACATCGCGGACTGGAAAGCGTTGGCTGGCGGCAAGATGCTCAACCCCGACGCAACCGAAAACTGCAACTTCTGCGCCATTGAGGACACCAACGTCTTCCTTGCCAGTATCTCTTCCAGCTACTCCACCGTATGGCGCAACTTTGGGTAAGCCAACCTTCTCTGACATGCTTGAATGAACCATCACTGACTCCCTTTCGCAGTATCCTCTGGGCCTACGTCATTTTCAACGTCGCTGCCGCTCTCCTCCTCTACTACCTTGTCCGCGTACCCAAGACCAAGAAGGACAAGAAAGACAAGAAGGAGGTCGGTGGACACAGTGGCGCCGTCAAGGAGGAGAGGCTTGACCAACCTTCGCACGTTGGTAGCAGCCGCAACTCAAACGCCGATGGTGAGAAGAATGTTGAGACCGCAAGATACGCTTCCATCACTGGCGCCAACACACCACCAGTCCAAGAGATCTCAGAGAAGGCATAAGCACAACGCTCAACCGCCTTGTCATTTTTTGTCTCTCATTTGGCTTTTTTGATAGATGTTTCCGCTGATATCGGCCTTATACCTTTTCAAGACTTAGATCTACTGTTTCTCATACGCTCAAGCGCTGAGCACACTCAACAAGCATTTCTTGTTTTTCACTTCTTACATGTATGTACATACACTCACCTAATCCAACAATGGTCCGCTTGCCAACTTGCGTACCATTATGTTGATATGACTGGAATATGACTGGAACTTCAAAATGCTTGGGCTCTAACATGATGTGTTTGTGAATGTGAAGTATAGCCAGCTGCCAGGATGCATTATGTTATTTTGAGACAACTAGTGGAATTGACCACCGTTCTTGGCAATGTTCATCTAAGCAACAGTATCAGACTCTGTATGAGCGAGCAATCCAGCACCTTCATCCCGGCTATGCCCAACACTTCTCCATATATGGCCTTCTGTGCGTCCAGTCCTCCGATCTTCAATCCTTCTCGCAACCACAAAGCCCCAGTGCCATGCTAGTCCAGTGACGAAACCAACTGCGTCATTCTTGAAGGTAAGAAGAGCAGCCACAGTGACAAGCATGACCATCCACCTATCCTTCCTATCCCGCTCATCGAGGTCCTTGACTCTCTTGCCGTCCCATGTCATGTCTCTGTCCAACACACGAAGATCGCGAGCGTCCGTGTTGATGCTCTCACCGACCTTGGCTAGTTCCACGCCAGCAGCAAGAACTAAGACACCGAGTAGTGCCTTGGGGATGCTGTGAAGCACACCAATAATGGCTGATGATTTCCAGAAGGCGACAAGACCGAGTACGAATTTGATGATTCCTAGAAAGATGATACTAGAGCCACTGCGCGCGCCGAACCTGAACTGACCCGCTAGTCCTCCGGAGCCGTGACAGGCGGGCATGGCTCCGAACCAGCAACCTACGAGATTGATCGCAGCGACGGAAATGCCTAGCTCGGTAACCGTAGGTGCAGCTGGGTACGGTGGGGAAGGCAGGAGGTCAGACGCGAGCGCTGATGCTGCGATGACAGAATTTAGGAGCGTAAGAGGTAGTTGACCTAGAGATGCGGTTGTCGTTGCTTTCACAAAATCCTTGCCAGAGGGATGAAGAATGGGAATCGCGGCACGTGGCACATGGACATCTTCGCTTTGTGGAGACGCAAATGATAATAGGATACCCGCTATGAAGATGATCATAGCATATGGCACCCTAGGATACGGGAACGTGAACAGTAAGAGGACAACTGCTGCAACCGCCACAAACAGATTATCGCCCCACCAAGGACCTGTCCACTCGAGTGAGGAAAGTAGCTTCGTTCCGGTGCTCAAGCACAGCGATAGACCTGCTCCTACTTGGATTCCTTTGACCACTGGGATAGGTGTAACGCGGTTCGCCCAGTTGATCAGGCCCAGGATACTGAACACGCCTACTAAGCCCGCAACAACAAGACCTGCGGCGGCGTTCTCTTCCATGGTAAACTGTCGAGCTATAGCTACCGCTGCGATAGCTTTCATGGGCTGCACAGGCAGGGGTATCCCGAACGCAAGGCCTGTCAGGATATTTGCCGCTCCGGTAAATAGTAAAGTCGAGGGTAAGGATATCGAGTTCGTCAAGACCAACGCAGTCATGAGCGGCAACAGAGTTCCGAGGTCGCCCAGCGAGCCGGAAAGCTCTGCCAAAGGTTGCGATTTAATCGTCTCGACATTATGTATCTGGGTGCGGCGAAAGCGTCGCATCGAGTTCCGTAAGAAAGACATGAGGTTTGCGCAGGTAAACAAGCAACCGCTAAAATGCAATGGAAATGGCGAACAGAGGAAAGAAAAGAGATCTAGGGTTGCTGTATCATGATGAGAGAGGTGTGTCGTTGCGAGAAGGTGGGATGCAGACGCGGCGGGTCCCGGAGACGACTCGTATGCTCGATAAGCTCATGCGCACGCGGAAGAAAGACGTCACTCAGCCTCGTCGCTATGGGTCTCGTGCGCGCACACCGCCTGCAGCAGTACAACGTGACAACACACACGACCTGCAGGGCTGTCTTGAACGAGCGATTATGCATTGTCGCTGTCTCCACGTAAATCGACGGTTGCTGCGGAACTTACTGTATAGAGTAACTTGAAGCTCCATGTGGCTTGCATGAAGGGGCACAGCGGGCACAGCTGCATTGAGCGATCATTGGTCAGACCGCTATCTGCTAGTCTGCGGCTGGGTGGAAAAGGGCACGAAAGGGCAGAGACAATCGATGGTTTTCTCCAAACTTGCCTAATGAGGATTTATCGAGTAGCACAAGCCAAGGGCGCGAGGGGCACCGAGGGGCACCGGATCCTGACTGTAATCGATGGTTTTCCATCACTTACCCAACACGGCGGTTTCAGAAACTGGGGTACAGGGTACGAGGGTATGCACTGTGGGATGCGATGCAGTGCAGTGCAGTGCAGTGATAGACGAACCCTGAGAAGTTATCAGGCGGTATATTCGGGAGTGAGTATGCGGGGGACGAAGAGGACTGAATAACAGTCGTACAGCAATCCACGCAGCTCCTACTCTACCTATTCCCCTGCATTCCGTTGCCGCATGCCTGTCAAATGTCAGTACGAAACAAGTGAGGAAAGAATAGAGCCCGGCAGTTCTACTCACAGGTTCGAGCAGGTAGGAGCAAAGTTGTATTCCTGCACACACCTAATAAATCAGAAAGTAGGCTCAGAGTCTTCGTTCTATCCACAATTTACACTCGCAAAGAACTTTGAGATCTGCTTCAGATATCTGTTCGTGTTCCGACTTGCGCGACGACAGTTAAAAAGAATACCTTTCTTGATTCGGCAGCTACACGCGCAACTAGATACTCCACCATGCCCACGACTTCGGCCTTCTTGGCAGCGGTTAGTGCTGCTTGTTTGGCCAAACTGTGCAACGTCTGAACCCTGAGCGAAGTCCGGTCCCGCAATTGAGCCATCAACACCAACATCCGTCCACACATGCGCCTTGTTGAAGCAGTGACAATGAAATCTCAACCCATCAGTTCCACAAATGGAACTGTACTATCGGATGTGGGGAACACACGCGTCGATGTGCACCCCATGGGTTCGGCATACATAGAAGCTGCTGTCGCCTTGTCGTTCCTTAACACTCCGTATTGAGATCCTCCCCTACAGCGACTTTCAATTTCGAAAAAGGCCAACTCTCCGAACACTAAAATGAGTCCATCAGCCATCAGTAGCGTCGCTAGCGCACTCACTTCCTCTACAACGTCAGCGACGGCACAAACACCAGCACTCTTCTCGCTCGCAGGAAAGACAGTCGCTATCACAGGAGGCGGACGTGGACTCGGAATAACTCTTGCTTTCGCTGTGGTAGAAGCTGGTGGACATGCGGCTTGTCTGGACATCCTCCCAGAGCCAAGCAACACAGAGTGGCAGGCATTGACGAAGCTTGCCAACCAACTCGGTACCTCAGCGACATACCGCAGATGCGACGTCACTAGCGAAGCGGAGGTTACCCAAGTTCTAGAGGAGATATCAAAAGAGGGAGACGAGCGAGGTGCACCACTCAACGGTATGGTCGCATGCGCGGGTATCCAACAAAGGGTACCAGCGCTCGATTATGAAGCCTCGGACTTTGAGCGTATGCTTCGCGTGAATGTGGTAGGCGCGTTCATATCGGTTAAGAGGGCAGCGAGGATATTGAAAGAAAAGGGTACTGGTGGCTCAATTGTGCTCATCGCTAGCATGTCGGGTCAGGTTGCGAACAGGGTAAGGACTTCTCCATCAGCTGGATGCATTAGTGGATCTAACCACAATCTCAGGGTCTCACCTGCACAGCCTACAATGCCAGCAAATCAGCTGTGCATCAAATGTGTCGCTCGCTAGCGCAGGAATGGGGTCAATACGGCATTCGGGTGAACACGCTTTCGCCAGGTGTAAGGTTTTTCGCATCCCATTATATGGGAACTTTACTAATTGGATACGCAGTACATTCGTACTGCGATGACCGACGAACTCCTCGCAGCGGATCCAGATGTAGAGAAGACATGGATGGCCGGCGCTTTACTTGGAAAACTTGGCGTACCAGATGACTTCAAAGCCCCAGCGGTGTTCTTATTAGCGGAAGGCAGTCGGTTCATGACCGGCGCCGACCTGAGAGTGGATGGCGGTCATTGCGCGTCGGCGTAAAGCTCTCAATAAAATGCTATCACAATTATATCCATCAACTCCAGTAGGTCAGACCCAGACCCTCTTCTCTACCATATGCAGCCATAAGCGATACCTAGGTGGATTGTTACAACCACGGTACGCTATACCAGCATATGGCAAACCCACAATACGGGAATTCGACTTCTTAATAAATCGTCTCTTTCGATTTTATCTTCCTCATTTTACATCTTACATCTTACAAAAAACAAGTGCGTCTTCACAAGCATAATACAACTACAATCCAGCCATGTCCACCAACAACATGAACGAGCCGAACCATCCCCCACCATCTTACAGCATTCTCGATTCAACTTCCAACACCACTTTCAATCCATCCACATACACCACTCCAGGTCCGCCTCCTTATACCGCTTCCGATCTGCCTCCCTACACTACTTCTGCACCACGTGTTCAGAACAGACCGAACCCACTCTCCACACACATCGAATATCTTCCCGTTACTCCTAGCCTCTTCCACGCTTCCCTTCATTCAGTATACCATACATATGGAAGCAACGATATCGAGTCTGGATTAAACACAGAGGCCACTCCGCCGGATCGCTCATTGGGAGCTCATCAAACGGACCAAACATCGACGACCCAGTACTTATTGAGCAGGGACATGGCTTCGGACTTGTCGTCGGTTAAGCAAAGGTGGATGTATTTATTGGCTGTCGTGCTCTGTTCGTGTGTCGTCTTCACAAGCATCGTCTTCGTCGTCATCCTCGTCCGTTATGATAGGGATCAAGCACGAAGGATCGGTAGTATCAGGTGATCGGATGGGGTAGATTGGGAGTGCTTTGTGGTGTGCCATTCTGTAGGTTTGTACTTACAAGTTTTTTGAACCGACAACGGGTAGTGGATCCTTACTTCTCACCAGGGTATTTTGAACTTGTAGATTTAGGCATCTAACTATTGGAAGTTTGTTGTAGCCGTCTCAGATCTTTGACGCTCCCCAGAATTTGTGTTTTCCTGAATACTTCTCAGTCCAATCGTATTGCGGTCGCTTGAGTAGAGTTGTTCCGCCCGGTTATTTGTGGCCATGTAAGCTCTATCCCCCTCGGAACGCAATTAACAACACGATTTCATCTTAGTGGAATGGTAAGAAGACCATGAGATTAGCTTTAGAACGAAGCAAGGTGTAGATTGTCGAGCCCCGTCGAAACTTATCTATCCACCACAATTGAGGTTCGTGTAGGAGAATGACGTCACCCTTACACTTGTGCTGAGGGAATCCGCTGTACAGTCCGGTCCTTACCGTTTCGCACCACACCATCTTGGTGTTTGTATCCAGCCTGGCAGAGAGCCTTGATGCCGACCGTGTTGGCTTGGCTTATAGTTCCTCAGCGTACACGTAGCTAAGTCAGGCTGAAAGCACACAAGGCTGAGAATGTCCAAGGCTGAGCCGATCCCCGCACTGTTGTCCCCAATGAGTGGCCATCTGCGATAGGTCGCATAACCGTGCTGCGCCTCCAGGCAGAAAGAACCATCTTGCCTGTTTCCTGGTTGTCGCTTCATCCCACCTTCTGACTTTGCGTACGCCCCTCATGGCCGAAGTGGCCGGGACCATCTTTGGTGTCATTTCTCTCTCCATTCAGCTGTTTGACAAATTTAACACGTACACCAACAGCGTCAAAGATGCGAGGAGGAAGGCTGAACAGATCACCGGCGAACTGGACATACTGGTGAGCCTTCTTGAGAATCTGGAGACCATCGTTAGCAGACTGGACCCTACTACATCCACCGCATTGACTAGGAACAGCATCCAAGAATGTGCACGGGCTGTTGAGGTGATCAGATCGAGACTCGGAGACGCCCCGGCAGTGAAAGGCTCTGTCAGGTTCTGGACACGTTCTAGGAACGTCATCAAGCGACTGACATATCCCTTCAAAGAGAGCGATATCAAGTACTGGAAAGATGTTCTGGCTAGCATCCAACAGAGCCTGCAGACCGCGTTACTAGCGTCGCAAACGTACTGGACCTCCCCGTATACGTCGTAACGATATCTGAGCTAACCTTTCCTAGCGATCAGCAGCAACGATATTTCACGACTCTACAGGCACAGCTTGATCAGCTCTCCCTCAATACAAGTGCTGGAATTCAGATGATCCTGGATCAGCAGCGACACGCCAAAAGTCTAGCTGAACAGACCATAGGCCAGCATGCAGGCGTAGAGGTCTCTAGCTACCGAAGACACGAGGGATCAGTCCAATTCTTCCTCCAGGACTATGATCGTTCTTCTACTCAGAACACGTCATTCGACTCTCACTCTCAGATTAGTTCCAAAACCGGAAGACGTCATGTTATCTCTGGGTCGCTACTGCCAATTTCTGCAATAGACCTAGAAGAAGATATCACGGATTTTCGAAATATCGAGCGAAGAATACGACCAAACCGTCTGCAATTGAGAAAGAAGCCAGGTTATGTTAATTCATGCACATGCCGCCAACGCCATCAAAAGAAACAGTTTGTGCGACCACCGTTTGTGGTGTCGCGAAATGAAGTGCACTTCCATGATCCCAGTTGTCCACTCTGGATACCTGGGATCCACGACCTAAAGTTAAGCTTTGGAATGATTTTGTGCTATCTTATCCTTGGGTTGAAGCTTCGCGTGTTCATGACGTTGTCGATTGCAAATGGCACATTTTCGATCAATACAAACCTGTCGGCATGTCGAATAGTCACTGAGAATTCTCCGGCATTCGTGCTAATCTATCAGATGTTAGACGACGACGACCGTTACGCCATTTCACCCATGGATGGCTCTCATGAGCTGGTAAAATTATTTCAAACACGTAAGGCATCACCGCATGACCGCTTGAGAAATGGGACGACGCTTCTACACGTAAGTTTCGATCTAGCTCATTTCAGCATTTGCAAAGATACTAAGGATCTAGAGTATTTCTGCATGGAAGTATCTTTCCGATACCGTATAGGTACTCTCCCGTACGACATTGATAAATATCGATCGGTCGCCGATCACCTACTACGCTACATGTCCTATGCGGATGCATCGGATACCGATGACGATGGCCGGTAAGTTACATGCATAAATTCAATCGATAACGACTAATTGAATGTCTTTAGTACATGCTTAGACTTTGTTGTGCGGGTCTCCAAGTTCGATCATCGATATGTGCCATTTGTCACCGATCTCTTGCAGCATGGGCTGAAAATATCACCAAAAAGCTATCCTATTGATTACATAATCTCTTGGAACCTACTTCCATTCAGTGAGTTTCCGGACTCCTTCATTGGTTGCAGTGATGCAACTGTGGCAGCATTGTTGAGATCAGAAGCGGACTTTAGTAAACTTGTACAAAGAGGCCACCCGGAAGAGGTATCGAAGCAGGAAGAAGGGTCTGAACTCTACAAATTGGTAACTCAGATGGGTTGGGTACGTGGATGCCAGATCCTTGTTGACACAGGCTTCAGGTATGCAACACAAGTACCCGAGGGTTGGGGGAACGGGTCGGATGACTTGGGCTATCGGTGCCTTCTCTTCAAAGCTTTATATTCTCGAAATCAAGAGATGGTAAAGTTCTGGCTTGGAAAACGCGAACATGCTACGAAGGGTTACCTCACAGATATCGGAAACCTACAAAGTGCCTTGGTATGGGCTTCGGAAACGTCAGAAGCAAACATGGCAGAGATCCTTCTTACGAATCTGGTCGAGCAGAGATCCTGGATCCAAGAAACCCTGGAGCTGTATGGTGTCGAGTGTGAATGTGCGATCAGATCAAAAGGTTTACTAGACACCCATACCACTTGTGCACTACGTGCACTCGATGAACAGGGCTTTGAGCCACTACCTTCTTTTCGGCCGACCTTTGAGAACATTTACAGCGTCGAGATGATCTACAACAGCATTTTCTTAGGGGTTAAAGACCCACTACCAACTCTGAACTCTCTGTACGACGCCGGTTTCACAGACATCGCAAAAGTGGATATCAAATGCCGCTGGAACGACCCTCCCTCGCCATTGCACATCGCGATAAAATGCTATTCTTATTACGGTCCTTGGTTTAATTCGTTGTCTAAGTTCTTCGAAATGGTAGATTGGTTTCTCTCCAAGGGAGCAGACCTGACCGATTGCTGGCCGAGATCGAGGATTACTACTTTGCATTTTATCAGCGCAAAAGCAGCTACCCTCTTCAACCCAAGCGTAGGCCAAGCGATTTCAGAAGGCATTTCAGACAACGTCGCAGATCTGTTCCAACATACACTTATAGACGACTGCGAATGCAGTTCGTAGCAAGAGCGGCCGAGGGGGTGGCAAATAGATGGATTGTCACCGAGTTCATCCGGCTCTGTATCTTCTCCTGGTTGGAAATACGCCATACTTGCTGCGATCTTAACAAAATTCTGATAGCTGACGAATCCGAATTCCCGCGTCAACCTCTGAAGCGCTATCTTCCAGACGATTCACGACGAATTCAGGAAGAAGATGCTCATCTTGTGGTTATCTTGGAAGAAATGGTACCTCTTTTCGATGCCCGGTATGACACACACGAAGGCGATCTCCAATCTTTCGTGGACAAGATCCTGCTACCGGAGGTGGAGATCATGCTTCACCGACTGAAGCAAGAGGATGAAGCGTTATATGCCGATGAAAGGCGGGATATGGGGGTTGTAATGGTCAACGAATGAGACAGTGCTGCGTGAGATCGAGGTCGCAATCGGCGTAGATGAAGGGAGCAGGGGGTGGCATATGTCAGCACCGAGACGTACCCTAAGGTATACCCTGTTAATTTCATCAGGATTGTGATGTAGATAACCACGTGTACCTTTTTTGGTTTTTGAGAAAGAAAAAGAAAAACTCAGCAACGACGCTTTGTTTCAGTGACAGAAGCTTCTCTAGAGACGATGTGACGATTGGAGGATGTGTAAAATTATAATGTGATTCAAGTCTCGTCAGACTATCTACCAGCTACAACAAAAGGGGTATATCAATTACAGGAAGAAGATAGTTTTGTTTTGCTTAGTGGAACAGGTCCTGAGCAGCAGCAGCAGTCGCCTGGGCTTGCGCCTTGGCTGCCTCATTAGCAGCAGCCATGGCAGCTGAGAGGTCATTGTCGACCTTCAGCTGGGAAGAGCTGCCAGGACGGTTATCACCAGTTGATTCACGTTCTCCAACCGCAGCTGCAGCAAGGTGTTGCAGTCCGGCCATGTTGGGTTCTAGCGCAGGACTGGCTTGCTCTGGACCAGTATAAGGGGGGGTAGAAGACTTCTTCTTCTGGAGCAATTCCCCAATCGCTGTTTCCCAACCCAGACCATCGGAGCTGCGATGTATGATCTGACCGTTTGACAGCGCATCGTTCATCTCCTTGATGCTTGCGTTTGCCTCAGCTTGCATCTCGGCTCGATCGGCCAGTTCGGTAAGAGACGTAGCCACTAGAGCGGCGAAAATGTGGTGCAAAGGAGTTATCGCGCCGCTTGTCAAATTACTGAGCAGTTCCTTGGTGGCGTCGAAAACTTCCGCAGAAGGTATGTTTTGCAACGAAAGCCGCGCGATGAACACTCTGAGATACTGATGCGCCAAGTGAGGAGGGGAGTTGCGCGTCAAGGTCGTCAGATCGATGGACTGTTTGACTTCGTCTAGTGCCCCGTTGAGATATTCTGATTCTACGGTCCCAGGTTTGAGTGCTGAAAAGGCAAAGGGAGCCGATGATTCCACATTTGGAACACTTCCTGCGCGGTTCACGTAGGCTATTCGGCCGACAATTAAGGCAGTACCTGGAAGGTGTTAGTCAAGTGCTTCTGAAACGCAAAAACTTGTACTTACGGGCAAGGTAGTAGCCGACTTCGCCCAGAGCTGTGTAGTCGTCGCGCGAAAGAGTCCCAGAATACCTTCGAATCATCATGTCCTTTGATCGACTAGAGCCATGGAAGCGATCTAGAATTAATGCAGTCCAATACACGCGACGTGCTGTCTGATATACTTCAAGGTCTTGCTCTTTCATTGTAGCCAATGTCCTCGAGTCGTTGATCGCTGCGTCAGCAATACAGGCTGAGATGCGGCCCAGCAGTCCTGTTGTGCTGCCTATGACGCCTGGGCTCGGTCTGTCAGACGCTGCAGCAAGCAGAATCATTGACTGGCAGTACACCAAATGATTGTAAAACTGTCTTGAGCTGTCTGTGTCGTGGAGGCAATAGTTGGCCGCATCGACAGAAGTAAAGCATTGTTGTAGTAGCTGGTTAAGGCTGATCTCGACAGGCGGCAGAGCCTTCGAGGCAATGGATCGGATGCAGCCTTCTAGTGACAAAAAAAATGCCTCCCGTAGCTTCGACGGACAGTTTGTAAGGCGATTTAATTGCGATTCGTGATGTGGTAAGACAGGTAGTGTGGGGTGAATGATGTTGTAATATCTGAATCAAGAGTTAGTGCCAGGTAAGAATTTCAAGGTGCAGGTATGCGTACGCTTTGAGAATCTCTTCGTGGGAGCCAGTGATCAAGCTGCCACCTAGACTCATGTCTCCAAACGAAGTACGACGATTGCCGTTTAGCGATGATTCTTGGTCTGCTAGCATAGGCAGACCATGTGGGTCTACAGATCCGCTGTTCCCGCGGTCCTGAACGGTCCAGTTGGGTCGGCTGAAAGCGTCGTGGAATCCATCCGTCATCGAGTGAGTTCGCTGGCGCTTGAATTGCGGTGGGCTCTGTGTGTCGGGGAACGACTGGTCACCTAGGGTCCCAAAGTCGAAGTTGTGTGACTGGGCAGGAGGATGATGTATCTGGCTTTCGAGCGAATTGAGTCGGTCGGCTAGCTCCTTGATGTAACTGAACAGTGTGAGCATGCGTACCAAGTTGAGAGAACAAGATGACATACCCTTTGCTAGGTCCGCGCTTCATGGGTTGACGGCTGAACTGACAGCGCGCGCCGGTTCTTTTACAACTAGAGCAAGCTTCCGGGCCGTTCTCACTGGTTGCGTCGCATCGAATCTACACACCGTAAGCGATGTTCGTATGGGAAGAAGAGGCATCGCATACCTTCTTCCTTCGGCATTCGTCGCAGGCACGCGACACCTTGGATCGTTTGCGATTCGGGTCGTTGGGATCATACGGATCGTGATGTCTCTCCATGTTCATGACGTGTTGCGCCATTTGTTGTGGAGAATGCGTTGGGCGTGTCGGTCCTGCGAAGTGCTGATGCGCGCCCATGGCGGGTCCTATGTGAGCCATCTGTTGGTACTGCGGTTGCTGCGGACCGGCTGGATGCATCATGTCCCCACCCTCGCGCAGCTGCTGTAGGTTCTCTTGTAGGCGCAGTTCAGGGTCCGTCAATTGGTGTTGCTGCGCCGGTGGTGTGCCATTCTGATTTGCGTATTGACCTGGTCCTCCGCCCATTTGCGTGTCGGGATCCGCGTAGCCAGCCATTTCTCAGCGCGTCGTTTCCAGGACAACAAGAAAGCAGTCGATGAGAAGTTATCCAGAGCGCCGGTTCAACGTTGTTGCGCGATCGCGCGAGAGGTTCGATGTTGTAAGGCGCGAGGAGCGTGTTGTGTAAGAGGCCGACGAAGAGGGTTGTGCGAGCTTTGCGATTTTTGCGCTAGCGTGGACCATGGCAAGAGAGAGCAGATCATGGTGGACTTGGGTGAATGCGACAACAACATTATGGTGGTTGTAGGTTTACTGAGACACCGAAATGTCTACTACTTGCAGCGTTGATCGGGAGCTACTGACTGGCCGGTGACGACGTGGTCGCTGTTCGGATTATCTCTTCCACCGTACGCGCTTCCGGGACGGCCAGTGGGAGCACCATGCACAGCCATCATCAGAAGTGCCCACACGCTGCAACGGCTGCTGTCATTGCCACTATTAGTGAACTACTGGGTTAATTAGATTTCTGTAATCGTCTTGCAGTGTCGCTGCACAGCATCGATCACGTTCGTCTACCTTGCGCTGGTTCCCACGTGCATATGCTCTGTGCCGACTTCAAACACCTGCACCCTACGGTTAACTCCTGTCCGGGAAGTTCCTAGTGAACTTGTGCATATTTGTAAAAGACGGTATCTTGACCAAAACTGTTGAGGGGTGCAGACTTCTAGAATCACTGCATTCATGCGCTGGACGTCTGCACCACAGCTTTTTTTACCAAAACCTCCATGATCAGGCTAATGTATCCTTTTCAGTGTATAATGCTGACACCGAAATAACCTCATGTCAGACCCGGTGATTACTCCCCTGAGGAGGCTTTCGCAGATCAGCGGCCCTAGAGTCCTACGACACGTGCTATGAATACTTTCGGCGACGGCTGGCTGCAGCATCGGGTCGAGGGCGAGATCACCAAGAGCAGTGCGATACACCGACAAAGTACCATACCCCACGGAGAAGACTATGGGGTTCCGTTTCAAAAACATCATGCCAACCCTATGCCCAGCGGTTCTTAGGTCTGGACACTGTGTTGGATCTAATATTTACTTTGCGGTCCTCCCACAGTTCCATTGCTTGGTGTTCAACACCCACCCTAGCGCTCTCTGCGACCGGGCCTTTTGAGGCGAAATATACAAGCGGACAATGTACCTGAAAGTAATGGATAGGCTTGCTTCCGGTTCTATATGTGCTGGACGCTATCGACGCAGACAATACAGATGATCTCCACTTGGCAACGGGCGACGGATGCTTTGAGTTACGGCCGTCGCGGCAAGAGAAACACGCTGACTCGACAAGCGAATCGCGGCCGCAATTGAAACATGCCGTGCGTGGAGTCCCGCATTATTAGAGGCGGGCTGGCGAGGCCAGCACAGCAAAGAGGAGAGGAGCAGCGTCCGTCGCAGGCCTCGCGTCGTCGCGGTGTGGACCGTCTAAAAAGCCTGCGGGTCATCATGGTCAGGACGGCAGCGGGCTTGCGGAGGGTAGGATTTATGCGGTGAGAGGGTGCTGCTGGCTTGCATGCAAGTGTGGGATTCGAGCGCTAACCCGATGGGACCAGCATTGCCCGCCGTCATGATGGCTGATCGCGCTTGCAGATTCGAGCGTCGAGGTCTGAGCGCACTTGCCGATGACGCTAAGCTCCACAGCCAATTACACGCACCGCAGCGCCGTGTGCCTTCCTCTTAACCTGTTCCTCCCGCTCGCTCTCTTCCCTCTCATCACTACCTCACCCGCACAACACCACGTAGTATACTGGTCTGGTCGTACCCAAGGAGCTCCGTCTAACGCTTTCGGCCAGCGCCTCTTGCGCTCGGTTCCCCTTTGATCCTCACCAAACTCTCCACTCATCCTGTCGTCCTCGGTTTCTTCCACGGCGTTCACGGTCCCAATCCAGCATACCATTGACCAAGATACCCTCTGGCGTTTGAACTAGCATATTCTCAACCCTACTATTCTTCCCTGTATCTTTATCCATTCGCTCACGCCCCGCGTGTGGCTTTATTTCCGTCCTGTTTCGTCCTCTCTAGCCCGTTGGCTCCCTGGAACGCTCCCACTCAGCTGCTCGTAGCCAGCTGCGACGACCGCACTCGGCCGTTATCGCCCCGGTATGCCTGTTATCGATGGCGAGAAATGGGCTTGCTCGTCCTGCATCAAGGGCCATCGAGTGAGCGGTTGCAACCACACTGGTATGTCGCTCGCACAGTGCGACACTTGACCACGTTCCAGTGCTAATATTGTCCTGAAGATCGCGATCTGCACCACATTAACCCCAAAGGTCGTCCCGTCAAGCAATGCGAACACTGTCGCGGTGCGCGCAAGTCCAAGTCCCACCATGCCAAGTGCGATTGTGGCGACAAGAAGGACAAGGACTTGCACAAGGACAAAGGCGACGCGAAGAGTGAGCTCATAGCTGGCTTGGCCGTCCCTGACAATTCTGACGTTACTTTAGCTCACGACAACCGCTGCCAGTGCCATTCAGGCGCAAAGTGCTTATGTGGTACCAAGAACGAAGACGTTGAGCTCAAGGTCGACACCACCCGGCAGACACTCCACGATGCTCGCGCGAAACCCAAGTTGACTGCGACGCATTCGGAAAGCCACTTGACCGTCTTCGCAAACGGCCACCACAAGCCTTGTCATCGCAACAACAACTCTGCCCACGTCTCCGGTCTGCCGTACAAGATCCCTCGTCCGCATACGTTACATGGCCATGCCGCCTTTTCTGCTCTCTCGCAAGACAAGACTGCTCGCAGCAAGCCAGAGCCGACTACTACACGCTCCATGGACACGCTTTCGTTATCGAACAACGACTTCCACACCATGTTTGGATCTACTCAGCGATGTTCCAACAAGCCTACGACTCCAAACGTTGGTGGTAGCCTCGACACTTTCGCTTTCAACGACATGTTCAGTAGTCAACCTGGTGTCTTTGGACAGGAGGGCGAGTCTCCCAACAGCAACGTAAGCGACACGTTTTCAACCCAGCAGTGGCCTTGGATCGCCGACACCGTGACACCAGTGAACAGCACATTCGGTCTGGGTAGCTTGTCCACTTCGCCGTCGCAAGATTGTCTGCCAAACATGGATAACGACTGGCTAACAGCATCCGCTGGGTTTGACCACGTCTGGTCTGCTACTGATCTTCCACTGGACCCGAGCAAATTCAACGACGAGTTGGCTCAGCCGATTTCACACAGCGGCGAATCAAAACAGAGCGGCCCTGGTCTCACTGTAGCTTCGTCTGCGCACTCAGAAATCGGAGAGCCTGCCCTCTTCGGTGATCTGGACTTCAACAAGGCTCCTCAGTCGGCCGCCAGCGAGTCGCTTTTCTGGGAAGATACTCCTGCGTATCGGTTTAGCACTGCCGTCCCGAGTGAACTTATGAACGGGTTGCCAATGACTACTGCAGCGCCCATGTCCAGTATGATCAGCTTCGATCCTATCTATGCCAAGAGCATTACTGCTGCGCCAGCAACTATGACGAGTACCGCCTCATCTGACTTTGCCGACACAGCCGCAATCTCGATGCCTAGCAATTTCGAAGATGTTGTTCCCATGGACCCATGGCCTTTAGATCAGACCAATGGTGCTTTCAACGCGATGAACAATTTTGATCTATCTTCTTATGCCAACAACGGTTGGTTTTAGACGCCTGCGAAGGAACAGCAAGCTCTTGCAGCTGCTGTTGCTTTTGATGACGCCATGACTGATGACGCTGCTGGTGCGCGATGATACCAACGCCTAGGCGATCTCTATTCCTACCTTCTTTTAGTCTTCACGACTACCCTTTTTGACCTTCGGTCGCCTGTGTATATTCCATGACCTGGCCCGAACCATTCGCTTTATGCGCGTTTGAGGCCGTTTTTACATAGCTCGCGTCATCACTGTTTGTTGCATTTGATGGTCGAGCAAGTAAGCATCCGTATATACAATGGGATGGATTTGGGTGGTGATTTCCATGATTGGGCGATTTGCCCGCGGGTATTTCGCAAAAGTATAGACGGGGCTTCGGCGTTGTGACGTCTGCCCTACAATGAAATAAGAATAAAGTAAAAACAAACTCGTGTCTTCATCGTCACCCTCTGCTCGTCGTCGTCAATTGAGGCGTCCTCTGGGGCGCCTCGAGCCTTGCCGGGTGACGTCCTTCAACCGCAGGACGTGCCGCACGGCCATAAGGTTCGCTGTAGTCCCTCCACCAATCCGCATCTCCGCCAATCCAACGAGTTTTCAGGGTTCCCGCCCTCGCCCACGCCCTGCATGCGAAGCGTGGAGCGCCAACCAGCAGAGATTTTCGCTGACTTTCCAAGTTTCCATTAATCGGTCGGCAAGGATGGGGGGCTATCTCTAGCAAGACCGTGATTAACCTTTTGGACGCGCATGCTCTGGAGAGATCCCACGTCGGACCCGGCTACAAGGTCCTGCATCCAAGGTGGACGAGGACGATGTGTGTGGATGATCAGCCACAGATGTAACACAACTACGTAGTCTCACGGGTACAAGATGTGTACACTAGACGGCGCAACAGCGCTCCTGGCGGCTGCCATTGTTGAATGTGATCATTCGCGATGCTATGCACAAAGGGCATGTGCCGCGGCCTGGAGTCAGGCTATCAAGGCTAAACACTGGCCATCGCAACCTCACCAGAGGTAGCTACTTGCGGACAGGACTGTTCGCTGAGCGCGGCAAGCAGCCTGAAAGCTGGGCAAGCCGCCAGGAATGCTGAGGGAGCGGCATGACCACGAGCATGTCACCCCACGACTGATGCGTTCGCGATCCGACGCCCGCTGCACAGCACAAACAAAGAGCGATGTTGTTGTGCATGCCCAGTGCACAGCCTCCGACGCTTCCACTATGGCGGTTCGTAAAGCGTAAAGAAGTGCAGCTTCGATTCGGCGAACCAGAAGCCTGCGCTGAGTGTGCTCACATGTTTTCGTAATCTCCGGAAGTATACTTCCTCTCAACATCTCGCGATAAAGCTAGGCATTTCCGGATATCATCCCAACGAAACATGAACAAACAGAAGACGATGTTGTTCACAGAGATGGACAGCGTGTCAACTTATAACATCCCCATCGTTTGACCCGAGCATCAACCCGCAACCGTACGTACCCTCTTTCGCTTCTCAATGAAGCGTTCCAATGGCGAAAATCACGCATGCAATACATGGATTCGTAGCCGCGGGCGCGCCCGCCTAGCGATTTCCTACTTGAGAGTAAAGCATTACAATATGTGAAGATTGTATGGAATGTCTAGACGCTGTGCATTGCATCGCTTGGATGATGGATACTTTTCCCGTGGTTTGGCGTTTGCAGGCTTGCGGGGGTGAACGCGTATTCGCGCTAGTGAAAGATAACTAGTCCATTCGTTAAGGCATATCCAGAAACGAACTGGTTACCAGACGCCATCTAAAAAAACTTAAATCGCCAAAGTTGTCGTCTGTCGAACTTGACAAAGTGTCAGGGACTCTGCCAGACGCAAAGATCGACGATCCCTAAACCTGCTAGCTCGGCATCGGCCGTCGGCTTTGTCCTCAGTGGCTGGTCGCATCTCGGAACTTTCGGAGGGTCGGAGGGACCCTGAAAAAGTCCCTGAACTGGCAGCGGTTCGAAATGATGTCAAGTCTCGTGTTGTGTTGTCTGAACCGAGGCGAAAGTCAACGAGGTCCCACCGACTTTCCCCCATCTGGTAACACAACGACTTGGATTCCACGATCGCCAACCTTTTGTATGATTCAGTTGCATGTTCGTTGCGAATGGGGTGCGCATGTGATGTGGAGTTTGTGGGTTTTGCATCAATTTTTGTAGCCCTATCTGAATCCTCAACCCTACTGGCAGATGCAGATGCCCGGGCAGCTGCCGTGGTTGCATTTTGTGTAGTTGTGAGTTAGGTAATGCTAGTGCGACCTACGTCATCGCGGTTCTGGAATCGCCGGAGATGTGAAGTCTGGTGTCAGGAAACTTCATTTCCGACTTGAGACCAGGAGATCATCAATGGTAAGCACTGTGAACACTAGTTCGTCGTTACGGGTGCATGGTCGGGTGTACTAATCACCTGCGCAGCGGAAAATCTCCGTTCGTGCAGCTTTCAAGTCGATCTTTACGGTCGATGGTGGGCTTGTTCGTAACACGGCAGGATGGGCGGCGCGTTTACCGCGTGTAGCATGGATTCTTGATAAACGAGGATACGACTGGCGGTGTCGATGTTGTGTGGGTAAGCTGCATATTGCAAAGGGGTATACGCCTTGCTTAGTACTGGATCCTAATGGACCTAAATAGCTTCATTAGCGGTGTAGTATACTTGTTCGCGTGCATAGGATATGTGCAGCTGATTCTGATAATAGGTACTCAAAGTTGACTGAGGCACCTTCGAACGTTGCGCGACAGCTCTATATCCGGATGTAAGATGTGATGAGGTTTGTGTAAAACGAGCGTAGTACACTTCACACTGCTATGATGTTCCCTGATGTTGGAAAGACGAAGAGTAAGATGCCTGTCCAGTCATGCTTGGTTCCACTGTGGCCTTTGTGGGTCGACCATCTCGAGAACTAATCCTTGTGCTACAGCTCACAGGAACGGCCCACGTGTTCACCAGTATAGGTTCTACTCATCTGTGAAAAAGAAGATACATGATACTTGACAGTATGGATTACAAGCACAGGGTAAAGTGCTTAAAACAGCTAATTTTACGGGATTATAACAGAATGGCAGCATGCTTGCAAAGGCAGAAGCCTCTAGACGCTGAATAAAAAAAATGATACTTGACAGAAACTAGCTAAGAGTTTATACACCAACTGCTCATCAACGCTGAACCGCAGGAAAGTTTCAACATATCATACACTGCTGCATTTAGTTCGGCAACCCAGACCTCCCTTAGTCCGTTATCTCATACCTTCCCCACCAAAGTCATCCACCTCTTCATATCCACTTGCCCAATTAATCGGCTGATACCCACTAAACAAACTGTCTCCTAGCTGATACCCTGGTTTACTAAAGTAGGTCGACATTCGTCCCATGACAACTGGCGGTGTATCGTAGTCTTCGTCAACATAGTAAGCTGCATCTTGAGGTATAGCAGTGAAGTTCGCTTGTGAGGGCCAGTAGGAGGTATTCGAGATTTCTGGGCAAAGAGGCGAGGGTAGAGGTGATGTTTGTGTTGCGATCGTAACGTAGGTAGGTCTGGTTTGTTGTGGTGGCAATGGTAACGGTGAGGTGTGGCAGCCGCATGTGCACGGTGGAGTGTCTGATGTGACATCTCTTTGCGCCTGGAAATTCTGCTGTCGTGTTGCAGCATTTGGTGCTGTGTCAGTCCGCGATGGTGGCAACGGTGGTTTATTCGTTACTGATGCTGGGGATACTGTTTTTGTTGGTACCTTGTCGCGCTCTGGTTCGACGACTGGCACGCCATATATCCCATGCTCTGACGTTGATGGAGATTTCACTTGCTTCAACTCGCCTACACTCGACCCAAGAGCTGTCCACTGCGATATGTATGAAGGTCGTGTCGGTTGTCTTGTCTGGCCCTCAATAATCGTCTCTCCCAATAGCGATATTTCCGAGTTCGTTCGTGAGTTCGTATAACTTAGGCTAGGTGGCCGACTGGCTCGTTGCGAGCTTATCGAACTCGATCGCTTACTCCTATTCGTGTCGCTTGTTCCGCCGTCAGATCGTATACTCGTCTCCGACAAGGGCCTCAAGAATGACACTGTTCTCGATCTTCTCAGTGCTTGCCTATCAAGCTTCTCTTCGTCTTCTACTGGTGCCGGTCTTTTCACTTCTGGTTCCTTGTACTCCAACTTCCCGTTTTTATCAGACGCGAAATATTCCTCCCCTCGTCCAAAAACGACTTGGAGTGACGCAAAATCTCGCGTTGTGCCGTCTGTGGGGTAGAGCCAGTCTCTGAGTGCAAGAGGAAGATCATAGCCATCTTTTAAGTGTCAGTGCTTATTTTGTTCTTATGCTAGATTGCGTATGCGCACCTTGCTTGAACTCTCCGCCCTTAGTTTTCCAACAAACGTAGTACCGCTCAAAAGCACCAAATGCGCAGACTATGAGGTCGTCTAGGCTATCGGGGTCGTTTGGGTCTTCTGGTATCTCGCCCAGGCGCTTGTAGAGTCTTGTAGATGCATCCATTGTAGATTCTTAGTACCTACGTATGACTGAGAAGGTGTATTCGGGATACGTTCGGTAGGCAAGCATCCACCGATTGCATCAGCTGACAAATAAGAAATGACGGCTATATGCCGCGAGAAAGTAACAACTAAATGGTCTCAAGATTTCAACAAGAACACACTCGTTTGTGCGCAGTACTCACTACGCTCAGGTAGATACCCCAGCTTTCAACGGTCAACTACATTACTCCCATCATCGCAGCATTACCATATCTTCTTTCAAACAATACATGATAAATGCCACTATGTTCTCGCGTGATTGCTATCGGTTGCGACATGTTGCCAAAACGTGTCGGAAACTTGAAGCACTTGCGAGGAGCGAGTCGGTCGATGGTGGGTCGAGTTTCACATCTGCCGGTCAGCAAGGGATGCAACGGGCGGATTAGCCGGCAGATCTTTCACATACAGGACTGTGCAGCGTACAAACGAGCAAATGGTAAATTTAAGGATGTCGTGTGTGGGTGCTGATATTGTGGAAAAGAGAACGCTGTCTTGTAATGTTGAAGGAAGCGAGCCGATGGAAGACGAGAATGACGCTTAGCCCTTCTATGCATCAATGTGAACATCTCAACTCAACTATCAGATTTCTATTTGTCTTTAAACGCGTTAGAGTTTGGAGAGAATCCTTTAGGCCTAATTAGTTGTTATTTTGATATTGGAATATCAGCCTCCATCAATTCATCTCTTCGCCTGCCCATCTTGACCTTCTAAACTAACCAGATTATCAATCTCCCTGAACAATGCTGACGTAGTCTTCCTCCCACTGTTAGTCGCCGACCTCTCTCTTCCATTCCCTCTAGAAGCAGTAGCAGGCTGTCTGGACGTTCCACTCACCCTACCCTGACTTCCACCGATCCTGTTGCTCATGCCCTGGTTGCCCTTTCCACTCGTCATAGTACGAGCAAGGGACTGTCGTCCAGATGTTATGGATGAAGACCTGGGCGACAAGCGAGAAGTATCGACTCTCGATGGAGATGACGATAGCCCAGAGACAGAGCGTTCCCTCTGCTGGCGATTTTGGCTAGATGTTTGTGTTGCTTGACGGGAAGTCGATCTTTGTGAGGTCGCACTTGGACTGGGACTTGACCTGGAAGGATTTGGTCGACGTGGTAGAGATACAATCGGCTTGGAGCTTGCCGTAGTTTGAGCTCCCGATATGGCTGGATCTTCTCGCAAAGAAGGTGCTCGCTGACGTGGAGGTGTTATAGGCCGTTGATTAGAAGGATCTGAAGGTTGCGACCGTGCTGCCAATGCTTTCGCTTGATTTGCTTTCGAGATTGCCAGCGCTAAAGGTGCCGGTGTTGGAGAGGCTTGAGGCTGTACGCTAACCCCAGGCGTGCTCAGTGACTCGCCTTCGTTGGAATACACGGAAGAAGTAGTACTATTAGCACGAGATCCACGTTCGTTTGATCGCCTTCGAACATTGGAATCAGGCTTTTGAGCTGCTGCCAAAGCCTCGAACTTCTGAGCCTGGGCTAGGGCTCGTGAGCCACTGCTTCTGTTCAGCTTGGGTGTGGTTCGCTTCTCGCTCACAGATGGGGATTGCTGCTCAGCGGGTCGGGAGTCTGCCTTCTCTGGTGTACTTTCCTTGTCATCGATAGAATTTGAGGCTGGTTGAGTCCGTGCAACATCCTGCTTCAGAATAACTTCGCTCTCTTCACCACTCGTTGACTGCACTTCGGTAGGCAAAAGTTCTGTTATGATAGAAGGCAGAGAACCTCCAATTCCTGGTGAGTTCTTGATCTGGCCCATGCCAGATGTTTCAACAGGTCCTACGTTTGGTTTTGATGTTGAGTCCAATGTTCTCGGACCTCCCTCTACAGTAGGAGAATATGCTGGTGGCGGCGTAGCAGGTCTGAACACCAATGACTCTACCATAGGAGGTGGATCCTCAAAGATAGACTGCGGTATTTTCATCGGTCTATACGACTCCTGCTTATCACTGCCTTGACTTCCTTCCTTGTCGACCACTCCCGGCTTCGATACCAGTGCCTCTGCGGCCAGCGGCTGATCGACTGGTGCATCCTCTTTCGCATCGACGGCCCTTTTCGTCGTCTGATCCTGTTTTCGAGCGCCCGCCTCTTTTTGAAACCTCTTCTCTTTTCTACTCAATTCGATCTCCAACACCCTGGTACCAGGAGCGACTCTTGACTTTAGGCCGTCATCACCGAGGTCAAAGTAAAGACCCCAAAGGCCTGGCGCTTCTTCGACCGCGCACCATCCTTCCCAGCCATCGAATGTGAGTCGTCGATCTTGTCGCGTGCAATCGAACGGACCAGTGAGGTTTGGTTGAGCATCTGCGCGAACACCGTACTTGACTTCCCCTGTCTCTTTGTCGACGTACACCCAGTTCATGATCGGTGCAACGTCTGTGATTGTTGTGACAAGGCCTTCGTGATTAGTATCAGGATAAGGTAGGTAGTATCCAGCGTAAGGATGGCCTAGTGGGCTCCCATCCTCAGTGCCTGTGTCAATCCAAAGCTTTCCATTTCTCAAGACGACCTGGCGGCCGTCTATCTCTCGGCTGCGATGTGATGACTTGACGCATGTTGCGATGAGGTTGCAGCGACGGGCACGGTGCTCCTCTCTCTTCTCTTTAGATTGCGATTGTCGGACAGCTTCTTGTGAGCCAAGTAAACCTGGGGCTACGATGGCAGCGATGAGGATTGAGAGCACCATCCTGAGTGTGGTGCATCACGGTAGTGCATTCGTGGATAGACCAGCACGGATATCCACTCGAGTCACCATCGCTTGTGGACTGCAACCGATTCGTTCTATGCGCGTTACCATAGCTTAGTAGAACTGACTTGGCGTCGTGATTCCGATGGCCTGATGCTCGTCCGACAGAGCAGCCATGTTCAAGCTGAGACGTTCGCCTTGAGCCTCACCACCCCCTGTGTGTTTCATCCTCCCAACCGCCCCGCCAACAAGCATAGCATATCCCCACAACGTCCAAGCGACTATGGTTGATCATCTTGTCTGGACCCTGGATTCTTCTTCCGCAGTGAGGCTGGTACGAGACTCGGACGATGGCAGCGACTGTGAGACGCAGAAGTGCCACAACAGTCGTTTCGAGGATCTAACGCGACAGCGACTAGTGGCGAAGAATAACGATCTATGCTATCGTTGTATATGGTGGCGACTCTACATATAAGGCAGAGATATGGTACTCGATAAAGGCCAGTACAGTCGACCTGCATCTCATCCCTACCATCCACCAACAACACTCAGCAACGGCCCGGAGCCTGCCCAGTCTGAAGCACCTGCCTAATACCTAATATTAGTTCCTCGTCGTTTTCAGCCTTTTGTCAAAATGTCTACTCTGTAAGCAGGTCTTATGTGGAAGAGTGTTCATGTGCTAACCTCGATCAGCGACTCCACCATTCGCCCCACAGCCTACGGCTCCGACACTGAGAGCGACGGACAAGCTTCTGGTGGTCGTAAAGTCTCTTCGAAGGTTGGGCCCGTACCATCCTCAGCCACACTCAACCGACCGGCCGGAAACATCATCAAGGGCCCAGTGGATGACAATGGCAAGCCGAAGGATGCTGCATTGCTACTCGGTATCAAGTTGGATTTGGAGGCAGAGATTCACTTGACGGCAAGGATTCGCGGAGATATTACGATTGGGTTGTATTGAGCTATTTGTATGGTGGATATCAACTATGTTCGGCGTTTGGCATGATGCATGATCTCCGTAGCAGAAGCAAGGCATTGGCTTCGCAGAGGGCGATCCAGGACATCGGAGAAGGCACATATTATTGAATGAATAACATCTCTTCGCAAGAAGCATTGCCACAGTGGGCACACGCATGCTGAGCATCGAGGCGTCACCAGCGCGAAGGTCACGAAAGTAAAGCTGTAATCTGAGCACGTCGTTAGCGTTTGGTACACTAAGAACAATGACTATGTGCAAGTTGAGGGTGCTGATCAGACTCATGCCCTGTCACAGGCAGTTATCACCATTGCCGTAGCTCGGTAGACCGTCGTGATAAATTGAATGTTCATCTTATAAGGGGAAGTGAAGGCTATGGTAGGAGACTTACCAAGTGTTTCATCACGCTTACAGTAGTAGTAGACGATCCTATGCAACTCATCAGTTGCTGTTGTATCTTGGCTTCTTGAAACAAGATGATGTATGTGTGGATCAGACATGACAGTTCTCGTCGTCGCCGAAGCTTGGACATATGCTTGTCGTTGGTAGAGTCGTATCATCATTTCGGAGAAGGAGAAAGGCGCTGAGCGTACCGGTTGGAGGGTGACAAACACTAATAGGTCTAGGTAGCAAGTTAGTAAGGACTTCTACCAAGAAAGAGCAAGCAAATGGTATGCATTGGCGATGGATCAGTTGACATGAATGGATATTTTTGATTTTAAGTCTTCACCGGGCGAACCCGTCGGACTCGTCATCAAGTGTTCATCATTTCGCAGGGTTTGGGTAGTAGGAATGTGCTTACCAAGTGACATCTCACAGGCTGTTGGCGAATAACAGACTGATTGAGTTGTTAGCCGAAGCTCAGCAACGCTTGTATGAACGTAGAATGTGGCGGAGAAGATCAGTCGGCGAGGTTTCTGAGGCCTGCCATAATAAGCATATCCGTCAAGAATTGTCGGTGCCCAGTGCGGAATCATCATATGGTATTCGAGAAGTGTTCGGAAAGAAGGAATCGTACCAATTGAAGAATTCTGTAAAACGCGGAATGTTAGCGAGAGCTACAAGCAGCGTTGAGAAGAACAGTAAAGGTGAGGTAGAGATCAGAAACAGCCATTTTTTATCGGCACTGCCCGAAGGCTTGGTCGGTAATTTCCAGCGTGCCGTAGCACAACAGGTCATCATTGTAGGGTTGGGGAATAGGACGAAGATGTGCTTACCATTCAAGTCGTCCGGTGACGGAACTGCATACTGCAGTAGCTAGAATGCGTCGCGCATGTGCGCTTAGCGTTATCAAGAAATTCTGAAGCTAGTTAGCTCGATGCTCTTTTCGCAAAAGTCGAAGACAAATGTGATGGAAGTAGTCCGATCAGACTGACGTGCAAAAGTTGGAGTTTCATTCCCCGAGAGGTCAAAGACTCTAATTTGTTTTTGGCTTTGTGAATCATCATGAAGGTGCAGAATGAGGTGAGGGTGATGCGCTTGTACTTACCAAAGTCAACTCATGCTGGAAGCGGAGCCGTTAGTGCTTGTGGTTAGCAGTAGATGTTTTGCGCACTGAAGCAAATCTCGCTGTATCGTTGATGCGCCATTGTTGTGCTGCTGTGCAAAGCAGTAATGATGTAGGAAGAGAAGCTGGAGGTCGCTGAGAGAAAAGTTAAGCTATCGGAGGTTGGGGCTAATTTTTCCGCTCCGCTAGCGCGTTGGTGACTAAGCCCACGTCACGCGAAGTGGGACTTGCAGTGCTCCATCGAGACACGAGCCTCAGTTTCCAGCATGTTTGCAGCACGCTGATGCGCTTGACTACTATCAAGCAATGCGGCACGGAACTTCAAGTCATATCATGCCAATCAGTAAAAGTGTGTCGAGTCGTATCGATCGCGTGTCTGTTATTGTTCTATCACTGGTCTTCCCACCCATATTGACGCCAACCTGATATGCATGCCCCTCTCCTACTTGCGCCTTTATCATGACGCGTGAGAGACTATCATGGCGCGTAACTTGGGTATTTACATGAAGTCGTAAAAACTAGAACTCATGGAGCCTCGTGTATGGAAGCCGTTTCGCCTGTACATCCAACCTTCCCTATGCAGAACACGTACTGAACGATACGGACAAAAGCGTCGAATGGTGTCCCTCTTCACGATGCAAAGATGCGAACGTTCAAATCAACGCAACCTGTCGCGATTACACATCGTATGCCTGCTTTGGCTGCCTCCTCCTCTTTCTTCTTATTAGTGCCGTTGGCTGCGCCATTGGGCGCGTCTCCATTGACAGGCACGTCCTTGATGACATTTGGCGCCCATCGCATACAGCTGACGAAATGTCCGTGTGCGTCAGTCACAGTCTTGACACATCGGCCTTCTTGTGTGAGATCCCAGCATCGGATAGTCTTGTCGTCGCTAGCTGATAGTAGGTACTTTCCGCCTGGATGGAAGACGAGCGACCGTATCCAATTGTCGTGGCCAGTAAGAGTCTTTATCAACGTTCCCCGTCCATCCCATATCTTTATAGTCTTGTCTCTTGATCCAGTTGCAATGTACTCGGCAGAACTGCTTAGTGGTGGCGGTTTCTTGAGTCCGGCGAGAGCTGCAAGGTTGGCATAGGATACTGGGGGCGCTATTGTAACACATTCAATGACATGCTCATGCCCAAGGAAAGTGCACTTGGCCTCCCCTGAGCTAGCGTCCCATAACCTGGCAGTCTGGTCATTTCCTGCTGACAGGAGCCATCGTCCGTCAAAGCTAGGCGCGACGTCTCGTACCCAGTCGGCATGTCCGCGTATCGTCTTCACACAGTATCCTGTTGTGACATCCCATATCCGTAGAGTCTTGTCTCGCGACGCAGAGACTAGTAAGTTGCCCGACGACGGAGAGCCCGCAGCTCCACTGGGTACGAATCGAATCGCAGAGACGGAGTGGTCGTGCCCGGGAAGTGTCCTGATGTTCTTGTACTCGTCTGAGGGGTCCCACAGCTTGATAGTCAAGTCGCTCGAACACGACGCTAGCAGTGTACCGCCTCTGGGACCACCAAAGTCGACGTCCAGCACGCCTTTCGTGTGACCCTTGACCGTTCGTTCGAGCTCACCCAACTCCCAATCCCAGATCTTGATGGTAGTGTCTTCAGAGCCCGAAGCGAGCGACGAGAAAACGGGGTGGAACGCGACGCATGTGATAGGTGAGCGATGTGACTGGAGAGTATGCCGTGCTGGAGCTCGCGGCAGCCAGCTAGTGGGGTCTTGATTCCTTCTGATGAGCGAGGTTGGCGTGGTGGAATCGAGCTCGCTCTGGAGGCTCTGGTTGCGCTGCTCGAGTTCCAAGACCTGCACGGTGTAAGCAGAATGTCTCAGTGTGGGTATTTGCGCACAGCTACCTTCTTCTGCAACCGTACTACACTGGTCCATTTCTTCTCCAGCAGCCCCTCATACTTTTTCCGGGTAGCATCGTCGAAGCTGTCGGCTATGTTGGCTTCCTCCCGGAAAGCCTCGGCCGTCTTTGGCGCGTTTATGACACCCAGATATGCGATTATGGCCTTGTGCCTGGCTCGTTGTCAGTGGTGACTCCCGCGATAGTCGCTATCTGCCATGCTCACAGCTCTTCCGCTTGCCTGTCTGTTAATATCGCGCTCATGGCGGAACAGCTAGCTCACACGCGATTGGTGCTAATCTGGACCATGCACTATCGCAAGGCGCTGCGTAGTCTTGTGCGGCCGATGTGGAGGAGGTTTTTGGTGGGCGCGGGGAATTGCGGTGAGCGGAGGATGGACTGCAGGGGCGGCTGGCGGGGTATCTTGGGCGCGAATTGGGAGAGGGAGCAAGAAGCAGGAGGATAGCGATTGTGTCGAAGCAATAATGTGTGCGTGTGGGCTATGTCGTCGACGGAGGTTGCGTGTAGGGCATTCATGTGGTTGCAGGGATCATCCGCTTGGGCAGGAAGTGACGCTGTTGTTGTTCCCGTGGGAACAACAACAGCAAATACTTGCAGCTTGTCAGGCCCTGACATACTTGCAGCCACTACACCACGCTGTTATCGCTATCCGAGACTTTGCGATTCGACAGTCTCACAAAAAGCAACCCAATACTTTGTCTACTGACATCATCTGGTGAGTCTCCGCCCCTCCTATTCCGCGCACCAGGCAGAGCGCAACAGGCCCACTAGTGCACGCGCGCATCACTGTGTCTCTACACACTGTTTGGGTACTTTGCGCCTCTTTGCTGCAGGGTCCTGTGTATCCCACAACACTCGCGACTCACTGTTTTCCAGCCTTTCTGCGCTCTTACACAACCCCGCATTACACTCGTCATATCCCGTAACAAGCCATGGCAGACGGAGAAGAAGATTTCAGTTCGCTCCCGCTCCCCGATCGCTTCGTCCACAAGAACTGGAAGGTGCGGAAAGAAGGTTACGAGGCCGCTGCCAAAGAATTCAGTCTTGCTGCTAGCGAATCAGACCCCGTCGTGCGCCAGTTTATAAACGATGCGAGCATATGGAAAGGTGTCGTGGGTGACTCCAACGTCGCAGCACAACAAGAAGGTCTCGGCGCACTATGCGCCTTCCTTGACATAGCAGGACAGCAGGGCTGCACACGGTAACTATCTCGCAGAAATCTGCATGGCCCATTGCTGATTTTTGTTTAGGACACGGGGTAACACCATTGCGACCATCGCCGAAAAGGGCCTACCGTCCACACGACCGGCAGCGAAGCAAAAGGCGCTCGAAGCGCTGATGCTGTACATCGAAACCGATAAGCCAGACCCAGTTATCGAAGAGCTCCTACCAGTGCTAGGAAACAAGCAGCCCAAGGTCATTGCCGCAACCTTGGACGCCCTTACGCAGATATATCATGCCTACGGCTGCAAAACCATCGAGCCCAAGCCTGTCCTCAAAGTGCTTCCCAAAGCCTACGGTCATGCGGATAAGAACGTTCGCGCCAAGGCGCAGGAATTGACAGTCGAACTCTACCGATGGCTAAAGGAGGCCATGAAACCACTCTTCTGGAACGATCTGAAGCCCGTCCAACAGCAGGATCTTGACAAGTTGTTTGAGAAGGTCAAGGATGAGCCCGCGCCGAAGCAAGAGCGCCTACTACGATCACAACAGGCTGCAAAGGAGGCTGCAGTCGCTGCACCCGGCGGCGAAGAGGAGGAAGACGAAGAGGAGGCTGCCATTGATCTCGAGCCAGAGTACGAAGCCGTTGACGTGTTTGCAAAGATCCCCAAAGATTTCTCGGAGAAACTGGCATCTTCGAAATGGAAAGACCGAAAGGAAGCCCTCGATGAGACGCAAAAGGCCCTCGACCACCCCAGAATAGCGGAAGGACCGTTTGACGAACTGATTCGCGGTTTTGCCAAGAGTATGAAGGATGCCAATATTGCCTGTGTTATTGCAGCCGCAAATTGTGTTGAGCTGCTGGCCAAGGGATTGAAGAAGAGCTTCGCCAAGTACCGCAAAGATGTTATGAACGCCATGATGGAGCGCCTGAAAGAGAAGAAACAGACCGTGACTGATGCCATCGGAGCTGCGTTGGATGCCTCGTTCGCATCTACAAGCTTCCAGGAATGTCTGGAGGAGATTCTGGAGTTTCTGAAGCACAAGAATCCGCAGGTAAAACTTGAATCATCACGGTTCTTGATTCGATGCCTGAAGAACACCCGCGAAGCTCCAACACCAGAACAAGCCAAGGCCATTGCCGAAGGCTCTACGAAACTACTTACCGAATCGCAGGAGGTGCAGCGAGCTGCTGGTGCTGAGACGCTCGGTACCCTTTGGAAGATCATGGGAGACCGCATCATGAACGCCCATCTGGATGGACTTGATGAGATTCGCAAAACCAAAATCAAAGAGTTCTTCGATGCTGCGGAGGTCAAGACTAAATACAAGCCAAAGACTGCGCCCGCACCCAAGCCTGCGGCAGCCGCACCACCGACGAAGAAGCCCATGGGCAAGCGACCAGCCCCGGGTGGTGTAAAGAAACCAGCTCCTGCCGTGAAAGCACCTCCGCCTCCGCCCGTGGAAGAGCCTGCTGCACCTCTCGAACCGAAGCCGACTTCAAGGCCCGCTGCTTCCAAGCTGGGTGCCAAACCTGGTCTCACTGGGCCGTCGAGGCTTGGTGGATTGAAGAAGCCAGGCTCAGGTCTCACAGCTCCTTCGCCACGAAAATCCGTTGTTTCGCCTCCTCCTGAAGAAGAAGCGCCGCCGCCACAGCCCAAGTTCGGTGCCGGTCGAGGTCTCGCAGGCCGTCCTCTGGGAAAGCCTGCTGCTGAACCTGTTGCTGCGGCTCCACCACCACAAGCACCCAGCGGCCTCAACTTGGTAGAACGTGCAGAACTTGACGAGCTCCGAGCAGAGGTTGAACGAGTACGACGACAGAACGAAGATCTGCGCGGCGAGCGAACGAAGCTTACTTCACAAATTCACGAGCTCCAGAACCAGAACGCCCAGCTCATCGAAGATCACACTCGCGATGTGCTTTCGATCAAGGCAAAGGAGACACAGCTCGTCCGTGCACGTTCAGACTTCGAAGCATCTGAGCAGACAGTACAGAACCAGCGTCGCGAAATCGATAGGTTGAAGCGCGAACTGAGTCGGCAGTTGCGCTCCGCGTCTCCACCGGCGACAGACGTTGGAGACCAGATCTATAGCGATAACCATGCCAACCTTAGCAGCACCAACGGCGCCATGTTCGGTGACTCTGGATACGGCAGTCGAGCCATGCACCCAAGGCAGAGAAGCTTTGCTAGCGGACCTGGAAGTCCAGGCGGCGATGGTAAGGAGAACTTTGATTCTCTATCTCGCCCTAGCAGCAATATGAGTGGCAAGCTGAGTCCGCGCGCAGATGGTCTGTCATCGATGTCGTCGCGTGGCCGTATGAGCCCGGCAGAGAACGGACCTGCTCCTCGAGTACCTTCAGCAGGAGCTTCAGGTGCGGAAAGCTGGAAGCGCGCTGCAGAGGTCACGCAAAATCTGAAGCAAAGAATCGAAATGATGAAGGTCAGTTCTTCCAACCTCTCCTTGAATGACACTGCTAAGATCTCTCCAGGCTAAACAAGGTATTGGACGGCCACAGCAATGATCTCAGCCACTCGACCCAACGACTTCTATCTCTTGTAGGCGTAGCAGTCGTGTTGAGCTGCACGGTTCAATTGCTGCACTTTTTCCAATGTTCATCCAGGCCCATGCAAACTTAATCGGGGGCGTTTATAGGGCCTCGCGGCTCGTCGCTTGTTTTAGACCCTGCATGCGCTCTGTATGCATTTATCCGTAGGCATTTTCAAAGGCGTTTGGCTAGCTTTGGTATGTGCTTGTGTGATAGTGATGGGCTAGGCATGGGGATTAGGGTAGATTGGGAGGCACACAAAAGGCGGGCTCTTGGGCTTCTGTAGTTGTCTTGGTGCAGAGGGAGCGTCGAGACAGACGTCGTTTTTCCTTACGAGATTCCCCACACGCTTTGTTCCTTCACAATAGAACATTAGCACCGTCAATGGAGTTATGTTCTTCTCTTCGATATCCCTTTTAGGAGCTTTAGCCGGGAAGAGTCCACATGCAGCAGGCCGTCAGCGCCAGGTACCAAACCATTGGGAATTCAACTGTGCCGCAGGATGCCCCCTAGGCGCAGGACCGACTGAATGCGACCTTTTTGCATATCGCGGCACTGCAGGGTCGCATTCAGTGTCTCTGTAGTTACTCCACTGACTGAATGCGCCGTACGCGCCATATTTCCGTTTCGTCCATTATGGATCCTGGACTGTCGTTGCGCACGCAGAAGACGCTCAAGGACCTTCTCCCAGCCTTTTCGGCAAGCGCCCCACTGCAACAACCTTTCAACCCTTTCTCCACGATTATCGATCTCTCGCGCGCTGTAAACGAGGTCCTGCATCCAGAGCTGCTCGAGTTCTTCAAAGGCACTGTTGAAGATAAAATCACGAGTGAGGTTTGTTACTCGTGTCTGAGACATGTCGTGTAGCCCGCTAATCGTACCTCAATAGGCGTTCGCGGCTCCTGCTGCATCGCTCAACGGCGGCGATCCACGGCTGCGCGATGCACTAGCTTCATTCTTCAATACCTACTTCAAACCGATTCATGCCGTGAGGCCTGAGCATATCGTTCTTACAGCAGGCGCGACTGATGCTATCGAGAACGTGATCCACGCTGTTTGCGACGATGGAGACAGTGTTCTTGTCCCTGGTCCGCATTGGCGTAAGTCACCTTGCTGCTCGTCAAACATTCCTTCCGCGCTCCTTCGCAACATGGTAGATAGCCAAGACTAATAACATGCAGCAGGATTCGAGATTGTCCTGAAGCGGAAAGCAAAGGTCGACGTCATTGCCGCTAGGCCACCAACGTACGCACATTGGGACAACTACCTTCTCCCTTCTCTCCAGGCGGCATACGACTTCTCAGACAAGAAGTCCCGCATCAAGGCTGTCTTGCTTTGTAACCCAAACAACCCACTCTCGAGATGCTACCCACGAGAGACCTTACTCGAACTGATAGAGTTTTGTCAAGAGAGAGGTTTGCATTTAATATGCGACGAAGTGTTCGCACTCATTAGCGTGAACGGAGTTGACAGCAAGGCACCTCGTTTCGTGAGTGCCCTGTCTTTGACGGAACCATTTGTACCAGAGGGCGCAGTCAAGGTAGATCCAAGCCGAGTTCACGTTGTTTGGAGCGCGAGTAAACTCTTCGGCATGAGCGGGTTAAAAGCAGTAAGTCTCTTCCTTTCCAGGATGATATAGTTCCAGGCCTGACAGACATGTAGGGTTGTATCGTATCACAACAAAACCCTTCACTCCTCAAGGCCATGGCTCTAACATCCACCCACCCATCGTCCATCTCAACTCTGTATCTCAGTTCCCTCCTCACTTGGTCTCAACTCCCCATCCTACTGGCCCTGAACCCCGAGCGTCTTTCGCTTTCCTACAACATCCTTGCTTCCTTTCTCCGCCGGCATAACATCGATTTCGTGGCGCCCACGCATGGTCTTTTCCTGTTTGCTCGGCTGGCAAACAAGGCTGTGACGATACATGACGAGAAAGCATTTTTCCAGGATTTGGAACTGCGGAGTGGGATCAAGGTGGCACCAGGCGGAGGTTTCAATGGAGTTGAGAAGGATGTTGGATGGGCTCGGATGCGGTTTTCAATCAGCGTTGAGGACATGGAAGAAGCGGTCGAGAAACTGGAGAATTTTTTCAAGAAGACCGGATAATGGCGAATTTTGTTTTGATATCGGGGAGATAGTCTGTTACTGGGCTCTGGCGCAAAATTCAATATTATACAACGGGTTTCGATGTCTGTTTACTCTCATGGTAAATGTTTCTTAGGTTCGTCCTTTTGCTGTTGGGCACTCGTTATATGACGTACATGCAGGGCTCCTTTAGTTTTCGGATGTTCAAAGCTTGCGCTGGATTGGAGTATCTAATACAATATCAGGTTTTCTTTTCCGTGCCAGGTGAGTTGAGCAGGCATCCCACCACAAATGCGTCAAAATCCACTACCCACAACACACCAATGCAAGTGTCGTATACGAGCCAAGGCCATCAAGAGCCTCCAGGTCTTGAGGGACTTACAGCGCTTGCAGATCTTCCATAAACACAAGTCGCAGAACCCCAAGAAGTTGCAAACCCCGAAGCACTCCTAGAATCTCTACGTCTTTCAAAGATTCCATCTCCACTGCTTCTCTCTTCTCGCTTCATGCTATGATGTCACGCCCAGCACACCATCGTTCTCCTCAATGTAGCGAACCATGTCGTCAATCGTGCAAACCTTGATCCCCCACTTCTTTCCAAATGCCAGACAATCGTCCCTTCTCATCATACCTCCACCAACAAGCTCCGGCTTACCAGGTACTTCCTCGCCGTCCGTAATCAGCTCGCAGATAACACCGACAGGTTGCTTACCAGCCAACCTGCATAGATCTACAGCAGCCTCTGTGTGTCCCCTACGTTCGCGCACTCCGCCGTCCCTTGCCTGCAATGGCAGTATGTGTCCAGGTCTCCTGAAATGGCTGGCTTTGGCGTTGGGGTCCGCGAGCATCCGGCATGTCAAGCTGCGGTCTTGGGCAGAGATACCGGTTGTGACAGAGGCGTCTGCGGAATCGATGCTGACGGCGTAGGCGGTGCGGTTAGGGTCGGCGTTGTCGGCAACCATTTGCGGTAAATGCAGGGCGGCGGCGCGACTAACGGGTAAGGGTGCGCAGATGTAGCCACTGGAGTAGCGGATCATGAAGGAAGCTTTGGCAGGTGTCAGGGCGGACGCGGCGATTATGAGGTCGCCCTCGTTCTCTCGGTTAGGAGAGTCAAGGACGATTACGAATTCGTCATTTGCTACGGCAAGAGGCGCGTCAGTATAGGGTTTGTAGGATGAGGGGTAGGACGATCGCTTGGGCTGAAAACACCTGGAGAGACGTACCAAAGGCTTGTATGACATCTGGTATCGAGTCGAAGGCCGGGTGCGCTGGCGTAGGTTTTGAGAGCTGCGTCGCACTGCCGTTTACACCATTGGTACCATGGGCTGGCAGCCCGTTCTGAAGTTCCGCGGGCATGTTTCTGGGTATGACTCTTGTCCAATTACTGTCGCCTGGTATCGCCGTCTCCTGATATACTCTTTTTGAGGGAGAGTAGCGCGGGTACTTGTGGTTCCGTCTGCTTGCAAAGCGCGAAGCTCGTGGGAACTTTTAGTCACTTTTGCTTAGAAAAAGATCTCGTAAGCCACCGGATGTCCGCGCTCGGAATCCCGAATTATACCAAGTTCTGGAATGGTAATCTGTCTGTATGATGCGATATCGAGAGGATCTCCTGAAGCACTGCGACGGTCAATTAAGCAGATAAAAAGGTGAAGCGGAAAGTAATGATGTTGTGCTATCTGCGGAACCGGAGCTTGTATGTATCACAAGATACTTGAAGGAGGGGTTCATACCTCGGAGCTTCCCTGCGTCGGGACATCGGCGCGACGCGCACCGGCCTCCGATGTGGCGTTTGCACCGATTGCCGATATGTGGCTAGCAAGTCGTGTGCGACTCTGAAATAGACGTTGACTCTGACGTACAGCCAGCGTTGCACGAGCGAACACGGCTGACGTTGTGCGCTGATGTGGCTTTGCTGCATGACGCTTTCTTTCTTCACGGTGCATGATTAGATTCAGACACGGACATCACCAAGACTTCCAGAGTGCAAGTTTTGAACGTTCATAATCAAATCCGATTGTTTATCAGATACAAGTGAGGGTATAGACGAATAAAACTACCCACGTCGTCTGTGCTCATAGGAGCATCAAGACACGACAACGCCATGTAAAACAAGCTAAATATATCACAAACCCGCACTCAAGCTACTTGGTGCCATAGTGCCACGAAGATGCAGAAGTTTTTACGCTTGCTTATCCGTGACAAACTCCTTCTCGTTGTGAGCGGAGCTACCTTCGCTTCGGGGCTCTGCAACACCCTCAGTCTGTGGGTCCGCCTTCCAGAAGTTCTTCTTTCCGCTGGCGAGCCTCTTCATCCATGGGGGAAGGAGGCCGCCCTCGAGACGCCAAGTCCAGGGCTCCTTCTCATCCTTGTTGGGTGGTACGATGCGACCGGAAGACGCCTTCTCAATGATCCATACAATGGTGTTGATGAGCATGTAAGAGCAGATACCGGCGATCAGACCGTAGGCGATAGAGTATGTGAAAGGCATGACCGCAATGGTGAGGAAAGCGGGAATGGAATCGCCAAGGTAGCGCCAGTTGATATCCTTAGCCGATGTTGCCATAAGCGATCCAACGATGACCAGTGTGCAGCCAGTAGCCCAGGGAGGAATCGATGCGAAAATCGGAGCGAAGAAGATGGCGATGAAGAAGCAGAGACCCGAGAACATGGCAGTAAGACCAGTCTTGCCTCCTTCAGAGATACCGGCACCAGATTCGATGTATGCGGTGACTGGAGGGCATCCCATGAGAGATCCGATACTGATACCAAGAGCGTCAACTGAGTAGGCGATGGAGGAGTTTTCAAAGTCTTGGGTACGCTCATCGATAGCACCACAGAAACGGGCCATGGAGTATAGAGTACCAGTACCTAATAGGGTTAGTACATGACTCAGGTTGTGAAATAAAATGCAACTTACAGTCAAGAATATCGACGTAAAGGAAGGTGATGAAAGCAAGACCCCATTGGCCGGCGTGCTCTGAGATGTTCCACTGTTGAACAGCAAGAATTTTGCCAATTGGGTGGAAGGTGACGACCTGCTTGAAAAAGTCGAAGGCTGAGTCGCCAGTCTCGGTGTGTGGGAAGTAGGTAACGCTTGTTGGGCGCGGCCAGGAGATGATCGAAACAAGCAGAATACCGATGATAATCGCACCCTTGACGCGGTAAAGCATAAGCATGACGGTCAGGACACCACCACAGAAGATACCGATCCACATGGTTGGGCTCCTCATCTTGACACCTCCTGGGCAGACACCATCAACCTGGTCGGCGGCAACGCAACCGGCGAGTTCGAGAGGGGTCGACTGAGCACCGGTGATCAGACCGATACCAGCGGAGTAGGCAAGTCCGATAATAGTTAGGTAAAGTCCAATACCAACGCCGGTTGCGAGCTTGATACTGGCAGGAATAGCCCTTGCAAGCCACTGTCGAATACCGAGCATGGTTAGACCAACGAAGACGAAACCTTCAACGAAGACGGCGGTAAGTGCAACCTCATACGGAACCATGCCTAAAAAGCAATTAGCAACGTTCCAAGAAGATCAACTGGTACGACCCATGGCGCTGGTAAGCAGACCATATTGAGGAACGGCATGACGGCGTCACAAGGGAACGGGAAACGGCGTATCGGTGCAACGTACCTGTACCATGGAAACCAACTACGGTGTAGGCAAAGTATGCGTTCAGCCCCATTCCAGGAGCCAGGGCAATGGGCAGATTGGCAAACAAGCCCATGCAGAAAGACGTCAATGCAGAAATGGCAGCTGTTGCGGTAACCAAATCCCGCCTGACTTCCTGGACACAGAGGGCGTACTGTGGGTTGGTCTCGCAGATGGGATCGTCCGGGAGCCCTGGGCATACGCAGGTACCACCAGTGTCTGACACAATCGATGCTGTACATGGTCATCAGACGCGGTCCTGTCAATGACATCCCGCAATTGACATACAGTTGACAGAGATGATATAGGCCATGGCGAAGAAGGTGGCCAACCCCGCGCGAAACTCAGTGAAGAAGTAGCTTCCCTTGCGCTCTTTGGGCTATAGGGCTGTTAGTGCATGCACCGATTATCGACATGCGATATACATACATGACCTGATCCCTCGAGGCGAAAGTACCGGCCGACGATAGAGCGCGCGACAGCGCTATTCGCCTTGTGAACGAAGCCCGACATGTTGCAGATTTTTCGACGATACCGCGGGGACGATCGCAAAATTGTTGTGCGTTGAAGGGGTACGGTTGATTCGGAGTCGACCAAGCGGCGAGAGAAGATCGACGTCAAGCTCTGCTAAGTGAGCCAGTGAAGGCGAAGCGAGCTTTTAAGTCAAAGTGAATGCGTAGCACAGGGTCTGGACGGATGTAAAGTGTATCTAGCATGATCCCGCACCAAAGAGATAAGGACCAGCGGCGACACCCAACCCTGTCGCGTTCAACCTCCCGCAAAGAACCAATGACCCATATCAGGCCGATCAAGCCCTGCTTTAGTTGGACTAGTCGCGCAGCCCATGCGATCCCACATGGCGGCAGGCTAGGATGCCTCGGCGTGTTGCGCTCAAGGTGACCGGCCGCTTCCTCAGCCTTAAGCCAGGGAGCGTAGTGAATTCCCGGCAAACGTAGCTCGCCTGTCGCGACACCTTCAACTTGGCGCCTACACATGCTTTTCCCTGGGCAGCCACAGCAGCCTAGGCGTATCAGTGCTGAGGGGGCTCGGAGGTCGCCGGCCGGCGCCCGAAGCTACGACATGTGGAAGTCGCCTCTTGTATCTGGCGACGAATCTCTGTTATCGTGGCTGGGCAGATGCACACGAAGGCGCAATTTGACGATTGCAAATGGAATTTTGTCAAATCTTCGGAAGGGTCGCTGTATGGAAATAAAGGTGGAGCTAGCGATGAGACGGTTAACGGAGGTACGCCTAGATGCGTTAATGAATTTCTGATAGCACCAAGTGGAGATCGTGAAGCCGTCAGCGCTCCCACTTCGATGCACAGCTTGCTCACCTGCATACGTCTTCTGCAGTCGTGCTCCCTTGCGGAACGCGACTATCCATGTCATGTTGGTAACACCAGTGCCCTCAGTGGATATCTGATGCTCATGAGCGAACCCGATTGCCGGGGCACCAGGGACGGTTCGCGTCTAACCGCTTCGGCACCAGACTGCATGATAGCGCAAGGAGCTCCTTTTCCAACCTACACTCAACACGAAGCACCAACGGCTGTCTGCGCACCACCCCCGGATAACAAACGCATCGCTTTCCGTAAATCCGACCTGGAGTGAAGGCTATGAGCGAACTTATTGGCTCGTTCCTTCTGCCGGGGTAATGTACGCCCACGGGGAATATTCGCCCGGACGAGATTCGATAGACTATTAAGCAAGGACGTCTAGCCAGCTTGTTTGTTTCTTTCTGTCTCGAACACCCATCTCGACAACCCACTCGAGAGTCGTACATTTCGACCAGGATACACCAATCGATCGCAAGCCCTAGACCATGCCACCACGTTTTCTTGTCTCGCGATATCTCAAAAGCAATTGCGCGTCTTTTGGTCTTGCGAGACTCCACTTGGTGCTTTCTCGAACGCCCCGATCTGATGTTTCAAGGCCCCATGGAGTCTAATGCGGATTGCCATCTATCCGTACCGCCATCAAGCTGTCTCCATGTTTGGTACAACCAGCAACCAAACGGAGTATACTGGGCACTGGCCTACACGGCTTTCCAATCCGATGCGCCACGGGCCGCGGCAGGTCTGAAACCTGCGACGGGCATCTAAAAGTACTGGTAATGTCGCAAGGCCGCCTACTTTGAACGGACCATTGGTGGAAATTGTCGATTGCGTGCTCAAAGCACTGAGACAACGTCGCCGATTGCTGCAGTGGATCATTCTGACGTTTGCAAACTTTATCCAAGTTTACTGCATTGTGTATGAATATAGCTAACGATGTAGACGCCACGCAACAAACAACAATCGTTCTAGCCGGCTTGCGCCATGCGAGCTGAGAGAAAGCGGGGAGGATCATCGGTCTGCCGCAAGCGATGCCATGCGGCTACCCCTTGCGCTAGTGACAGGTGTTGGCTGCTAGAGAAAATGCACTACACGTCTACACATCTTTGCTTCTTGGAGACTAGAGCTCGTTCACGAGAGGCGTCGTCAGAATACAGTAATGCCCGGAAATACGTATCCACGTCATGAGGTAACAATTAGAGCTTCGCTTGTTTCTCGTTGGGCTTTACCTACTCCTCTCTACGCAGCGTACAATGTCAGCTCTCGAGATTTTAGCTCTCTTCATCGCCTTCCGAACTCTTAATGCCCAACCGTAGCCTGTTGTGCAGGTGCGTAGCGGTTGCCGGCTGGCTTTGCTTGGTCAACGATTTTCCTCATCTCCTTCCTCTCTTCGTCTGTCAACTCTACGTCCCTACTAGCCCAATTCTCTTCCAACCTCTTCGCCTTTGTCGTTCCGGGGATAGCAATCATGCCTTGGGCAGCAACCCACGCCAGCGCGATCTGAGGTGTTGTGCAGCCCTTTTTCTTGGCAAGTTTCTTGATCTCCTCGACAATTGCCTTGTTCTTGTAGAAGTTCTCGCCTTGGAACTTGGGGACTGAGCGACGGAAGTCGTCAGGTGCAAAATCATCGGGAGAGGAATAGTCGAAGTTATCCACAAGCCAGCCGTGGCCAAGTGGAGAGTAGGCGACATAGGCCACATTGAGTTCCCTAGCGGTGTCGATCAGACCGTCGGTTTCATGCAGTGTCTCGAAGGCAGAGTATTCTGCTTGGACAGCATCGATTTTGGCAACTTGATTGCTAAGTTAGCGGACTGTAGGCTAACGGAATACTCCACATACTTGAGTTTGCTTTCCGCAGCGTCTTAGCGGAACACTCAGACAACCCGATATACTTGGTCTTGCCAGACTTCCGACACTCATCCAGCGCAGGGATAGACTCTTCCAAAGGCGTGTTGGGATCAATTCGGTGAAGATAATAGAGATCAGGAGTAAAACCAAGTCTCTCAATTGTACCATCGATGTATTTCTTAATGTGGCTTGGGCTGTTTGTCACACCTGACTCTCCATCAAGGCAAGCAATACCGCACTTGGAAGCGACTGTGAATAAGGGTCAGCCATCTTTTGAAATGCTTCAGCTGTTGGGTGTATACTGACTAAAGACCTTGTCGCGGACATTGTGCTTCCGGATGAACTCTCCGAGAAGCTTCTCGTTGACACCAGCCTGGTACACGACCGCAGTATCCCAGAAGGTGCAGCCAAGTTCAATGGCTTTGAGAAGGACAGGTTCTGCTTCTTCCAAACTCAGGTTGGTACCCAACCCAAAGCTGAGACCCATACAACCGAAGCCTGGCGATCGGACTTGAACGTCTTGGAACTGAAACGTCTTGACCATTTTGATAGAGTTGGATCAATAAGTTTTGCTAAAGAGAGTGAAGTCGTGTGATAGAGGCAGAGTCGAAGTCTTCGATCTGGTTTGATATCGAACAGACTGCTCATACAATACTCTATTATATACCTCCATAAAGTCGTTCGGAATATGTTCGGTATGCTACGCGTTGAGGATGGTCAGCCAAGTGCATTAGCGTGCCCGCAATATCTCGTAGGTGTAACGACGTTGGGTCCAATATCTCCGCTAAAGCCGCAACACTCGCCTCATTGTATCTGAACGTCCGGTCAACAGTTGAAAAAAATCAGCTGTAACGTTTCATCCGCTTTCCAGAGGCCCCTATGTCCGTTACTGCCGAGACAATGATCCTAGTTTTCACGGAGGGCGCAAAGCGTCAAAACCTTGAGCATAGACACTTTGCCGTAAGCCATGGTTGTACGATCGTACAACTTCCTGAACCCCGCTCATTGTAAGTTCCGACAATATCTTGTGCTGAATTGGCACCACGCTGTCACAGTGTTTGTTACGAAGGCATGCATGTGGATGTGTTATACGTGCTTCCCATAAATTGCTTGCCGCGCGGTGCAGTACGTACAGAAACAACTCTAGGTTACCCCTAAAACCTTCCCAGAGATTATGATGCATAGAGCTCATGTTGAGTACTTCGGTTCCGTGCAACGAGCCTATGTGACTGCATATTGAGCCTGCCAGCCATTTCTGTCTGAAACACGATTTGGTGGATTTCACACATGATGATGTTGATGAGGGCGATTTCGCAGCCACGCAGCCACACCTCTGAGCCACTTCATTACAAGCAATGACGTCGTCCAAGATGTCGACGTTGCAACCCTGCTTGTCGCGTGCATGTGTCCCCTGGGTTGACAGTTACTGAATTGTCAACAGAACTACGTCTTCGCGCTCTTGTGTATTCCTGTCGCGACCCGATCCTTTCGGGCAACGCATCATCCCTGTGCCGATTATGAAGCACCGATTTGCCGCGCTGGCGACGCTCTCACGCGCCTCAACATTCCCGACCGCTCGATGCGCGCCTCTATTCACACGCACCTCTCCTAGCATATCGACCCAATTCAGAACACCTTCACAGTTCCGATGCTTCGCGACCAAGCCCAGGGGCGTTGACAAGGAGAGTGACAAATTCGGAGACTACAGCAACTCCAACGCCCGGCCTGCTTCAGAACTCAATGAGAACATCACACAGGAAGAGAAGGATCATTTTGCAAAGAAATTACAAGAAGACAAGGGCAAGCAAATACGAACGCCATGGCACAGAGAGGGGAGCGACTTGCCGCCTGTCGCGCGACAGAGAAGCGCTGGAGCAATGACCAAGGGTATGTCTCTCGCTATCTGGAGTACTCGACAGCTGACAAGGACAGGTAAATTGCTCACCACGCCATCCCGGATGCTCAAGATCATTCTGCCACTCACGACAAGCGATATGAACACGGATCGCAAGGACATTGAACCGCTAGCACTCCTCGTCCACCCACAACAACCCATCTCGTATCTCGAACGCTTGATACAAGCTGAACTCCCCAGCATAAAAGATAAAGAGGGCCGAGACAGGCAGCCGAATATCTACTTCCGCGCCGAAGACTCAATGCAGCAGGATGCTGAGCCAGAGGAAGTAGAGAGCACGCCAGTCAGTAACGATAGCGAAAGTCTTAGTGAAAAGGACGGCGAAGAGGACTTTGAACAGGTCGATGAGATTCGCATTGACGGGAAGACACACAAAACAGGCAAGATCAACAGCCAGGATAGGAAGACACCTGAACAAGCGGATGAGCTGCGAGGTGGACCTGGACAGGGCGGCGTCGAGTCATACTCTGGGCAGGGCCAAGAAGCGCCGGCAGACAAGCAAGGCGCGCGCAAGTTTGTACGATGGTCTTCATCTACCGAGATCGGCGACTTCATCCGTGATGCTGCTCGAGGACAGGAATTTGCCATTGAGATTGAAGGTGCGCCAGAGGAGATTCGGGTTGGTGTGCCCAGCTTCAATGATAGGACCTACTATCTTCGAATGCGTCTACGCAAGACATCCAAGAAAATCAGCGAGATGGCGACCGTGAAGAAAGAGTGCGATGATCTGGCGCAGAAGGCGGCAAAGAACGTTGCGAGGGCTGGGTTTGTCGGTATTGCTGGATGGTGGTGTGTTGTGTACTATCTCACATTCCAAACCGAGCTGGGCTGGGATGTCATGGAGCCCGTTACAGTGAGTATGGCCACTTCTCAACTTTGATCCATCTAACAGTTCAAATAGTACCTTGTCGGTCTCTCTACCCTTATCGGTGGTTATGTGTGGTTCCTCTACCACAACCGCGAAGTCAGCTACCGCTCTGCCATGAACTTCACTGTGTCTCGTCGACAGCAGAAGCTATACCAACAACACAACTTCGACTTGCGCAAATGGGAGGTCCTGATCGAGGACGGCAATGCCCTTCGTAAGGAGATCAAGGCTGTTGCCAACGAGTACGATGTTGAGTGGGACGAGCTGCAGGAAGAGAAGGACGAGAATGTGCAGCAGGCACTCAAGAAAGAGCGCAAGAGGAAAGAGGAGAAGAAGAAGGACAAAGACGACGAGGACGACCCAGCACCAGAACCAGAGAAGGATGACAAGAAGTGAGCGGCAATCATAATTGCTCTAGCTCATACATGTTTTGCGGGTTGAGTACTTGAGCGAGGCGTTCATGGGCATTTCCTTCGGCCTCACGTGTACGATGGTAGACATACACAACGACGTGGCTGTACAACGTGAGTCTTATTAGATAATAGAGTATTAAGATACATGATTTGAACAACTATCTATCTACTGTGGTGCTTAGGGGATCCAGGTACATGTAATCTCGAGCAGATAAGCCGCATCTCCGCATTGAGCGATGAGTTTTATGTTCCTGCAAGTCGCCGTATCATACTTGTTACACTTCAGCAGTTCAATGAAACCTAATCAATCAGACATGAAAGGCTCAAGACTCGAATAAATCAGGTAGAGATCCTCCGTGCTGGGTACCCAGTCAGTCGTGGGGTCAGTCGCGTACCAACATTACATACTTTCATATCTAGAATTAAGTTTGTTCGTGAGAGTGTGCATCAAGATAGGTGTGTTTTACAATAAGCTTGAGGGTCTACCTAGGTAGATCACCTTAGGCATCAACACTTGCAATATATAGTGTAACATTGAGATTGATTATCTCATCGCGCACAAGCTAATGTGTGGCATAACCAAACCATGGTCAGCCGGATCTTCTTGCGGAAAACGCCCTGCTTTACTCATCTATAACGTGGTTCCGGCAATATACATGTTCAGCGTCCGGGGGCTAACGCAGCGGTCAGGACCTGGGTCTACGGGATGCACGATTGGCGAAGGCGGTACTACTGCCATCAGCATGCACGTAATCGCTTCTTCCAACGGTCGTTTGTGTGCCTCTTGTCTCGCGCATCAATTCGTGATAGGCATGTGGCCACAATCACCAACTCGTACAAGAACGCCCGGACATGCATCATCATGTATAATCAGGAGCATCGCCCGAAAACACTATAGGCATGGCAAGTGACGGGGTTCGATATAAATGGATCAGTCGCGTTGGATTCGGCCAGAACGAAGCAACTCGGCGCCCAGGACAATTCGAGATGCGGAGGCATGGTGGTGGTGGAGTTTTAGAGACCATGCGGCGGTGGGCCGTTGCGCATGTTGGAGTGGACCCACTGCCTATTTATATCGGCCTGTGTGGGGAACTTTCTCTTGGATACCAAGACGAACACCACAACGGTCGCATGTTGGACGAAACGCTGCACACGTCACGAGACTCGTCAAAACTCTTGCGGGGACATGTCGGCCACTTGCGCGACGGCTGGGATTGACATTGGGTTAAAAAAGTGCAGCTGCAAAGGTAAAGATGGCCTGAGGATGGCGGCCATGTTCTTTACTTAGCCGCCGACGTCTTGTCGACGGGCAGGGATGGTGCATAGTGCCCATGTCGCCGTATGCATGAGGCGTCGCCCATTCGCTGGACAAGCAAAAGTCAAGCCTCGCTACAACGCCAAACCTCCGTCGTCGATACTGCTTCGAGTCTAGAGCTGCTAACCCTCGTGCCCGACATGATCGACGTCGATTGCCAGGCGTCGAATTGGCCGCGTTCCCTCCATCCTCAGACTCGACGGGCACACAGCATGACCCAGCATCCTTGCGCGCCTCGGCCTCTGCATTCGCGTGCGAGGTGACCAAGATCACAACGGTGCAGCTCCCAACGCCGCCCCATCTTCTCTCCGCCGCAGGATTCGCCCGTACTACTCGCTGGAGCCGCTGAAGGCTTCGGCACGGCACATCAAGCCAGCCCTGAAGCAATCTAGTAGGACACTGCCAGACCGCGAGGTTTAATAGTAGCAGCCATGGAGCACGCCTACAGTCCCGCACCGCCGCCGTCGCCCCGACTGCCTCCACCGCCGTCTTCACCGCACCCAGCCCACCTCCAGGCACCGCAGATATCTCCCAGGCGCTTCGCTGTGCAACCTCCCCTCCTCAACACCACCCTCGCGCCGCCACCTCAGTCCGGCCATTCGTACCTGCATGGCTCGCTACCTACACCGGCGACTGCCTCGTCTCTGAGCCTGCCCTTCTCGCCTTCCCCCGCGCCCTCGACGTATGCGCCTTCGCCCATCGCGGCTGCTTCTCCCATGGCTATGAGGGGCTCGGGTCCAGCCGTGCCATACAATCCCCAGCAATGGACGCGCGGTGGGAATGTCAGTGGGCAGCATGTTCAGCATAGCCAGACGTCGGTCCCCACGAGGCTTCAGGATGTGACAGGCATGGAAGGTATATATCACTTCCTACTTTGTCCCAGTTTCGTGTTATAGGTAGCAGATTGGATAGACTCTCTTTTCTTTTCTTCCGCAAAATATGCATCCTCCTGTGTGTCGAGATTGTTCTTGGAAACATACCAAGCATGGCAAGACGTGATGCTAATCGCAACAGCGTCGATGCCCTCACCACCGCCTCCATACTCGCCCGGCCAGAACCCGAACGTGTCACAATCCCTCAGCACCAGCAACACATCATCGCCTCAGATGTCTGCCAGCACGTTTCCCCATCCACCACCTCCCCCACCCCCGAGCAGCAATCCTTCGTCTGCGCGACCCATCTCTGGATATCACAGTCGACCTGGGTCAATGGTCATGCCTTCGAGCGCGACAAGCATAACATCGAACCCTCAGTTCCCACCTCCGCCCCCCAGGAATGGAACAGGTCGTTCAGTGTCGCGCGATAAGCTGGCTTCCAAGTTCAGTCTGTCGTCGTTCAGGAATCGGAACAACGATCATAGTCCTGGCCCGAGCAACATCGACTCGCTTCGTATCAGTACTTCTGATGCGATTCAGCGGGCACCAGCTTCTCCAGGGCTGGTCGCACAGAGGGCTGCCTCAAAGTATGTCTTTGCGTGAGATAGTATATCGTCTTACTGACATTGTTACAGTTATATGGCAAACACATTAGACCGACGGTACAGCCCCGACACGCAATCGCCTAGCAGACCACCCACCTCTCGAAGAGCGGCCTCTGCTGGCGTACCGGGCTACGAGACCCGAACGCCTATTGACGAATCGCCAATAGTGCCAGCAGGGGGCTGGAGTCGAAATGTGCCACTACCTCCGCCCCCGCCGGGCCCTCCACCCAGCAGCTCGAGATCGCAGAGTATGGGGCCTGGGACTGAACCGCCATCAAATCGAGCGCCGATTTTACCTTCAGCCCCTCCAACAAGAAGACCCGGTCAAACAACATTGGCACCCATACCACCTACTCCCCAAGGTTGGCAGGATGAATCTACGAGCGTGCGACCAAGGTCTCCAGCCGCCCACGGTCTACATATTGACACAAGTCCGCGCGCTGTGCATCTATCCGATCAGCCTGCGCCAGCATCAGAGAGCGGGAGTGTTTCGATTTCGTCGGGGCCAACGAACACCACATCGGGTTCGGGTAGCACTCTGTATCGCACTCCAAATAGAGGAGAAGGTAGCACCCGAGGCATCCGTGAGCGACGGAGTGAGAGTCGCGCTGCTCGAGAGCTGCGTGTCGAACCGAGCAACAACCCATGGGCGCAAGACTTGGAAGCAGAATCAGCGAAACCTGCCAATCTGGACTTGGGAACGCCTGAAGGTGGCCTAACACGGCGTGGTGCTATCACCAAAGGCACACCGAGGAGTGCCGGGGCTGTACGCTCACCAAGAAGCGGCCATCTCTATGAAGATCCTGGTTCGTCCAACTCTACGCCTCGTGTGGACACGAATCCAAAGGCTGCATCTATGGCTGTTGCAACACCACCTTTTTCGCCAGGTATGGAACATCTCAGTCGTTCAGCACAGAAAGCACCCGTCTCTCTCCCCTCCAAAGCGCTGCCTACTCCACCGTTACGTATCTATGGTGATGAGAGGGAAGCAGACCTGACCCGTTGCTCAGAAGCTGCAAATGATTCGGCGATCCAAACGCCTAGTACCGCACATACCGGCGCACCAAACTCGAGTTTGAGCACACCCAAACCAGCAGACACGCATGCTTTTGCACGTGCCTCCATGGAGCGGCATCGACAATTCATCGAGAAGGAGATGTCAGCTGAAACGGACCAAGATAGACTGGAGTTGTTTGCCGAGTTCATTGTTACCGAGTCACGACTTCGTCGTGATCGGTACTCTGGGGCTTTTGATGCAATGGCTGGAGATATCATGGATTTGACAAGAGATTTATGGCGCTCGTACGGCAATTCTGGGCGCAGATCAGCTACACCAAACACCCAGGCTACTCCTGTAGGACAGGGTAACAGGAGGTCCCAGGGCTCCGTAACCGGCGAATCTCCCGACACACGCTTCTCCTCGATGCCGACGACAGCTGCCAGTCCTGCATCTTCCATTGGCAACTTCACTCCCCATACAGAACCAGCATCTCCTTCCAGCGCATCCAGCCAGAAGGCTCGGGACGCTGCTTGGACTAACAATTACCATCCTTCGCTCTCGCCTATCCCAAGTATGGCTATGAGCACCATTCCTGATGAACAAGATTCCAGAGGTAGGTCAGCGAGTCGCTGGTGGGAAAGCGACGGCGGCTCCTCTGGAGTTGGTGGTGGTAGAAGATTGGAGCGGAGTAAGCGGGAATCAAAGTACATGAGCTTGCCAAAAGAAGCTCGTGAGAATCTGCAGTGGGCAGGCGAGAATCCATCCACTCCAAACCAGCGTGGCGAGTCCAGCAGTCGGCCAGCGTATGGACCTAACGAATACCCACCCGAAAAGGTCGGCCTGCATGAGGAAAATCTACAACCACCACAGCAGCAGCCTTACGGTTACTATTCCAGGTCTGCTACGGCAACGCCGGACCCACACAAGCTGGATGTATCCCGACTCGTCACGCTCCCGCCATCCTACCCACGCCATCACCCCGCAGTCAACAACAGTCACCCTGACCTAGCAAGTATTCGGAGTAGCTTGCGAACCCTATCGGAGCTCGATGAAGTGAAGAATACAAAGGCCAAGTTCAAGACAAAGATTGACGCACGAAAAGAGCAAGAAAATGCATCGCTGTCTGACAAAAGAGCACAACTTCGGTACAATATTCAAGACAACGTTCGCAATGGAGTCATGTCATTTGCAGAAGCGGCCAAGGCAGAAGCAGATTTCGAGGCTCGCGAGCATCAAAGAGCTCAGGACGTAGTCCAGTGGATATTCGATAGCTTCCAGGCTGAAGTCGCTAACCCACTGCACGCCATGTTCTGCGAACGCATCACCAAGGCTACCGCATCGATGGAGCATCTCAAAGGACGTTTGTGCAACGAGGCGCAGGAGCCCAATCCCAATCAAACGCAGGAAGAGGGTGATGAAAAACCAGAACTCCTGGAAATGCTTACCTTGCACAAATGGCTTTTTGAAGCGCGGGAACAGCTACACAAGGAGATGTTTGAACTCGAAGACGAGCGCAACGACCTTTACAGAGATATCATTGTCTTGCCATATGTCCAGACCAAGAACGAACAGAAGGTCAAAGAAGCCACGACCTTCTTCCAACGCGATGGACAGGATCGCAAAGTCACATTCGAGAAGGAAACGCTCAAGCGCTACGAAGATCTCATGAACGTCATCGAACAGAACGTGACCCGGGGTGTCGAAGCCCAGCTGTCGGCTTTTTGGGACATCGCGCCTGGATTACTGGAAATTGTGCAGCAAGTCCCTCGGAACCTGCACGGCTTCGAGGTTCTGGTTCCACCGCAGGAGTATGTGGAGACGCCGGCCTACCACGAGTACCCACTACAGTATTTGTACACTCTATTGGCACATGCTGGTCGCTCGGCATACCAGTTCATTGAATCGCAGATCAACTTGCTATGCTTACTGCATGAGGTCAAGACCGGAGTTATGACGGCAGGCTCACGACTTCTGGAGACGCAAAGGCTGTTAGAAGGCGAGGATCTGACAGGCGTCAATCAAGAGATGAAGGCTATCAGAGCAGATGAGGAACGGCGATTGACGGACGACCTCAAGGAGAAGGTTGGTCTTGTCGAAAGCCAGTGGAACGAGGCACTTGGGAAGGGCCTGGAAAACTGCAAAGTGCGTGTGGAAGACCATCTCACCGAGCAAGGGGGATGGGACGATACCCTGAAGGAGTAGCAGGGGCATGATTATGACATGGTTGGAATTTTCTAACATTTACGCACCGTACCGATACCCGTCTGAGACCTGTACTGAAAATATTATCTGGTAGTTTATTGAATGCATGAACACGCATCAAGGCGTGATTGCGCTTGTCTCCGAAAGTTGTTGTTTAGCTTGCAGTGCTTGTGCATGCATGTTGTGCGTCGTCTTACAGAGATGCACCTTACCCCAGGATTGCTGGTCGGCTGCAGGACCACCCCTCACTACAGTGTGCGAATTGTTCTTTATTATCCTTTCAGAATGCAAGTATCCGAAACAGAGGCCTAAGCTTTCGAGTCTTTGAGGACTAACACAGCGTCGCATAGTATCAACTGTAGGATACCATCCCACTTCGTCTACGTCTACTCGCGTATCTGACATGTGATACACAGGGTCCATTATCGCAACGGCCGTTACGCCTACCTGCGCTTTCCCAGACAGACACAAACAAGCATCGTCACAGCGGCGCCCCCTTCCGCAGATCCGCCATTTCACAACATTCTTATTTGCGCCCTTCATCGCCATTGTCTACCTGGCACAGGGTTCCTCCATTCACCGCCTTGGTTGCGCCGTCTTAAATAGGCTAGCGCAACGCCCGGGCCACCCAAAAAATCGCACACCTGCGCATAAAGACTGGCGACCTCGTCTGTCCCTCCCACCCTAAACGCTTAACCACCCCCAACTACACCCACAGCTCTCCAAGCCCTCGGTTCCCAGTGGACCGTTCATAACAGAAAAAGAAACAAAAAAAATACAGAAAACAACAAGAAAAGCCCGTCCGACGACCACCGCCAACTCTTCGTCTCCCACTGTCGCTTGAACCCGACAGACGTCTTACTCGATCTCACCTTTTTCGCAAGAAGAAGGAGTCAGCGCGCCCGTATAGCCAGTGCTATTTGGACCGATACACCGACTCTGTTACCCCGCACATCTTCTGTTGCAACTTAGGTGAGTGCTGAAACTTTTTGCGAAGCGAGCGCACCTGCACATGTCGACCCTCATGCTGCCCGCAATATTTCGACCCCTCCAACTAACACACAACCCCGCAGATATACATCATGTCTGACGTCGCCAACCCTACTCCCGTTCAGGAGGGCGCTGACGCCAACGGCGCTCAGGTCGACACCAACGTCGCTGCTGCCCAGGCCGAAGCCCCCACCCCCACCACCGCTGCCCCTGCGAACAACCAGAACTCTGCGTCGCTCTATGTTGGCGAGCTCGACCCCTCCGTCACCGAGGCCATGCTCTTCGAGCTGTTCTCCTCGATTGGCCAGGTCGCGTCTATCCGTGTCTGCCGTGACGCCGTTACCCGTCGCTCGCTCGGTTACGCCTATGTTAACTACAACAGCTCTGAGGATGGCGAGAAGGCCCTCGAAGAGTTGAACTACACCGTCATCAAGGGCAAGCCTTGCCGTATTATGTGGTCCCAGCGTGACCCCGCTCTGCGCAAGACTGGCCAGGGCAACGTCTTCATCAAGAACCTGGACCACGCCATTGACAACAAGGCTCTCCACGACACCTTCGCCGCTTTCGGTAACATCTTGAGCTGCAAGGTCGCTCAGGACGAGCTCGGCAACTCCAAGGGCTACGGATTCGTCCACTACGAGACCGCCGAGGCCGCCAACAACGCTATCAAGCACGTCAACGGCATGTTGCTCAACGAGAAGAAGGTCTTCGTCGGCCACCACATCCCCAAGAAGGAGCGCATGAGCAAGTTCGAGGAGATGAAGGCCAACTTCACCAACATCTATGTCAAGAACATCGACCTCGAGGTCTCTGACGAGGACTTCCGTGAGCTCTTCGAGAAGCACGGTGACATTACCTCCGCCTCCATCGCACGCGATGACCAGGGTAAGAGCCGCGGGTTCGGCTTCGTCAACTACATCAAGCACGAGGCTGCCTCCGCTGCCGTTGACGCTCTCAACGACACCGACTTCCGTGGCCAGAAGCTCTACGTCGGCCGTGCTCAGAAGAAGCACGAGCGTGAGGAGGAGCTCCGCAAGCAGTACGAGGCCGCTCGCCTTGAGAAGCAGTCCAAGTACCAGGGTGTCAACCTCTACATCAAGAACCTTAACGACGATGTCGACGACGAGAAGCTGCGCGACATGTTCACTCCTTTCGGTACCATCACCTCTGCCAAGGTCATGCGCGACGCCATGCCCGCTGAGCGCTCCGAGTCCCCGTCCGACGAGAAGAAGGACGAGGTCAAGGAGGAGCCCAAGGAGACCGAGATCAAGGAGGAGCCAAAGGAGGAGTCCAAGGATGACTCGTCTGACGACAAGAAGGACGAGAACAAGAGTGGCGAGAAGGTCACCATCAAGGGTGAGAAGAAGATCCTCGGTAAGAGCAAGGGCTTCGGTTTCGTCTGCTTCAGCAACCCCGACGAGGCCACCAAAGCTGTCACCGAGATGAACCAGAAGATGATTGAGGGCAAGCCTCTCTACGTCGCTCTTGCCCAGCGCAAGGATGTCCGTAAGAACCAGCTCGAGGCCACCATTCAGGCCCGCAACCAGCTCCGCATGCAGCAACAACAGCAGCAGCAGTTCGGTGGCATTCCTCAGATGTTCATCGCACCTGGTCAGCAGCCTATGATGTTCCCCGCTGGTGGTCGTGGCCAGATGCCCTTCCCCGCAGGTATGCCTGGTCAACAGGGTGGCCGTGGCGCTGGTTTCCCTGGTGGCATGCCCGGCCAGCAAGGTGGCCGCGGCGGACCCAACGGTCAGCAGATGCCTCCTATGTACATGCCCCCTGGCATGGCTCCTGGCGCTTTCCCCCCTGCCTACATGAACCAGCAGTACATGCAGCTTGCACAGGCTGCCCAGCAGGCCATGGGCGGACGTGGCGGTCGTGGTGGCCCCATGGCTCCTATGCCTGGTATGCCTCAAGTCCCCATGGCTGGTGTTCCCGGCATGCGCGGCGGTCAGGGCTTCCCTCCTCAAGGTGGTCGCGGCGGTCCTCAGGGCGCTCGTCCCGGTCAATCTCCCATGCCCTACCCTCAGGGTGGCCGTGGCGGTCCCGCCGGTGCCGGCGTCGACATGGGTGCTTTGAGCGGCGCTGCTCCCGGCCAGCAGAAGCAGATGCTCGGTGAGGCTCTCTACCCCAAGATCGCTGAGATGCAGCCCGAGCTCGCCGGCAAGATCACCGGTATGCTTCTCGAGATGGACAACAGCGAGTTGATCAACCTGTAAGTATTCTTGTTTCAAGCTCTTCTAGTTCGTGTACTAACTATGCCAGTACTTCCGATGAGGCTGCTCTCCGCGCCAAGGTTGAGGAGGCCATGAGCGTTTATGACGAATACGTCAAGAACAAAGAGGGTGAGCCTGAGAAGGAAGCCCCCAAGGAGGAGATCAAAGAAGAGAAGGCTTAAACCTCTTTCTAGTTGCCACTGAGTAGGATTCGGTCCGCGAATCTCTCGATCGGCAGCAAGTAACGATGGTCGCATGATCTTTCTGAACGGCGAACGGCGCACGGGTAACGGTTTTCACTTACGATACGGGACGGCTTTCATGACCCATTGCACCCAAAAAGTTTTCACGATTCGATGTCCTCTTCTCTGTTATCGGCTTGCAGCCATGTTACGGCAAGTCTGATACGACACCTCTTTCCTCGGCGACTGACTCCTTGACTGGATTGTCGGATGCCACCAAGCACCAATCTCAAATTTCCAGAGTTTGGTTTTCCCCTCTTCATGTTTCTTTTTTCCTTGTTCCACTCTAGTGCATGTTAACATAGACGGCGCCCCGTCTTCGAAACGTCATGATATGGGTGTGGGTCTGTGGATGGATTTTCTTTGCGCAAACAGTATGATACCTCACGAGCAGTTTTACGATACCAAGCTGGCTCTCAATGTTCGGGTTTTCGGCGTCTCGATAATTCATGGTAGATGTTATGGTGGGTGTGAGAGTGGATACGATTACGATGGGAGCATCTGGTACAGACTGGATAGCTTTGAGAGGGGAGATGTGGTAGGTAAGATCTTAGGCATGTAGTCGATACTCCTAACAGATCTTACAATATTCATGACTGGCTCTTTGATACGCTGTGATGTTTTCAATTCGTTCTTCTAGAACGTTTGTTCTTAGAAATCCTAGCAGAATGTTGATTGTTCTTGTAACGAACACGACAAGAAGAGTATAGGGTCAGGGTAAAGTTGGTATCGTCATTCAATAATACTATATATGTCGATGGAGAATGTGGAACCTTGACCAGCAAGTATCTGTTCATATGCCAGTAATAGCCCAATGGTACGCCATTTCACGCTCCAAGTCAACCACAGACGCCTATTTCTTGTAGTTCTTGTGCGCATCGATGACCTTTTGGACTTCGCCTTCTGAACCCAAGAAGATACCCGATCGGTCGTGGATGTGTTCGGGAACAACTTCGAGCATACGGTCCATTTTGCTGTTTACTGCCAAACCGCCAGCTGTACACGTGTTAGCAAGAGTGAACCAATATGTGATTTAAATAAGACATACCGTTTTCGAAAACCATGGCCATGGGGGCACATTCGTAGAGAATACGCAACTTGCCCTTGGGAGTCTTCTTATCCGCAGGGTAAGCAAAGATACCGCCGTACAATAGTGTTCGATATGCGTCTGCAACCATGGATCCAATGTAACGCGCGCTGTAGGGCTTGCCACCCTCTTGTGGGTTCTTGAGGCTTTCACACCAAGCCTTGACAGGCTCTTCCCAGTACAAGCTGTTACCCTCGTTGACTGAGTAGATGGACCTGGTCTTAGGGACCCTCATGTCGGGATGTGTGAGGATGAACTCGCCAAATGCAGTGTCGAGTGTGAAGCCGTTGACGTTTCCGCCCTTCATTGTGAGGACCAGCTGAGCGGAGGCGCCGTACATGGTGAAACCTGAAGCAACCATCTCGGTGCCAGGTAGGAGCACGTCCTCCTTTGTGCCCTTGGCGCCCTCTGGCAGCTTGTATATCGCGAAAATTGTACCAACTGCGACACCGGCGTCAAGGTTGGAGGAACCGTCGATGGGGTCGCAGGCTACAGCGTAACGTGCGTTGGGGTACTCGTCGAAGACAATTGCTTCTTCTTGCTCTTCAGAAATCAGGAGGCGCACGCGACCTGAGGAGCGCATGGCGGTGATGAAGAGCTCATCTCCGATTACGTCGAGCTTCTTTTGGTCGTCGCCTGTGGAGTTGGTCGCGCCTTGGAGACCAGTGAGCTACTTATGTTAGTCGCTGTTTCGTCTGGGAATGGTCGGGTTGGCTTACGTTGATTAATGTCGCTCTCCGGATGTAGTAGGCAATGCTCTTGAATGCAAATTGCAGTGCGTGGCATAGCAGTCTAGCAAGAATGGTTAGTCCTCCAACTTTGACATTCTCTCGAAGCCCAAAACTTACGTGAAATCTCCCGTCGCCTCGGCGTACTTGGTCTGCTCCTCGGTGAGAAATCGCGTAAGGGTGATGATGTCGGTGTTGATCTTCTCCTGCGCTGGGCCTCCCTCGTTACTGTTGGAAGCCATTTTGTAAGATGTTTGAAGTGTTCAATCTACAATGCGTAAGAGTAAGGGATGGCGAAGCTACAATGGCAAGTTGGTATCAACGGGGAAAGGAAGATGGGAAAGAGTATGGGGAATGGGGAAGTTTGGAGAGAGGGATGGTGAAAAGCTATCAAGGTCGAGTCTAGCAAAAAGCGGAGCGCAGTATCGTTATGAAGTCAGGGTGGGTAGAGTCGGGCAGGCGGACCACACTTCTGTGCTATTTGTTTGGCAGGCGCTGGGAGCTATAGCCCTCGGCAACTGGTCGGACATCATAGGCAACTCACGATACTTCAGCCGGGCGGTCTCAGCCACAGTTACTCCGGATCAAGGCCGAATTTCGTGGGAAATTTCCCGAGCTTGATGTTCGACACGGTCTGGCCATGGGCGAAAATACATGGCTCGAGTCGTGTGCGGAAATTGACGCGCTTTGTTGCGGGAGCGCGTGGTTGTCAAGCTATGATGCAGGTGCGGAGACGGAAAAGTGGAGGGGCACGTCCGCCAGGAGGGGATGGCGGGGCTCTATCCCACACTGACGTCTGCCCGACTTTTTCCGGACCGCGGACATAGAGCCATCACGATCCCACGCCCCGTGAGCCTCAATTTCTCAACGCCTTCCAACCTCCAATACCATGTCTTTCTGTATGAGCGTAATGTCATCAACATGGCGATTCTCACTGGCGGAAGAATTTCTCGACGTGGCATTGCCCAAGTATGAGCAGATAACTCTGGCTGTGGTATGCTCCGGCGCGTCCTAGAATGCCCATTGCAAGTTCACGATGCATAAGCTGAGCCGGCACGTATGAAGCCTCTATCAATGCCGAAACCACGCAGAGCACTCGGGCTACCTATCACCGAGCTGCACGGCCTGATACGAACATCTCTGTAGTCACAGCACAACATTTACAAGTCATAACGATAAGAGAAAATCCGGCTTTTATACTACACGCCATAAACATACATTCGTTGTGATCAAAAAATGTACAGCTGAACAGCCCTATGAAGTCCAGCTACCTAAAACCCACTCCAAGCTAATTCCATCGCAGAAATGGGAATAGAGTAATGCAATTAATGATGATTTTTCTCCTCCTGTAAGCTTGAGAGCGCTTCTACTCGCTCTTCAGCTTGTCCTGCTTGACCGTGAAGGCCATGTCTAGCAGAGCCTTCTCCTCGTTCTTGTGAGACACCTTGAGTCCAGTTGCTACAGATGCACTAGGGTTGCGTCCAGCGTACATGACGTGTCGTCTGTTGTGGTGCTCGGTCTGGTTGAGGAGCGTCTCGATTCTGGGCTGTGTGAAGCTCCAGGCACCGGCGTTAAGGGGCTCCTCCTGGCACCAGATGATGTTCTGCGCGTTGGGGTACGAGTCGAGGTTGTCCTTCAGTTGCTGCCATGGGAAGGGGTTAAGTTGCTCAATACGGGTAATGGCAACATCCTTCTCGCCGCGTGCTTCACGCTCCTTAACAAGCGCAGCGTACACCTGACCTGTGCAGATGATGACACGGTTGATGCCCTCGTGCGACTCAATCTCTCCAGTAGCGTGCGCAGGGTCTTCGATGATCCACTGGAAGTGCGAGTCACCAGTGAACTCTTCAATGCTGGAGCGAGCGAGCGGGTGGCGGAGTAGCGACTTGGAGAAGAACAAGATAAGAGGCTTGCGGAACTGGCGGTTCATTTGGCGACGAAGGAGATGGAAGAGGTTGGACGGCTTCGTTGTGTAGGCAATCTGGATGTTGCAGTCCTGGTGCTGGCGGTCAAGCTTGTCGGGGGACGGGAAGATACGAGGATCCTCGTTGCAGAGCTGCAAGTAGCGCTCCATACGTCCTGACGAGTGTTCAGGACCTTGACCATCATAACCATGCGGCAAGCTCATGACGAGACCGGAACGCTGAAGCCACTTGACTTCACCAGAGGCAATGAACTGATCGATGATAACCTGGGCAGTGTTGGCAAAGTCACCAAACTGAGCCTCCCACATGACGAGGGCGTTGGGTGAAGACAAGGAGTAACCGTATTCGAAGCCAAGCCTACAGTTGATTAGTCAAGCCAAGACATGAAAGGACGAAATGTGACTTACACTCCATATTCGCTAAGAGAAGAGTTAGAGATGGTGAAGGTGGCCTGGTCCTCGCTGAGGTTCTGAAGAGGGGTGTAGGTCTTCTCAGTCTCCTGGTCGTGGAGCACAGCGTGGCGCTGAGAGAAGGTTCCACGCTCGACATCCTGTCCAGAAACACGAACGTGGTGGCCTTCCATGCACAAACTTCCGAATGCCAACGCTTCCGCAGTAGCCATGTCAATGTTCTTGCCGTCCATGACAGTCTTGGTGCGGCCAGCCAAAATACGCTTCAAGTTCTTGTGCACGTTGAAGTCCTCTGGTGCACCGCCGATCTTCTCTGCGATGTGCTTCAATTGAGTCTCCTCAATGGCAGTTGGCAGATGGGGCAGAACCTCTTCTGCGAGTTCCTTGGGCGACTTGAAGCCGTTCCAGGCCGAAGTAAGCCACTCCTTGGAGTTTGGTACGTAGTCCTTGCTGCGGTTGAAGCTCTCGTCTAGCATGCCCCAGACCCAAGCCTTGTGCTCGTCAATGTCCTCCTTGGTGAAGGTCTTCTCGTCGAGCAACTTCTTGGTGTAGATATCTAGTGTTTGAGGCTGTTCCGAGATCTTCTTGTACATCAGAGGCTGGGTGAAGAAAGGCTGGTCAGTCTCGTTGTGACCCTGCTTTCGGTAGCAGACCATGTCGATTACTACATCCTTCTTAAACTCGGCACGGAAGTCGGCAGCCAGCTGGCAGACGAAGTTGAGAGCCTCGACGTCGTCACCGTTGACGTGGAAGACAGGTGCGTCAATGGCCTTGGCAATGTCCGAACAGTATGGGGTAGAGCGAGAGAACCTAGGATCCGTAGTGAAACCAATCTGGTTGTTGACAATGATGTGGATGGTTCCGCCGGTGTGGTAGCTGGGCAGTTGGTGGAAACCCATGGTCTCATACACTATACCTTGACCAGCGAAAGCGGCATCACCGTGGAGGAGCATGCCCATGGCGCTGGAAGCTTCCTTCTCGTCGTTGTTGTAGTGGAGGATGGCGCGGGTCTTGCCCAGCACGACGGGGTCTTCAGCTTCAAGATGGGACGGGTTGGCGACAAGAGACAACTGCACACGCTTTCCGGATGGCGTAGGACGCTCAAAGTTCATACCCAAGTGGTACTTGACATCACCAGAGCCCTCTTCGTTGGCTTCGGCAGTACCGGCAAACTCACTGAAGATGGACTCGTTGGGCTTCCTGACGACGTTGGAGAGCACGTTGAGACGTCCACGATGCGGCATACCAATGACGATGTCCTTGACGCCGAAGTCGACACTTCGGTCGATGAGGGCCTTCATTCCAGGAATCAAACTCTCGCCTCCTTCAAGACCGAATCGCTTGTCGTTGGGGTACTTGGTGGCCAGGAAAGCCTCAAAGTTGGTTCCCCAGATCAGGCGGTCCAAGATGCGGCGCTTCTCGTCGACAGAGTACTTGAAGGGTGTGGGGACCTCGATGCGCTCACGGAGCCAGTCGCACTGCTCCCTGTCGGGAATGTGGATGTATTCGATACCGTAGGAGCCGCAGTAGAGGCGTTCGCAGGCCTCGATGATCTCCTTCAACTTCATCTTCTTGCGGGTCTCGGTCTTGAAGCGCGGGAGGATACCCGGGCCTAGTTCAATCTCCTGTTCCAGGTCCTTTTCAGTGAAGTTGTAGTGGGAAAGCTCAAGCTCGCGCGGCTTGCTGTATCCGAACTGCTCTGCCTCTGAGCGGATGCCCAGCGGGTCAATCTTGGCCTTGTGGTGACCACGAGCCTGGTACGCTCGCACAAGCAATTGGACCTTGAGATGGTTCATAACGTCGGTACCTTCGGCGGAAGCCATGCCCATTCCGGGCTTGTGAGCGGCGCCGCCCTGGGGCGAGCTCATGATGTTGGGCGGCGGTTGGAAGGCTTGCGACACGGGCATGTCGCCGGACTCCATATTGTGGAAGTAGACCTGCCATGAGTAGTGAACGCTGGCGGGGTCCTGCTTCCACTGCATGTACATGGCATCGATGTAGTTGGCCGTGTTGCCCTGGAGGAACGAGTCGTTGGGGTCCTATGCCGTCATTGTTAGCTATGGGGTCGAAGAGTTTGAAGGCGGCGCTGGAGAGGTACGCACAACGCCCTTGTTGGTGTCTTCCGACGACACGGCATACCCGCGGCGCTGCGTCAGCGCAAGCGGCCTGCGACATGTCGAGATGGCGTTTCGTGATGGCTGTGCGAGGCTCGAGAAGGTTGCTCTCGCCGGGGCGCACTGGAGCGAGCGGGAGCACTGGCGCAGGGTGTTGCGCAACATGACGGGATTAGAATAACAAAGCGGAGGTGGGGAGGGGTGGCATCCAAGCGGACGACGATAGACAGAAGAATGCTTCTGCAGTAGCAATGGGCAGTAGAAGTTGACGCAGCCCAGCACATGCGAAGGCCCCGTGTTCCGGCCTAGCGCACTATGATGGATCGAGCGCACTTCCGACCGGTCACCACGTCAAATGCCTCAAACACCATATAATTCACGCCTGGTTTCGAGTCTTGAAACATTCGCATTGTAGTCGCCTAGCAACGTTGCGCGTATGGTACGCTGCATCTGCCTGCCGTTGCCACGCTCGGCTGGCCACAGCGACACTGCACACAGCGAATCGAAGGCTCATTGAATGTTCTCGCAACACCAGCCAATAGCAGTGCAGGCCTTATGTAAGGCGGAAGTGGTGCCCGCTGCAGCTTTGCACGAGGGAGCAGCCTCTGACGTTGGGAGGCACGGATACATATCCGCTGCGCCTGAGGTGTGTTACCTCTCTTGGCTGATGCGGGCTGTGTTTCCTGCAAAGACGCCCCGGTGCTGGGAGAGTAGCATTGGCGAGTGATGTGCGTCTTGTTGTAGTCGTTGCAATCTCCAGAGCTCCGAATAAACTTTCAAGCCGCGTGCCGATTACAGCGGGCGGCATTCGTCATCCATGGATGCCTGCCTGGGCAATGGGTGATGCGTAGTCACGTGTAGCGCGTGAATCTGGGGAAGCCACGACTGGCTAGTACCGCCGCATCGCGTCAGCCTCAAAGAATGACTGATCGCCGCGACCCATCTCCCCTCCACCAACATGGCCGACGCTGCTGCCCAGTACAAGAAGCAGGATGGCAGAGTCTCTGTGTCTGCCGATGGCAAGACGGTGTCGTGGAAGTCGTCGGCGGCCAGTAATGCGCATCCTCCGCTGTCCATAGCCATAGCAGACATTGGGAGTACGTCTTGGTTTCCCATCAATACATTTGCACATGGCTGACGCTGCGTAGATCTCCAACAGACACCTGCGACCTCTGCAAAAGCCTCCATCAAGATCGTTGTACCGGAGCCCGCTCCACAAGCCGGGAACCATACCCTCACCTTTACCTCCGGCGCCGCTCGCGACGATCAGCAGAACATAACCGGTCTATTGCGCAAGTGGATCGAGGCTTCCAAACAACAGGCTGCTCCCGCCCCAGCTCCTGCTGCTGGTGCTGGAGAGGGAGGGGACGGCGGCGCATCAGCTGCAATGGCCATGGCTCAGACCGTAACAGCTGGCGGCAACGACAACCAAGAAAACTACGACGATGCGAAGCTGCTCGCAGATACGTCGCTCCAGATGTCGCTACTCAATTCGAGCCCAGCGCTTCGACAACGCTTCGACCGAGCGCTGGCGGAGAAGCCTGATTCCGTTGGCGTATTACAGTTCTCTATGCAATTCTGGTCTACTCGCGTGCACATGTTGAGATCACACGCAACGGAAAGATCGCAGTCTACTGGAACCTACAACGTGCTTTCTGTCATCAAGTCAAAGTCGGTCAACGGCACTCTCATGCTGAGCTTGACCAAAGAGCAGATTGAGCTGTTGTTCAGACAGCATCCGGTTGTGCAAAAAGCCTACAACGAGAACGTACCCCAGCTGAGCGAGGGTGACTTTTGGGAGAGATTCTTTCACAGTCGCTTGATGAAAAAGCTCAAGGGAGAGCGCATCCAAGAAAAGGACGTGCTTGATCCCAAGCTTGACAAATACCTGACTTATGATGAGACCATGGACAACCAGGATCTGCTCGCCGCCTCAATCCCCAATTTCATCAACATCGAGGCGAATGAGAACAACCACAGCCAGAAACAAGGCAACCGGCCCGACTTCACTATGAACCCGACCAACTACGAGAAAGCGCCCATTCTCCGAGTTTTGAATCGCATGAGCGAGAAGATGATGAAGGAAGTGCCACCCTCAGACTCAAGTCGGCATGGACCTGCCGGTTTGGATGAAGAGACATACAAAGAGCTGCAGTTGCGGGACCTACAGCGTGCAGATGATGACAACAGAGTCGTTCTTCGGGTACAAGACCAGAGTAGATTCTTCTCCGCCGGTCAGAGCGTGCATACCTCTACCAGTGCTGCCACTTACACAAAACGTACTCCTGCACAGGCTCTTTCGACGTTGCAGCATGATCTTCGCAAGTTTAGCAGTGACGACGGCAAGGTCTTGAGCGTTGACCTCCGCTCTACAATCGACATCGATGATGAAAGCAGTAGCGATGAAGAGGGGTCTGCTCCCAAGAAAACCAAGGTTGGTAGCAAATCAGCCCGAAGTGCAGCCTCTTCGCAAATTATAGCGGCTGTCAAGAAGCGACATTTGCACAACGATGACTATTCGTCGTCCAAGTCTATCCCCACGAGCGAGCGAGCGAAGGAGCTCCATGTCTCCGAGGCTGTTCTTGACAACCTCACCATGACCCACAACACAACGGTTGAATTCCTACACTACTTCTGGTCTGTATTCTATTCAGGGGACCCAGACCGTGCGAACGAGATTGCGCGTCTTATCGAGACGCTAGACAAGTCGCTCGATCGTATCAAGGCGGTGGCTGATATGGCAGAGGCTGACCGCGCAGCCAGGATTGAGCATGCCCGGAAAGAAAATGAGTTTGCTAACCAGCGAGAGAGGAAGAAGAGAAAGTTCGATCCCGAGGCCATCAGAGGAGGAGCCAAGGCTGTCAACCAGATTGTGGATCCCTTGCTTCGAGCGATCGACGCGGCGCGGAGTCAGTACCAGAAGGCTCTTCAAGAACAAGTCGCACGTAGTACAGCGAACGCAGCTGTTTGATTGCATGTACAGGTTGTACATTGGAGACTGCAAATCTTTCTATTTCTGCATAGCGAAGGCGTTTGGAAAACCCGGGCTGGTGTCGATCAACTAAATATTTTCGTCAGAAATCGTCACCCATGCTTCGACTTACATCTGCTTTCCCAAAGCACCTATACTTCCGCGGTTAAATATTATCCAATTTGGTCGCTGGTTGTGTCAAACGTCTCGAATCATGGCTGTCACAATGTGCCGGTATTATTATAAACAGTATTAGTTCGCGATTAATTCGAGTTGCGACGAAAGTTGTGAGAAATGTTATTTTTAGGCCTCCAGTAAAGTTGGTTCATTTGACAAATACTGTCTGCGGCTCAAGTGATGTTGGGAGTGCCGATGCCTACCTAACAGCCATCTACGTCGGCTACTGCGCGAACCTGTAATGATCGACATGGGTTGCACGAAAATGGTCAGCCCATGACTAGGATCACGGAAAATGAAGCTACAAGCTACAGAATATCGGTATGATCAATGCTTTATCAGGATTACACACTTGAAGAGGCGAAATTCTTCGGATTCTCTATCTTCTTGTAAGTAGTTGTTAAACCCCGCCTCCGCTATGTTATGCTTCCTTGCTCTCTATCGCGCGACCTCATCACAAGAGCTCAGATCTGACGGCTCATCCCGCCTGCCAAAGCGAACAGCTTCCTGCTAGTCAGTACTGTTACGATATTGGACCCCTAATCTAGAATCCTACCCCACTTGTCCCGTAACTCGACCATGGATATATTCTTGGAGGAACCTCACTCTTACTTCGTACCTCCGTAGCGTCAATGGGCGCAGCTGGACCGCGGAAATCTCAAGGAATCGATCTATGATGTGAGAATATTGCATGTGTATGGAGGGATTGCGAAGAACAACAGAGGACGTCATCATCGATCTCAGAGAGGCAGGAACGGCTGTAACCAACAGCGATCGGAATCGGGATGAATGTCTGTGGAAAAGAATGACACCGAAATCTCAAATGGGGGATATACGTCAAGTATTAAAAGCCGAAAGAGGAAAACAAGCATGGGAAGCATTCACCGAAGAGTAGACAAGTTCTCTGAGTGAACCGAAACCGCAACACCTACATCGCCCAACATGAGCAAAACCTACGAGACAATCTCAACATCTACAACAAGAGATGCCGCCGCAGATAGAATTGCTTCTGTCGTCGGGAGTCGCCACGGCCACAAGCGGAAAGTTTGCGTCGGTCACCCTCGATAATAGTCGCGCGCTGGATCATAGTAAAGCTGCGTTCCTGCCATGTGTCAGTGAATGCAACATGGGTTTCAAGTTACGGATCCCTTTAGAAAGTACAGCACACTTACCGCCGTTATTTGATCCAACCCCACCTGGTGCGGCCCTTTCCCTTGGTCGGTTATCCCTGTGTAGATGATAAGTATTGTTCTAGTTCATACCACGGCCTTCATTGACCTACCTGTAGCGGAAACTATGCCAGAGGTACCACCTTGCAACCCAGTTCTCTTCATTGACCTGGGTCCAGTAACGACCCATGTCATAGTATGGTCTCGTCTCCGCGCAAGCATCACGGACAATCTTCAGAATCTCCGAATGCTTTGCAGTTTCCGATATCTCGTCCCATCTATATGGCTCTGCCACGGAAGGGTCAGCTCTAGACTGCTCGGTCAGGCTGCGGTAATTTGAGCTCAAAGCGTTTCGAGCAAACACAGCTTCGTTCTATGTCCGACATAAGGGTCAGCGGAAAGCTCTCGAACATCGGTTTGAGACTTACGAGTAGCAGTTTGTGTGTATGTTCGTTCAGCCCAAGTCGAGCGCAGATGGCACTCTTGTCGGCGCTTTGGGGAAGAGGAGGTAGGGTCATGTTCAAGCAACGTTTCCTAAAAGGATCGTTTATCACACCAGCGATATGAAGGTGACCGTTAAGTCTCGAACAGATCCGAACAGGTATGAGCGAGATTGGGTTATACTCCCCTTGTCTTTATATCTCAACTCGAGATCCTTGAAGGCCGGCAGATCTTTTGAAGTCGCCGTCATGTGACAACAGAGGTCCATTCTCTTTCCATCCCGCTGTGACACGGCGCATACGCCACAGCACGAGACAGTTCAGATCCCATTCGAAGGATACCGACTAATACCACCACTACTCGTCCGGCCGAGGCGCCATTCCATAATGGTGGCTTGATATGCAGCTAGCGAACCCTGGGTGTCATGCTTGGTCAACACCGATCTATTGACGTGGATGGGGGTGTATCACCTGGCTCTCGCTTATCCCAATGTGCAGCAACGGGAGGTGTATGCGTTAGAGGCTATTACTCTAATTTGCTGCAAGGACATCGCTACAGATCCATGGGACGTGCAGTGCTTTCACACTGGCCTGTAGATCTCTCCACATCATCATACCGTCCTGTTGGCGCTAGCTAGATCGGCGGTAGCTTTTCCTAGCCTGACGAACAAAACAACATCCGCAATGCAATTATCGGCCCGCTAACTCGAAGGCCTAATGCAGTACCGAAGCCCAGCTCGACGGACTTGAGCGCTGGTCAGGTATGAGTACGACAAGCATTTACTGCGGTGAGAGAGATGACTGCATCGAAGACTTTTCGGGTCCAACGTATACTAGCCACAAGCGATATGCACGATTACACGGCTCACCGCATGGCGTTTCCAGCGTTTCCAGCGGATTTCGGCTCGTCACGATTAGCAGCTGCGAATCGCTGACTCTGGTTCAAGTCGACGTCCTTTGAAGCTGGGGTGGATTGAAGACAACACGTGGGTTCAAGTCAACACGGGCCGACTTGAGTCATGTCTTCTCACAGGACTGATGTGTCAGTTCATATGTACAGATCAGCAAACCACAACCTATTTGAGGGAGCCAAGTAGCGTTATACTTGCAGCATGTCTAAACTCCAAGCCCCTGCGAGCAAAATGGGCGCCGCATCCGTACCCAGCCATACAAGGTAAGGATCGTCGTCAAGTCTAGGTCAACGGGCAGTGCTCTCGAGCAACCAATGAAACCCAGTCCAGGGTGTCTCCAGGTGTCAAAGAACAGTCACAGCTGAAATGTCCAAACTGTTGTAGCAATATTAAATCAATGGACAGGAGCAACCCTGCTATCGTCTGGTCGAAACTCAAGGTACGTAGTTTGTTTAGGGTGGTTCATATGCTTGACGCACATGGCAGATTCACCAACTTCTAGAAGCGATCGAAGATCTCGCTGTGCTAACTAACTTCATCTATCCCTACTTTTAGCCAAGCCGGTGTGAAAATGATACTCCAGCGTCAGCGCACGGATGCTTCCCAGTACCCCGTAAAGTGAACCTGTCGAAGTTTAACACCGGTCAGATACCTCATGAAGCTGCCCCTTGCGCAGAACTACTTTGTTGGCTGATAGGTTTACGTGCAGAGAAGTTCCTTTTTTCCTATTTTCGGTATGTTCAGCCTATAGTATAACCACTAGATGGATTCGAAGCTGACGTATCGACTATCATCACTCCAGCGGTGATAGGTGGCTTCCGCGGCGTCACTACACCCAACTTACTGGTGCAATCACCCTCCAGATCAGGGAATACTGTGACTCGATGGTCACCCCTGCAGTTAAGTCTTATTAGACCATCGCTGGATTGCCCGAATCATTCACCAGGACTTTGGAAGGAATGTGAAGCTACAGGGAGGAGAGCATGTACCAACAGCCACATGTGCTCGGCACTTGACTTCATAACTATCACAGCCCTAGCACGCCACGCTTTCCAGGTGAACCTTGTCAACATGTAATCCTGCCGCTGCACTAAGTTCTATGGTCTCAGTGGACACTGCGTCAAGCTAGTCTTTCACCAAGACGCTTCGGGCGAGTCTAGAGGAAAGAGACCGTTTTGCCCGTTCAGGGACGGGCTGTATACATTACAAGCGGAGCGACCCACTTGTTCCCGTGGCCAGGTCCCTTGAAAGGTTTCGGATGCTTTTGCCGGTGTACGCTAGACCCTGAACGCGCAGCCTACTAAAGGGTAGCTTTGCAGGTACAGCCATTCAATCTTGGTCAACTGCGGAGCTCTCAAGATGATTTCAAGATCTTACTACTAAGTCTCGATCTTATGCTGTCATCGTTGGGTGGCACGCGTTACCGACAGATATGGGTTATTCTCTCGCAGCGGCACTAACAGAGGACAAGGAAGCCTGGAGCCTAGAGTTTGCGTGGACGCGGGAGCAGCCACCGCACCGTCAGCAAACAAAAAACGACGTGTTCACGGGAGGGTCCGACGTAGGGCCAAAAGGCAGGAAGTCTTGCTTTTGCATATCGTTACTAAAGCTAGGAAAACTAGTGGGATTCCGAGCTGGGTGCAGGGAGCATTTTGATTGGATGACCTTCCGCATGTCGTTGCGTCAGATACCGCTTGCGCCTCGGAGGCACAGAAAACTGGACCGACATCTTAGGCTTACTGCGGTGGTCATACGACTAAAAGGGCTTGATTCGGCGAGTACTTCGCCCTTGGTGATGACGTTTGTCCGCCATCTCCGAATAGTGAGTGAGCAGCCACAAGATACGACAGGGCGGTTGCGTAGGAACAGATCGCGGACGCTCCTGCCTAAACCATACAATCTCGGAGAGGGCGTTGTGGGATGTCTGCTGCTTCCCAGGATGCCTGTACAGCACAAACAAAGTTGCTGCTATCGGCAGGGTCCCACACTCATGCACATTATGATCTAGCATCGATCGGATCTCATCTTTGACAATATATTCATGGCCTGACATGAGCATGACGCCTACCGCACATCCCCGGAACGCCAATTTACTGGATTGCAGCAACTGCCAGGAACCCGCATATGGTCCAGCTGCATCAGATCTGTCCGGAGCGAATGCGGATCCGCCATCTCGATCGATTCATGCCTCGCATCCGGATCCTTTCGCCTATTACAAGGCTTTCGTAGATACGAACTCCTCGCACCTTCGACCGCAATCGCAAGCACAAGGGGGCGACGGACATCGCGTTGCACAAGACCACGATGGTTACACCTGCCATGATATCTCCGGGGCTGGAGACGTGCAGCAGGATATGAACTACCAACAACAGGCCAGAGTTCGAGCCGTTCCCTACAATCTTGCCGTCCGGCTCGCAAATCGTTCCAATGGGGCGCCCTTAGCAACCATTGCGGAGCAGGGTTCTTACTCCACGCTAAACTCCCACGGCTCCCTCCTCAGTGTGGGCCGCTTACCTTCGCTGCGTGTGGTGGAAAATACCTCACCAATCCACGCCCTGAACAAACTTTCCCATACTCCAGAGCATCGTAATCTCCTGCGCGTCACAGAACACACTCACCTTGAGCACGTGCTAGACGCACCAGGCAAAGGGTACGATGTGCCTCTGCGCAAGGATCCCAAAACCTCTCCCGGGGTTGATCATGCCGCTATACAACCTGCGTTAAGCACTATTCAGCCTTCGCAATTTACAGCGTATCAAATCAGCAGGAGAGACCCCGAAGCAAATTCCAGGGATGTGAAAAGCTTCTTTCGTGGCGTTGTACATAACGTTCGAGCTGCCTCGAGAACCCTGTCTAGATCGTCCTCGACGCAGGCATCGCTCAATGAGTACCACGACGACCGGCCGGAGACGAGCGAGGATAGTCCATACAGCCATTTATCCGCTTCTGACATGTCTCAACTGAGCGATGACAGACTTGACACGCCATATCGTATGCCCAGTGCCTCTCAGTCCCTGAGCGCAACTAGACTGTTGGGTCCCGTGGATCAGACCAGAAATGGGCAGACTTTCATGGTGGATCCTAGATCTTCAGCTGATGCGATGCCGTCCTCACCTGATGCCAAAACGTGTCCGCTGGAGTCGCAAAGTACGCTTGCAGCCGTAGCGCAACTACCACCACCTTCGGTTGTAGCTCGTTTGCGTGAATGGTCCCCTTCTGTGCGTCTTGTGCACCCAGAACCACGCGATGAAGCACCCAGAGGCCGTAGCGCTGAAGCACCAACGCTCTCAAACCAAAGCAGGAACACAATCTCAGCTGGACAGACGTTCTACGACATCTCCACATCGAATAACATCAGTCACTCGAAAATAGAGCATGAACGTGGGAGGGAAGCTAGTCGAAACACGAGTTTCTGTAGTGCCATGTCCACATCCTATTCGGGAACAGTGGTGGGCGTTGATGTTGACCTTCAGCACGACTTTTCTCATCCAGTGCGCTCCTCGCGCCCGCCCACACCTGTCGCGCCGGTATGGTTTACACCACAAATGGCCGAGCTAGAGAGGCAAGCGTCAATTTCCGAGTCTCCCCCTGATCTGAATCAAGTTCCTGAAGCGGTACCCCCGCGTTGCTCAATCACATCATCTGCGTTGACATCTTTACTGCCAATAGCTGCTGCATCGGGTATCGTTCGCCCAAACTACGACACACCCAAGATTTCTTTCTTCTCTCCATCGGGTAATCTTATCCAGCCAGAAGGCAGCTCGACGCCTGGTACAACGAGCGCTTCAGACCTTAGCGGTTCGCCCGTTGCAAGCACATCGTACTGCGATGATAGAACGACATCCACGACCTATAGTGCTTTTCCCACAACGACATGGCTACCGCCTCCGAGACCCTCATTGAGGCCAATGACCACGCCACCCACATCGTCGGCTCCGCTTCCTGCGCACTTACGGTTCCATCACAACTACAGACGTCCTGAGCGGTCGCAGATCGACTCTACAACCGGCTCCACAAAATGCTTCATTGTACCTGCTCCATCAGTCCATGGCTGTGACGGGATAGTGCTGACCGAGGGTCTTGCGCCTCACACCAAACCGCGTCATTCGTACGAAAAGAACAAGCCACGCCCGCAATACAAACGACGCAAGTCGGCCCGGTCCTTCACCGAAGATCTTAGACACGAGGCGAGATTCCAGAGAGCCCGATTGATCACGGCTATTCTTGCGAGCTGCACGTCGTCAGGAAAAGGACGGGTGATTTGCAAGCGAAAGGCTTCCAGCCGTAGAGCCTCAGCAACCGCCTCCGTTAGCATACCTTGGAATCGCATAGGCGGAAATGTCACAGGTGCCAGGACGAAGCGGATTGATTCCCGTGAGACTACGAACAAACGCGACATAGGAGTCCTCGGTCCGCTAGCCGGACACACTCTACGCATCTGCTTTTGCCAGCCATTCGATGGCGCAGGAAAGTCGACACATACTGCAGCTACCGAAAACACTTGCATTGGCAAGAGCGATCACACAAGGAACATGCAGAGCCGGTCGAAGAAGGAAAGCCCTCGCACAGACACGAAGGAAGTGGAAGTCGATGCAGTATTACCCATTGCTCGGGTCGTCAGTGGAACTGAAAGGAAGATGGGCAACAATGTACGCCAACGTACTGCGGTCCGCAAGAGGAAGATACAATCGACCACCGGCACAAATCAGCACAGCAGGATGCGAAGTGACAGTGCCGTCAGTGTGGGTGTTGCGCTGAGGACCGCTACTGCGGGAGGCTAATCGTTCGACTATACCGGATCGGCAGTGACAGCTGCCACAGGTGTGGGTCATGGCATGGTTCTGTACCAACATGATACGAAGCGAGTCTGTCACATCAGAAACGGGCAACGAGTTTGCTATAAAGGGTCTAGCTTCGCACGATGAATCTTTACTCGGTCGGTATGGTAAGGTAGAAAGGGCAAAATCAGTATCCGTTTTTGGATACAACGGAAGTTTAATTACGAGATATGATTAGCGGTATTGTGCTAGCGCAAACGAGTGTAGTCAGTATACTTGGAAGGGCAATGGTTGTGATCGACAATGTTACTTCTTTTCCTCAATGTGGGCATGGGGTTCTTCCACCAATGATGCTTTACTATTACTCAAAAGTAGGCTTTTCTGTCAACGGAAGACATGGGATTTTGGGATCGAAAATTTCCCCATGTGCTCGTCTGATCGGTAAGTTCGTGTGCGGCAAATGTTTGCGTAGTGGATGGGATGACGGGAGATCATCTTCTGCCAAGCGCAGAAAAGAAAAATGCTATATGCGATCATCTTCTGGATCAGCCAAGGCATATCACACGGAAGGATAGCAAGCATGCATGCGTAGGATCAAAAGTTCGAGTGTTATTACCCGGTTTGTATCATGACCTCCCGCACTAACCGCGCGTCACACAGACCAATCTCACACACTCGCGAGTTTAGTGTAGGATTTCTTATCGAGTTCTGAGACCAAGAAAACCCGATGTTGGTAAGACGGGACGAGACTTCTCTGCGCATGATCCTGCCGCTTAACCGGTGGGTTAATCAGCAAAGGAAAAGGATCCAGATGCACTGGCAGGATCATAATCGGACAGCAACCGGGTGTCGGCGACGTCCTTGAGAACACATTGAAAGCAAGTATCATGATCACAGCGGCGTAGCCTGGAGCCAGTCAGAATCTAGATGAAAGATGTATGGTGATGACATGCACACCGATAACAGCATCCTTTCCTTCTACCTCGGCGTACTGCTAACCCGGGCGACCCTCCATTAACAAGAGATGAGTATTGACTCTCCATCCATAGACACTATCTGTTTTCAATGGTACCATGTCCTTGCGAGGCGACAAGGCCAATGATCGACCATGTGTGACGGTCGAACTCGCGTATTTCAGCATCCCAGACATAGCATCACCAGTTGAATACCAGAAACCGGGTGTGTTCAAACGCCTCTATTTCTAATCAGACCTGCCGAGCAGCTAAACTCATGCAGCTGGCTCCGAATCAGGACATTCGCATTCGTATAACTAGGTCTCGGAGGGCGTAGCATCGGTCGTACGAACCCCTGCCTGTCACGGCACTCCCGACGCCTCACTCCTGCATTATCGACCCAACACTCTGGTAGCGCGCTCTCGATTCGGGTTAAAAGGTTGACAAGTCACGTCCATATTTGAACATACGTGCATGTGCCCCATGACGGCAGAAAGAGCAAAACCAAGGCCAGAACCGGGATATCCAGACGGCTCTGACGTTTAGCCTCAAGCCGCTGCTCCACTACGCAGCAGCCAGGGGTAGGCGAGAAGGCAAGTGCTGCCGATCAAGTTCTTCCTCGATGTCGTGCATGAAGGCTGCGTAAACGGTGGGCGAATTGGTTCGAGGACAAGAGTAACGAGGTTTGGCGTGCCGTGAACCGATGATCATCGGCCTTGGTAGTGATTCAATACGGATTGCTTGACTTGTCGGCCCAGAGATCTTTCCAAAACTGCCTGAATCCGTATTGTTTCTCGCGACGTTCGTCTCGCACGCGAACTGGTCCTCCAATGATGTTGTCCAGCACGCTCTTCTGACTTGAGCTCTGCCAGCTATCTACTTTTTTAGGTGGTTTCCGCGCACGCTCGAGGATGGCCCCGGCAAGCTGAGGCGCGACATCGGCGAAGCAGGAGTTCAGCTCGCGTTGCAGATTGAAGTAAGGTCTTTTCGCTAGCTCAGGTGCTAGGAGATTGTAGCTGCGCGCCTTGTCGTTGAGGTCTTTGATAGCGACCGTCCAGTAGCTACCTTCAATGCGTTCCCAATCAGGGTCACGGAAGGGATAAGGTGCAGGTGGCACTTCCGGCTCAGGCGTGGGGACAGGCACTTCCATGGTTTGCGTAGTCGTATCTGCTACAGTGGCTGCTCCTGGGTCCTGCGCTACAGCTTCTGGCGACGCATCGAGGGTGACCATCTTCGCTACAACCTCTTCCGTGACCACGGGCTCTCCGTTCGACCCTTCGCCTGCTGGATTCACCTTCAGCCCTCCCGATAACGTAATCTGTGACATATTCCCATCATCGTCCACAGTGGTAAGCGTCTCTTGTTTCCTTTTCAGAGGATTCGCAATGAGCTCTGCCTTGGCAAACGCTTCTGCTCTTTTGATTTGGTCCAGCAGTGATCCGCCCTTACTGGCTATCACACGCGCAGCATGTCTCTTCCAGTCCGCCCGTAAACGACTCCTGAACTTGCTTGCTGTCGATGTGAGCTCTTGTTGCTTCTCGATCCACGGCGGCACAATTTCCTGCTTTTGTATAATCTTGTTCATGAAGTACTCGGTCGTATCGATGAAAGGGCTCGATGCATTGTAGTCTCGCTCCACGTTTGCCGTCTTTCCACGAGCTATGTTCTTGAACTGGCCACGAGCAATTGCATCTTCGATCCTTTTGTTCGCAAGAGAGGCAAGTCCTTGGATGGACCCAGGAACGATGGCACGCGCATGCGGTTCGAAGCGATCTTTGAGCTCCTGCAGGCGCTTCTCCCGGTCGAAAGCTTCCATGTTTTCGTCGTCTTTGATTGTCGCATATACGGTACTCCTGTCGCGTGCATTGGCTAATCGCAAGCCACGACCCTCTTTGCTCCGACCATGTCCGGTATCAATCGACTGCGGTATCGGCACGCCGGGCATTTTCGGTGGTCTCCCTAGTCGCAACGGCTTATGGGCATCGTTCAGCATGCGCAGGCTAGCATCGTGGAGAGACTCGGTGCCAGTCCACGCTTCGGTTGTGGCAAGGTCGCGCGTGTGGCGAGAGGCGTAGTCGGGCAGCTCTGCTTCGGAAGATCTGAGGTTTGCGGATGCGATGCGCTGTTCGAGTTGTGCCTTGAGGTCTGCACTAAATCCTGCCTCCTCGACAGCCTTGATAGCGCCATGGCCTCCAGATTCCAACGCTTCTTCGCTCATATTACGCATTCGTCGCGTGAACGCGCCTTCCTCCTTCTCAGCTTCTACTCCTGACTCCTTCACTCTTTCCCTGGTGCCTTCTTCCTCATGTTTTCCGTCATCTTCCGGTTTGTGTTGTGTGGCCGTCTGCCCATATCGCCTCAGAGGCCTACTCGCTGCGGCTCGGGATGAAACGAAGACATCGAATCTTCGATGCGCGCGCAAACGGCCTGCGCAGATATACTGTCTCGGAAAAGCAAATGCGGGCATACAGAAAAGCCAGGGTACAGGAATGCGATGTTAAAGGAAAGTTCGCCGTTGGAATTGGAGAAAAGGCAATGTCCCACGTCATGAGTGGTGGCCAACTCCAATGTCTAGCGCGAGGCTTATCGATAGCTACACCAGCCGAGGCTTAGTTGTTACCAGTAGCTTGACACTTCGTAATCACGAAACTATATTGTACCCTTTCATGAACATTGTATAGATTTGGCTACATTATCCAAGTGGTGAACTCGTATACAATCACCCACCCGCACCACCACCCTCAGTAATACCGGCAAGTATCAGATCCAGCAAAGTGTGTCTCTTTTCCTTTTCGCTCTTGATCATGCACATGGCAGTAGCGACGAATACTTGATAAAGCGTGCTTCTCTTCATCCGAGAAATCCTCACTGCATCTTCCTCTTCACGTTCTTCTTCTGGCCGAGCTAGGATGGATGGCGCGAATTCGTCAACCAACCGCAAGATAGCGGTGTCAAAGAACTCTAGAGTACCATTTTTCCTAGCTGCAATGGATGACGTGTACGTTCCTAAACATACCTCGACTTGTGTTTCTCCCTTCTCTTCGAGGACTGGTAACTTGGCTACTAGCTTCAAGTGATTGAAACGCAACATGAGCCCACAGGTTCGAGATTCCTGGACAGAACCTGTTCCTTTCCAGAAGAAGTCGATACCTGCATAGTGGAATTGGTAGCATCTTGTGTGACGGGATAGAGGATTGGTCCACCGCAGGTACACTACCTCGTTGGCCAACGCAGGCTCTCCCGACTTGACGCTGGAGTCTTTAGCCACATCAGGATCCGTACCGTCGCCAGTTTGGCGTATGGCTTTTACAGAGTGTACGTAGTCTTTACCCGTCTCACCCCACAGTCTCCATGTTCGGACTTTATAGCCTTTGAAATTGTGATCGTCAAGCTTGAGCGCTTTCTTGCCACCTCCATTGTGTCGCCATCCAACTACCCCACGTGGGTCGATTATGTCGGGTATAGATGGGAGTAGCTGAAGCTTATACTCCTTCCACCAACAGCCCTCGTGTATTAGAACAGCAGGTTGTGTCATGCGCTTGCTGTTGCCCATGTAAAGAACACGGGGCGGCACATGGAAGGCAAGATACGGTCGGTGTAGGAAGAAGGCATTGTTGTCTGGTTCGACACGAGGAAGACCGGCGTCTTGACGTTCCTTCCGCTCCTTATGTTTCGCTTTCTGCTGCTTAACGGTAGGACCAGAACGCTGTTCTAGCACAGGGTCAAGGATTGGTGAGATACACTTGTGACACCCGTGCTTGTCGTAGACATGAAACGTCGATTTTGGTCCACTGCTGGTTAGCAGCTGAAGATCATCTTCCGTAGGCAGACGGGTGATCTCGACGTCTTCAGTTGATGGCAAGTATTTCGTTGTGATCGTAGGACCCTAGCCTAGGTCAACATAGATGCAGCGAGAAGTTGCGGATATCAACACATGTATACCTTCCTCTCGTCGGCTTTGTCAAGCTGGACCGTACCGGTGTCTTCTGGCTTTACGGCAGTCGCCATAGCTATCAACTACAAGACTCATTTCTGGTGCCTAATCAACTCAACTAGTTGTTCTGGCTAGCGAGTTTTTATATGTTGTGGTCCCCAAGATCACCAACTGATGCACGGGGGGTCGTGCCAAGCCTGCTGTGGAGGCTGAGCTTCTCGCTTTGCTCGTGTTCATGCTGCATGACATGCCGTCCAATTGGAGTCTTGCAGCATGTATTGCTTCAGGTAGTGCACGAAAGTTCTATTGGCCAACATAATTCTGAAAGTATGCAAGCACATGCATGGGGTCGTAAGGCAGACCTAAGGCGGGATCTATAGAGAGGCGTGTGGGTGCGACACCTCGCGATCGCACATGCGATATATCGGAGCTTTTGAGTGTTGTGACACGATATCAATGTGCCTTTCAAACAGTGCAATTCCAGCATGCTATTTACTGACTCTCAAGCACCCTCTTCGCGCCGTCACTGATGCGCTTAACCTCTTCGTGTCCGTTCTTCACCACCTCTTCCATCTTCTTCTTCGCCTTTTGAAGATCATCTGGCAGCACTTCGCGGTTGAGCTCAAATTTCCTCAACCTCTTGTTGTGGTCCTGTCGCTCCTTTTGAATGTCTTTGTCTGCGCGCTCCGAGGCTTTGACGGCTTCCGTCACGGCCATGCGACGTGATTCCCCTGTTGGAGGTGGTAGCGGGACTTGGATCGTGAGAGGGTTGGCGGACTCGGGTGTAAGGGGCGTGAGCGAGTGCGGTGAAGCTGCGATGGCGGTGCTGATAGGCTTGATGTGCTGTATGGAATCAATGCCTGATGCTGTCGTAGTGGTCGCTTGTACGTACCGCTTCTTCTCCGCAAATGACGTTCAGCACTCTCCCTCTCGGGACGACTTGTGCGATATCTCCCAGTCTCACACTCTCTTTGCCGTGTCCTGCCGTGCCTAGTTGCACCTTCAAGCTCTCCACGATATCCGGATTCATCTTTCCTCCACTGCGCAGCTGACTAAGATCATGCGTGAGCTTCTCTAGGGCCCTGAGAATCCGTGCCTCGAGCCTCGAGATATCGTAGGCTTCATCGGTAGGTGTGAGGGGCCCTGGGTTGGTCACGGGCGGGGCTGAGTCGGTTCGCGCACGGGTTTTGTTCGCTTTGCCGGCCTTCTTTTGTAGGTATGTGCTCACTGAGAAGCTTCGAGCGGCATGGGAAGAGCATTGTGGTGTTGGGCGCAAAAGAGGACTGAGTGGTGTGAGCGGAGGGGTCTGCGCAAAACAGCAATTGGAGCTTACATTGTACGGCTAGGCGCCTCAATTGCCCTCGAAGATGCGCATAACGGGCTTCTTGAGCTAATACGTAGTACTACGCGCGGGATGGCGGTACGTGACATGACTATCGATACTGAAGGATATCGGGTTGCTTGCTGGTACAATGGTTTGGAAAGCACGGACGATGTTTAGCACGCGACTGGGACGTCATCGCGTCGCGACCATGCTCAAGACAGCTCTTGAACCTTCCATCGTGACTTCTTCCATGAAACACACTCAACTCCCCGTTCTATTTTTTCCATCATGCTAAAGCTTTGAAACAATGACATCTACGTTACAGCGTACCTTTGGGAGGCAGATCACGAACCGCTTCACCCGTCAAAGGATCCCGATACCAATTCTCTTCTGGGTCGTTCAAGCACTCGCCCGCTGTTACCAGCTTGAACCCACGCTCCTTCGCGTTTTTAATCATGAATGGCGTCCAGCGATGCACGGATTGATGGTGAGTATCATGCGCTAAGCCCATCCAGGCGCGGACTCCCTGACGGTTACCCTTACTCGTAATTTTTGCCATAAAATGTTCTTCGGAGAAGGTAAAGTTACCTGCCCAATCTCGGCCCTCAATATCATTCGAAGTCTTTTATCGGAGTCAGTTTGCTTCTTCACGTCATCTGCGCAATAGCGGGAGCCCCCACACTCACCACATGATATCCGAGCTCTCCGACGTCGGTCTGGCATTCGGCCCCGCAAATGTTGTATGGTGGACGCATGTACGTCGGGAAAAATCCCAAGATGTCGACGAACCCGATCTCTCCTTTTATCAGCTCATGTCTCCGCTGCTGTGAATCCAGCTGGTCCATGTCTGGGTGAGACCAAGTATGTCCCGCAATCTGGTGTCCTTCATTGTACATTCTTCTTATAATTGCAGGGGTCTTTTCGCTGCGATGATTGACCAAGTCGTCATACAGCTTGACGCCTGAGACGAAAAAGGTTGCCTTGGCATCATGCTCCTTCAGTATGTCAAGCAAATCAGGAGTCCATTGTGAAGGGCCATCGTCGTACGTAAGCGCAAGTGTATCCTCTACTGTGCAACTTCTGAACTTCTTCCCATACGGAACATCTCCAAGCCTTGGCCTTGGAGTAGCTGACGTGTTAAATCCCGGTGGCCATTTAGAGCCATCACATGCTAGTCCGAACTCTTCGAGGCATATCGGAACGCCAAGATGATTCGAATCAGACATGTGGTAACCCTACGCGTGTTGATTAACAGGGTAATAGATGCAGAGAGTTTTTGACTACTCACATCTTCCGAGCAGCAATGGCTACAAGAAGGTTGGCGAACTCCTGGTCCACACCTTCCATAGGTAAGGTTCGTGACGCTGACGAGTGGCTGTGTTATGGGACATACGTTGCCCAGCGGATAGTAGTAAAGTGGGTGGAAAGCACCCAGTGCATTACTCATGGTGGACTGAATATCCGGCTGACTGACCTGGGGGGTAGTTCAGCTTTTGTAAATCACATTTCGGTGGTATCAATGTAAGGTAAGACGATTGCGTGCGCTTCTCGTCGGAATTTCCATGTTCGAATGAAACGTTGGTTGCGATACTCATCCTCACCGCTTTTGGACCTCGAGACTTCCATTAGCCATTTGAGCCGCACGAAACCACAGTAGGCCCGATGTCGACGGATTCGTTATAGAATTCGCCGGTCGTGCTGCAGGAAAGATCTTCCCTTTCGGACATTTACGCGGGCCGATAGCTTCGTTCCTTCGGCTGAGTAACTTCGTTTAACTCATACTGAATATCCAAAAGTGAATCCCACTACACAACGGCAATCCGGAGAGAGTTGAAGAACCTTCTGTAAACGGGACTCAGGCCGCTTTACAATAACCTTTGAGTCTGTCATTGGTTCCAAATATCGACCCGCACATCTGACAGGGTATCTAGAACATTGTAATCAAGGCCGGGTTGTTTCGCAGCTACGACAATCGCGTCAAATGTCCTCAACACGTCCGGTTTCCATGAGCTTTCTTCCAGTTTCGGCACCTCGGGTATGTCCTCCTGGTTTACCAAGGGATCGCAGAACATCAGGTCCACTTCGCCAGACTGGCGCATGTAATTGAGTAATTGCAATCCGGGCGAATTGGATAGATCCGACTGTCCAGACTTAAATCCGACTCCGACTACGAGAAGACTGGGTCGATGTGTCGCACCGTGCTTGCGCTGGGTGTCTTCCAGTAACGAGATAAGAAGCTGGCTGGCGATGCGCGAAGGACGTGACATGGTCCGTTCATGAGCTTGCTGGAGGAGTGGAAGATTGCAAGTTGACATGAAGTAAATCGGATTTATGGGTATACAATGACCGCCAATGCCTAATGAGGGATACATAGGTAGATATCCAAAGGGCTTGCTTGCGGCGGTGTGTGCCACCTCGAAAGGATCGATTTCCAAAGCCTGGCAGGCGTCTGCCATCTCGTTCGCGTAGGCGATGGCTATGGTCCTTTGACAGTTCTCGTACAGCTTTGACATTTCTGCGACCTCGGGTTTGCTGACTGGTATGACGGTGTCGAACACTGTCTCGTACAATCGTGTGATAGCATTCAGCGAGCCTGGAACGATGTCGTCAAGTCCAGAGACGACTTTGGGAATTGATCTAGGGGGAGGTTCAACTCGGCCAGGGTCAATCCTCTGGTCGAGTATCTGTCAGTCGCCGATCTTCCACTCTATGCGGGCTGCTTACCTCTGGTGACATTCCGGCAAGGATACCGCGCGACGCAGCCAGCGGTCCAAGGAACTCCCTCGTCATCCCAACCGCGACCGTACTTTCTATCACCACGATGGAATCGTTGTTCACATAATTCTGGAGCATGGCTATTGCGCTGCAAATGTGTGAGGAGTCAACCTTGCCGTCCACTCCTACGGTTGTCGGTACGCAGACGAGGAAGTGAGACGCATCTTTTAAGTCTCTCTCATCGTTTGAGAGCTTGGTATGGTGTTTCGAAGAATATTTCGAACGCAGTCTCTCTATACGCGGAGTCGATATATCGTAGCCAATGACCTGAAAAGTGGAAGAGAACACTTCCATAAGATGTTCACCGACATAGCCTACTCCGATAATTGCGATAACAGGCACTTTATCATACTCGTTCAAGGAAGAGATAGGCAGATCTGATGGATTTTGAGATGCTGTGAACGCTGATGAAGTCATGTTGCGAAAAAGACGAGTCAAACCAACGAATTCAATGGATGAGTGAACAAAGGGGTTGATATGATGTGAGAATTTACGGTTATATCGGCGGTCAGGTAGTCAGCCCATCCTAACATCCGTAGTCCCGCAAGGCTGCACACGCATACGCACACTCCAACTCCGTCTCGAGACACCAGACCATACGATTGTTGACAGAATTTAATTCGGCAATGTCACCCTAAACTCAAGTCTCGATACTTCCTAAGGTTAGCTTCGGCACTGCAGCGGCCCGGAAGTCTGATATCACCGGTGTCACTCCGAGCGGGTGCGGAATCAAGACGGGAAAGAACTCCAAATAGACGTTTTAGGGAAGAGGGACCTGCATATGCATGTCATGATACGACGATTTCGTAACCTGGTGCCTGGAAGTACTTCGGAATTGTGTTTTGCATTTTATCCTGGTGTACACCGCCTGACACCACTATTATACCCAACGTTCTAGATACTTGAATGATGTGGAGACGACAACGCAGATCGCCTCTTGGCCCGTTATGCGCCGAGGGAGTGTGCAAAGTACTAAAAATCGCATGTTGGTATGTCGCAGTATTCGTCTAACATACCACCAAACATTACGTCCGTAACGATGGAAATCCTCGAGACCACGAGCTCGGGGGCTCATATTGCGGGCAACATCAAAAGTACACCCAACAACCTCCGAAAAAGATCCTTCTTCTTCTCGTCTAGAGTTTTGTCTAGCGCAATCGAACACCTGCCAACCGTTGACGCGCGGCGGCTGAGGCTTGAGAAATATGTCGTACTATCTATTTTGATACCGCTGAAGTAAGTGAGCCACCATTCATGGTACAAGAATAGAACCACTAAGCATCAGGATGTAGTTGCGTCTTTATCTACATGTTCACAAATTGGTCCAAATTCTTTTGGTACTTGATTCCAGAACTGATGCTCCGGATTGTGGTGGATTGCACCGAAATAACGCTCGTCATTACCTTCTTCATCATAAGACGATTGTACCGGCGCCAACCAAGAATACCAGAGAGGCCAGAGAACTTTGTCTACCTGCTATGTTGCTATAACGAGTCGTATCCAGAACTGATGACCTCATTGGATTCGTTGGCCGAGCAGCAATTATTAGATGCCCACAAGAAAGCCATTGTCGTGATCTGCGACGGCCGAGTCAGCAGCAAGGGTGAACCTAAAACAGCTGCTGCCTATTTGAAAGAGGATATTGTTGAGCGTCCGTCAAGTACGTCTATGGCTCAGGCGTATACTGCGTGGGACGGTGCTCCCATGGACGTCGAGATCATAGAGGGCGAGTTCAGAGGGATCCCAATCATTTGCGTTATCAAAAACGAGAACCGAGGCAAGCGAGATGGCATCGTTCTTATCCGATCGTTCATGCGCAAGTTCAACCAGCGCCATTCGAGCCCTTCGTTAGCGATGCTTTCATCCAAGCTCTTTGCTGAACTGACGAACTTTCTGAAAAAGGCGTCCATCCAGTCAGTGGATTATGCCGTTGGAATAGACGCAGATACCAGGTTTGATACGAAGTGCGTCTTCAACCTGATACAGACAGTAAGGGAAGATGAACAGTGTCAGGGAGTGACCGGCTACATTCGACCTGATCCGAAAGCCTTGGGACCATATTCATTTTCTTACCTCTACCAAAACGCCGAGTATTTAGTTGGTCAGCACCGCCGTCGCCTCCGTCAAAGTCTTACTAGCAGGAAGGTGACCTGTCTGCCCGGATGCTGCCAGTTGTTGCGGGTTAATGAGTATACCTGCGGCGATCATATCTTGGGCAAATTCGGACATTACCCGAAAGGCACCGATGGCTTGTTCCGAACGATCCGATCCATGATGAGCGAGGACAGAGATCACATATGTCTGGTTCTTTCAGAGTACGCCGATGTCCGGACACGCGTATGCCTCGCTGCGCGAGCGTACACAACAGTGCCGAGCACTCCTTCGGTCTTGCTGAGTCAACGGCGTAGATGGACGTTAGGGCCGCTTACCAGCGACAGTCTCCTTCTTAGTCGTAAGTCGACAGGCTGGATCGAGAGAGTAGCCGCATTCACTTCCATATTGCATTGGACCATAAACCCAGCGCTCTACGTTTCAAGATACTACCGTACGTACCGCTGTAGTTGCAAATGATGATACTATTCTGACATCAAGCCGTAGGACAAATTGACAACCAAACAAAATTCTACCTGATTATTCTTGAGAACTATCGGCTAGTTTACGACCTGCTGGTCATCGTCGCAGCCTCGGATTCGGTTCCTGATATCATTCAGTCGTTCATCGGTTTCTGGATGTATGGCTTCTTTGGGCCGACTGTTAATTTTGTCACCCAGCTTTACACTCTGTACAAGATGGACGATTTCCGGTGGGGCAAGACACGCATAGGTGTTGCGGACAAAGCGAAATAGAGCTGTCATAGTGTTCCAGGGCTTGTTTCGGTAACAATACCACTCGTAGGACAAGGAAATGGAGAGGTTGGGTTTCTTTGTTCCCTCCCCTTGCTTCTCGAGCCCCTGATCTAGTAGCGCCTACCAATCGGAACGGGACCTGTTCTCACCCCTCTTGATACCTGACAGGGCTTTGAGTGAAACTTCCGACAACCTTTTGTGTGTTTACAATTTGTTCAGCTATTGCATCTACTTCTTTTACGAGATAACCTCTTCTAGCAGACGGCTCGTTGAGATTACTCGGTAAGATGATCCCGTGCTCACACCTTCTCGCCTTTGTCTCGACGACCTGACAAATTCTTCCGTCACCATGGCTTACATGTTTGCCCGGCATGGCATTGATCGCCCCTCTCGTTAACGTCCTCCGTAGTACAGGTAGAGTGCTGACACCGGTTACTCTCTCGCCCGACACAGATACTACCCGCGAGCTGAACGGCTTACTCGCCCTACAGTAGCGGGTGTTAAGTAGACCGCTAGATAAGTAGCACGCAGGTATGAGCGCACGCAAATGTACCACAGTAAATGAGGCTTAATAGACCTTGGCGTTGAGTCAGTCGAAGGTTTTTGCAGGCGTGTCAAGCAGATGATAAGGCCACCCTGTCTGTCAACCACGCCTCAGCCACGGCCTGACATCACCGCCGATCAACAACGCATCACACCAAAACGCGGCTCCGCTCATTTGCTCCAACGCGCAGTCCATACGTCTGCGCAACGGGGAATTCGAATGCGCAATGAGTTTGTCAGATTTTAGAGCGACGGGATGTCCGTTGCAATGGCAAAGTAATCACGTTCACGGATATTCGGCCGTCCCGCGGCCAGTAAGGGAGGCTTGCTGTGACCAGCAACCTTGACAGCCTCGCTGTGCCCGCCGCCAGACCGCCCTGTTACCGCCACACTGGAAGGGCGGCGTAGGTATGGACGTTGCAATTTGCTCCACGATCTACCCGCAGGCATGTACAGCCATCCTATGTAAGGTAGCCTACCCCAGGTTTCCTCGTCCCGTTTTGCTGTCTCTCACCCGCCCGAGTCTTGATCCAGCTTTGACCCACTTTTCCGGTGCTCACTTCACTACGCTCGACACTGGAGGGCAGTCGCCGTACATGGCTCCAGTTCCAGCTTCACTCTTATCTGAGGTTTAACAAGATACGACATCATGGCACCGCTCAGCAGCATGGATTTGCTCGCCTTGGCAAAGCGCCTCCCCGGAACAGCTACGACACGCACTTCACCACCGACAAGAGAGAGTATGACGACGGAGGGCGGCTTTCTCGAAGCATGGGCTCAAGGATATAACGTTGGCAGCTTGATTGTTCTCATTCTGATCGTCTTCTGCAATTACCGCTCTGGCATATGGCTTCACAAGCTTATTCTACTTGAGGTGAGTTTTATGGATGCTGCGGCAAAGTGCTATTGCTTTTAGGTGGTCGCATGACCGCTTACTCGAAAGTCTCGCTATACAAATCGCTTCAACGCACATACGGAGTACTGACTGACTCAGCTTGTTCTTGCCATTTGGCACGGCCTCTTTATCTTCGTCGAAGACCCCTACTACGGCTGGTACCTCAGCTCGACTGCAAGCCTGCTTTTCATATCGTACTTCCTCCACAACGTTGTATCGTGGCTCAAGATTCGGCCATTCTTGCCACTCTGGGGCTCTCGATTCTTCATCATATCGTTGCTTTGCGTTCAACCATTCTGGATAGCGGAGGCATGGTCGAATTTTGCCTACTTCAATCAACTCAAAAGCGGGTCCACCGTCAATCTTCGCATGCGACCTTGGGAAGCTCTAGTTCGTGATCCCTGGTGGATCTTCACTACCTGGCGGCTCATACATGCTATCAAGAAGACTTATGCCTTTAACCTTTGGACTCTAGTCGGCATAAACAGAAGGTTCGGCGTCATGTTGGCATGCATGATCTTGTCCATCGTCTTCCTGCTAACAGACATTGCTGTCAGCGCCGCGAAGGTAACGGCCAGCAGCGGTATTAACCCATACTGGCGGTTTGCACTTGTGTTCAAGTGCGCATCCGATACTATCTTCCTCGACGACTTTAAGTCCGTTCTAGATGATATTGTCGCACGCAAGTTCAGTTCCGTCGGTGACTCTATGCGTCGCAGCTCGATACCAGGAAGCGGGCCCCATAAGCGCTCGCGCTCTACCTCCCGCAACGACGAGTTCATCGAGTGCAGCACTCTCGAGCCGCCCGAGCCCTTGCCATCGTATAACGACGGTCCTAAGACCATGCCGCGGCCGAAATTCCGCTCTCCGTTTTCGAAGACGCATACAGCACCAGAAGTTCCGACCATTCATATACAGCAGGCTGAAACCGAATCGTCAAGGAACCCTAGTCAAGATAGTTGGGATAGTCAGGGTCCCGTGCTACCCAGACCAGCGCACACTGTGTATCGTAACCCAGAGTTAAGAGCGAACGAGAGCGATGGGAGCTTGCTCATCGGCAGGCTTGTCTGAGAGGGTCTCGATGGCCTGCGAAGTTATGAAATATCGCAGCCAGGCCCTCACGACTCTTCACATACCTATCAGCGATAGACGGGGTATCGCATTATTCGCGCATCTCATCAAGCGTGCTATTAAGCGTACAAAAGGCTTCAAACGTACAGGCCGTGGGGCCTTCGAGCATGATGGCTTCCTTGTTTCTGAAGTAAACAGCAGCACCTAGTAAGTCTCACTCCGGAAATCTTATAGTGAGGGCGCTGCTGACGGTTGTACCAGAAGCGCTACAGCTTTCGAAGCTGCGAGCACTAGTGTTGAACTGACGCAGTGCGGCGTGACAATCGAGCAATAATCTGAATGAAAGCGACAGTCGAGGAGATTGCAAGAGATGGCGAAAGAGGGACAGCATCCGAGAATGATTTTTTGCATGCTACCTTGGTGCAGTCTGAACTTTCATACCATAGTAATGAGCAAGTGAATACACAATATTTACCGTTCGCATACAGCTATCGCACTTTCTTCGCAAGCCTAGCACACTCTGCGAAACCCCGCGTACAGAGAATCTTACGGCGCTTACGTCCACGACCGGTATTATTCGATCCCTCGTATCCAAGCCACGCGCTAGCCTCGCCGTCCTAAGGCTGATTTCGTGATCATGGACATCCGCCTCAGCCTCAGGCGCTTACCTGAAGAAACTTATGCCTTCTTCTAGTATTCTAGCGGGAGAATGCATACGACGTCTTGCTTTATGTGGCTTTCTCTGTTTACTCGGACGCGTAACGGAGAGGATGTTGGGGATGGGTTTGGAAGTGTCCACGTACTCAGTGATGTGGTTCGATATGAAGAATGGAAGTGTGGCAAGGACGTCAATCGTGAAAAAAGACGCTCGAATGTTCCCTCTGTTATCGAACACTCGCTACAATACTTGAATCATCATCCTCATCGAAAACTTTGTTTCCACTACAAAGCATGGGATCACGAAGAACTCCATTTAGCACTGCCACTACACCAGAATGTACCACCGCCATTCCCGGTCCCTATGGCCATGTCCCACCGTCTTCATGTAACGCGCTATACCTCTACAACCCTTCCTTTTCCGCAGCTATCGCCTTCGCCGTTCTTTTCGGTCTCATCACAATCGTGCACGTCTTCCTTGCGATCCTCCATTGGAAGAGCTTCTGCTAGGTGGTTATCATGGGCGCAGCCTGGGAACTAGTATCCTTTATGTTACGCGCCCTCGGCACGCGAGACTAACAGCTTGAAGCATATGCAACTGCATCAACATTGCTATTCCTACTAGCGCCACTATGGATTAACACATTCGTGTACATGACCGCTGGCCGACTGATCTACTTCTTGCATCCCAAGAAGAGAATTCGGGGTATTGAAGCAGCGAAGATGGGTCGCTGGTTTATGTGGCTTGATGTCTTCAGCTTCATTGTTCAGGTAGCTGGCGGATTAATGATGAACAAGGAGAAGGGGGAAAAAGTAGTCGAGATAGGCAAGAATGTGTACATGAGCGGTGTAGGTGTACAGCAACTTTTCATCTTAATATCTCTGGAGATGATTGTGGAGTTTCATGTCTATGTGCTGGGGTTGGAGCGCGACGGCCCATCTTGTGATGGGGATGGAAGCAAGAGAAGAGTTGCGCGATGGAATAGCTGACATATACGCTGTATGCCATCCTTGGGCTCATCACGATACGTATCATCTTTCGGCTCGTCGAGTTCTCGGCTGGCATCGATAAATCAACGAATCTGCTCATTGGGAAGGAAAATTATGCCTTAGGACTCGATGCCGATCCGATGACGTTGGCACTTTTGCTGCTAGCATGTGTTCATCCGGGTATGGTGCTAGAAGGGCCTGACTGTGAATTCCCGTCACGGAAGGAGAAAAGATTGGAGAATGAGGCAAAAAAAGCAAGGGAAAAGTCGCCCGATGCTCATATCCAACCGCGTGGAGGCTGAACAGCAAGACTTGGCAGCTGTGGCGAGGTGTCCAGGTGGTCGACGCCCGATACCCTCCAACCTCTATCCGGTAGTAGCTTGATGCGAACCTTTCTGCTGCTTTTGTCGGAATCTTTCCATGTTGATGAAGGACTCAGCTTGCTTTGCGCGTCTTTTGGTAAACCGTATATCAGTGTCGGCATAACTGATGTTTTCCAGATACCAGTCGAGGTATCTTTGGATGTCTTGATAATTGTCGAGACTAGGAACACCAAACTGAGTGCCAGAAGCAAGAATGGGAAGATAAGCCATTCCCATTGTACTAGAATATATTGTTCGCCGTAGAACGCTTCACCCTGTAGCATTTCACCGCTTTCAGAGGACCTTACGCGATTCGTCATAGCTGCAGCAAGCTTTTCCAGATGTCGTGTGAGATTGTTAGGTGCCATCCAAGGACTGAATGGAAGATATCGCTGGGAAGGGCCGTCCATATATTCCTTATATCTGAGCCTAGGTATTGCAGAGACGTTGTTGACGCTGAATGAAGCAGGGAAGAAATCGTCAAAGATAGCCATAAAAGTACTTGCAGTAACGTTGTTGACTCCATATTCAATCGCCGTATCTTTGGGCTTTGTACCGTTGGAATCAATTCCTGCAGGTACGATAGTGATGTTCTCCTTGTATTGGATCCAGGTTCCACCCCCTTCTTCATCCGGAATTTCCCATGAGATCCATGGATTTGGCCCACCAGTGGTGTTGTAGTATGATGATATGATGCGTTCGTTGTATCCGCCCAGGCCATAGAACGACTCAATGGTCTGGACACACCAAGAGAGAATACACTCATGGACCGTAGGAGTTGTGTTTTGATAGACGCTTTCCGGGCCACCGGTTGCAGAAGCTATCAAAGCATCAAGGATTGGGTTGCGTATGTTTCTAAAAGCCACTGATCCAACGCCGTAGGAACGCTCCTTGGTTAGGTGAGTTGTGAGAGGAATTGTTCTAAGCAGTAGAGTTTCGTCGTGGGTATTGTTCGTGTCGGTATCAATAGTGTAACCCGAAAGAACGATCGGAACGTCCTCCGTTACGTTCAAAAAATGCCCGCACACTTTACTGTTGGGATAGGGAACCTTGGAAAGAGGTCCCTCCCAGTTCGTACTCCAATCTACCGTTGTGTTCAGACAAGCAAAGGTGATGTCTAGGAGGTCGCTAACCTCTTCGCATTTACTGTAGACAGCAAGTGTGTCGTATGTTGGCCAAGTACAGTTACTGGTAGGGCAAGACAGGGGAATGTCTGGACGAAAACTTGTGCCAAATGGAATAGGTTTGGTGCCATTTCTGTAAAGGAATTGTTGAACGACAGGCATTACTTCGGAGTTATAGATGCTGGTCTCCCATCCGCCCTGAAACTCCATCTGGTAGGGTGGATCGTAACGAACCACATATGGTATCTCTCCAGAAATTTCGTGTAGAGTCCATTGATTCGGGAAAGTTGCCACCTGTTGGAAAAAGGTGTCGATCGCAAGAAGCAAAACAATAAGTAGTGCGCCTAGGGCAGCCAACGAGCGACCCTTTGTTCGGAAGAGTAGCATCAGGGCACCAAGGGGTCCTCTGGAAGCTTTGTCAAATATTTCAAAGTCCCACATGGCCTTGGACTCGTGAAACCAATTCCATTTTAATTGACCAAGCGCTTCCGACGTTGGCACGATCAGCGCGGCCGAAGAGATTTTCCCCAAGACGTTAGTCCAGTTAAGATATGATCCATTTTTAGACAGTGGGTGGTCTTTGATCCGAAGGTAGATGCAGATGATTGCGACCATACAAGCCGCACTGATACACCAACTCACTATCTCAAACAACCACCTCTTAAAGACATTATTCGACGCGTTGTACTCGGCTAACTTCTTCTCGGCTCGCTGTGTAAAGTCAAGTGATGGTTTCGTGTTTTCCAATGTATTAGGCAATTCTGTCGTATGCCGTCCTCTGTGTCGTGCACCTCGTTGTATCCATGGAAGGTAGTTGCGTGCCGCTGTCGAACTGGAAGCCATTTTTGTAGAAATTAAATTGACAGAGAGCAACTCTTGCTAGTCCACGCGAAAAATGAAGGATGACAACCTCGTGGTAAGAATGGCTTTTTGATCGATGCTTGAAAGCAGGACGATACCCACCCAGCTAAGGTAGTGCATCGGCGCCTAGAGAGCCGCATAGCCTGGAAACCCAGATGCAACTATAATCATAACCATGACGGGATAGCAGCGCTAAGATGCACGTGTTTTCATCGAATGTCGTGCATGCGCTTCGTTATCACGCGCCTATAGGAGCTTTGCTGTTAGCGCTGCGACATGGTGACCGGCAGCTAGCCACTTTGCAAGCTCGGTGACTGGGATTGTGACATTGCACAACATTGTAATGTAGCTCTGTGCGCAATGGAAAGGGAACCATCGTCCTGAGAGTCAATAAAGGAAAAAGAGAACGGTGTAGTTGGAACGAGGTTAGCTGGGCCGAGGCTCAGCAAGCGAGATTGGCTCCGCGATGATGCCTAGGTAATGCTCGCGAGTTGTCTCACCAAGAGCAACAACATCAATTGCAATGTGCTATATCGATTTAATCATAGATTAGTGTAGCGGTTATAGAATCAGGGTGCGTCATGATGATAAGAACAGCTCATTACAGATTTTCACTCTCTTTGAACTAATTTTCATCGTTTGCATGCACGTATCACAAGCGGAGGCTTGCAGCTATATGAGACCTGGCGGAGCCGTTGATGCGGGCTGAACCTGACCAGACACCTTCCATCCTTGCTTCGGCATTAGTTTGATCCTGACATTCTTCGATGACGAGGTTACCGACGTTGCGAGTCCTTGTTGAAGGTCTTTCGGCAGACTGTATATCAACGCTGGCATAGCCGAAGTCTTCCATATACCTGTATCGGTGTCTTTCGAGGTTTTGAAAATGGTCGCAACCAAGAACACTAGGCTCAGTACAAGTAGTAGAATTGGAAAGATGAGCCACGACCAATTGATATGGATGAATTTCTCCTCATTGTACGCCTCTCCGACAAGCAACTCATGGCTCTGAGGATTCGATCGTATGACGTTGGTAAGTGCTGACGCCAATCTCTGCATGTGATGTGTGACATTGTTCGGTGCCATCCATGGATTGAAGTCCAAGAAACGAGTAGACGGGCCAATAGGGTAGTTCTTGAATCTTAAGTTAGGTTTTTGATCCATATTCGCAGCTGTGTAGGACGCGGGAAAGAAGTCGTCCCAGATGACCATGATCTGGAAGGCTGTTTCGTTCCAGACAGAATAGTTAATGTTGATATCCGAAGAATTCACTGCTGGCACTTCAAGCGCGATGTTAGGTTCGTAGGAGTAAAAGTCGTTGGTAACAGTCCATGGCCATGGAACTGGGTCAGTCGCCAGATCCAGAAAAGTTGCGTTAATGCTTTCGCTATACACCCCCCACTCGTATGACGACCTCAAACGGTGAACACACCATGATAGTATACATTCATGTACTACAGGAGCCTCGTGACGGTATACACTATCAAGCCCGTTTGCCGCGGATGCGATTAGACCATCAGTAATAGGGTAGCGGATATTCTTAAACGAAAAAGATCCAGTCCCGTAGTAGGGCTCTTTTGTGTCCATGTCAGAAAGAGGAATGGTACGCATCAACAAAGCCTCGCCAGTTGTGTTTCTTGTACCATTTTCTTGCATGATATATCCAGAGAGAAGTACCGGTGTAGTCGACGTAACATTGAGAAAATGCCCACAAACCATTCCGATTGGATATGGTACTTCTGTCAACGGACCTTGCCATTCGGCGCTCCAGTCAATTGTTGTATTGAGGCATGCGTACGTGATATTCAATTCTTGAGAAACATCCACACAGCTGCTGCATGTCGCTAAGGTGTCGTATTCAGGCCAAGTGCATCTGCTAGAGGGACAAGACAGGGGGATATCGGGACGATATCCACTTCCAAACGGCACAGGTTGCGACCCGTTTTCGTAGAAGTAACTCTTGATGACGGGAGCGGTAATTTGGTCGTACATTCCCTGCTCCTCTCCCTTGAGGAAATAAGTCAGATGAGGTGGAAAGTATTTCGTAACGAGTGGAATAGAGCTCGGTGCTTTCTGTAGGGCCCATTGATTGGGAAATGTCACCACTTGCTGAAAGAAGGTATCGATGGCAAGCAATAACACAATGAGCAGCGCCCCTAACGCAGCAAGTGATCTCCCTTTCGTCCGGAATAGGAGTAGTGTGGCCCCCCATGCACCGCGGGATGCCTTGTCGAAGACCTCGAAATCCCACATGGCTTTGGATTGATGGAACCAGTGCCATTTGAGTTGTCCGAGTGCTTCTGAAGTTGGCACAATGAGTGAAGCGGATGCTACTTTTCCCAACAGGCTGGCCACTGTGAGAAGCCGTTCGCTTTGGGCCATCTCTTTCCCACTGATGGATATATAGATACCAACGATGGCACCCATGCATGCTGCACTGACTAGCCAGCTGATTATCTCGAACAGCCACCTCTTGAAAACATTCTGGGAGGCATTGTATTCCGCCAATTTCTTCTCTAAGCGTTGTATAAGATCCAATGATCTCTTATCTTTATCGTCGGAAGCAGAGGGCGATGGTGTGTCGCATTCATGATCGTGCGGCAGGTGTCTTGAGAGTTGGCATTGCGGAAGTGTTGCTGAAGTGTCATGTGGGTGGTGTGAGACCGCGGACGAGTAACTGGGCGGTTCGTTCATTGCGAGGTGCCAAATGAGTAGTTCTGTCCTTCGGGACTAGCAATTGGATGCGATATGTTGTCGAACTTGTAACATAGTCTTACAAGAACTTCTCAGGCATGTGAGGTTTCGATGGGATGAGGTTCAACTCGGCAATGCCTCAGCACAGCAGTCTCGTCACGTCTTGCAGTTGGAGATATCGAACCGCCAAAACATGCACCAAAGCATATGACAAAGCCTGCGATCATCGTGCAAGTTTAGCGCCGGGTTCTGTATGTGCCCTCTTTCCATCTTGAGCGAGCGCTTCGCTCTCATGCGCCTATGGGAACTTTGCTGCTAGCGCCGCGGCATACCTACGTAGCGACCGGGTGATAGCTACCGGACGTGGCTATCAACATGGTGTCACGCAGTTGAATGAAGTGATCAGATACATTAGAGAAAAGGCCAAGGTTGAACAGGGTGTTGTGCTTTTGGTGAAAGAAATAAAGATGGGGTATGATAGAGGTGGGGCGAAGGAGGGAGGGGTGAGGGCGAGCGGAGCCCGGAGGCATTGGCCGAGCTGAGGCTCAACAAGCACCTAAACAACCCAAGCCCATAATTACGCTCCTGTTATACCTTATCAGCACGTAGTGTTTCACATGTATACGCTGATAGGACGCGACAAAGTGCATGTTCTGTTTATAGTATCAGGTAGGTGTACTACTGGTAACATGACATGATTCATACCACGTTGCATCGAGCTCAGTATGGTGACCAGGTATTTGCAGATCTTGGGTATCGTCGAACGCCTTTTGGATTTACATGTGGGTGTCATGTGCACGTATCCACATAGTCGCGATAACCACAACCAAAGTATCACCACAGTGAACACGTCTACAGTTCCACGCCGGAAAGAAGCGATAGCCTGCATACTTGAGCGTTGAGTTCAGTTTGGGCTGGAACACGCGCAGTAGTAGTAGTGCAGATATTAACAACTATATGAACCCTGGTGGAGCCCTCGGTGCTGGATGGCCTTGTCCTGACACTCTCCAGCCTTGTTTTGGCAACAGCCTGATTTTGACCTTCTTCGACCTTCTTTTCGAAATAGATCTCGACGTCGCCGACGTTGTGAGTCCCTGTTGCAAGTCTTTCGGTAGACTGTATATCAGCGCTGGCATAGCCGAAGTTTTCCAGGTGCCGATTCCATCGTATGTTTCTTGTGAAGTTTTTATCATCGTGGCTACCAAGAACACGATACTCAAGAGAAGCATGACCAGAGGAAATGTAAGCCAGCCCCATTCAACTCTCACATATGTCTCTGGCGAAGAAGCGCTTCCAATGATCAGTTCGTTGCTGTCAGCATCTGATCTGACAACATTCGTCATAGCCCGTGCTATTCTTTCCATGTGATAAGTGACGTTGTTGGGAGCAAGCCATGGATTGAAATGTACTTCTCGGAATCTGATCTGGTCCGTAAAGCTAGTTCGGACTTTCAGGTATGGCTCTGCCGAAGGATCCGAAATAGTAATCAGGGATGGAAACACCTCATCCAGAACAACGACCGTGAGTAAGAACGTATCATTAGAAACGCCGAAAGAAGTAACAGGAGTGTTGTTAGAAGGTGGGGTTATTGTGATGTTCTCACTGAAGTCCTGGTAGGTATCGCCGTTCGACAACTGCTCGACGTACCAGGGGTACTCGGTTTTCGTTGTGTTCGTAAAAGTCTCAATCACCTGCTCTTCATAACCTCCCTGTGAATAGGAGGAACGGAGAGTCTGGACACACCAAGACAAGACACATTCGTGGGCGACGGGGGGTACTTTACGATAGACGCTGGTGGCAGAGCCGTCAGCTGCGCTTACGATGAGTGCATCAAGGATGGGGTTGTTGATGTGCTTGAAGTTGATAGAGCCTCCGTAAAGTGGCCTTCTGAGAGGATTCGTGACAAGTGGTAGTGTGCGCATGAGAAGGGTCTCTCCGTAAGTTGAATTGGTACTGTTCTCGACCCTGTAGCCGGACATGAGTACAGGAGATGAACTCGTCGCGTTCAAGAAGTAGCCGCATGCAGTACCTAAGTGGACACATTGTTAGCCGCAGTAAACCTTGTTAGGTGATTAGTTGACTGCATGGTTTGGCATGATAAAGACTGACGGCAGTGATGAAAGGCATGTCTCACCATCGGAATATGTATCTTCCGTTCCAGGACCAGTGGCATTTCTGATCCAGTCCATCTTCATGTTAAGGCAGTGATACTCAAGAAGATGTGAAACGTCTTCGCAAGCACTACAAACTCCCAAAGACTGGTAGGCCGGCCATTCACATTGACTAGTTGGGCACACAAGTGGTATCTCTGCTTGAGGGCCACCCTTGGTAAGTAGAGGGCGCGTGCCGTTTTTGTCATACATGAATGGATCCAGGGCCCTCTTTAGATCTTGGTTCATCGTAGACAAAGGCGTGTCGGCATAAGTGCTGTCATAGGTAAGCACGTCGGAAGGGGTATATCGTATACTCCGCGGGATAGAACTATTGCCCTGCAATATCCAGCGCTCCTGCAAATCCGTTACTTGCTGGAAAAAGGTATCGATTGCAAGCAGTAGAACTGTCAACAGAGCACCTAAAGCAGCGAGCGACTTGCCCTTTGTTCGGCACAACAGCATAAATGATCCCCATGCGCCTCGCGATGCTTTATCGAAGATTTCGAAATCGAACGCATCTCTGGACTTCTTTCCATGGAACCATATCCACTTCAGCTGCCCAATGGCCTCTGATATTGGTAGGATGAGTGCTCCAGAGGCAATCTTTGAGAGAATCGTGATGATGGTCAATCCGGGAGGCCATTTGTCGAGAGATTGATCTTGAAGATAATAAATCAATCCAATGATCGCGCCTGGTATTGCCATCAGCATACGTACAGAACATACTGAGCCGAAGCTATTTTACCCATGCAGACAGCACTTGTCGACACGCTGATGATCTCGAACAGCCAGCGTTTGAACACATTCTGGGACGTGTTGTACTGCGCTAGCTTCTGCTCGATGTGTCCTGGGAAATTAAAAGAACGCTTGTCATGAAAGGATGCTCGATAGGATGGTGGAGCTGGTATGTTCGAGCCTTCATTGACCGATGGGAAGTACGGGTTTTGCGGCTGCGTGAGTGAAATGGGTGGCTGCCTTCCTCGTTGTTGTGACATGATACGTATGCTCGCTTGATAGGAACTTGGGAATACATGAGCGGTCAAGATGTGACGCTTTACAGGGCATGCTAGAGTTGATCATTGGCAGCCTTCTATAGTATGCCAATCCACAGAATGGTCGAGCGCTTAACGGTTGAGCTTCCTGTGGCTCGTTTAGGAGGTACAACATGATTGCGAGCCGAATCTTCAGGATAAGTGAATGGTCGTTCAGGTGTGCATGTAGAAGACTGGGCTTGAGCGTTGGCGATGCAAAGATGGCCTGTGCTTGCTTGGCAGGGCTGCCAGACCTGTGAGAGCTAGAAGTTTAGCGCCCGCAGCGGATTTCGCGGGGATAAGGTGCAGCAGACTCGACTAAATGGCCAGAGTCACGGTAGCGCTCGGGAGTAAAACTCCCGGTAACTACCGTATGCCGAGTCTTTGGGAGCTACGTGGAGTATGCCGCCAAGTGGGGACTAACAAGTTTAAGCGCTGGAGTTGTTATCATCATGAGCGGGCTCTAGGCAGAACGCAAGGCGGTCTGGTTGAGGCAGGGGGGCTGTGTTTGGTGCGTCTACGCGTTCGAAGCGAGCCTTATGGCCGGCTCCAGCACCGATGCGAAGCCGACGCATTGGTGCAGAAGTACGTCGTGGTGAACGTCATTATCAGCTACACTGCTGGGGGACTATATGACGCCCTCGAACTTCGCAGGTGCCAGTGGTAGGTGCCTCAGCAATACTAGCCTCATGTTGAGTTGGTGCCTTGAGGGCATAATATGTCAGCCTCATAGAAAATGAGTAGTGAGTTCCCAGGGTCTTCCACATATGACAAAATTGAGGGTACAACAGTGCTAACTTCAGGCGCTCGACTTCAAATGCGTATGTAATGTAAATGGAAATAAAATAGAATACAGTCATGTGAGCAAGATCATAATTACGTAGCCAACCTATGTCGCTTGCCGCTATCCATGTCTGCATGGAGATGTCATGTCCACCATTAGTATTCAGATCCATCCTGGAGGTGCTCTCCCTTCACTGTTCGTGTTCGGCATTGGTGACATGTGCACTTGACCGGAAACTCTCCAACCATGTTTCGGAAGCAGTCGAATCTTGACCTTCCTAGATTCCTTTTCCAGCCCGTTCCTCCATCGGCTTTGCGAGGCAACAGCTTCTTGCGTGTCTTTCGGCAGACTGTATATCAATGTCGGTAAAGCCGAAGTCTTCCACACACCCACTCCGCCATCACTGATCCTGGATGTTTTCATGATGGTTGCTACGAGGAAGATTAGGCTGAATAATAGAAGCGCAAGGGGAAATGTAAGCCATTCCCAATGGACTGCGATGAAAGTAGTCTGCGAATAGGCTCGTCCTCGAACGAAGTCATGACTATTGTGTGTTCTTACAACATTTGTCATGGCAGTTGCAAGCCTCTCAACGTACTGAGTAACGTTGTTGGGGGCGAGCCATGGGCATGACGTGAAAGGATGGAGTTGGTTGCGACCCCAGGCATAGATTCTGATGCGCCACCAAGGAGGTGATACAGTGTCAGCGACCGTAATCGTAGAGGGAAATATCTCATCAAATAGCGCCTGAGTTCTTGCGAACGTCTCGTTTGACATGCCGTAGTCATCAACCCTTGGGTCCGCTCCAGGAGGATGTATGCTAAGGTTTCCCTGAAACTCCGACCAAAAGGCCTCCTCACCGAGAGACACCACGGACCGACCCGTCCATGGATAGGGTCGCTGGCGAGCAGTAGTATTGAGAAATGTCTTGATCACCGTCTCTTCATAATCCCCCGAAGCATAGGTGGATTTGAGGGTTTTGACACACCATGATAACATGCATTCTTGAGCAATTGGAGGTTGGCGATCATACACACTGGAAGCGGTGCCGTCGGCTGCACTAACAATTATAGCATCGAGGAAAGGCAGATAGACATCCTTGAAATTTATGGAGCCGCCAAAGAACGGTGTTGCCGAGAGAGGATTGACGGACGTCATTGCTGCCGACAATGCTATTGTGCGCAATAGCAACGCCTCGTCTTTGGTCGACGAGTCGGCGGCAGCAGTGCCGGTTCTGAAGCCAGACATCAGGACAGGTGCTTCGCTCGTAGCATTTATCCAATAACCACATGCACTTCCTAGTATTTTGAAGTCAGCATTTTGCAGGACAACACTCTGCATACATAGGGCGCATTACCTACAGGCTGTGTTGTCCTGTTGAAGTAGACGCTGGATATCCAGTCTAATTTTGTTGTAAGGCAGGCATATGTTAGAAGCTCAGAAACATCAGTGCACGCACTGCAGACCCCCAGCGTATCGTATTCGTCCCATTCGCATCGACTCGATGGACACGATAACGGTATGTCTGGCCGATCTCCAGACCCAAATGGGACAGGTTTATTACCGTTGTAATAAAAGAACTTAAGCGTGGCCTGTCGTAGATTTATGTCTTCCATCGTGCTCGGATAGCCGTCCTCGTATATGTCTCCATTATCACCTTCGTACCGTACCACGCGGGGGATCTCACCAAAGCCGTCGAGCTCCCATCGTTCAGGAAGGTCTGTGACTTGCTGAAAGAACGTATCCACGGCCAGCAGGAGAAGGGTAAGGATGGCGCCGAGCGCAGCTAGAGATCGACCTTTTGTGCGAAAGAGCAGGAGGAAAGAACCCCAAGCTCCACGAGAGGCCTTGTCAAATATCTCGAAGTCGATCATGTCTTTTGATTCACTGCCGCGGAACCAGGCCCATTTCAGCTGGCCTATAGCTTCGGAGATCGGGAGTATAAGGGCGGCCGACGCAATTTTGGACAGTACGTTTTGGATGGTCGAAGCTAGTGGCCACTCGCTGAGAGGTTGGTCCTTGGTGTGAATGCATATGCCGATTATGACTCCCTAAGAACACATGGTGAGTGTTGCTCTATCGCATACCCGAACCTTTCTATACAGAAGGCCATACGCACCATGCAGATAGCACTGATAGTCAGGCTTGCAATCTCGAAGAGCCAGCGCTTGAGGATATTCTGAGACGCGTTGTATTCTGCCAGCTTCTTCTCGAAGCGTTGGGACAGGTCTAGCGAAGACTTCTGTTGCACCGACGCGCGATATGGAGGAGGTGGTGTGATATTTTCATTGCTCGAAGCTGGGATATAGGACTGTGGAAGTCTGGAGATGAGTGTCATCTGCGCCTGTCCTGAGGGCTTGCTGTGGGAGTTGCGAAAACACAATCGATGAACCATGATCCGTACGACATCGAGAGAAACGACCGGCTGACGTTCTACATGGCGATCTTATCGTTGGAAAACCTCCCTGTGGAGGTAGGGCGGCTAAAACTACGCTTCACAATAAGTTCGATAAGGGACTGCAGCTATTATGGGCTGCGAGCTTATCAGCATCGAATTGGAGCATACTCGTTGTGCAGACATCTCAGATAAGGGATATTGAGCCTCTACAGAACAGCGACTTAGCGCCAGCAGAATAAATCGCTGTTGCGGCTTCTGTTTAGCGCTGCGGCACAGCGATTGGATTTCGCGGTCAGGCTGATGATGAACGCGCGCAATACGGCATATCTGGTGCAGATTTGGTGGCTTCGTGGGGCCGGGCGAATGCTCTGGAGGCCTGGCCGTCAAAGGGCAGGTTGAGGTGTCGTTGTTGATGGAGGAAGGCTCTGTCGCGTAGCTAACGCGGCGCGAAAGCCATTCATCACACTAGCGCAGCTACCTCATACGCGACGGCTCACTACGTCATACGGCGAGGCTTCAGTTTTCCGGTCTGCACCTTCGGTACAATACCTGGCTCGTTAATCCACCCAGTCATAACTGAGAGAGCAAAGATGCTCCAAAGGACACTTGAGTCCAAAGTGCGTGGTGGTCAACAAGTAGGAGCTTCATACCTATACGGGCTCCATGACTCTTGAACAAGATGTCTATGCCCACGCGCCCTTGGTCATGATTCCTCAGTCCTTCCGACGATAATATCTTGCAGAGTCAACCAGTATGGCTTACAATCGGTCATGCTATGTGCGTCTGAGCTGCTCCGCAGCCCCATTCGAGAGCAATCTCTGTGTGACGACCAGGATTCCATGCCCGAGACTCAGCGAGATGCCATAACAGGAAGTCGACCAAACCGCTGCGAAGTTGAAATTTATGGGCGTATGCTTCTCTCATGTTATCTTTTTTTTTTGCAATTCTGAATGAGCATATGTAGCAGGTCTCAATCTATGTCAACTAAGTCTTTCGAAAGGACGACTATGATTTGCTGGATATTTGTTTTCTTAATGGTGTCGATGGTCTACAGAAGCTGGGATCTAGAGTAGGGGAGGATCAGCAAGCACTAAGCATCCAGTCGTGATACAAGTGCATTGCATTGTCGCGATGCAAGTGAAATGTGCCGGACTTGTGCACATCCTGGCCAAGTCGAGAGTATGGAAGCATCAGGTGTTTCGATAAGGTTGATATGCGGGTGATGGGTTGCGCCGAGAGTCCACAAGCGGAAGTAAGCGTCTCAACGTTGATGCAGCTCCGGGCGGCTAACAGGTAGTCGCTGTTGGCTGCAGCATTTCTGTGTCGCCCTGTCGCCTTCCCCTAGATGCCATTGCATTTGCTCTGATATCCTGGTCAAGGCATAGACTAGAATGTTGAAGCCTGTAACATTGTTCTTCTGGAGGATACTTGTGGTAACTCACGGCGATTGCAAGCTTTGCAGGTCACCCAGATGTTTGCCGCAAAAGTAGTATCAATAGTGCGACGGCGCAACAGTTGCGAGCGAGGCCGTTTCTATGCGCATCCGATTGCAATACGCCCGGACGGGTAGTTGCATCATGCCAGGCAAATTCGGCATGCAACTTACACAACAACGAACATCACTTCAGAACAACATTTCAACATGTGGCTTTTTGGTCTTGAATCATACTTTATTGAATGTCTACAGAAATCGTGAAATTTCGTAGAAAGCGTAACGCCGATGATCGTCACGTGTGCGGGTAAGGTGTGATTCGGTCGCGAATTCGGTTCAATGGCGCAAGGTACGGAAGATGTAGAGCCAATCGCTTCAACTCCAGGGGTGACTTCAAAACGCCGCCAAGCCACGTCATAATCTCAATACCCTTCGATTGGTTAGAAAGTGTTCTGGTGTCGTGGAGGATCTAGGAAAATTCTAGGTAAGAGTTCAGACTTACAAGAATCGTGTGTTGACGGGATCGCCTTGTAGAAAGCCCTGAAAGCCCTATAGCGCTTCCAGTGTGATAACTCAGTGTGACGACTTTGCCAGGGCCTTTGAGTTCGTCACATCGCGTTGCTGGGCTTCCATGAGACTGAGCCTAACCCATTGTGTCCCCATCACGTCCGTCTTTGCGTTTCAGCTTGCCGTTTCTGTACCCCTGCGGTCATGCTCTCCTGCCTCTCCCCCAATGATTGTAGAACATCCACATTGCATGAGCAGCGTGTGTGCTCATCCCATGCACCTTGCGTCGCGTGAGTGGCTTCGAAGGCGGTTATCGTTGAGAAGACCACTGCGGGTTGAAGCGCCGTGGATGGGTAGTGGAAATGAGTCCATTGTGTGACGCACCGTCACAAGCGTTGCCTTACATCCAGGACCTGGGATAAATGTGTCGATACGTCCCTTGTTCCAGATAACATCTCCAGCACAGGATCATCTCTTCAAACACCAACTCTTCCTTTTCCAAGTCGACATTTCATCCTTCATCAAGGCAGTCTCGGTTCCTCCTCCACCTAGTAACCTAATCGAGTTGTACGAACAACGACTGCAACCGCCAACATGCACGTACGCGCAATCATTCTTGCTGCAGCTATGATGCTTCCCGCCATAGCAGCACCTGTACCAGCACCAGCACCAACCAGCAATGTGAGTGTCATTGATACCCAAAGATATCGCACACAGTAGCTAATCCTTCGTAGATCAGTCCAATACCAGTAGTCGAGCGCCGCAATGATTTTTCGATAGCAAACCTTTTTCGAGATCTCTTAAAGAGGGAGGCAACAATCGAGACAGACGCCGTCGAGATTAGAGGTGCCGAGGCCGGAGGCATCAAATTCGGCAGCACTGGTGGCCATCGACGAGACGCTGAGGCTGAGCCGATCAAGTTCAGTACCCCCGGTGGCCATCGACGAGAAGCT